AGGAGGAGAAAATTCGTAGAACGGGAAGATCAAAGAGGAAGAGAGAAGAAAGCGAAGCACAGACGACGACGATGATGACGACACCGGGAGTGGACAAAGCGAAAGAGTGAGAGAGCGAGACGAGGAAGGGAGGGATAAGGGTTGGAAAGGGGGCGAAGAGGCTACCTGACGGAACCCCCAGAGAAGCGGTGGAAGTATTGATCCGGAATGTCGGCGACCACCTGCCCGGAACGCGCGCTCTTCTACTCCTTCGCCACTCGGTCTCTCCTCCCTCTTCTGGCGGTTCTCTCCCCCCTCCCCCTCCCCCTCTTCTCGTTTACCTCTTCCTCCTCTTTTCCTCGCCCCTCGCTTTTCTCCTACCTTGTTTTCCCATTTCTCCTCTTCCGTCTCAATCCCTTCGCATTTTTTTGCTCTTCTTTTTTATCTTCCTGTTTAAATCTTATTTATTAGTTTTTCGTCGCATCGATTCCATGTAATTTATATATATTTATGTGTTTTTTAATTTACTTAATGGTATTTTTATTTCAGTTTTTATCTCTTTTTTTTTATCTCTTCTCTTTTTTACTGCCGGACTTTTTTCTCTTCATTTATTCACCTACTCTTGCTCTTTCTTTCTCGTTCTATGGATAATCTATCACCCTCGTATTTCGTGGCATAATTTACCACCGAATTGCTCTTGGCGTTCGGTCGATCTCAATTCCGACAACCGCGACGGCTCCCCTCGCGAATGAATTCACACTTTTGCACCAGACGAACATTGATTTGTCCGGCTTGTTTGAATGATAAATAAATTGCACCGGTGAGATTAGGAAAATGATTTATGTATAAATAAATTACATACAAAAACAAATTATTTTTATACAAATATTTATAGCATTTCAATAGTTCTCGTTCCGATGAATGACGAAAAAAAATAATAAGACTCAGCGAGACAAATAACAATATGTAAAGTCGCACTTTCTGATAAATCCCACGCGGATTTTGATGGAATTTTAAAAATTAAAAAAAAAATGTGAGCTTCAATTATACATATGTAAGCAAATCTATTTGAGCCGTAGGAAAGGTAGAAACGCAGAAAATAGTTCTGTACGAGCAGGTGTGTGGATAATGTTCTTATCCTTCCTCGATCTTGCGGTGGCGCGTCGCCGCAAGGTGCAGGCACTCTTAGTGAAGGTAACGTCGCGTTATGAATGAAATTATAAATATGTGCATGCTAGATGATCGCGCGCACGTAACGCCGAGGGAGAACGAACGAACGAACGAACGGGGGCGAGACGCGAGCGTAACGCTATTTTTGGAGTCCTTCGCGACTCGACGCCGCCGATTCTCTCGTTGCTCTTCGACCTTCCTCCCCCCTCTCCTCTCTCTCCCCCTCCCCCCTCTCTTTTTCACTCTCTCGTCTTCTCTCTCTCTCTCTCTCTCTCTCTCTCTCTCTCTCGTCTTCTTTCTCTCTCTCTCTCTGTCTCTCTCTCTCTCTCTCTCTCTCTCTCTCTCTCTCTCTCTCTCTCTTTTTCTTTCATCTTTATCTTTTTACCAGATTTAATGGAACCGTGTAAGGCCGTTCAACTGTCTCGTTCGCGCAGCTCATTCCGTTTTTCCCTATTGAAAGGAATCGCGAGGCCCTTGCGATGGAGGAATCGTGTGTCTGGCATCGATTACATCGAACCCCGGATGAAAAATTAATTACAGCCTCACCTCGTTATAGCCTGAGAGCATGACGTAAATTCACCCCGCTGTATATTATCACGCAAATAACGCGGATACTTATAATTCTAATAACGTTATTTAAGAATAATGCCGGTAAGGTCGTGCACAATGAAATTAATATAACAACGCGGACTAAATATAAATCAAAATTACTTATTTAATCGTAATTTGATTGTAATGAATCGATTTATCGAATGAATAAGGAAAATCTGACTCATCGAGACGCAAAGAGAAATGAGAAATATTTTTCAGGTATTTTTTTTTCCCCCCGAGAATAACGCGTTAAAGTTATTCACAAGTGCAAAACGAAACTCGCATCTGTAATTGCATTAATTATTACCTCGCGGATTTCTATCCATTCCATCTAATTCCATTTTCCCTCGTCTTCTATTAATCTGCGCTCTTATCCTTTACTAAATATTTTTTCCATGACATTTTCTTTTCGTTAATAAATGAAGTGATCTATGACGTGAATCGTGTCGGTTAAAAGATTAAAAAGAAGAAAAGTAATGCATGTGCCACGTGTGACAGCGATAATAAGATCGCGCCATGCGGTGCGATCTGACGTCGGCAAAATCGTCTAAATATGTCTTGGACGTGTTACAAAGCTTGTGTTGCTACGGGCGCTATTTCTACTCGCCAATTTCGAATGTCGCCATTCAAGAGTGACGACAGCAGGCACTTGCAATTGGAATGTAGAGATCAGCTTTTTCTTCTCAGACATATATATATATATGTGTGTGTATATTACATCCCGGAAAAAGATCTTGACGCATAAATATAACGCGGAGATTTTTCCCGAGGATGGCCACTTTACGTCAAGATTTATTCGTGCGACGATATTTTGCATAGGACAGTTGTTGGTTGGAGGGAAGAAGAGAGAGAGAGAGAGAGAGAGGGAGTTTGACATAATTTGATAAAGTCATTGAGGCCACGCCATATGCCATTATGAACGGAGAGACCACGCCATCATCCCTCCGAAGCGTAATGAAGCGCGCAGGAAAAACTGATTAGCTGATATGTGTGTTACCCTTTGACAGAGGATATACAGGATGCCTCGAGTCCTATATCACTTTCACTTATGAATATTTCCACAAAAAAAAAAGATAGAAGTTGCACGATTTCTTGTTCTAAAAATTTTGAGAAAATTGTTATGATTTATCAATTAAAAAAAAAATCTCTCTTTCTCTCTCTCTCTCTCTTTTTGTGTGTTATTTCTGGGTAAACATACGCTGTGGCGTAAATGGACAAAATGAGATTTAAGTAAGCAGGTTAGTGTTCACTCACTGGAAGTAACTGGTCTTATATTTTATCTTTCGTCGCACCTTGAGTCATTTTGATCCCTTAAATGCTCCGAAATATTGGTAGTCTAATGAGACTATACCGGAATTCGAGTAATTGCCCGATTGATACGCATGGAAAAAATATCTTCACCTCTTCCTAAATAGATATATTTTCGAATCGCATCAATACATGCATTTCTCTTGAATATTCGTGTTTAGGAAATTCGCGATTTAAGAAAATCCCTAATTTTGTATCTGAAAACGTAATGAAGCACAGAGTGTCTATTCCTTGGAAAAAACATGGAATTTTCATGTATTTTTTTTACACTTAGAAAAATTAGAAAATTCTCAATTTTAATGGAAATTAAAAAAAAATTCTTTCGTTGATAATTTTGCTCTTATATAACAAGTAACACAAACAGTCAGTACAAGAATTATATATGTTTAAAGTACATTACAAATATATATCTATTTTTGCATATTCAGTATCTTATTAAAATATTGAATATGCAGTATTCTACTATTCGTTATTATAAATTTTAATAATAAAAATAATGAAAATTTCATGCAAGTGAGAAATGTTTATTTTACGAGAATTATTCAATTTTTTTCAGTATAATTTACAAATCTAACACTTGAAACTTAAGAAGCTCTGTGTTTTTTCCTTTGTATGAATGAAAAACACTCAAAAACACACATGTAATAAAAAAATTTATTTTAAAAAATTATGCCAAATATCTTCAACATATTCTCTTTATCTAGAATTTTGAACACAAAAATATCCGGAAGGTTAGACAATTTTTTTTTACAAGATTTAAGTAGACACTCTGGAATATCAAACTGTGTAAATTAAAGACCAATATCGATTTGTAGAATGTGATTATCACTTAATGACAATAAGCATCAACTAACGCGATAGAAAGAATCAATGTTAATCCTAATCACCGCGTGCGTAATCTGTGGACGTTGACTCACGATTACGCGGGCGAGAGAATTCAGCAAGATCCCCCTCTCCGGATTGTGGCATCGAGTAGCTGCACACGCCGTCGACAGGCCGGCAACTGTCACGCGCGCATGTGTACAGACCTCTCTCTTTTCTGCAGGAACCATCTCTATAATCGTATTTTTTCCGACTCCTTTAAATTCGAGTGCAGAAATTTTTGCCCAATAGTACAACAGAAAATAAAGAAATTTTCTCTACATACCTTTAAGATATACCTTTTTACACAAAGAATACAGTTTATATCTCTCTTTATCGGAGATAAAAAGGATCAACATTGAAAAAATATATATACATATATCTCTTGAGATTTTGTGCACAATTTTCGCGTTATTATTATCATTATTGGCATTAATATCGAGTTTAGGTTTTTACATGATATTAAACACGTTTTTGTTTTTATTAATCTAGATTGGATTTTGCTTCGAAATTTAATAGGGGTGGGGACGATGATATTTTCTATTGAAATTACAAAGTTCTTTTTTTCTTTCACGAAGCAATACTTGAAAAATTTTAATAAATAATAAAATTCCGCTTTTTCATTTCATTTCAAGCAAATTTTAATCGGAAAGCTTGGCTGAAATTTCGTCAAAGCAGCTAAAGGAGATACTATTATTCATTTGCACAATATATTCATTGTAGCTTGTCGTGTAATAAATATCAGAATAGCTTAGATGACTTCAATTTCTATCGGCTCAATTAAATTGTTTGCTTACACATTTAGAGGCAAAAGAAAATGATAACATTTTATTGGGCCGTTATTTACGCAATAGAAAGTTAAAAATAGTGATTAAGCATTTTATTAATACGTTGTGTTCTATTAAATTGATTATTTACAATAATTAATTAGATATAAAAATATGTCATTTCTACAAGAAGAGTATTTTGAAGCTATTTTTCAATAATCATTACTACTAGTTTCTAATAAAAGTAATTGTATCAAAGAAAAAATTTATGCTCGAGATATGGATAATCAAAGATGTTAATGTTATCTATTTTTTATTACACAGATGTCAACGCTGCGGAACAAGAGGAATTATTTATCAAAAAGCTCCGCCAATGCTGCGTGGCTTTCGACTTCATGGATCCAATGGCTGATCTCAAGGGTAAAGAAATTAAACGGAGTACGCTCAATGAATTGGTGGAGTATATCACAGCAGGACGAGGTGTCCTTACTGAGCCCATTTATCCAGAAACCATCAAGATGGTATGTGATTGCTGAAAGTATGATGTCAAGATATAAGAAAGTTATTATTAGATTGGAATTGAAAATTCTGCATTTCTCGCCTTTTCTTATTAATGGGGTTGATCTTTATTTTCTTCAATATGTCATCTCTTCTGTCATGTCTTTTTCTAAGTAGAATAATTTTTGTCAAAAATTATTCTACTTAATGAAATAAATTAGAAATAATCTACTCTTGAATTCAATAATTCTTAAATAATTCTTCTGTGTATGCATGTAATAAATATAATGAATAAAATTAATGAAACACTGTTTTAATGTAATGTATTTATTAAAGGTTTCCGCAAATTTATTCCGTACGTTGCCACCGAGTGAAAACCCGGATTTCGATCCAGAAGAGGACGATCCGACCTTGGAGGCGAGTTGGCCCCATCTTCAGTTGGTCTACGAAGTCTTCCTCCGTTTTCTTGAGTCTTCAGATTTTCAGCCTGCCATTGGCAAAAAAGTTATCGACCAAAAATTTGTGTTACAGGTAGAGAATATTACTACATTTTTTAAGATATTTCTGATATAATTTGATATACTTTTTTTTAAACAAATTAATAAATACAATAGAATATAATACAGTACTGGTATCCCCAAAAATACAGAAAACGCAAGTAAATAAAAAAGTTTAGCTTTTTTAGCAGGTTTGTCCTTTAACAGTTTTGTTCATGTTCATAAAATTATTAAAATATAAAATAACAATATAAAATGTAATTTGGTAATATTTATATATGTTTTTATGCATTAAAATAACGACTTTGCTATTTCTATAAGTGATGCAATACTCTTGATTGGTACTGTAAATTAATACAATTATATGTGTTACATAATTATAATGGTATTATATAATTATATTATATTAATTATAATTATAATTGTATATTATAGTTATTGGATTTATTCGACTCGGAAGACCCGAGAGAAAGAGATTTCCTAAAAACCGTTTTGCATCGTATTTATGGCAAGTTCCTGGGTCTTAGAGCCTTTATACGCAAACAAATAAACAACATTTTTCTGAGGTATTTATTTAAATGCACAAATGGCATTTGCTATATTATACATTCTTTAAAGTATTAAATATAATTGTAATCTTTTTTATTATTATATATTCTAGGTTTGTGTATGAAACAGAACATTTCAATGGCGTCGGTGAACTTCTTGAAATTTTGGGTAGCATTATTAATGGATTTGCTCTTCCTTTAAAAGTTGAGCACAAGCAATTTTTGGTTAAGGTATGTTCTGACCATATATCATATTCTTTCCATTAAGTTATAATCTATTTTTTAGTCCTGCACTCATGAAGGGTTATCGATGTGTATATATGTGGATAAAAATTTAATATCGAGTAAATTAATACAATTATAAAAAGAGGTATTTTTGTGTTTATTTCTACAGGTGCTGTTACCATTACATAAAGTGAAATGTTTATCTCTATATCATGCGCAGTTAGCTTATTGTGTGGTGCAATTTTTGGAAAAAGACGCGACTTTAACAGAACCAGTTGTACGAGGCCTGCTTAAATTCTGGCCTAAAACGTGCAGCCAGAAGGAGGTGATGTTCCTTGGCGAAATCGAGGAAATACTGGACGTTATAGAACCTAGCCAATTTGTTAAAATACAAGAACCTTTATTCAGGCAAATCGCACGTTGCGTGTCTTCACCACACTTTCAGGTAAGCGAATCAAATAATGTAGCATTTTCAGTTAACATAAATTTAACACAAATTCATAAATATAATAAATTGTTCATTGTGTTGTTGTAGGTTGCGGAGAGAGCATTGTACTTTTGGAATAATGAGTACATAATGTCTCTAATTGAAGAAAACAATCATGTAATAATGGGAATTATGTTTCCTGCATTGTATAGAATTAGTAAAGAGCATTGGAATCAGACGATCGTTGCTCTTGTTTACAACGTTTTAAAAACGTTTATGGAGATGAACAGCAAGCTCTTTGATGAACTTACTGCCAGCTATAAGTCTGAGAGGCAAAAGTAAGTCCAAGTTTGGGAATGTTTTACTTTTTTCTTTTTAATCGGTTAAATATCTCTTCATAATTCATTGTTATCTTAAATCTGTTTAAATCCTTGAAATTATATAAACGTGTCTGCGTTTCCCTTTTACATATATATCTTTAAATTACAGAGAGAAAAAAAGGGAAAAGGAAAGAGACGAATTGTGGAAGAAACTGAGTGAATTGGAGATAGAACGACGTAACGCTCTCGAACGTAATGCTCTCACAGCTACCTCCAATAATCCAGTTCCTGCCACTAACACACCTACGACGCGAACCCGCCCCTGAGCTGGTAAGAATAATAATATAACATTAAATATAACTTAAATATATATCAAAAAATAATTCAATGTTTTATAAATATTGATTAATCTTTTATCGGTTTTTATTATAGGTCGAATTACAGTACCACGCTGCCCGATTGTTAGCTCTTAGTTTACGTCGATTGTCCATATATTACACGCAAAAATTTATTGTTGTTAGTGAAACAAAGTGTCTCACGATGGCATCCTTGACGTAATGTAATTCATTTTATTAGTTGTGACCGGTATGGTGAAATAATGGAAGCAAGAAAAAAATGCAAAAGAAAAGACAATGCACGCAATTTTATGTTTTTTTTTGACAACAATAATGACAACAATAATAACATGGCGATCATCAGTGAATTCCAAATGATTTTTATATATGTGTATATCGGGTACATTTACACTTCTGTTCTTTTTCTCGTTTAAAAATGGGGGAATGATTTCGATTGCATGATGTGTGTACTCAGTGTCGGTACGCAACAATGTGTTAGTCCCTCTTTGACTAAGATTTTGTTGCGTCTCGGTAGGACGGGACAATCGTGGTGTAAATTTCGAATGGACGAAGTTGCACGTCGTTGTGATCCTTATGTTCATTTTATGGAGGACGCGACACTTTGCGCATTCTCTCAGATGGCCAGTGTGTCGCCTCCTGACTGACCCTTGCGCTGTTTATTACTGCTCCTGATAGAGCCAGCGAGGGTGTTTGAATATATGTATCATATATTCGTATTAGCGATAACGATAATTATAACAGGTACGTAATAAATTAGGTAAAAATGAAAAACAAATATAAATATAAATATATATATATATGTATATATGTATATATACATACAAAAATGTATATATATATAAATACATATAATATGGTATATATTATTAAAGAAAAAGAAAAATATATATATATATAGTTAATGAGAGATACAAAACACAAGTCACAGACACACACGCGTACACCAAACTGCGATAAATGAGAATACACGTGTAAAACGTATATAGGCCCATGTGCTACTAACATAGAGACTGCTGTGGCTGCGTGCCCGCGAGTTGATAGAACAAACTTTTTTTCAAGAGCGCGAAGCCGCAGCGGGAGACGGCATATATGAATTAGTTAACGAATGATAAGATTCAATTCTCGTGGACGATGGAGAAAGACGAAATATAAGAGTAGTAGTATATACGAAACAAATATATATATGTGTGTGTGCGTATATATACACACACATACACATATATATATGCACATATATATGTTCTTTTTTTAAATAGAGGGAAGGAAGAAAGAATAATGGGAGCGAGGGGATGAGAGGAGTATACAATAAATGACGAAGAAAAGAAAAACAGATTTGATTGTACCAAAAACACATCCGTTGCTTATAAATATAATTACGTGATAGTGATACAGCGCGCAGATATATAAGGATCTACCTTGGAGCTGTGCTCCTACTGACAAATGTAGGAGAAGTACACACACACACACACACACACACACACACACACACACACACACACACACACACACAAACTACACACCGCGGGGTCGTTTTTAAAATTTCTTACCATTGCATAATAGTAACTAATAATATTACGAATAACGAGATAATGGTAACAATAAAAAATAACTAAATAAAAAGAATAATAATAAACGACAATGATAAACAAATAATAATAATAGCCACAAATAAAATACGATAGTTAACAAAAACAAAAAAAAAAAAAGAAAAAAGATGATTGACCGCTTGCTCATATTTTCATGGAGAGGATTCGCACGAATTGCCATTGTTCATTTTTCCTCGATTCCTTTTCAATGATTTTTCGACATGATTTATTATCGTCGAACGTTTCTCACGACTTGTACACGACTTGTGCTCGCTTTGCGTTACGCTCCGTTTACCTTCGCTACGTAAAATCTCGTACGGAGACAGAGAGTGACACATATACATATATAAATATAAATATATATATATAATTATTGTAAAATAATGTAATGTGACTTTGAAGACGTAGGTGAGAGTCCGAGAAAAGATTCTTTACGCGTAAATAGATACACATTTATTAAAAACATGTCTAAATTATTTCCACTCTGTTTTCTTTTTGTACCGTGCTTATTAATATGAATTGTAAATGTGGAAAATCTGTAAACATTCACACTAAAAACTCGCGACTCGGAGTTTCAGTGAATTTTTCATTTTTAGCAAGAATTGCTAATTTATGAACATAAAGAAAAGGTAATGTTCATAGAGAAAAAGACTGGTTTGTAAAGACCAAATTCAATCGAATTGAAGAGACTCTGTTTCTTGAAATTAAATTATCGCAAAGTATCTTGTATATTTTTAATACTGATTATTTTATGGTATTAATATAAAATTCTTTTATACATGATTATGAGATAAAAGTATCTCTTGTTACATTTTCTATAAAAATAATATTTATGCATAATACATTATCGTATTTTATTTTTATCGCTTATGTATTTTTTTCTGGAGAAAATTTTTGTGTGAAAAAATGAGAGCGCGAATTTAAAAATCGTTTTTAAGGGAACTTTATTTTATGTAATTTCAATTTGACGCTTTTTGTTTACTATACAAAAAATATATAAAAAAATTACATTAGAAATTGAAAGATTACAAAAAAATCCTAGATCAAATCTACATCAATTCGACCAACATTTCTCACTGGGATGTCGTTGAGAAAGGAATGACGCGTGTGAAAATATCGTTTTTTTAATTTAAAATCGCACGTGTGTTGACCATAAAAGGTTTTTAGACTATCAAAGTTCAATAATTTTTTTTAATCGCGCAATTAAACAAAATTTAAAATTTTTCTCGATTAAAAATTTGTTATGTATAAACACTATATCATCCTTTTTTAATTTTCAGTATCAGATATTTCAATAAGTATAGAGAAATTTCGTCCTCGAATAATTTGACCCGTTCGTAAACAATACATTATTTTCAGAATTGTCTAAGTTTGTAAAAAGAAGAAAAGTTAGATCCTGTTAGTAGATGAAGCATCTTTGTGTTTGACATCCCGAGAGAGATTTCAGGTTTGCAAAATTTTCAAGATCCCCAGTGAATCGTCCGGATATCATTGCGCATGCGCGAAGATTTTAGTCCACATTCTTCTCGTCAAATTGTTGCATTGTTATGTCTACTACATCAGTAATCGTGAATAATTGATTGAAATAGTGTCGCGATTAAATCATGACCATTTGATTCTAGAACAAGTGAGTATATATATACTTATAAATATTGACATGTAAGCAATTATTATAAAATTTTCATTGATAAACGATATTTTATATTAGTGACAGGTTAACCTATTCTTGTCAAATTAAAATTCTTTAACAGAGATAAAATTAGGCATCCTGGTTTTCAAAGATATGTTTTTTTCTCTTCGTGAATACTTGGAAAGTTTTCTGATATTCTAATCCTCCATACTTATACCGTACAAAGTAAAAAAATGTATTTTTTAATTATTTTATAACTTTGTTTTTTTTACTACCTCATTATATATTGTTATTGATAACTCACTTTATTCCTTTAATGCAAAATTTACTTGATATTTTATAATACGAAGAATAGATACATTTTTTCATAAGTTTTACAAATTATCTTTTTATAGGTTACACGATATTTTCTTTAGACTTGCATATATATATCAATTTAAAAGCTATGTGGAGACAATTTATACGGCATAAGCTTGGAATAGATATGAAAGATAAGCGCAAAGCTCTTCAATTCAGGCAAAGACTTGCATTACTTTATGGTATTATAGGATGGAATTGTTTTGGTATTACATTTTACTTACTTCTAAAAGACAGAATACCATCAGATCCCGCAGAACGAAGTACACCATTTTTTCATTAATTCTAATTATGTTACAAAAACTGGATCAAAAAAAAATATTTATTCTTTTATAGGAAATGCATATAAATTGTTGAGTGGTACATCTACTAACATGCATGTATATCAAGTCACAGGATTAAATCTCAAGGAGTTTGATGTTAAATTTAGTCCTGAAGAAGAAAACAAGACAACTGAAATAGAAAAAGAAACTACCAAAGTGGATGAACATTAGAGAGGTAACATTTAATAATTATTTTTTAAAACTCATATAATAAAACCACTATCAAAAGAGATAAACTTCATTATTGTACAATATCTACACATTTATCGAGTTCAATACAATCAATTAATTATTTGTCCTAAAAAAAACTTTCGAGGAACCTTTCAATCAGTCGAGAAAAAATATATTAATCGACAGATTTCTCTCAAGGAAGAGATCTTCGTAAAGCAATAGCACCGGCATTATTATTATCTGATTCTGGATTCAATTCTTTCAGTCTCTGTTCCATTTCACACAATAATGCTGATCTGTAGCAAAAGCAGATAATGCAAAATAGATAATGAAATTATATAAGTGTCTAATATCACTGGATGTTTTTATTTTAGATTTCTTGATTTTACCTGTATTCTTCATAACGCATCACAACCTCCTCCAGTTCTTGTTTGTATAATCTAGTGAGCATGGCGTTGAAGCAATCCAGTTCGGGTAAGCGAAACAATTCCCAGCGTAACTTACGATCCAGAGCTATCGAAGCTCTACTGTACACATATAGCCAATGTGGTATCTCCTCGTTAAGATAGGGATTAGCCGGCACAAGAACGCTGTGAGAGTGAAAATGAGTATGCCGCGGTGGTGAGACGACACGCACCGCTTGTATTTCGTGCGGATAACACGGATGCTCGTATTGCGCTTGACGAGTGATGTGACTGCGAAGAATAGAAAAAAAAGTATTATAACAAGCATTATTGTAGAGAAATGTCTTCCTTTCTTTTCGCAAGATAAACACTCACTTGACATAATAAACTCCATATTCAGGCGATTCAATTCTCTCCCATCCTGTGGGTAAACCCTCCTTCTCAAGTGGATGTGACCAATGCGTGGTTTTGGTATTGTGATCGATGTAATATTTCCGACCACGGAGCGTGAAGTCAACCGACCATCCGGGTGGTAAAGGCAACTCTTCCTGCTGCTGTTCGCTTCGAGAACTCGATCTCTCGGAATGGCATCTGCTGTAACTTGTAATCAGAAATCGAGACTCATTAAAATAAGTATTTCCAATGGATATAAATTCCTTGATATCTCATAAAATGACACATTTTACGATATTAATCGGGAACTACCAGGAAAATCATTACCCAGCATTTTGATGATACATGGAGTGATTGTAATCTTCGTAACCAGTATCAATCTCGAAAGGCATGTAAGGCATCTGCGGTGTCTGAACTCTGTCCAAATGATATTCAGATCCAGCATACTGATTTATATAAGTATGGGACATTGCAGGCGACAATTCGGGATGATACATGGGTGTCGCAGTTCTTGAAAACATGCTGTCATTTATTCCAGTGTTAACAGAAAGACTGGCAAATCTATGGTAAGGATAAAAGGGACATACATTAAGGGAACATTAAGGGAAAAAAATATGTTGAAACGTTTATCTGATAAAATATATCTGATAAAGAAATATTTGTTTCATTTTTTTTAAGTTTAAAATCCATTTAAATATTAGTTTTATTTTTTGAAAAATTTTTACTCAAATCAACAGTATAGATTTATTTAACAATAGTATATACTTATATAAAATATTGTTTTATAAAACATCATACATATGTAAAGACTGTAAATAATTATTAATTATTAACCTTTGAGCTAAGTCTGGAACGGAACTGTTTGGAGTATATTTTCCCTCATGGCTACCTAAACCGACAGCACTGGTTGTGGTTTTTGTATTTCCAAACTTCTGCACCATACTAGGTTGTTGAGGAATGGACTGATATCAGAGAAGCATTGATAAAAATCAACATCTTCATATATACTTTTAATCATAGGACTTATTGAAAATGAGGGATATTGTGCAATAAGATTCATTTCATTGTTATTGAAAAAAATCATATTGCTAGGAATATATTCTAGTGCCTGAAAGAATGCCTATTGTCAAAAAAATTAAGAATCATTTTCACAAAATTATACAAAGTACATCCAGATTCAAATCATTTTTTTAGATAGATTTCTTATTAGAATTTATTTTTGAAGAAAATAAATTCTAATAAAAATAAATTTTAATAAAAATATGCAAGAAACCATTTCTTATAGTTGTATTCAGCATTCATATATATTCAGTAATAAAATACAAGACAATATTAATTTTGATAACATATTACACAATAGAATATCAAAATTAAATTTTAAAAAATGTGTATATATTTTGCACATATATATATACATATACTTTTTTAAAAAGATAAGAGAAAAGTTGATATCCTTGATATCAAAATGTATTAAATGTCATAATTTAATATAAAGTAAACTTGAGAGACATGTTTAAGAAATATTGAGATGAGCAGATTTTGTAGATCTCTATATTTTTGATTACATATTATATGTTACGATCATAACATATATGATATTTTATTTATATTTGTATAATTTACCATATTTGGCATTGTTGAATGGTTGTTGCGTCGTCTGGGCCTTCTGTTCGGCTCTGTTGTCCATACATTGATAACTAAATGCAAATAATAAATAATAAATTGTCTTATATAATTGACGTTTTTATTAAGAAAAGTAAAATAGTATTAGGAAATATGAATAGCTACAAAGACTGGACAAAATTACATCAGTCTTTCTGTAATTATTAAAAAAAAGAAAAGATTTATTTAAATGTGATTTTAATTCAAATAAAAACTTTTACAAACTATAATGCACTGTTAATATAAAAATATAAATATGCATATAATATTTAATCAAATCTGTTATAATGAATATGAATGTCATTAATATTTTGCAGGATATTTGAGAAAAATTTTATTAAAATTTGTATAAATATAAACTGTATAACAAGTTTATCTTGCATAATATTATATGCCAGAAAAAAGATAAAAGTATCAGAATTTTAACATGTAAAATTAGAAAAAAGATCATAACAAAAAGTTTGTCCAATATAAAAAGTATAATGACTAACAATATACCTCGTAAAAAAATTCCTTTTAATCTAAATTTTAAAAACATTCGTTCATACGCAAAGATCTAATAATATCTCGCCTATTAATACATTCACATTTGCAATTTTTGTCAATCATTGTTTCTTGAAATATAGCATATACATATCCATTGAATCGCAATTTATAATTTTTATAAGAGAGAAAGAAGCAGAATGTTATACATTATTTTCTTTTTAGTTTAAATAATAAGCGAAAAAAAGAAAGAGAGAATAAAGAAAAATTGCGAGATTTCTACTTGGCATTTCAGGTGGTGTTTCTTTCTTCACATATTTGCCGACCACTCCCTCCTTGATTGTTCGCAGATCTTTGTTTTTGCGCGACAGCATGTTGACAGCTGGTCTTGATTGACAGATTACAAAATGTCAAACGCGAGAGAAATTCAAAAGTAATAAACCTAACCTATATCGTCTTAGTTATATTAATGTAAAAAAAATGTAAGAATGCAAAAAAACGAACATTATAGTCGTGTCACGATGACTCTTTTACAGACGAACTTAACAATGCAATTACGAAATGATTTTACATTGTTCGAAGTAATCTTTAACATCACTTGCAAACATCACTGACAATTATTCAAACGGATTTGCGTGAAGCTGAGAAAATTTTACATATCGCAGCCAGATAATAGTCACAATAGCTGCGAATGTTATAAATGTATCCTAAAACTCGCGCCAATTTTTATCCTCTTTACGTTATCTCATATGCTGTTTTATGCCTAATATCAGTTGCGTTCAACAAAAAAAGTTTGTAAATTTGCAAACTCTTGTAAATAATCATGAATCTGATTGGCATATGCTCTTAGATTCAGGCAAAATTAATGCAATTGATGCCAATTAGATTTACGAATTTTATGCAGTTGCAATGCAGCTTTTTCTGTTGAACGCAGCTATTGAACCGATCAATCGGAGATCGAAAATTCAATTCGTGACGTTTTGAATTGACAGCTCACTTTAGGAAATTTTATCTTTTGTCAAAATATATTCCTTCAATATCATGATGGCCAATCGAAATTCTCGATTGCTTAAAGATCGTATAACACTACGAGTTGCGAGCTTCATTACAGTTGACCAATCAGAGCAAAGCAACTTGTCTGATTGGTCAATCCACAATTGTCAAAAAATGTGATACGACCTCAGAATCTATCTCTTTCGATTTTATCTCTTTCCTTTGGAAAGTTATCGGGATCATTTCTTGCTGAAGTTTTTTTTCTGTGATAATTTTTGCATGTGAATAATAAGAAGTTTAGTAAAGCTATAAGCAAATTGGCCAATCACAGTCAAATATTCTTACTGCATTTGAAAATGCTTGACTTATAATTTACCATTTCATTTTTATGATTTTTTGAATTTCAGCCTTTTCACATTCTTTTGTTTTGATACTCAAATTTTGAATGCCTGACATGACAACAAATATATTGCTTTGAGAAAACTAGGAAACGGAGATGCATAGTTTTATAAATTAGCTTTCAATTGAAATGTATAATTATTGAAACAAGATGAATATAATTACAGCTAAGGTAAACTAATTTCTGCAATGCTCTAATTCGCACGAGTTCTGTCCATTTAAATTATTTTTTTTTAAATTATCCGAAAGACAGCTCAGGAAGATATATGTACATAATTTTTTGATAATATGCGTTATACATGTAAATAAATATAAAAATAATACATTAATTAACAATAAAAATTATTCAGGTTCTCTATATATTGACATGGACTTTTGTCGCGAGTTATTATTTTGCGTGGGGTAGCAACCAGCCGAGCGTACCTGTTACATTTGTTGATGAATCCGGTTGGTATCCAGATGGAACTTTTGCGAATGAAATAATGCAAGGAATAGCAACGGAATGAGGAAGGATAAGAGTATCAAGCAATGCTTACTTGACATATATGCGTTAATAATTGTACTAAAAATTCTAGAGCAAAATTAAATTTATACAAGATATTTATTTTATCTATTTTCCATCAGAAGTCAAAATGTTATTAATTAACTAATAATAATTATAAGAAGTCAATTTTAACAGGAATATTCATTTGCGTAAAATCTAATATATATATATAAATAATGTATTATACTTGCTCTACTTGCTATAATTCCTCAATCTTGAGGAATCTCCTCAATCTTGAGATCTCTCTAAGATCTTCTATATGAGCATTTATATATCTAAATTTTTTATATAAAGTTGCCATTTATGCATTATCTCTCTCTCTTTTTCATTCAGAAATTAAATATATACAAAACGGTTTTAACAACAAATATATGTATATACATATACACATGCATGTGCACATAATATATGTATATATGTGTGTATGCACATATATCCATATATCTATGTATTTGTGTATATATACATATATAAATATATAAAATAAAACTCTATATAAATTTTTATTTTTATTTAGTAGTAATTAGGACGTTGCGTGTTTTTCATGTATGGGAGAACTTTCCTCATTCTTCCCATTCTCTTGATTATTTTCCAGCTGCGCTTGCCACATTGCGTGATAAATACCGTCATATGAAATTAATTCTTCATGTTTACCTCTCTCGACGATTTCGCCGTCTTTAAGGACGAGGATCTCGTCTGCATGAATTATCGTGGATAATCTATGTGCTATAATAATAGTAGTTCGTCCAGCGCACACTCTATTTAATGCCGCTTGTATATTACGCTCCGCCTGTGTGTCTAGAGCACTTGTAGCTTCATCCAGCAGTACTATTTTCGGTGCTTTCAATATTGTGCGCGCAATTGCGACGCGTTGTTTTTCACCACCACTAAGCCTAAGTCCCCTCTCGCCAACCTAAGAAAGAAATTAAATAGTTTAAGTTTATATGTTTAAGGTAACTTTGCAATACTGCAAGGAATTGATTACAAGTGCAATTTTATTTTTGAATATAAACCTATATATTTTAAATATATAAATATAAACCTATTTTTTTTATACAACAATACATCTTTAAATTTATCTATACTTGAAATATTCAAATCTGTGTTTAGCCTTTAGGCTAATGAAGATAAAACAGAAAGAACCAGGGATATATATAGCAAGTATAGAAAAAAATATTAAAAATCTAATTCTATCGTATCATATCTAATATACCTGTGTCTCATAGCCGTTTGGAAATGTGAGAATTCTTTCATGGATATCTGCGTGTTTTGCAGCAGCAATTATATCTGCTTCTGGTGCATCAATACAACCATACTGGATGTTGTATTTTATAGTGTTGTTGAATAAAACTGTATCTTGCGGTACGACACCTATGAGATAAAGATTTTTGTAAATTAATAAATAATCGTTAAGCAAACAAATAAAATTAAATTGATCAATAAAGTAAATCGAAAAATACAAAAATACCTATGGCACTTCTGAGAGACTTCTGCTTAACGGTTTTCACATTTTGTCCATCGATTAATATCGCGCCTTGTTCCACATCATAAAAGCGAAATAATAATCGTATCACGGTACTTTTTCCGGCACCAGATGGACCAACAAGTGCGATCGTTTTTCCCGCGGGTACAGTAAAGCTAACATTTCTGAGTACAAGTTTCTCGGGAGTATAACCGAACGATACATTTGAGAATTCCACTTGTCCACGCTTAACATCCAATAATCCGGCTCCTGGTGCATCTATTACTTCTTGATCTTCTCTGAGCAGATCGAACATATTTTCCATATCGACGAAATTTTTTTGAATAGCCCTTTAAATGAAAAAGATTAACAGATTACAAGTAAACGATTTGTTCGAAATGACAACTTACAATTAGAGTATAATTATAATCGACAGTAATTAAGTAAATAAATAATGTATGTTATATAAATCTGAGTTATCGATACTCATTTTGTGTATTACCTGTAATATGTTCCAAACCAATTTAATGGTACATAAAGTTGTGTTATATAACTAGCGAACAAAACATAATCGCCGACTGTTAAACCTTGATGAGCAACAACCTATGAGAAAATTAATTTATCAATATTAATCTAATTCATTATAATTAAAAGATACTTTTTTAATAACTACAACGCGATCACTAACCATATGTAAACATAGCAATGATCCAGCCAGTAAACCACCAGAGACAATGATATTTTGCAAAGTATTCAAAATATTCAATGTAATATTCGATTTCCATTCCTGTACTTGGAAATCTAAGATTGCATTTTTATAGCTTTCTACTTCGTACATCTCGGCGGTATAATATTTCACTGTTTCAAAATTAAGTAAACTATCAACGCTACGTGCTTTTTGAGCATTATCGGCCAAATTCATACGCCTCTGGAACTTTGTGCGCCATTCCGTGATTAGAATCGTGGCGGCTAAATTGACAGACAAAAATTTAGTGTAAGATCTCGTAACAAATTAAGAAATTTGTGTTAAAATATTACACAATTAATATTATGTAAGATTCAAATTAATATTTTGCGATCCGCTGATTTTTATTATAATAGTCAATCTAAGATTGCTTACTCTTACGCGATCATAATTCATGTTATAATTTTGATCACTGAATACAGGGATTGCAAAATATATTATATATTATTATAAGATACAATATATATAATCTCACGCACTTACTGATATAGAGAATCATAGTCGTGAAAACGATGAGACCAAACCATTTATTAAATGCACTGATGAAAAATATGACAGCTACCATAATATCAATAATTGTTGGTACAATCGAAAAAAGAATATAATTTAGCAGATTATCGATTGAATCTGTGCCACGGTCCATAACTCTTAATACTTCACCAGTTTTTCTTCCAAGATGCCACCGTAAACTTAATCCATGTAAATGCCTAAAATTTTACATCAAATAAATAAAAATTTATGTAAAATAAATAAATATACAAAATAAAATAAATTCTATTTTATCTGAATATAGTGGTAAGAGCAAGCTTAGAAATAAACTTTTAATATTTATAAAATATTATAGAAAATAATATATTAACTCACCTAAATAGTTCTATTTCTACTTCACGAGTAGTATATTGCTGAATACGAATCCAAAGAAAGGATCTTAAATTATTCAATAGACCCATACCTCCTGTACCACCGCCTTGCAAAAATTTGAACAATACATATATCAACACTATATCCCATCTATAATAAGAAATGATAATAATTGATTATTAATGGTTAAGAATAATATATTGATATAATGGATGAGAAAAATATATTGTGGATCAATAAATAGATATAAATATATATAAATATATATGTAAAATAAAGTGGAAAATATACGCACCTAAATTCTACAGGTTCAATTACAACACTATCTACGATCTTTTTATTATAGATTGGTACATAAAGATTTATCAAACGTCCAGCTAGCAGTAGCATAAAGCAAAATATCACTCTCAATTGAAGTAAGAAGTCCGACTTTGGCCATAAAAATGGTGCCAAGACTTTTGTCTTGTACCACAGATTTACCCATGTGGAAACGTTATCATCTAGTCTCTACAAATATCTCTGTAGGAATTAATACTTTTCCAATAATATATGCTATACAGAATAAATAACTTAACTACTTACTCTTTGATAATATCGTGATTGTGTGACTGAGCCATCAATAAGTGTATGATAATCAGAATCGAAGTTACCAGCAATACCAGGAGCTCGTAGACCAAGAGCAAATATTAATAGATTACAAACATAACGCAAAATAAACAAACCCATTTCAATCTGATCTGTCAAACTGTAAAAAAAATTAAATTGAATAAGATCAATTGACTCTTAGGAATAATACTTTGAAAAAAAGAAAAAAAAAAAGAAAAAAAATTGATTTTTTATATGCTTTATTAAAATTTCATTCATACACCAAATAAATCTACCAATCTATTTTTTTCCTTTTGTAAACTCACGAATTTAAATGAAACCACCATTCTAGCTTGCCAATATTGATGAAAACAAGATTTTCACCAACAAATGCCAAAGTCCAAAAACCTAATAGCACCAATCCATGTCCATGTGGTGGCACACTTGGTAACAATTTATGTCGTTCAACTTTTAATATATAGATGGAATATAGATAAACAATTACTGTCAATACTGTTGTAAATATCTACAAAAATATTAACTTTTATTAATAATTATTATCTACTAAGATAATTTGAATTTATCGTATATACGAGAATAAATGACTTCTCTTTTTAAAAACTTTATTCAATTACTCTCATATATATGTTCTAGAAAAAAATTTATATATATATATATATATTTATAAATTCAAGATAATAATCAAGAAATATATATACAAAGATTTAATTCTATATAAAATTCAGTATACTTGTACATATATAATAAATCTCACCATATATCCATACACTTTCCCATCGTCCAACACTGTGGCTTGTAAAATTATTCTCAGTACACTCAAGAAGGGAACAAAGTACAAGATAAACTTTTGCAAGTTATACAATTTGCTTCTTGGCAACGTACGCTCATCAACATCCGTTCCATACTTGTAGTATATCCATAATTGGATGGATCCAAATATAATTAAATATAAAAAAATTATAGCCGTACTGATAGTATCCATAAAACACTTGGACACTCCATGATCTACCCAAATCTCATTAAAAGTTATATTTGGCGGACAATAGCTCATTGTTATTTCATCCATATTCACTATCACAAATTGACTTGAAATAATTTTATATTAGAAAATTATTACACAATTCATCATTTCTTTCCTGTGCACATTTTTGCATTATCATCCTTCATAAAACTCAAAGCCCCATATATGAGATATGTGAGAATTCAAATTAATACATCTAAAACATAATTATTAATATTCTTGTCTTAATGCGTTTTTTATTTCTGTATTTGATATTAAAAACATTTATACATACTTAACATATAATAGGTATTTCTCATCACGATCGTATTACACAAAAATATGAAATTTATGCGTTGATAACTTTTTATCCCGTGCTTCTTAAAGGTGATATTACACTTATGCGTTAAAAAGAGTTGTCAAATGTATGATTGGTTGTTGGATAGAAAATTCCTAAAGTCCCTATCTGATTGCACGAATTCTCTATTCCATAGCCAATCGCTACACCCAGCATTTCTCCTATATGAATGTAAACCAGCCCAATTACACGTATATGCTTTGCATGTAAAAAGCCGGGTGCGACCAAACGCGAATACAAACGATTACGAACACGATTCTTCTAAAAAAACATTTACGATAAATTTCAATTGTTAATAATGTCAATGTTTAATCTAAAATCACTTTAATTTGAAAAAAGAATCAATTCATAAAAAATGTAATTTTGTTGAAGGTGGATATAAAAACAAATTTTTCAAATACATTTATTTTTATTACACATACTGCATTAAAATAACTGATCAAAGTAGAAAATATTTGCAATTACTTGTTTCTTTTTTTTCTAGAGAATGTCATGTTTCATAGACATGTCAAGTGAGTTACATCTTTAGATTTGATTGCTAAATTACAAATACACAGGGGAATATTTATTGCAATACTTTAGCAATCCAAAATAATAACTATATACTGTTAGTTGATTTGTTAATAGATGTATAAATCGTACATAGAGTGCTAATGTTGAATGAGAATAAAATGTATAATGTGAAAAATACAATATACATCAATATACGATATATACCAATTTTAAGATTGTGCAACAGCTAACATTTCTTCTTGATGAATTAAATGTGTGGTATGATTTACAAGACCCATCAATTTCGATAATGATGCAGCCCATGCATCTAAAAGAGCAGCTGGTTCTTGTGTACCAGTAAAACGAACTACACCAGCTGGACGATCCGTACGTGCACTGATTACTCCAGTTTCTACTAAATTGCAAAGACATGCTTCTGTTTCTTCTGTTGGAAGATCAAGTAATTCGGCCATGCGAGTTAATGTAATCTTGGTATAATATTTGGCCATGATTCTAATATTCTAAAACAAGAAAATTGTTAAAAATAAAATATTATGTAAGTTTCTTTTTTTTTAAATAAGTATTGAAATAAATTGATCTTTCAATAGTATATATCAGAGAGCTTTAAATATGTTTCTAGTGTCATATAGAGACTCTCTTACATGTTCTACAACACGATTCCGTAAGTCTGCCCATCGTTTGCGTCCTTCCTCAGTTGAAGAAGAAAAGACTTCAGTTGATCTGAGATCCTTTTCATAAATTTCGCATAACCCCGACCATTTTATCAATTCAGGATTTACAAATAAACGCAATAATTCCCTATAAATGATTCATTGCTTTCAGAATCACAAATAAATGTTTTAAATATTTTAATAAAAGTAATTATAATCATTACTTGTATGTAGGTATTTCGTCGAGTAATTTATCGGCGAGTAATCTATGAGTCAAATCAGCCTGCTCAGGCTCATGCGGAGCAAGTACAAGATAGAGAACCGCTCGAGAAAGTGCAGTGTGTCTTTTCTCCGGATCGTCTCGAATCGTTGGTGTTTCTAATACTGCTCGATTATGTCGACACAATTCCAAATGCCAACCTTCGTGACGAGCCAGCTCCATCATCAAACTAAACATAAAATACGACTTCTCACAAAATAGTTATATAATAAATTTAAATACAAAACACACAGTGCGCATACTCATAATATTTTAATTTCAAGGCCTGGGTCTCCTCATCATTCTCGTCAGTGAAGAATTTAACATTAATTTTCTTTGCTATGATTTGTGTTCTCATAAAATCTTGTTTTGCCAGACAAAGTCTCATCTGTTCCAAAATAAGGGAAGCTTTTTCTCTACGTGACATACTGCCATATGTTTCCACCTATATGCAATATGCTATTTAATATTTTTTCTAATTTGTATAATTTATTACTAATTTTTATCAAAGTAATATTTAAAAAAGATTTGTTACTACAATATATTTCTTATTTTTGTTATTATACAAACAGCAAAAAAATTTATTAAAAAGTATTATTCCCTATAAAAATTATTTTGTTAAATGTACAAATAATTATCTATCAGATAAGATTAATAAAATATATTTATATGTTAACAATAATCTTTTCACAAACTATTTTGCTTTATCTTATTTGGCAATATTACTTAATAATATAGACTTTTTTCTACAATAATAAATAATTATTTATATGAAGCAAAATAGATTGCTGTATACAGGATGTCCCATTTTAAATAACGACTTCAAATATCTCCCGAATAATATGTTTTACAGAACAATGTTTCAGACAAAAGTTGTATGGTTTCGAGAGGGCCATATGATGGTACCATTGGACCTTGAAGAATCATTTGAAGGTCACTTCAATTTTTTTAAATGGAACACTATATATTTTTGCACATACTTGTAGCTCATCTCGAGAGCTTTCCAGAACACTATAATTAAGTTAATTTTCAATAAGTACTTTCCGAGTTATGAGGCTTGAAATCATTCCTTAATTTTACATAAACCTTAATATATCTAGTAAAATATTCATTTTTCGTTTATCTTGCCTTAATACTTTTATGTACAAAATAATGAGAAGAATGAATTGGTATAAAAAAACATAGTTATTTTTAAGAAAAAATATGTAATTTACAATTAACAATTACGTATTTTTTCTTCGAAACAACTATGTGTTTTTTATTACACTAATTGATTCCTCTCATTATTTTGTACATAAAAGTATTAAGGCAAGATAATCGAAAAATGAATATTTTACTAGATATATTACGTAATATTATTCATGTAAAATTAAGGAATGATTTCATGCCTCATAACTCGGAAAGTACTTAATGAAAATTAACTTAATTATAGTGTTTTGGAAAGCTCTCGAGATGAGCTACAAGTATGTGCAAAAATAGTGTTCCATTTAAAAAATTGAAGTGACCTTCACGTGACCTTCAAATGATTCTTCAAGGTCCAATGGTACCATCGTATGACCTCCTCAAAACCATACAACTTTTGTCTGAAACATTTTTCTGTAAAACGTATTATTCGGCAGATATTTGAGGTTGTTATTTAAAATGGGATACTCTGTATGTATGTATGTATGTATGTATGTATGTATATATATATGTTATATGTATGTATATATTCTTCCTGTATTATAAATTATATACCTGTAATTCAAGCATTACTGCTGCAGCACTTGCAATATCTCCTTCTGCCTCTTTTATTTTAGCTAAACGGTGAGTGAGCCTTGCTCTTTCCACTTCTACATATATCTATTTCCCATTTAATATAAATATTATATAATTAATATACAGTATAAAAATTAATAAAATCAAATACTTTAAGTTGATTAATAAATTTTGTTCTTGTTAAATAAGTTTAAAATACACTAACTGTTTTGACAATGTAAATAAGATGTAAGCAGATTTCAAATTTATATTTCAGAATTTAACCATGAAAATAATTCCAATATATCTCAATGTTAATGCTATGAAAAATTATGAGATTTCTATTTATTTAGCTTGAAAAGTTAAAAATATATTTACCTTTCCTTCTGTGACTGAACGAAGAGTTTCAATCAGTTTGACCATAGTTTCTTTATTAGGCATTTTGTCTACATAAGTACAACACTCTTGTACCATCTTTGTAACAGCTTGTTTAAGTTGAGAGCGTCTTTTTGATAATAAAATTATATGTTCATTGAGCGCTGACCAATTCTTTGCCTCTAAACAAATTTCAACTATAGCCACAAGAAGTCTCGACGTTGATGCCATATCAGCACCCTATATAAAACAGTTTAGAAAAAGTTTCTATATCAATATATACAAGTACATTTATTTATTTTATAATATCAATATACTTAACAGTTCTGGTAAGTTTTTCTAAAGCTAATAATTGATCTAAAGCATCATGTAGCTTTCCCTCAGAAGCAAGCTTCTTGCATTCTGGTATTTTTGTATCGCAAGTACTGCTGTAATCCACTTCCATCTTCACAAGTCTGCCAGAGTTGTCCATCGCAGTGTCTGCCATACTGTTTCTTGATCGTATTTAAATAAGAAATAATAAACAAAATAAAGAATTATGAAGGATAATATATATTAAATATTCGTTTTAAGAAGGTTAGAATGCCAATTTTACTCATTTTATATTGATTACAGATGACGAGAAAAACGGATAAAAATTTAAAGATACATGAATTCAATTGTAAAATAATAATAGAATTAGCAAGAGAAATTGATACATACCTATGTTGTAAACGATATGATGAGTTATATATAAGAAATTAAACACCAGTTAGTTTTTGCCAGTGTTTAAATAGCTTACAATAAATTATAATATTTCCAACATAAGAATTACAATTAAATAAAATATATTTTTTTTACTTTTTGCACAAAATATTATTAAGTATAAATTCAATTGATGTCGAATAATAATGAGAAACACAATCTCGTTACTGATCTAAATCGATTGTCACAGTTTATGTCACGATGAAAAGCACGACATGATGTGGCACTACAAGATCATTAAAATCCTTGTCATCCTTGTCTCGTGAGAGAATGACTTAATTCATAGAGATGGATACATACATTCTGGAAGGATTGCTATTTCTGTCAGAAATCAGCTGATTGGTTAATATTACACGATATTCTATACTGAAATGAGCTATCAAAAATGCGTTCGAAAAATCTCCCTGTAGATTAAAGTGACATTAAACCAAACAATTAACAATTACGTATTTTTTCTTCGAAATAACGATGTGTTTTTTATTACACTAATTGATTCCTCTCATTATTTTGTACATAAAAGTATTAAGGCAAGATAATCGAAAAATGAATATTTTATTAGATATATTACGACCAATCAAGACAAAGAAATCTCTACTCCTTTTCTTCTGATTGGCCAATTAAACACTATTCCATCCCATAGATAGGATTTTCGGGAGTCCCGTTTGACCACGTTGCGATTGACCACAGCCAATTATATCGACCTGTGCCTAGGGTAACCAGCAACGATTAACCAAACAGAGAGTCCTATTTTGAATTGGCCAATTGGCGACGTGGTCAATCGGGTGCCACCCGGATTTTCGACAAAACCCGACCATTCGAAAACACCATTAAATATGGCGATTAATTTTGTCATATGTGGTCTGAGATTCGACCAATCAGATGAGAGTTTTTTATCCTATTCGTTCTTAAATGCAACATTGCAATTTGTCTACGTCGATTAGAGCCGACGCGTGATTGAGCCAATCAGCGACGTCGTTAAGCGATATCGCCAATCCAGTAAAAGCGTCTCTTCAAACAAAATTTTAGAATTAAATGACCGTTTGCGTGAACGAGTTGTATGATACGGACGAGCGTGCGGAAATAATAAATATTGCGATTTTATGTTTTTTGTATCAAATTCCTTTACCGTTGATCGTTTAATTTATATTCTCGACTACGTAAAACACGTATTTTTTCGTTTTAAAGGTGTCTTTCAACCGATTTCATGAGGTATGCTTGTCAATGAATGCAGTTTGTAAACGATCATTCAAAACTAAATTAAACGAAATGAAATTAAATGTAGATACGCAAGTTCTGTAAGAATATATATTGTATATTTTGCTTATATACGTTAGAACAAAGATATGATTAATTTATATTTTTGATAAAATTATAAATGTGCAATATATGCCTTCATCACTGATTTAATGTTTGCATATTCTTATTTTGAATATTTTGAAGCATAGAAATTATGTGTGTGAAAAAAGCGTTTAATAAACAAAATCAATGATGATTTTATAGAATCAATGATATATGTAAAAATTTGAAATTTGGTTTATTCTGCTTGTTTCATAAAATCATATATTTTAGTGCATTACAATTTGTATAGATTTTTATACATTTGTACAGATCTGTTTAGAACCATCAAATTAAAAAAATTTATAAAATTGAAAGAATTTATAAAAATGATTTTTTATTAAGATTGTTTTATACATTTAAAATATAATATTTTGAATAATTAAATTGAATAGTTAAATTACAAAACAATATTGAATAATTGAATAATTCTGTATAATTGTGTATCTTTCTTTAATACAGATGGAGAATACATTGGATTCAATTCGTCCATCGGGAAATCCAGAAGATATGTCATATCTCTTTGGGAGAGATCCAAGTATTTTAGCATACAGTCAGAGGCCAGTTCCATCAAAGGATACAAAAAAAAATTTACTTTCATTGTATGAAATAGAAGAAAGCCATTTGACTAATGAAAATTCATCTGAACGTTCTGATTCGCAAACCTTACAAACTATCAAAGTATACCTTCGACTTAAACCAGTTCCAAAGAAATTAAAATTAACTGAAGAACAGCAAGAAGCATATAAAATCATAAACTCTACTACATTAGTCACAAAATTACCATTGGTGGATTATAATACAAGTTGTATTAAGCAATCCAAAAGTAATGAGATTATATCCAGAAAATTTATCTTTTCACAAACATTTGGACCAGAAATCACTCAGTTTGAATTATTTGAGCAAACAGTACAACAGCAGATGATTGATTTTTTAGCTGGACATAATTGCACTATAATGACATATGGTAAGAAATATTGCACGTGTGTTATCTTGCCATATATATGAATATTTAATTAATAATTTAATTGTGTAGGTACTACAAATTCAGGAAAATCATATACATTGCAAGGAACCACTACTTCACCCGGATTAATACCACGTGCACTGGAATTTGTATTTAATAATATTACAACAAGACCTAGTCCACCTTATAAACCTTTGCATTATTGCGATGTAGTGAATCTTGATGCACTTGAACGTGCACAAGAACTTGAAGGAAAAACTAAATTGCTAAATTCGTTTAATTCTGTGGACAAACATCAGTACATGAATTCCTACAAACAAATGCAAAAATTATTGCAAGAAGAATCAGTTCGTCCCAGTGAATGCCATAATGCTCATTATTCAGTTTGGGTTTCATTCGCAGAAATTTATAATGAGATTGTGTATGATTTATTGTCAAGTGAATGCCAAAAAAAGAGGATGCCTTTAAAATTGGGGACAGATTCTAGTGGCAGAGCATTTATCAAAGGACTAAAAACTATTTATGTTAATTCAGCAGCAGAAGCTTATCAAATTTTAATGGCAGGGCAATATAATTTGAAAATAGCTGCAACTGCATTAAATGCAAAAAGTTCAAGATCTCATTGCATATTCACAATTATATTGTTAAAATATTATGCAGAAAATTTACCTGACACAGTTGAAGTGAGCACGTATGTATATTCTATTTATACATATTCTTTATATCTCATTTTCTCTGTTTTACATACAAAATATTTTAAAAATATATTATCAATCTTTATATTTTTGTGTGACAAATTTTAAAGAAAAAGATGTAAAGACAAATATTTCTAAAATATTGTTATTTTGTTATTTATTTTTATGAAGATGATAATTTTTTTTAATTAGCAAGTACAAAAAATTCATTGTTTGTAATTGATTATAAATAAAAAATTATATATATATATATATATATATATATAAAATATATATAATATGATATATATAATATATATAATATATATAATATAATATATATAATAATAAATATATATAATATATTTTTTTACATTGTTAAAATATTAATTAACTATTCAAATTGACTTAAATATTCATATTAAATATTCATATAGATTTTCCTTTTGTGATTTGGCCGGCTCAGAACGTTTGAAGAAGACATTGAACATTGGAGACAGATTGAAAGAAGCACAAAATATTAATACTAGTTTGTTAGTATTAGGCAGATGTTTAAAATCTATTCATGAAGGACAATTAACAAGAACAAAAACGGATGCTATCGGACCTTTCAGAGAATCTAAGTTAACTAGATTATTCCAACGAGCATTATCAGGGAAGGAGCATTTAGCTTTGATAGTTAATGTTAATCCTCTACCAAACCTCTATGTAGAAACTCAAAATGTTTTAAATTTCGCTGCTATTGCGAAAAAAATTATTATAGAGAAAAAGAAGCAAATGCAGAAGAAATTAAAATCGAGATTTTCACAAATAATTGCACAGAATGTACAAAAAGTAATTGATTGGGATTCTGCAGAATTGGAAAGTGTAGACTGGCAGTATCCAGATAATGCGGAAGAGATAGTTTCAGAATGTGCTACTTCAGACGAATATCTGGAGCTTATAAATGAAAATGAAAAATTAAAACAAGAAATTGTTACTTTAAAAAGGTCAGCTTTAATCCAAGATTTTCAAAGTCGACAAGAAATGGCTGACAAATATATTGCAATGATAAACGCACTTGAAATCGATTGGAAACAACGTATAAATGATGTAGAAACCCAACACGAAGATGCTCTTGAATGGGCTGTAAAACAAGTAGAAGAATTTTACAAGAGAAAATTAAATCAATTGCATAGAAATAAAAGAAGTCGCAGTGATTATAATGAAGAAGATAATGATGAAGATAACGATCTTGATTTAACTCTTGATGAATTAGGTAAAGAGAATTCACAACTGAGAAAAAAAAATGAAAGTTTGAAGAAGATGTTAACTGAATTAAAAGTAACAAATGAAACTTTAACCGTGGAAAAGAATAAAGCTTGTTTTGAATTGGGATTATCAAAGGAAGATTTAAAAGTAGCGAAAAATCTTTTAGAAGCTGCTCAGAAAGATATCTGTTTTAATTTGGAAGGTAAAACTTATATAGAGAAAATGGCAGCACAATTGCTCGCTAAAGATGATCAGATAAAGAAACTCAAAGAATTTCTCAATGAAGCAAAAGAAGAATATATTACTATTACGCATGACATAAAGAAAAAAGAACTTTGTATTGATGAGCAAGCAAAGATTATAGTTGAAAATGAAGACAAAATTGAAGATTTAGAGTCACAGCTTGATCAAGTCAATATTTGTTTAACAGAAAGAATCAGAATAATTGAACTTCTAGAAGAAAGATCAGAAAATCAAAATGAGAAATTATCCAATGCTGAGGATAAAATATTACAACTGCAAAAAGAAATTGATCAGTTGAAGAAGGAAAAATCGCTTAAATTTCATTTAGAACAATCAAAATCATCAGAAATATCTATTCAAGATGAATATCAAGAAATTATTGTAAAAGAAGAATTGATTATTGACAATGCAACAGATTTAAATAATACCATAGAAAATATCCAGGACGAGATAAATACAAAAGCATCTGTTAATAAAACTGAAAGAAATGATTCAATTGACTCAAATTCTATAGAAGAAATATCTTTAAAAACAAATTTTAAAGTGCTACAGATTTTGCCGTCCAGTATTGAATGTAGTAAATCTATACAAACATTTGTGGAAACAAGTTGTCAAACGGATATAACAAATGATAAGAACAGTGAAGATAAGATATTTAGAGTGGAAAAAGATACTCAAACTACTGTAACAATAATGGTAGATATTCAAACTGATTGTGACAGACCTTTATTGAAAGAAGAAGCTATTCAAACTGTCGAAGTTGTGGATGATAATGCAAAGTTATTGAAAGAGTTGAGTATACAATATAATGATATTCAAACACAATATGAAGAAGAATGTTTGAAAGTCAAAAAGTTGACTGATAATTTGTATGATATAAAGAAGATAGTGCAATCTTTAAAAGAAGAAGATTGTTCAAATAAAACTATTATAAGTGAATATACACATTCCAAGGAAATGCTTCAAAAACAATTATCACTTATTACAGAAGAAAAACAAAAAGTGGAAGAAACTTTACTGAGCTCTAATAAGACTTCAGAACAAAAAATTGCAGATTACAAGCATGAAATTGATAAATTGAAAAAGAATCTTTCAGCTGCGCAGAATAATGCTCAAGAATATTTGGAAAAACTAGAAACAATTCGAAAAGAATTTGATAACTATATATTAAAATATAAACAGGAAAAAGAGATAAACATTTGTAAACAAGAATTTGTTTCAATAAAGGAAGACAATGATATAAATAAAATAAACCTAAAACAATTTGATAAACATGCAGAGGATGTGTTGCAATCGGAAAAAGATCTAGAAACTATCGTCAAGTTAAAAGAAGATATTGTTCAGTTAAACAAGAACTTGGAAATATGTCAAATGGAGAAAGACTGTACACAAAAGGCATTGGACGAAAATAATAAGAGACTACTGGAATTGGAAAATCGATTGGATAACACAACTCTCAAGGAACAAGAAAAAGATACCGAGATTACGACTTTACAAAAGGAACTGAAGCACATGATACAAAGAAATGAAAATACCGAGATAATGGAAGCGGAATTGAAAAGCACTATAAACGAATTAACTCAAACGAAAGAAACACTTTTGCAAAAAGAGCAATATGTCAAGGAATTAAATATCCGTTTAGAGAATTTTGACAGAAATGCAAAGATACTTAATTTACTCGAGGAGAATGCTAAGGATCGGCAACTGGAAAATGAACGCTTACGAAATATAAACGACGAATTAAGAAATAATTTAGCACAAAGGGAACGCGAGATGGATGCTTTCATGAAGAACAGAAACGAAACAATGACAAAGTATGAAATCTTGGTGAAGAACCAGCAGGAGGAATTGGAGAGGCAGAAGAGGGAAGTGACGAGGTACCAGGAATTATTCCGCAATCAATTAACACCTACACCGAATAAAGATGATTATAAGAAGTTGCAGAATCGTATAGAACTTCTCCAGGATAAACTAAAAAAATATGAAACTCTTTCTATTAATACAAAAGCGAAGGATAATACCACATCGGAGGATGAGGTCTCCGTCACTCCAGGAGTGAAGATGCAACGTCAACCGAAACGACGAGGGAGAAAAGTCGTTAAACAGGACGATATTCCGGTTATCGAGTTATCGGGTTCTGAATCGAAACGTAGCACGAGGCGCACCGCTTTGCCACCTCCAGAATCAGTCGAAAAGACACGCTCTCGTAAAAAGAAATTATTCCAAGAAAATGAATCGTTCACAGACATCGAACCTTCCCCGTTTCCAGTTACTCGAAATTTGAGAAATCGAAAAAAATGAATAAAAAGTAAATTGCATTGTAAATATATCATATGTATATGCTTAGAAAGGTCCACTAAAGAATAATAAGAATGAGAAAACAGAAAAGAAATACACAAAACATATAATTGTAGTATAGAGCGCTATTCTTTTTTTTTCTGTGATATTCAATAACTGGTAAAATAAGTATCGTACATATATTGTGTAAAAGAGAGAATGTGTCATACATATAGAGATTATTTTTTTTAACATAAGGATTATTACTACTTTTATAATTTTTTTAATCTCATTGTATATTTATTATATATATATAAATACGTATGTAGTATTAAAATATTTTATAGATGTACCAATAATTTCATAAGATAATTTCATATGTTCTACATTCTTGTTTTATAAAACAGACCAAAATATGTATATGTTTTATGATTACAATGATTTATCATTACAAGAAAATCTCTTTTATTATTCTATTTTGATTTTTCCATATAAATTTAAAAATTAATTAAAAATTAAAATCTTTATTACACCATGTGTGTACATACATACAAATTTCGTATTTATAAATGTCGCTCTTTTGTGTTTTTATCTTAGAATGTAAATTAAATAATAAATTTTGAAACATTCCTTATTGTAAGTATAATAAATTTTTAAATGCGCATAAACTAATCGATTTTAAGCAAGAAAAAAAGGTGTGCCTAAAATAAAATTGTTGCTAATGTAAGAGAACGATCGTTATTTTATTTTTAAGACTAATGTGAACATGTATGTTTTTTAATAAGTATTCGAATAAATTTTATAAAAAATAGAAATGTTTTACCATCAATCTTATTTGTTTTACTTTTAGATAATTTTTTGCTACATCGCGCAACATGAGGAACAGTTCAAATCTTGTCTTTTTTTTTTCTTTGAAATTCCCGCAAAAATAGCATGTAGAGACGCACTCTCGTGACTACAAGTGCGAAACTAGCGATTCTATTTTCCGTGCATCGACCAACATCGACAGATATATCGGTGGATATCGTTGGTGCTGTCAACGATCTCAGCTGACGAGAAGGAAAGGATAACATCGAAGATGGTAATTCGCTTTTAAACACATCCAACAACAACGCGCTCGTTATATATCGTAATATATATGTATACATCTTTTTTAGTCGTTCGGCGAAAAAATAGCATCGATTATGCAGAGGCCTGGACAAGACCCTGTTGCCAAGGATGATGCCCCTTGGTGGATGAAGTATGCTGGTCGTGGACTCGGTACTGTAGGCAGTATAAGTGAGTTCACTATCAATATCACACATGCAATAATTTTATTTTACACGTTATTTATCTCTCCTTTTCTTTATATCTCGTTTAATAATTTCATATTGTGTGTATATGTGTGTGTGTGTGTGTGCATGTAAGATGTATTATTTGTTTAAATATTCTATATGGAAAATATCTTTCTCTCATTCTTAGTCTGGTTATTTCTATCTCTGAAGTATTTTATTTTTTTCCTTTTTTGGTGTCATTTATATATATGTACGATTATATTGGCTTATATTATAGATATAGAAATTTATAGATATAGAATAGATATAGAAATTGACTTTTTAGGCTGCCAATTGTTGAAGCGCAATTTGTAGAAGAGTGATTTTTTATTTATTTACAGTTGCAATCTTTCTTGGAGCTTGGAATTGCGCATCAATATTCTTCGCTCAGGTGGACTGCTTAATTGGTGGTATGTGGCAAATGATAGCCGGTTTTCTAGTTATAATGATTGAAGCACCTTGCTGCTGCTTGTTCATCGATTTTGTACAGAATTTAAGTGACTGGGTAGAGAAGAAACCATATTGGAATAGAGCAGCTGTTTATTGTATGTAAGTACTCTCTTCTTTCTTTATTTTTCTTCCTACAATTTACAAAATACTATGAAATTTTAAATAATGTTACACATATGAACTATTCTTGTCTCTTTATTATTCTAGAATAGCGTTGCCTGCAGTCCTCCTATGTCCAGGACTGGGCAGTCTAATTGGCAGTGGTTTGATATTTACAACGGGTATAATATATGGATTGATGTCTCTAGGCAGAAAGTAAGTGATATATAATTTTTCTATGAACCTGATGAGTGGTATGATTTGTAGAATAACTGAACAAAAACTTTATTTTGATAAGACATTTTATATTGATAAAAAAAAGAAGGACATAAGTCAATCATTATTAATTGTGCCATCTGGAGTGACCAAATTTTCAGGTACAAACTGTATGAATTATATCTATATGAACAATCTTTTATCAAATTAGTTTAATTTAATGAAGCAGACTTATAAAATGCACATTGGAAACTGTATCGTCAATATTATCACCTTATAAGGCTTCATATATGTTTTGTAAAGTTATATTATCAAACTAATGCCAAACTAATTTTATTGAGGCAAAAAATTAATATGGCTATAAATTGCAAGAAACATTTACATTGATTTATTTTCTCTTAACTCAAAATAGCAAATGGCAATGCAGTTCCTAAAAAATCATATTTTTAGAGTTTAGAGAAATAGATGTAAATCACATTTATTTATTTCATCTATTTCTCTTATCTCTTAACGGGATATTTATCACACAATTTGATGACGTTACATTACATTTGTGTAAAACTGAATAATGTGTGATGTGCTTTTTCATGGTTTTTAATGCACATGTGTTTTTCTTATTTTGCTTGTGGAAAGGTGGAAGAACCAACTTTTGTATTGTGTTTGTCTTCATTTTAATGCTTTGCTTTGGTTTGTGTGGGAAAATATTTTTTACGAGATATTTTATAAAGACTCCCTTTTTTATGAAATATAAAAATATTGAAGAAAAGCTTTGTATCGAAGTTTTGACCAGACAAGATAGGTTCGGTTCTAATTTTAATCGTCGTGAGCAAAGTTATTTTTCATGAGCATTAATAATGAAATACTAATTTGTAACCTGATAACACAGAGGGTCCAGGCCCGACCCAGCAGGAATGACGTCGGGCGTGGGTTCCCCACAGGGTACAGTGCCTCCTACTACAGATCACCATACTACTCTCATGGAGGATCCTGATGTCTGGAGGCCTACATAAATCATCAAATATTCATTGCACCACTTCACTAACCAGGCAATAATATGTAATATTTAATGTTATTATTGCATCTAAAAGCTTTATAATTTCATTACGAATTCACACATTTGTGATTTACACATTTGTATCGTATTTTATTATATGATGTAGCACTGCTTTAATTTTATATAATTGAAAACATTTTTAAATTACGAGATTTGAAGATAATCTGATAACTTATACTTTATAAAATAGAGTGTCTTTTAGGCAATTAAATTGAGAGATAAAATTAATTAATATTAAGAAAATCTGATAACTTATAACTTTATAAAATAGAATGTCTTTTAGACAATTAAATTGAGAGATAAAATTAATTAATATTAAGAAACGAGAAGAAATAATATGATGAAATTTTAAAATATTTGTAAAATTTGAAAAATTTTATAAAGATTTTAAAATTTACATTTTTCTTAGTTAAAGAAATAAGATTTAGGCTTGCAATATCTCCAAATCTCACTTGGACATATTGCATCTTTTAATATTGAGTTAAATTAGTGATGTTTAGCTATTTTTAAGTAGCATGTTGCATTTCAATTTTTTATAAATATTGCATTATATGAAGTATTTTAAATATTGCAATATTTCTGCTTCAATTATGTCTATAGTTAATTTTTAATTACACACACACACATTATATTGCATTTATATATTATCTCACATATCTATTATTATATGTTAAGACTTAATTTCAGGTAAAAAGTTTTATTGCCAATTTGTTGTAAAACTATTATATTGAATTCTACTTTTATCTATGTTGCTTTAATAATTAGTAAATCTAATTAACAAATACATCGATATTTTTATAATGTATGTAAATATGCAGAAAGTAATCAATCTCTAAATATACTGACTAGTTTAGAAAAATAATAGAGATAATAGAGTATATGTAAAAATATTCAACTAGTAATAAAAAATTTTTCTAATATGTATAATAATTAGCTTTCAATTTTATTACACACACATACACACATATATATATTTAAAAAATTAGCGATTGATTCCTTTCTAAATTAATCTGTAATTATATTCAATTAATTATAATGCTGCTATGTTGTACTCTTGGCAGTAAATGCGCACTAATATAATCACTTCTATCATTATTTATTATTTAACTACGTTTATTAACATCCCATTACAATATTGGTGCAATTTAAGTAATATCTTCAATATTGACATGCTTTATTTAGATGTTGGAATCTCTTGAATGTTTGTAATTTGGAAAAGAATGCATTTGTCGACTCATATATTTAAGAATTTTTTTCACTAGTACAATTAATAGAACAGGCTGGTAAAAAGACATTAGATACTATATATTATAGTTAGAGGTATATGTGTCTTACTTTCTATTTCATTTTTTTAAAAACAGGAAAATTTAGAACATATTTATTTAAAATATAAAAATTTCTCTAGTTTCACCTTTCTATGATAGTTATTTTAAAAATAAATTTTTAAGGTACATACAAATAAAATCTCGTCAAGATAACTATAGAATATTAAAAAAATTATATTCTATGGTTAATTAAGAAAAGATTTTTTTTTAAACATGTAGTTTGATAAAATTTTAATTTAAATATTTGTTGTATACTTTAAATTGAATAATTGTATATATAATACACATGTGTATATAAACTCTTTGAAAAATTCCTAAAAAAATTGCTGTTAAAAAATATAAAATATATTGTAAAAATAAAATCCTGTTTTTAATATTTTAATAATATTATAATAATATAATAATATTATAATATATTAATAATATTATAATATATATTATATTATAATAATATTATAATAATATTATAATAATGGAATAAAATGCCAACTATTATGCCAATATCATTCTAATATTTTATATTAGAAAGATAAATGATAATTCTATATGATAATTTGTTTTAGCTGCAGAATGGCATTGGTTGTTCTTTGCAAAATAATACTTTTATATATTATTTCTATATTTATTGTTCTATATTTATTGTTTTACAGGGCCTGTAAAACAATAAATATACAATTAATTTGTGTATCATAATGAGAGATAGAAAAAGATAAGAATTCTTGAAAACAAGAAGATATTCATATTTTAGGGCGTCTTTTGGTGAAATGAGAATAGCAGCAATGGATACTCAAGCCCCATCATCAAGCATGCGGTCCACACTAGTTGAAAATTCTCAGTCGATCGGTTTGAGCAATACCCCAAGTAGTATCGTTTGATCATTAGGAATTAATTGGGTGAGCAATCTAATATTTTATGTGAATAATTGTGAGTGATAATTAATCATCTAAGTATCAGTAGCTAAGCCCACAAACATGCTTTCATTTCATTTTAGCTATGACGTTGATACATATTGTAATTCCAGTATTCCATAGATTTCATATAACATTCATCTTTAAGATAATATTGAATATAAATTGTATCATGGATGTACAGATTCAAACATATTACATATTACAATCTGAAAAGATTCTGAGAGAAATTTGTTGAGTCTTAATATCTAAGAGGGCTTTTTCTCATTTAATTTTGCTTTAAGAGTTAGTCGATTGACGAAAACACGTATGTATGCGTTTATTATGTCTTATGTTTGTAAACGTGAGTAAAATGGAATGGGATACATTACGAGAAGATAGTATGGAAGAATTTGTTGCTTCATTTAGAATAATGCCAAAGTCAAAGACTGTCATAGAGAATGATGTTGTTCATGGGCCTAGTTATCCATAGGCCCATTTGTCCACTGTAATGTCATAAGACGTTAACAAGCAAAACAATAGAAAAATGTAAATGATCATGTAATTTGTTTTTAATGTATAAAGTGCTTCGCTTTGGAGAGAGATGATTATTTTGTTACAGATTAGTTAAGTAAGCATATACTTACAGCAAAAACAGAAAATTGAATAATATTTTCGCTATTATTTCGCATTCAAATTGTAAAACAGATTATTTCTAGAATGTTATAAGAAGAGGAGAGCAGTCATAATATTATATCAGTTTTATGATCCCCTTTTATGTATCATATTATGTCTATATAGATAAGCTTCTCTCTGCCAAATAAACTATATATGCATAAAATTTAAATGTTTTAAGATAGCATTGTTACACATTTAAACGGTTTTATAATTTTTATTGGATAATTAGACATCTCAGTTTGATCTTTACATATATATTATGTAGCATATAAGTATATTTACATCTCACAGATTACTTTAATTTTTACATGGCATTAAGAGCAAAGAATATAATTAAGATATAATACTTTGTGCATATAATTATTCAAAATTACAACATTTTAAAAGAAATATCTTTAGAACTAGAAGCAATTTCTATGATTTTTATATAAAGTACAGATGACTTTATTCTACATAATATATAATATGTGAGATGTAAATTTTGCGATGAATAATTATCTTTTATTGTGTGTATAGTGCTGCTAATTAATTATATATGACCAGTTAATAAAACTATGAATGTGCAGGATAAATTAATGCTTCGATGCTTGTTTTTGATAGTTGTAATCTAAGGATTTGATGAATAAAAAATACAAATCCGTTTCGTCTTTCCTTGCCATGTGTATTCGAATTATTTTATTTCATGCTGTTAAAACAGAATGATGTAACATTTCTGCGCGTATTTATATTAAAAGAAATACGCGCTGATATTTTATGCGATATGGCAGAGAGATTTAATCTTTGCTATTTGGCACATTCTTATATTGATATTTGATAAATTCTGTATAATTACAAATATTGCATATATATAAATTGTATTACACAAAAATTTAAATTTTAATGATAAGTTTTTCCATCTTTCTTCTTGATATATAAATAAGTATGATATCAAAATAAGTAAAGCATTTCCTTTAATAAATTCCTTGCTCAATTTTTAAATGATATACTTATAATTGTGTGACACTCTGTATATATGCATTAAGTTTTACAAATGTCTAACATACGGTTTCTAATATTTCATTTAAACAATAGAGAATGTGTATGGATTTTGTAAGTAATAATTCTGAAGTCAATTGAAATTTCAGATATTACAAGTAAAGGCATTTATGGCACTTAGTACTTTTTGTGTCAATATTTTGATATTTTGTTTTGTTCTGAATTACTGATGTTAAATATGCCAAAAATGCTTTTCAGAATTAAATCTGAATCCATCTGAATCAAATTCCGATTAATTTATTGATAATTGCAATATTTTAATATATATGGAAATATTAACTTTTTGTCATGTTTGACATATGAACGATTTGATTAGGAATGAATACAATTCGGAATTTTATAGACAATTCTATTAGTTAAATTGATTATCCCGAATAAGTTGATCGGAATTTTCAAAATGATATCCTTAATCATCATCATTATATTTCATTATCATAGTTCTACTTATTTGTAATATTTCTACTGATACTGCTTAAGAGTTTCTTTTGTCTTATATTTAAGCTAGATTTTATTTTGCCACACATTCCTGTTTATTTAAGAAGAAAGACAATATGTTTATATTATTATTTGGCTTTTACTTGATTTTCACGTCATGATTAAATATATCCATTGTTGATATGATTCATATAGAGGTAATTATCTAGCTTGTTTTATACAATCTTTTAATTATAATTTATTTCGTATATATTGAAAAGTGTGATTGTTCATAATAAAATAAATTCTTATGATTAATACTGTCCATGTACATAAATGCACATACACACACAAACGTACAGTATAAACACACAATATACTATCTATAGAAAAATACCGAATTGCATTGAAAGTATGATGTGTCTATTATACAAGTATATACAGAATATTCCACTTTTATACAATAAATTATTGGTAAATTTTTCTTAATAATTAAGAGAAATGTTTTTAATTAAATTTTAAAAAATCCTACTATCCATATATATTAATAGCTTTTAAGTTATAAGTAGTTAAAAGTAAAAAACTTTTTTGTGAATTAAACTTTTTTATCAAATTAAAAAAATATTAAAATTTTATACTTCATTTCTTAAATTGATTGTTGAGTGGGAGAAATTTTATCATTAGAATTTAATTTGCTTTACAAAGTTTTTCATATCAAAATTTGAAAAATATATTATTATATATTATTACATATTTTCATTACAGACAAATTAATTAGAAATTTGTTATATGTTATAAAATTAACATATAAATGATGTTAAGTTACTTGGAATATTTTGCATATACTATGTATTTAAGTTCTGAAGATTAGATTAGACTAGAGTGTATTAGAATATTGAACATTATCATTATTTCACAATTAATGAATAATCGAGAGAACAAAAAATTTAAGAATATAATAGAAATTTGTTATTTTAGAATTATTATCAAACTGCCCTGTTATTTTAGAATCTCCTTTCAATTCTATTTTCATTCTATTTTAATTACTATCTAAAAATCTTGTTCTTACGTTTTCACTTTGAAAATTCCCTATGTATGAAAACTTTAAGATTTATTTAGTATGTGTGATAATTTAGCACATTTTGTACATCTGGACGAATTGTTATTTACAATCAACGAACAAGAAACGTGTCTCCATCTGATTCCATCCTCGTAAGCAACTTTAGTCATATCAAAATCTTGAAAGTTTTTACGATCGTGTATACCTATTTGGGGAAAAAGAAAAATTATTTAGTCAAGAGTAAAAAAAAGACATTTGTAATTTTACCTTGACAAATGACTCGTTGATCAAACTCATCGATAAATATTTCTATATCCAATAAGTTTCTCATTTTCCTTTCTTTCACGAGATTATGCATAAGCGGATCGATTTCTCTATTAGCTACAGCGCAATGTAAAACCATGTCGCTTCTTATAAAACCTTGTTTCTCCACAAAAGGCAATCCATCCTTTGTTATTCCCATGTAAAGATACACTACTGTGGTGCCATGTCCTTTTGATGTTACTAAGCAGGACCAGCCATGTGGTATAGATACTTCTGTGCATACTTCAAGAAAATCTTCAAACAATATCTCATTTTCACTGACTGCATCAAATACTTTATTCTGCATATCTAAACAATTATAATTCAAGGTAGCTAATTCTTTATTATTTATGTATAAATCATTACGTATTAATTTTTTCATAGGTTTCTTTTTCGAATAAGAACGCACGGAATCGACATTGTGTTGCAAAGTTTTCATTGATGTCTCATCTTCAGAAGAATCATATCTTTCGATACTACATTCTGTTGCTTTATTAAACTTTTTCGCGCGAATTAATTTGCTAGATATCTGAGTTTTTTTTTTATCTTCATTCGTCATTATTTCTATGAAATCTGGATTGTAATTGTTATCGCATTTTAGTGTTTTAACTGATTCTTTTATCTCAGATTTTAATTTTTTCAATTTTGAATCGTTAATAGAGATATCTATGTCTTCCTTATCCATTTCCCTCGATAATTGTATATACAAATCATCATTTTCTTCCGAATTATAATCTTGTGATTTAGAATAAGTGTGATAATGTACATTAGTATTTTCATTTTCAGCATCTTCATTGTCACTTAAACTTTTCTTTCTTCTAGGTATTAAAAAAATCTCACTTTCTTCTGAAGTTTCCTCTCTAGGTGTCAAATTCCTGATATCTATTTCATGTTGACTTAAGCTATCTTTATTTGTTGATAAGTTATTAACCAAATGGAAATTTCTAATTGGTACAGCTCCTGGACGCAATCGACATTTCTTGTACTTGATCTGTAGCAAACAATAAGTAATCTTCAGTAATATTAACGAAAGTATATATTTACTATTATTTTTAATTAAGCATACTTGCTAATTTTGCACATATTTTGCATTCATCAAGCACCTTTATTACTTGCGGTGGTACTCCACTGATCCAATGTGTAATAATATCATTCTTGTGAAAATGTCTGCTACATACATATGTGTCATCTGTGACAATGTAGTTTTTAATTGCAAGAGCATTTTGCCATTTTCTGCGTGTTTCTGCATCTTTAGGTGCTGAGAAAAAACTATAATTGTTCTTTTTATAATTGCTTTCTTTACACAATGCACACTTACGGGTCATATTCTAAAAATATTAAAAAAAGCAAATTTAAAATAATTTACCCTAATTACAAAGAGAGATATAAGTAAAGAATAACTATTATATCCTATCACTAATTGGTTTTTTTCTATATTAGTTTTATATATTACTTTTATATTTTAAAATATATAGAAGTTTATGAGCCAAATACTGGATGTTTAATAAAATGAATATAATATTAATTAAATTAATTATATATAACATACCTTTTGCAAATATTTGTTTCAATATTTATAAATGTTAATTTTTCCAGGGTTATATGATAATCCTGCAAGTAGGACAAATAATTTTATAACTGTTTTGAATTTAAATCTTCTTTTGTATACAGTTGTCTATTTACAATATAATTCAAAAGTTACATAAGAAATTCTTAGAAAATATGAAATTACAATATATTGTTGTGATCAAAAGAATATCAACAAAATAGTATTTTCTGACAAATAAACTTTATTATCATCTAAGATATAATAAACATTTTCAATTGATCTTATTATTCCTTGATGGAAATAATTTTACAATTCTTGTATGTATGTGTATTTCTGAGAAATTAAAATTTTCAACAAATCAACTTTCTATAAATTTTTGAAAATTGGAGAAATTCAAATAAATTGTAGTGAGTTGTTAAAAAAATTTTTAAATTTCTACAATTTATGAACATTTTCCTAAACAAAGAAATAAATTGTAAAAATATAGATTATAATTAAATGTAACATGGTGTTAGTGGAAAATCTTCCCACATAAATTTATGAAAAATTAAAAAAGACATGGCCTAAATCATATTTTGACGTAAAAATTTACGTAAAAATAATTCAAAAAGTTATAGTTACATCATAAAAAGTTGTAATTTTCGCGTGAAAAATTGTTAAATTACTTTCATCAGGATTGTACGTACTTACTTATACATAAACGATTCATCTTTGTATAAATATATACATATTATTGAACAATGTTAAAAATGACAGGTATAGATTAATCTAATTTAAATTTCAATATCAATTTAAAACAGTTAACAAAAACATTGGCTCTTTTTATAGGTTAAACGATGTTTAGACTGACATTACATTCGTAGACAAAGCTTTTCGGCTATACCAATTGGTTATTAAATAGGGAATTTCTAGAATTCTGAGATAGGATTCCGGAAATTCTTTATCCAACAACCAATCAGTACGTCCAATACTAAATTATATACATCCGCCTCCTGACACTTCGTGTAGACTGACATTCTGTCAATTTTCTCATATCATCTGCTCGCTGTCAGATTCTTTTATTAGCTCTAACACGTCAACACGTCAACACGTTTCCATTGTTTCGTTTCCATTGGTTCGATATGTTGTATATATAGTGTTTGGGAAATCAAACAAAGTTAATTTTTTCGAACTGAGGTTGCGTTAATCTAATATTACTCACTGTCAGCAAATGTAGATATGTGTAATATGAAAACCGTCATACAAACGAATTTGTATCTTATATCCTCTTGAAAAGACTTCGGAGAAGAACATTACTATTCATTGCTCATTTTCACTGTCTTTCATCATTTAATGACAGTGAAATTTGGATTGACTGTTGGATCTTACTTTACCCAATCGATGCAAATTTAAAAATCATACTTACGAGGTATAATTTATCATCTGTGAATCTGATTTTTATTCAGTTACTTTGCATGAAGAGGAGTATTGAGTAAAAGATATAATATTCAGGCAGATAAAATACGCAGAATATTTTCTTATTAATTTCTCATTAATGAAATTTGTACAAGGTACAAAAATAATTAAAATCGTTGCACTGCAAAGTGATGTAAACGTATCTATAATATATCATGACTGTATCATTAATTAAATAATTATAGTAATTATACGTCCAAGTAAGTTTCTAGCTTTTCATTTAACAAAACGACGATTTTAATTTTCCTATTTTGCTCAATAAATTATATAATGCTATCAAATTTTATTCTTATTAAAAAAAACTTATGATTAATATATAGTAGATTATTAGTAGCAGAACTATTTAATTATTAAGTATATTTAATAAATTTAATGAGATTTTAAAAAACAGTAAATTTATTATAAGATTATTAAATATAATATATCCTGATAGGAACTGATCAGAACAGATATATTCAATCCAACAAATTTATTTTTATATCAGTCGTCAACAATGGCGTGGACAAGTTATCAACGTACATTAGCATTACTTCAAATAATTACAGGCTCATTTAACACTTTATCAGTTAAGTAAGTACAAATAAATAACATTAAGACATGGAAAAAATATATATTAGTGAATCATATAAATAACATTCACTTTACATGCTGAGGAAAAAATTTGACTTTAAATTTATTTAGATATGCAGATCGACAAGTGGTACTTGGAGAAGATCAACAACTTAGATATTTTAATCATCCTTTTATGCAATCATTATTTATGTTTATTGGAGAGGCTCTTTGCTTTTTAGCATTTAAAGTCTTCTATTATTATTATAATCGACGAGCTGTAAGTATCTATGGTTTTTGTTTCTTGAAAATGAATTGAGCTGTATTATTACTGTATTTATCATATTTATTTGTTTGCAGGATGGCTCTGTAGATAATAATGTACTCACTAAGGGTTCGAGGAGTTTTAATCCTTTCATTTTATTTGTACCTGCATTGTGTGATATGTTTGCAACATCCATAATGTACATTGGTCTGAATATGACTTATGCAAGTAGTTTTCAGATGTTGCGTGGATCAGTAATCATTTTTACAGGAATACTTTCTATTGGATTTCTCGATAGAAAATTGGGAGCAAGAGAATGGATAGGCATTGGTTTTGTCATAACTGGCTTAGCATTTGTTGGTGTTAGTGATATATTAACAATGGAGGACAGTGATATCAGTGCAAACTCTATAATCACTGGAGACTTGCTTATTATATTTGCTCAGGTAAATTTTCTTATTATTACTATCAATTGTTAGATTGATTAATTGAAAATTTATTTTTTTATAATTCAATTTTTTATATGTCAATTGATTTTTTGTTTTATAAAGAAACTTGTGACAATCTAGTCAATACAATATACATATTATTTTCAATTAATGTCATATAATTTTCTTATTATCAACTGTGAAATCCGTTTAATTTATAAGATATTTTTTAAAAATCTTTGATGTAGACTTTTGTAAATTATTTTTTAATCCTGTAAATACAACAGTATTCTTTGCATAGACAGTGTAAATTTTATCTTAGATAAATCATTATGATTTTGTGTTTCTGAAATATAATGCAAAAATATATTTCATCACCTTTTATTTTCAAATCTGCATTATGTGTAGATATCAATTAACAATTTTGTGCTATGTATTAAAGATACAATAAAATGCTAAATTAAACAAAATTTTATAAGATAAAATTTAAGCTGAAATCAACAGTTATTGTTAATTATAAAAGCTAGTTACAAACAAAATTAATAAATTTTCTAATCAATCAAGTTTATAAATGTATTTAAAGAAAGATAGCGATTATAGTTATGATTTAATTACATTGCATATTAAAACATGCACTAATAATATATGTATTTACTCTCACAAAATAATTTTTAAATTTCAAATATATAGGTAATAACAGCTGTTCAAATGGTTGTGGAAGAAAAATATATGACGCAACAAGATATTCCTGCATTACAAGCAATTGGATGGGAGGGTTAGTTTTCTTACATAATCTGTGTATATATTTTTCTCATGTAATTTGTCATTGTTGTGATTCAAAAACTTGATATTGATTTAAAATATTATCATTCTTATTTATTATAATATTTATACTCTCCTGCAGGTATTTTTGGATTTATCGGTATTTCTATTATTTTGATTCCTCTCAATTACATTACTGCACCACCACCTTTCGCTGACAATTCACGCGGTACGCTTGAAGCCACCGCGGAAGCTCTTATCGAAATTGGAAGCAGTAGTAAATTGTTGATAGCTGTTATCGGTTAGTTTATTATTTCTTTTTACCTACTTCTTTTTGATATTATTATATGATTTTGTTATTTGGCATTACAGGTATATCATTTAGTATTGCTTTCTTTAACTTTGCTGGTATTAGTGTTACCAAAGAGATGAGTGCTACGACGAGGATGATTTTAGATAGTGTACGAACGATCTTAATATGGGCTTTTTCTTTAGCGTTTCAATGGCAGGCCTTTCATTACATGCAGGTATGATTAAAGATTATACTATATATAATTGATGTAATAAATAAATATATATATATATATATATATTTTTATTATTACTATATACATTATTATATATATATCGAAAAATACTCCACATAAAAATTATTTTTATTACAGCTCATTGGTTTTGTGATTCTTTTAATCGGTATGGCATGTTACAACAACATCATAATTCCACAAATAATCAACAAATATCGATGCCGTTTAGGACGCCATGTAGTTGATGAAAATCGTATTATTAATACCGCTGCAGATGATTTGCAAGAAACAGCGTGAAAGACTATGCAATTTGGATATCCTATGCCGCATGATTTTCACTAGTATTATTTTCATTCTTCTTTTATTTTTATTAAGCGATGATTATTTCAACAAGATTGGTGATATTACGCGATTCGAAGATTATAAATAATTTCTTATTTATATCTTCTATTTTTATTATAATAAATACCTTTTTTTACTATACATAAAATAATCATACATAACTTTTAGTTTTTGTTTGTTTATAAATCATGGAATATAAATTTAAATTAGATAAATAGAGCTAGATTTATCCATATATATGCTGTTAATTAAAAATATTATCTATAAGGAATTCAATTGGAACAAATATATGTAACTTTTTTTTAAGTTTTATATATATATATATATCTTTACATATCTTTATATATCTTTGTGTGATAAGTTACAACACATACCGTGACTTATCACATATAAATAGGATCTTAAGTTTATGAATATTAATTCTGCGAATCGTAAATCGTTAAAGTTATCACAAAATTAATTTACTCTTTTAGTAAATTTTTTTGTTTCACGAATTAAGAAATTTTGCACGTAATACCACCTGTGCTCTTGATTTTAAATTAGCCTTCCTTATTATTATTGATGTATTATTAAGAAATTTTGAATTTCATATGTATACAATTTACATCAAATTTACTTTCAGGTATTCTGCTATACCTTTTCTACTGAATATGAATGAACCAAATCTATGAATGTAATAAATCTTTATATTGTGTATATTTTATTATATATTTTTATTACAATGATATAAAAGATGAAATAAACATATTTATTACTAAAAATGTTTATGTTTATCTTTTCTTTATTACAATTACATGCAATCATACTCTTTCTGTCTGTATAAATCAGATATTTTTTTAATTATCAACTCCTGTAGATTTCTTGTTTTTAATATCTTATTTTATAACAAGATATTGTATTTAAGAGAATTTTACAATAATGGGAGAATTATGAGAGAAATATTTAATGATATATGAAGAAATATACATAAGATATAATTTATTATTAGTGAGTTTTAATCCAAATAAAAAAAATTTTATGATTGATTCTTTTTATTTATATATATTGTCTAATTCAATAGCTAGATTTAAAAAAAATTTTTTTTAAATATATATATATATATATATATATATATATATATATATATATAAATTAATTTTTACACTTTTCTATCTAATAAAAATTTGTATGTATATGATTTAAAAATAATATATTGCAACTAAAATTTCATTTATTTATAACAAAAAGTCATTAATTTCCTCTCTCATACTTTTTAAGGCTAATCTTTGTTGAACGGCAAATAATAATGGAATTGGCAAGATACTTAAAATCTCCGAATTTCGAAATATTAATCTGCAACTATAACAGAGGTACCTCCAAACATCTTCTGCAGTTATTTTTGTCTTATTGTTTTTACAACACTCGGTGTTATTATTACAGTATATTTTATCTTCCAAGCATAAACTTGTATAATTCGATTTTTCATTTTCTTTATCATTAGAAGTCTTTATCTCAATATTAGAGGACATTAGCTTCGAAACTTCAATTGCTCTCATGGCGGATACTTCCTCAGTAGAAGATGTAGCATCCAATCTTGCGTCACACAACACGCAATTATCTTCCGCATTTTGTTGCGAGTTGATTCTCGGACTTATTTTTTCGGCTGTACGAAATATAGTAGATATTGTACCAGAGAATTGAGATTCTAGATCTGCTGTAAAGTTGTGTGCTAACGCTTGTATAGAAGTTGCTAGTGTTGTCACATTGGATTCTCTCAATTTAATAGATTTTATCTTATAGTGCTCCGAATAATATACTAGTTCTTGTTGTGTGAAATTTCTCAACGGTTTAAGTATCTTTACTTCGTCACGAGTGTCACAGAAGTTTGCGAGCGTAGAAAGTTGCGCACCTCGTCCTAAACATATATCTCCCAGTACTTTTGTAGCAATTTCCATAGCAGAATCTGCTACAAATATTTTATTACAACCAAGTTTTCGTGCTGCCAATATTAGCAATCTTCGACGTAATTGATTTAATAGGTCTGTTCTTGAAGTGTTATCTGGCAAATTGTCCAGTATTGTACACAGATGATCCTCGTGTTCATAACATATTTCTTGATCAATAGGTTTGATATCCAAGGTATTTTCTTCGCACAAAATTTGATTCAATGATACGGCATATCCATTAAATCCAGAATCTTTTATTTCTTTAGCAATTTTATATTTCAAAATGTTCCTTTCGTCAATCGTTCTTCCCATTATATCACCATCTAATATATATTAAAATTTTTTATAATCTCAAAATTGAATACAGATAATATAAAATTTACTTAAATACTTATCATTTACTTAAAGACTTACCATCTATATATAAAATTAATGTCTTAAAGATGAGTTTTTTGTGAGCAGACTGACTCATACCAGATTTAATAAGATGTAAGAGCACAGTGGAATTTAATTCACCTGAGTGATCGACCAATATTGAATCACCCTGACGAATAATTTTTGATTTGCCAAGCGCAGCTCTAAATTTATGATCTGTCATAGTAATAAAGCATGTTTTACAATAACCACTTTGGCCGATTAATAAGACATCAACATCTTCATGCCTGCACTTCCTGCATAGCGTTGTATTCCTGCCAAAGAAATATAATAATAAAATATATCGATAATATAAATATAATACTTTTTTAATTTAATTTTATTAATATCTGTTATTATTTGTGTGAAACTATACTAACGTTAATGAATGTTTTGTGTTTTTATTCATTTCATCATTGTTACCATCATATATGCAATCATTTAGCGAACACATGATTTCTTTTGTAACCTATCAAATAAATGTTTACAATTTACAGTTACAATTTGGAATTATAAATTTATACATTTATTTACAGATTGACGAAACTGATTTTAGGTTAAAATACAGCATATGATCGATCACGTGATCCACGCATGCTTATAGCTTACAGCGTGTGTGTGACAGGAATACAAAATTATAAATTATCATATCTCTTTACGGACGATAATTATTTCTTTAATAATACATAGAATCAAATATATTTCGTCCGAAATGTTTTATCATTTTACTTTTGGACAATTAATTATTTTATTTACATTGAAAAAGAGTAATAAAACAATTAAGTCGCAAAATTAATAATTAACATATCAAACAAATTAAGATTCTCTGAGAGATATATATCTTAATCAATTAATAAATAATTAATCTATAATCTAAACTACTTTGATATTTTAATTTCTATAATCTAAACTCATATTTCCCGTATATACAACGTACGTAAAATATTTCGGTAGCAAATTGACAATAATACGGTGTTTGGCCTTGACAGCGTACGGCACGTTATTGTTTACATATCACGGCCTTGTAATATATCATTCGTATGGCAACGCTCAAGCAGTAAAGTAGTGATGTGTGTGTACAAAACACTTCATAAAATTGTCGAATTCCTTTTCTAAATGCGATTAATATCGAAACGTATTCGCTTTACTTAATTATAATTAACGGTCATTAACTTTTGATAAATGACACGAAATTGCAATATCGTGATAAATCTTTATTAAAGCACAATTGTTCATTACTTCAAATAAAAATCAAAGCAATACAAATTCAAACTAAATACAAATTATAATTTATTTTTAATTATTTATAATTCTTTGATTATTGATTTTTATGATTTTTTTATTATTAATTTTATAGTAAGTGTTTCTCTAACAATTGCTTAGAGTCAAATATATTTTGTCCGATGTTTTAAATTTGTTTAAAATATCAACAAATTAATTATTAATTAAATGGTTGTTGTATTACGATTTTTTATTATTTTAATTTTCTGAGCTTATGATTCCTATCATAATGCATATATCAACAATAAAAAGAAGTGTTAATGGTAAAAATGATTTTAACTTCGTGTAAATATCGAATAAGTATTTTTTTTTTATATATTGTTCTCTTACAATATAAAATACGTATTTTCTTGTATAATTCCGCAATCGAGAGTACCGTGCAAAATGTCCTTCGAATAATTAATTAACTGTATTTCGCGAGTGAATTAAATGCCAGAAAATAGTAAAAGATAAACAGCAGAGGAAAAGAAAAATTCAAAAGAACATCAAGAGACAGACGGAACAGTGATTTGTGGTAAGTAATTTATTTATTCGTATAAAAACAAACTTCTCGAATCATGTTTTGATCTCTTTTCAGTGCAATATTAATAATATGCGTTACAGAGTGTTATACGATGGCATTTTAAATTATAAAACAATTATCTGTCTCTCGATGCGTGATTAACGCTAATTGTAAGTTGTATCTCGCATATAATATTTCGTTGCATTTTTATTCGATTTTGTTAGATTTCTTGGGACTTAACATAATGGCATTATTATACAATAATTGAAAAATTTATTTGGAGCAATATGCTTACCAGATTTCTGCAAGATACAACTTACAATTAACGTTATTTACGCGATGGATAGATAATTTTATAATATAATATGTCACTGTATAACACTCTGTAACACGTATTATTAATATATTGCACTGAAGAAGGATCAAAGATGGTTCGACATGTTTATTTTTATTAATGTAAAAATATTCAATTTAAAGTACACGACTAATTAAAAAAAAGGAAGTGTTTTTTTCTTACGCTCCAATTATCACGCTGTGGGTTTAATTTACCAATTTTGACTTAATTTCTAATTATTATTTTTTATTATTCGGGTCAATTTCAATTTTATTTAATTTATAAAATATTTTTTTATTAATTATTATATAGACATTTTAATATTTTATTATATATATATATATATATATATATATATAATATATATATAAAATATGTATGTGTATGTGTATTTTATAATATATCATATATTATTTAGATTTATACATAAAAATAGAATTTTTTGTTATTTATTATATTTTTTTAAAGTTTAAATCCAGGAAAATTTTTTTTTATAATTTTATGCAATTTGCAATATTAAATACTTGTTTAAAAGACAAATTGATTAGTAATAATTAGTGTTACAAAATCAATTCTTTTGGAGACTGCTTTATACAGAATAGTTTTATTATAAATATAAATATATTAATAAATATATTAATATATTAATTGAGTGCATTTGTACTTAATTTAATTTCTACAATTTAATATTTTACGTATATAAGAGTATATGTTATAGTATACGTAAAATATTGCAGCAATAAATTATCAATAATATCATGTTCAACTTTAGTGGCGTAAACAGTAACATGTTAATGTTTACGTGTTATGGTTTTGCTATTATTCGCACGGTGACACTCACGCAAACAGTAAAGTGATGCGAAACGGTTTGTATTGTTGAATTTCTTTTTTAAATGCAATTGACTATTTTCGTGAATGAATGCAAGTGCAATGAAGAATTCAAATAAGTGCAAGTACCATAAGGAACAGCAAAGAAAGGAAAAGAAAACAGGAGAATAGGTGGGTCAATAAGAGCTAAAAAAAGTAATTTATATAAATTATTTATCATTTATATTATATTTAAAATATACATATTTAAAATATACATTACTATATATACATATATTAAAGAAGAAGAAGCATACGATTATATTTTGGCATCGAAATATTATGATGCAAATTTAATTGCGAATCGACATCATAAGAAGTCAGTAATAAAGTCAGTATTAAAAACACAGAATCATGATTATTGCAATTAATGCGCTGTGATCTTTAATATTATAATATTATAATATATTATGTATAGTGTGATATATTATAATCTTAACAATCACTCTCTTATTATTTATTTATTAATTACGATTTTAATCAAATTAAAGTTTCTTCCCGTAAAATTTTAATTTGTTATAAATTTAGTAGGTTCTTTTATCTATTGCAAATTACGCTAGATCACTGCAACTTTGATTAAAAATAAGATCACAAAAAAATAAGATCATATTATTTCATTGAAATTTAGAATTATTTCATTGAAATTTATGCTACGTTGTATAAGTAAGTCTTGTGCTTTTCGATGGTTCTCGCCAACCACCGAATGCCCTTTCGATTTCTTGCGCCATAGCAATTGTCAAATAATCGCAACCTGGATTTGCGACGATCTAAACACAAAAAAGATACAAAAATAAAATTAAAACTAGGTAAATTAAAGACAAATTAATAAAACTTTATTTCTGAAACAAAAGAAATAAATTATTCAAGTAATAAATGCATGTCATTTGAAGTCAAAATAACATTATTTAACATTGACATTATTTAACATTGACATTATTTAAGATTGACATACAGATGGATAGATAATTAAAAAAAACTAAATAAGTTAAAAGCCAATAAAAAGTTAAAACGAAATAAAGATGCAAATGAGAAAAGGAATTTTTTTTGCATTTATACTCACCGTTCAATTCGCATTTAATTTCTTTAATTCCGATTGTTTAATCTTTTTGAGAAAGAGAGAGAGAGAGAGAGAGAGAGAGAGAGAGAGAGAGAGAGAGAGAAGAGAGAGGGAGGGAGAGTTTGTTCCTTTTTTATTTAAAAATGTAATTGTTTACTAATTTCTTAGAATTAAACAGAAAAAGAATTTCCACCTGAAGTCCAAGAGGCAGTTGATTTTTGTTAAAGCCAAGTGGACATTGTGTGACCGGCAATCCCAACATATTGAACATCATCATGTAAGTGTAATTACACACATTGTATAGACTTTCATGAGGATAATGCGCCGGTGAGGTGAAAGATGGAAAGATTAATACACCATTATCGCCCAACAGTTCCTAATCAAATGTATTTATATTACGAATATATAATATTTGTAGTAAAAAAAATGTTTATATATATATATATATATACAGGGTGTCCCATTTTAATGCCCCACCCCAAATAACTTTCTTATTTTTAATTTTAGAAAAAGATGTTTCAGACAAAAGTTGTATGGTTTCGAGGGGGACATAAGATGGTACCATTAATTTGATCTTGAAGAGTCACATGAAGGTTACGTGAAGATCATTTTCAATTTCTTAAATGGAACACCCTATATATTTTTGCATATTCTTGTAGCTTATCTCGAGAGCTTTCCAAAACACTATAAATAAACATTTTTTCATCAAGTACGTTTCGAGTAATGAGGCTTGAAATCATTTCTTAATTTTACATAAACCATAAAATATCTTGTAAAATATTCATTTTTTGATTATCTTACCTTAATACTTTTATGTACAAAATAATGAGAGAAATCCATTGGTGCAAAGAAAACATACAGTTGTTTTTAAGAAAAAATATGGAATTGTTAATTGCAAATTACATATTTTTTTCTTAAAAACAACTGTATGTTTTCTTTGCACCAATGGATTTCTCTCATTATTTTGTACATAAAAGTATTAAGGTAAGATAATCAAAAAATGAATATTTTACAAGATATTTTATGGTTTATGTAAAATTAAGAAATGATTTCAAGCCTCATTACTCGAAACGTACTTGATGAAAAAATGTTTATTTATAGTGTTTTGGAAAGCTCTCGAGATAAGCTACAAGAATATGCAAAAATATATAGGGTGTTCCATTTAAGAAATTGAAAATGATCTTCACGTAACCTTCATGTGACTCTTCAAGATCAAATTAATGGTACCATCTTATGTCCCCCTCGAAACCATACAACTTTTGTCTGAAACATCTTTTTCTAAAATTAAAAATAAGAAAGTTATTTGGGGTGGGGCATTAAAATGGGACACCCTGTATATATATATATTGTCTTTAATTTTTTTATTTATTTAATTTTAATTTATTTAATTTATTTATTTTTAATTTATTTAATATATATATATATATATTATATATATTGTCTTTATAATTTTATTTGTGATTTAAAGATAATATGAATAGAATCTACCTTAAATTGTTGTTTTAACCGCATTCTCATCTCTAATAATTTATTATATTTTGAGAGTGATAATTGCTCGCTAATATTTTTCATTATCCCAAAACATATGGCGGGAAAGGTATGCGGTGACATAAAAAAAATATACTTCAATGTTTCCACAAGCACACTTTTCGATTTCTGAAAAAAAATTTTATGAGAATATTTTATAATTTCTTTTACGAAAGAAATATTTACGGTTTATATTATACCTTGAAATCATCCGTGCGATTATATATTGAATATATATCTTGGATTCTCAAAAGAATAAATGCGCTTAATTCAAAAGATGATTTCATATCTTTTAAATTTGCCTGTAAATAATTGAAAATATGAATGTGATATCTGCTGATATATTTATAAATTTGTACATAATAACGTTATAATCTCTAATATATTTTAAATCGTTAATATTTAATTATTATAAAATTTAAATTATTAATGAATACACAATAAATTATATATAACACCTCATCAATCATTTTGATTTTCACATATATTATAATGAATAGAGTTCTGAATCATAAACATTTTCGTAAATTTTACTTATAAGTAAAGTATAATAATTTTTTATACAAATTAAAATTAATTTATATAATAAAAATTATAATTATAATATAACAAAAATTTTTATCACATACTTTTTGTACTTTGATATTATATGTCATTTCCAAGTATCTGATTAGTTTGTAAATTACATTTTTCATATCACTGTTCACAGAGTTTGTTACGCTCGAGCCGCAGTGATCCATGTAAAAGAATTTCATGTCTTTTAAACGTACCTGTACGATTATGTTACAATACTTTGATTAATTGTAATAGTTTGCAAAATATAAAATAAATATTCACATTTATAAATACATTATTACATATTATAAATATTTTATTACCAATATTTGTGATCACAATTTTAACAAAGCAAAAATTTAAAAAACTAAATTTCTTAGAAAAATTCTAACCTTTTTATTAAAGCCAATTCTCGCTTCATCAGTTTGCGATATTACTGTTAACAAAAGAGGCAAATCCGAAGCATATCTAACCATTGGACCGATTGTAAAAAAATAAGGCCAATTTTTGTCATTTGCGTCAGGCTTGTGACCCTCTACCGAAACCCAATCTACATTCAAATTAATAATTTTAATCGTTATTTATTTTTATTTATCATAACATTATTTTATGAACATAAATATAATCCAAATTTTTTTAATATAAAGTTACATGTTCAAACAATATAAATAAAAAAAAGAAATTAAAAAAGAAATAAAATGATTAATATTTGAATATCTTTTTCTCTCCTTATTAATTGTTTAATGTAGTAAATAACTTACTAGGTGTAGGTTTATGACCGAAAACTCCGCAAAACATTGCCGGAAGTCTGGCCGATCCAGCGATGTCTGAAGCTAAACTTAAAAGGGAAGCACCAGCGCCAAGAAGAGCAGCCTGATTAAATATATAGGCAATTTATATTTATATTTACTATAAGCTTCTATATTATTTAAATAAAAATTGTGAACTCTTATAGAGATTTTCTGAAAGGGAATTGTGTGTATATGTGTGTACTCTTTTAGAAAAGAAAATAACATACCTCACCACCGGAAGAGCCGCCAGCAATCTTTCGATTATCGTAAGGATTTTTGGTGGTACCAGTTACTTTATTAAATGTATCCCACCACAAACACAATTCTGGTGTATTACTGACAAGAATAGGAATACCACCAGCTTCACGAATCTTCGTCACGACATTGGCGTCACTCATCGCCCTCGAAGGAGCATCTTTTACTCCCACCGAATGACTCATTCCTAGACAGATAAATGTTTACGTTATCGTGTATTATGCTAAGTGCAAAAAAATACGATTTATAAAATTTCTTCACCGATATTGTTCTTATCTGAATTTAATATATTTTTTAGACCTTCACAAAATGTAAATGATATATGCATACGAATGATAAGGAAAATAAGTAATAATAGTATTATTTATGAAATGTTAATTAAATCAACATTTACTGACTAATCTAACTAAATATTTGATGAATAGGAATTATGTAAAATGTGTTCGTTATGTAATAGTGATTATAGTTAACAAATATATTTAACAAATACGTAAAACAATAAATACTATACTTATGATATTTCTGAGGATTTTTAAATATCCTAATTTTTGAGATATTTTTTACGTTCAATTTAACAAAAACTATTGATCACTCTGTGGATAATGTGTTTATGTATATAATAATTATATATTACATGGTAAATCTTCACGCGCCATAGCACGTATTATTTTTAAATGTGAATTCCAAGGAAATTTTATAAATTTATTCACTGAATAATGACTTCGCCAAATCATGCAAACTACCGTGAACATGATAATATGAGCAAACAAACGGCTTTAGCGAGATAGAAAAAATAAAAGAGAGATATAGAGAAAAACACTTATAGAGAATTAACATTCACAAAGCTAGCGACTTTAATTTCTTGCTTGACAAGAAATCCTGAAATCGCGTTATTAATAACATACAAAATTAATAATAAACAAAGTTGATGCGATTTTCAGATATTTATATATTTCGCGTAAAAATATTGCTCATATCTCATTAAATATTTATCATTTTTTTAAGTATGCCTATCATGTTTTATTACATAATATAATTCAATTAAATAATTCAATATTCGCTTAAATGCAAAGGCGTATCTTTATATCTGAGAAACGCAGTAAATATTAAATATTCATTTTTAAGAAAGGATGTGAATGATTCTTTTGAACATATACGTCAAGTATACATAGCATATTCAAAGAATTCGCATGCGCAACTAACGTAAATTGATAGTTTCAACAATATATATCAACAAAAGAAAAGAAAATCCCACATAGATTCACGATAATTCATGTTATATTAAACAACTTCATCTGTCATAATAATAATATCTCACAAATAAAAAAAAGTTAAATCAATAAATCATTAAAAGAATTCCATTCGTCGAAATGTATATGCATATTATATTAGAGAGGATTGAAGTATGTAACCCACCTTGAACAGCAATACTTTCCTTAATGGTAACAGGTAGACCCAGTAGCGGTTTCTCGATTGCAATTCTTGCCTCGTCCATCGTCGTCGATTTTAAAAAGTCATCGATTTTACGAGCTTCTTGAATCGCCGCCTCGAATCGATCTTCCACAATTGCATTGATCAAGGGATTTACCTCTTTGCATCGCTTTATATACGCGGTAATTATTTCTTCGCTACCGATCTTTTAAAAATAGTAATGTATATATCAAGTGTATCAAAACTATCTGTTTTTTTAAATAGTCGATTTTTTGGTCAAAAGTTAAAAATGATTTTTCTTTAGCGAAAATATTAGAGACATAAATTTTGAGTTATAAATGTGAAAAAGAGCTTTTCATAAACTAAATTTTTTGAAATCAAAAGATTGACTAAACTATGTGCAATTTTTAGATAGAATTTATTTTAAGAGAATTTTTTCACTCTATATACTACATTAAAATTCAGTGAATATTTTTTTTTATTAAATACCAATTTTGAATAATTATAGAGCGCATATGAAGAAAACTTGCATTGTATGGCAATGATCTGGCAATGTAATGTGAAGTATGTAATGTGAAGAACATTACCTTCTTAAAATATTTTGAGATAATGTGATTTGAGATATAGATTTACCTCTCTTCTACGAATTCTCTGCGTGATTTCTGTTGCCGATTGCAATAAAATTTTATTATCAATCGGTGGACATTGTCGTTTCTTCTTCAAACCTCGTAATTTAAAAAATGGGCCGAGCAAACAATAAAGACAGAATAAACTGCCTTTTATTAGTGCCTTTAATATCGTTATTCCAATCTTTTTATAAAAAGAAACAAGTGCTAGTTTTAACTATTTTCGATTAAATGTATATTAACAAATAAATCTAGAACAGACTTTGTAAAGTCTCGATCATCTTACCATATTCATTATTCTTATTGCTTAAAGCTGTATCACATTTTTTTCTTTAGAAAAAATCTTAGAAACCTTGTATTTCTTCAAGATGATTTTTACGTTGAAATTTACGTTCGAAATTTACGTTCATATTTGTGTGCAATCCATGGAATTTAAAGCATTCATATATATCATATATATTTCCTAGATATAATATAAAAATTTTAGTTTTTGGATCATAAATCGTTGCCACATATACATCTTACATTATTATTAAGTAACTTACAAATTAAATAATTTGAATTACATCAATTGAGTAATCAAAACAAAGATTACTATATAAAACATTAAAATTCCATAATGCATTTCATAATGCATCACATTATTGCAATTAGTTCTTATTTAAAATTAACCCATTAATTAAACTGAGTTGAATTGAATTATTGACTCTAATTATTAAAAAGCATGATTATATTAGTTATTTATTTATAGTATTTTGTGATAATAATCGAAATTGCGGAAACATATCTAATCTCTTTCCTTAAATTCTTCGAAATCAATCACAGAAAAAAAATTATCTTATTTAAATTTTCTTCGATAATTATATAATCAAAACAAAAAAATAGATAAATATTATTTTGAAATATTATAAAAATTAATTTAATTAACATCAATTAATCAATGTGATGTCAATCGATTTAATGGATCGATTTAGTGATTTAGTGCAAATATTTTTCAAAAAAACCTTCCCAGATGAATTAGCGAAGGGAAATAAAAAAATTAATATACAAATTAAATAATTGATACTTCAAAACATTTTAATAAATATAATATTATGATATAAAATTAATATGGAAAATAAATTATTTTAAATTTCGCTAATTTTTCCAATATCACAAGAAAAAATAATTATCATACTTAAAGAATAATCATTGTTATATTTAGTCTCGTTATTTTTTTAAATTTTTCTAAAAATGTGAATAGTGAAAAATCAAAGTAAATTCTATATGAAGTATACTCATGAATTTAACACTAACATAAAAACACATGTAAAAAAATTAGAAAAGTTGCATAGAATCAATTTTACGATTTTATTTTTCTAATGAGTCGCACACATTTGTTTACAGTAATCTGGCTACGGATGTCTAACGCAATACTTTGTAGACATTTCTTCTATGTTCTAGGTCATGTATCCTGTGCACAGTTCATTGAAACGATAATGAGGCACGAGATGAGAATTCTAACTAAGAAACCGGCCTACTTTCTTTTCTCATGTACGCCCACGTTATAATAATATATCGAATAATAATAAAAGTAGTATAATGATCGGATATTTATATATACATATATATATATATATATATATATATATATATATATATAAATCAACATAAATCGACAATAAAAAAATTGTGTTGCTTGAAAAAAATTTCTTGCAATTTTCTCTTTCTCATAATTATATAAGTAGCTCCATAATGAATTCTGTCACGTTATTGCGATTAGTTTTGATTGCTTACAATTATATATGTCTACTTATTCTCTATCTCCTGGGGTTCATTTTTATGTAATGAATTTGTTTTACAAATAAAAACCAATTTGAAACTTAACAATTTGCGATAAAAAAAATTATCATTTCATACAATTTAATAATTTTATTATTAAAAATATCCGATTATATATATTTTTTATCTCTCATAAATCATTTTAAAATTATATTGTATATTATATATATTTTTTCTTTCTCAAAAGAAATTTTTTTTACATATTTGAATTTCGTAAAAAAGAGAGATTTTCTTAAATATATAAAACTAATTATATATATATTAATTATGAAAAAGAGAAAATAGTAAGAAATCTTTTTCAATAGCGCGATATTTTATTATTGAGTTACGTTCATTTATAAGTTATTATTTATCATTCACGTGCTAATTCATTCTAATTTTGAAAGAATTCTTTAATGATAATATTGTTATTTAAAGCGTTAAATACGATAAGCAAAAGTTATGTAATTGGCATCTACTTTTGAATATGTTTTGTATATATATATATATATATATATATATATATATATTAATAATTATACGTAAAATAAAATGTTTTTGTTAATCAATAAAATGATACGATAAACAAAAAGTTATGTTTGTTTATGTTCTGTATATATATATATATATTAAATATATATATTTATTATATATATATATATATATATATATATATTAAATATTTATAAATAAGCGGAGTTTTTTTGCATGAATTTAAATGAATGGAATCAAATTTTTTTATCGAAATTGAATTAACCCATTTAGATCCTATTGTTATCATTTTATGTGTTATCATTTTTGTTATCATTTTATTGATTATTCTTAACAAAAACATTTTATTTTGCGTATAATTATTAATAAATAAATTAAATTTTTAGCAATAAGACTGATATCATATCATCAAAGATATCAGATAATATATCAGATATCAGTCTTATCGCTAAAAATTTAATTTATTCATTAATAATTATACGCAAAATGAAATGTTTTTGTTAAGAGTAATCAATAACGATAAAATGATTAATTCAGTTTCGATAAAAAAATTTGATTCATTCAAATTCATGCAAAAAAACCCTGCTTATTTATAAATTGAATCAATTTTCACAAAAATTTTCATCTCACATAATTTAACAGTTTTATTAATAAAAACATTCAATTATATATATATATATATATATATTTGTCTTTTTTACAAAATATACTGTATTACATATATTTTTTCCGTTCTCATGAAAGAAATTTTTTTCTAAATATTTGAAGATTTTTTTCTAGAATTTCATAAAAGAAAAAAATATTTTTAGGCATTTAAAATTAATTATATATATTTTAATTATATCATGTAATTATATTTCAATTATATTTCAATTATATCATATAATTATTTGTATGAGTATAAATTGTATGAGAAAAAATATTTCATTATAATTAAAAAATATCATTATACAGAATTTTGTTTTGTTAATTAATTTTTTAATTTTTGTTAATTAATTTTTTAATTTTTGTTTTCTTGGAACATGACAGAATACTATTTCTAGATAGTATTGAATAAATAAATTATATATATATATATTGCATTAAGTGAAGTATTGCATGAAATAAGATCAAAGTTGACTCTTGAAAAAAGAATATTGCAATTAATCGATATCAGATGCAAATCATGTGCATTTATTAATAAAAGTAACAAAGCATTTAAACATCTCTATTGACAATTTCATTTTATTTAGTATTAATCATATCGAGATAAATTAGAATTAATCTCACTTCTCTAAATTTTCTTCCTACATTTGTACATGTGTGTATATATATATCAGCGATTTACTATCTTTCTTTTCCAGATTATAATCTTAATATTAAAATACTGTGTGTATTTATCATTATATGTATATTATAATTATACAAGGTGAGTTTTTATCTTGAGACATCGAAATATCTCGTAAAGTCTAAAAGATACGAAAAAATGTTTCAGACAAAAGTTGTATGGTTTCAAGATGGACATAAGATGATGTCATTAGTTTGACCTTGAAGAGTCACCTGAAGGTTAACTCCAACTTTTTAAATGGAACACCCTATATGATTTCTCTTATTATTTTGTACATAAAAGTATTAAGAGAAGATAATCGAAAAATGAATATTTTACAAGATATTTTACGGTTTATGTAAAATTAAGAAATGATTTCAAGTCTCATAACTCGGAAAGTACTTAATGAAAACTAACTTAATTATAGTGTTTTGGAAAGCCCTCGAGATGAGTTACAAGAATATGCAAAAGCATATAGGATGTCCCATTTAAAAAGTTGGAGTTGACCTTCACGTGATCTTCAGGTGACTTTTTAAGGTCAAACTAATGACACCATCTTATATCTCTCTTGAAACCATACAACTTTTGTTTGAAACATTTTTTTGAATCTTTTAGACTTTACGAGATATTTCGATGTCTCAAGATAAAAAAACTCACTCTGTATATAGTTATTACATATAGTCCTACAACATGTCATAAGAAATGTAATCTTATTAATGTGTATAACAAGCTACAGAGATATGTAATACAATAATAAATTCGCAATAAAACATGTTTTAATATGTAAAATTATAAATTAAAAATTTATAAATTTAAATTATAAATTTAAAGAAAAGAGAGAAATAGAGCTAGTCAATTTAGGATTAGCAAATTGCTGAAATTAATTCAATTAGTAATTGCAATTGGAGAACTTAAAGTGTAAATGCACACATACATACACACAAGAATGGTTTATCCAAAATTGTCTTAAAAACTTAAAGTAAATTTAAAGTAATATTAAAAAAAAGATTTGTAGAATATAAAAATATAAAATTAAATTTATTCAATAATATTCAAATAAATTTAATTACCTTAATTGTACAATTATAATTGTTTCGCCCCTTAGAAAAGTAAAAACAATTTTATCTTCTTAAGATGATTTTCAACACTTATATACGATTTAAATCTAAGTAAACGAGCGTCACGTCTAGTCCGCGATCGTCACAGTTCATGACTGATTCACATCGATTAAAAAAAAAACCATCGACAGGAACGAGTCTGAAGAAGCAATGAGTGGGGCAAAGCACGTTGTCGAAGAACGCTTCATAGCACTTTGTCTATCATTTCCGTTTTAACGCACTTACTGTAGATCTGGATCCAGTTCTGAAAACATTGTTATTATTCCAATTCTGAAAACATTGCTATTATTCTAATATTATTATATTATATATGTAGTTCAATTAATTTTTTCCAAAATCTTTATAATTTAATTATTAAATTTTCTATCTTTTATTTGAACAATTTTAATAATTAAATTAATTATTAAATTATTAATTTAATAATTATTTAATAATTTTTAAACTGATAATTTTAATAATTAAATTAATTATTAAATAATTAATTAATTATTAAATAATTAAATTTTAACAATTAAATTAATTAATTTAAAAACCTTATATTATTTATATTATTTATAACTCTTTGCATTTCATAATCACCGCAACATATATATTTTGTATCACAACTACAAAAATATAAAAAGAAAAATATTACAAAGATTTTAAATTCTTCATCAGTGAAGACGACTTTAATTTTGATATATGTATATAAAAATAATTTAACGGATACAGCAGTCGATTATAATGAAATTGCTTATATTCACCACAAAAAGCATTACAAAAATGCCTTGGAATGCAAAGAACGAGGGTCACTAGTGATTATAGTGTACAAAAATTACCCTTGATACGGATTATCTTTAAATTATCTCGGATTACCTCAGATTACTTAAGATTACTGCAAATATATGTTATTGTAAAAAGATACAAGTTCGTCAATGACGTTCATTAATTTCAAAAAGATTACCTTAGATTACCTTAGATTACCTCAGATTATTTGAAACTACCTTAAGAATACCTAGAATTTACCTACAGATTATTTGATATTATCCTTAGATTACTTAGATTTCCTATTAAATTACCCAAGATTATTTGAGAATGCTAAAGATTATTTAGAATTGCCAAAAATTATCTTAGATTATCCAAAATTTGCTTTGGATTGCCGCTGAATTACCTAGTCCTTGTACAGAAATTACCTCAGGGACCAATCCCTCGGCAAAGAATTAAAATTTACTCATTACTTATATGTGATTTTGATAAAAATTATTTAAATGATTGTTTAAATGAATTTTTATGGCGCTATTTTTTTCTCTTTCTTTCGCGAAGACTGTTTAATAAAATATTAATTTTAAATGCAGACAAATACTTTATTCCTGAACATTAATCTATTTAAATTTCAATTTGTAATTTATATAAATATTAATACTCAAAAGTTAAAAGGTTAAAAAAATAATTTGAATATAAAGTAACACACACACACACACACATATATATATATATATATATATATATATATATATATATATATATGTTACTTTATATTCAAATTATTTTTTTAATATATATATTATATTTACGTTGATCAACTCGATCTTGGACTTGGTTGAAACAAAACAAGTATTTTCAATAAATAATAGAGTTGGATAATATAGTTAAAATATTAATATTTGGAAAAGAAAAATTTATTCAAAATTTATACGAACAATACAAATGTTTAAAAATTGTCAGCGACTAAAGAAAGAAAGTTACATTCGATATAGCATTTCAATGTTTGGAGAGTCTTCCCTGAAGACTTTCCTTCAATATTTTCGAAAGCAGAAATATGTATATTTTATTAAAAGGATAATTAGAGGAAAACAGGAAACGCAATGCTTGAGATAATAATAGGATTTTCTCACAAGTTTCTAATTATATATATGGCGTTTTTTTATAAGTGCTATGCAAACTTTCTAACATGATGACATGATAAACGAAAATAATTTGTCAATAACAAAAGTAAAAAGAAAAAATAATTTTTTTTAAACTGAAACTATAACTTTGAAGTTTATAATAACTTTGAAGTATATTTGTGTGTGATTTGTGCTATATATAAAGTGTTATAAAGGTCAAAATCAAATTTATGCAATGTATTAATGAAGTGTATTGATGACTAGGTAAAAAAAAGTTTATGTAAAATTACGTCCAAAGTACAAAAATGCTTTACTAAAGAATTATAAGTGTTCAATATACGAACGAATTATAAGAACAATTTTGCTCGCTTATCTTTAAAAGTTTATAATTCTTTAATAAAGCATTTTCGGGCATAAGTTTATATAAACTTTTTTGACCCATTCGATTCTTTTAATGTATTATATATAAATTCCTAATTTTAAACATACCATATGATAAGAAAAAAATAGAAGAGATGAGTACAATCGAAACGATATTTATTACAGAAAGATTACAAGATTATATCCAAGACTATAAACATTTTATACGCGGCCGTAATGTGCCGTGATCTGGACCTTGGGATTTCTCCCATTTAATTGTGAAAAATATTATTTACATTGCACATATATCACACTAGCGTTACTATCAGACGAGCGGACAGTTGGTTGGTTGCTAAGAACTCTCCGCAAAAGGCCGTTCGAAAAAAAAAATACAACCCTTATTTCAACACATGAATTCATTTTTCTGCGCATAAAAAATGATTTCTAGATTTATAGGAAATCTCTTCGCTTGACGTGATTAAATTATTAATGTATCCGCATCTACACTGATCATGTTCAATCAAAATCGACATCGAATCAACCTTCGAAAATTTTGCGCCGATTTTCCTCTTCTTGCACCTGTTCAATCTTAGAAGATAATTATGCACGAATTTTAACATTAAAAAAACCAAAGATGAGGAATTATCATTAAGATTAATGTCATATCTTTTTTTAAATAAAAATTAGAAATTTTCTCAAAAATTTAGTTTACTTTATCGAATAAAAATGTGTTATAGAGCTATTATAAAGAATTTGTGAATTATTATCCGTTATTATAATAATATTCGAGAATATCATGAATCAAAAATTCATCTATAACAATTATGTCATCGAAATGAAAAGTAGTGTATTCTTTTAGGCGACTATTTTCATCCGTCCGGACGCTATTATAAACCTAATCGGCGCACTTCTAAAGAATGCGAGTTAATTTTTCGCTCTTTTCTTTTTATTAATATTTCTTAAGTACCGAATATATTATTATTATTATTACTCTTATTAATATTTATGCCTACACTCAGCGTATATATGCGTCATCTTTGTTTCCCAGCGACGATACTAACATATTAATCGCTGACGTCAATCATCACATTCCGTTATTATAATAAAATACATCGATATATGTGCGTATATACATATATATATATATATATATATATATATATATATATATATATAGTGCGCACATATGTATATGTTGCAGACTTTTTGTATGTAAAATCAATCTTTTTATAAAAAACTTAACTTTTCATAAACGTTTAAAAAACGTCTTATAAAAATACTAAATTTTTCATAGAAAGACCGTATTTATATATAAAAAGCTTGTAACACGCACACGCATGCACACATACGCACACGATTGCTCAATCGAATCCTTAATGTCTCCTACAATGAAAAAAATATGTTTTTTTTTTCTTTTAAAACATTTCTTCTTAGCACTTTTTTAATTTTCTTAAAGATTTATTGTTATAGTTCGTCAAAAGAAAGAACGAGTGATTTGATACATTTATAAGAAGTAAAGCATCTTATGTACATAAGACAATGTTGATTATTAATGATATTTAATACTTATGCAGCAATTCACAATAATTAGATTATTGTATAGTGTTGTGATTATTTCATTAAGCACCGATTATATCAAAATAATCGGATATTATGATTTAAATTTTGTGACAATTTTGTGGTTATATATTAAAGTGCTGTTCAATAGAAATTCTTCATTGTAGCAGAAAATCAATTAGGCAAAAATGTAAAAAAGTCAGATACATGCATATAAGTTATAAAATATCGCATTACATCAATAAGCATTTACAAAAAAAGAGTTTAAAATAAGTATTTAAAAAAAGTTTTGTAATATTTTTTTCATTAAGATTTCTGTTTCTTCATTTTTCGTTTCTGTAATCATACTGGATTATAAGTCAAAAGCGAGAAAGAAATGTAAATTCTTTTTTCAAAATAAATAAATTTTTTTTATAAATACCACTACTCATGTTAAGATTGGATGATAAGATTGGTAAAATGTACCGAAATAACCATTTTTGTTAATTTTCTGGAAAAAAAAAGATTATTGTAGTAAACTAATGAAAATATACGGGAAATTGCAGCAAGACGACGCAAACGGTTTGACCACCGATATTTAAAAAGCGTCTAAAGCAGGAAATATCTGTATATCACTCTCTATGAGGACAAAATGCATACAAAAATTCTAGTCGTATAAATAAGTCTACAAGCGCTTAACATGATGCTATCTCTTAAAGTAGTTATTACATATAATACGATAGCATTTTTTTTAACGATTTTCTATATACGATCCAGAGGATATATGCTAATTCGAAAAATGATAGGACCGTATTTAAAACTATCCTTAAACGTAAAAATATCCATACAAAATTTATGATATGCTATTGCCTTCATATATGCAACTGTATAAAACAATCAATAATCTCTATATTCATATAATAGCGACAGTATTTTTACATCCGATAATAGTGATAATATATAATAATAACAAAAATGTAAATCAGAGAGACAAACAAAACCTATGAACGATGGTCTTGTTTGTTTGCGAAAAAGAACGCGTTTATTTAATATTTTTTAAATGTTTTTTTTCCGAGATAAATTTATGATTTGTATCGATACGCGCTTTCGAATTATCTTTTTCTCTCTGTCTCTCTCACGTATTAGCGAGATTTCACATATTAGATTGATAAGGCGCAACAAATTACAATCGACAATGAAACATGCTCGAAAAAAGCAATATGTCACGAAATCAGACGTCTCAAAATTAGTTATTCTTATTTACTTGATAGTGACTATGTGCGCATGTATATGTATTTAGAAAGTATATAGAATATATCACCGTCAAAAGATTTTGGAATTATTCATTCGTGTAATCAGTCATTTTTTCTAACGAAAACAACAGAAAACAACAACAGTACACTTTTGTTTTTTACGTGGAGATAGAGATCGTGAGATTAATCATTAATGGATAAATAATATGGTTACATATGCGAGCAAAGACAATGTTGAGAGATTCTTTGGAGAGGTTTTGAAGTGACGAATGAATCGTAGATTATAGGCAGACTCATCGCGCGTCTTTCGCCGTCAATTTTTCTATTAGTTCTTGCAGCGGTGCTAACTCTCTTCTTTCAATCAAATTGAATTCCTATAAATTAATTGGATAAATTAAATCAACATGAGGAATAAAATCAAATATTATACGATAATTTTAATTTATATTAAATTTAAGCGATATATCTCTTTCTTTATATACAATAGTTATCTTTATCTATATTAATGGTTACCTTTATCTATAATAATTAATCTATCTGTAATAATTATCTTTATCTATACTCTTATCTATATTATTTCATATATTATTATATAAAATTATTTGTTTTATTTTTTTTCTAATTATTTTATAGTTATATACTATTGTCATTATTTTATAGTTATATACTATTGTCATATCATGTTATATATATATAATTGTATACCTGAACAAAAAATATGAAATGCTTGAACGATGTATTTAAATGTGCTTCCTCGCCAAGCTGCACAACTTCGCTGAAGTGCTGATGATAAATATGGGCATATACTCTGAATAACCGTTTCAAGATAGTTTTTGCGATTGATAAGAAATTTTTCGGGAAAGGTACTCCTGTAAAGAGAGCGATTGGAAATTAAGTCTCACAAATTTAAGATAACTAATGCATAAAAAATGAAATATATATGAAATATATAATTACCGATTTTAGATGGAAATAGAGTCTCATCATCTAATTGATCCTGTACCCAGGTCATCAAGTAATCTATGTACTTGGGTGCTGAGCACTTGATAGGTTTTTTCACTGTATGACCATCTGCCCAATGATACTCATACTTTGGTCCAGCAGACATGATGGGACAACTCTCCTCTGTGCAAAATTCTGTGATGGTGCCATATAACATATTGATTTGATTGAAGAAATCAACAGCTACAAAAAAAAACAGGCAGAGATAGAATTTATTAAACTAATACAAAATAGTGAAAATATAAAAAGAAAAAAACAAATGTTTTCACTCACTATTAACAGCCACCCACTCGTTCAAATCTTCTCCTTCAGGAAGCATAACAGCTAATCGCAAATTTCCAGATCCCAATGTGGCAGCTGCATGTTTCATCAAGTCATATTGATGTGTGCCCTCAGGGATGTTTTTCTTTGGTTTAAAGGTCTTTGAAGACCTGCTCCCACTTGAAAGAAAAAAATTTAAAAACAAATATTAACAAAGATCGTTATATCTATGATTTTTATTCTTGTTATTATATATCGTTAAAATTAATTACTTCTATTAATATTTTAAATTAATATTTGCCAGACAAAGCATCATTTACTCGCATTGTTTCTATTTTAAAAAATGAAACTAATGAAACAAAAGAAAAATATGAGAATTATTCTATATAGGATAAATATAAAATTATGTAACAAGATACTCATCAAATTATCTCATCTCAGATAAGAAATTAATAACAATTAATTACAAGCTATTTGTATATTATTTCATCGAAAAGTTTTAAGATTAGTAAACTGTAAATACATGAAATAAAAAATGTAAATAATAATATGTAATATCTAATTTTAGCAATTTATTTTAATATTTTATATTATTTTAACGGTAAAGAAAAAAATTGAATACTTGAACTATATATTTCTCCCTCTTCTCCTTCTACTATGCTTGCTTCATACAGCATAAAGGGAAATATATTTATAAAAAAGTGATTTTACTAAATTTTTTTACAAAACATTTGCAGTTACATTTTTCTATGTTTTGCTTTGTGAATTTTTTCCCTTCTTTTTCTATTCAAAAATTCACATTTATTATATCACAGGAAATATAACTATATACACCTGAGGAAGGAGGAACGCGTACATCTCTTTTTAAAATTGTACTTTCTTTCTCAGAATCTTTTCTCCTTTCTTTTTCCCTTTCACGCGAAAAATGCATATATATATATATATATATATATATATATATATATATATCCATCTCATTATACATGCAAAAAGCATGAGAAGACACAGCTGTAAAAAGAAAACAAACCCTTTACAGACGCGCTCGGTCCCGAAGGCGTGACGCTCAGCTGATCGCGATTACAGAGTGGCGGCGTTTGCGACATCGCGAATGTCAAAGCGAAACGATCGACACGACACGACACGCGTCGCAATCGCGATCGTGATCTCGAAACTCTTGACGACAAGAAACAAGGCGCGGTCGCCGAGACACGGAGATGATTCATAGATTACGCGCTGAACCGAGCGATAATCCTGACATTCGAAAAATATGGCGAGTTCCATGGGAAGATGTGCTTAAAGAATAGAAAAAAAGAAAACACACAGGAGGTAGCGCGCTATTTTTATCCTCGATCGATTCACCGGCGTATCGCATCTCCATTCCCTTCTCGATAAAGTTATCATCGGGCACAGAATGATAAACTTTATCATCGTTAGATTAGACATGTAAGAAAAAGTACAACAAATGCATACACAAAGTTTTAAAGTGGAACGAGAAACAAACGAAGCTTTCGCGGGAAAAAAATCGACTTGTCGTCAGCTGTCAGAACGAGACGAACGAGAGGATCCTCGGAGATCCTCGTGATTTCGTCCTGTTTACTCATCCTCGTGTTTCTTCCGAGAACACATATATATCGATCGAACGAGGGCGATTCGACTCGATGGCGATTATCGGTGGAGAATTCGCGAGGCAAAGAGGACTTACAATAGGAAGCTCATTGTGGTGGGCTCGTAGCTGGATCACTCCTCTCGTTTCGTCTTCTCACCCCGGTCCACTTCGTGTTGCGATCGGACGAGGAAGTAGACGACGGACGCGATGACGACGATGTTTGTCCAACAACAGCAGACGACGACGATGACAACGACAACGACGTCGTTGCCAATCAATCGGCCGCCGCACTCGCGATCCTCGCGATACTCTCCCTCCCTGTACCTCGCAAACGTTGCTTTGGAGCTATCGTACCGGGATGACGATGTCAGTCGCCCGCTGTATGTTGTTCGTCTACTATTCGTCCGGCTTCACTCACGCTATGATCCTTTCCTCGCAAAAATAAGACGGCATTTGTGTTAATTCAACTGGAGTCACGGATCTTCATCGAAGTCTCTCTCTCTCTCTTTCTCTCTTTCTAATCGTTCCAAAATTTACCCCTTCGAGTAGCGTTCGATTGACCAATCAGAATAGGGAAAATTTTGTTTCCCTTATTCTGATTCGTCAGTCGAACGAGCGTTCGATTGACCAATCAGAATAGGGAAAATTTTGTTTCCCTTATTCTGATTCGTCAGTCGAACGAGCGTTCGATTGACCAATCAGAATAGGGAAAATTTTGTTTCTTTTATCCTGATTCGTCAATCGAACGCTACTTTAATCTCTAAGGAATAAATTTTGGAACACATTCCTGAATATGCATCACATACAAACGTCGTCATGTTAATGTAATACCAAATATTTTCTATTTGTACTTGTGTGAATTTTTAATTGTCAACGGTAATTCTGCTACGATCAATGTGTATTGTTCTATATGAAATCAATTTAAGAATTTTTCACGTTACATTTTACTTTAAAATCTGGATCTTTTACTGTTTAAAATCTTTTTGGCCAAAAATGGCGGAATCAATTAAAAATATTTGATGTCATAACTAGTTCGTAAATTCCAGTAAATTATTAGAACGCTGTCCCTCCTGCTCATATTGATTATTAATATTTTTTTTCTTTTTGATGACATGTAAAAAATTGTGGTTTTTCTCTATTTTTAGTACAGCCGATAATACTTTTGAAAACTTTTGTATTAATATATTATATACTTTGTATTAATACACTGCGATCAGATTGGCAATATTGACAGCGAAATTTAAAACGCGCGCGCGTGCAACTTATATTTGAACGTATGGAAGATGAAATTTTGAAACTTGATGAGGTCCTTAGGATGTAAAGCTCAAAGGTCACGAGATAAATATATGTGTTCTGTTTACGAGAAATTTAATGAAAACAGTGTCTGTTATATTCAAGCAGATAATTTCAGATTTATTATACTTTCTGAATTAATTATTGTGTTAAAAAAAATGAATAAGCAGATTATCATTTTAATTATCATCGGCTCAGGACTTGCCGTTTTTTGCCGAGTGCAAGATATTTCGTCATATTTAACAGATAAACGTTTCATCGATAAAGAACTTCATTGCTTACTCGAGACAGGGGATTGCGATGGACTTGGGAAACAAATAAAACGTGAGGATCATATTCAACTTTTTTTTATTTCTATATTATTCTATATTATTTTTATATTATTCTATTTTTTATTTTTATATTAATTATTTCTGTCTTCATATAAATTTACATTTGAATTATATGCATTTGAAATTAATTATTAGATAAGTTAAAATAAGCGTCACTGATATGTCATTTTTTTTATTGAATATTGTACTTTTTCTATATGCAGGTGTATTACCCGTAGTCCTCAAGGATAAATGTCGTCGTTGCACTCCGCTGCAGAAAGCAAATCTATATAAATTGATACAATTTTTACAATCGCGATATCCCACGCAATGGCGCACGATCGAAGAAATGTATTCTTCACCAACTCATTTTAATGAAAACAAATAATCTCGTTTGTTTTTTCATTTTGTTTTCGAAGATGATTATATGACGATGTGAATAACGAAAAAAATTATTAAAGATCATTAAAACTTTTTTACAATGATTATATTAAATATATCTTTCATGTAACACTGTTTTTATTCTTAATCTTTTTTTAAACTAATAAACTAAGCAAAATATTTCTTATTTCTTATGTACTCTTATATTTTTTTCTGATCATTCATCGACGCATTTTCAATATAAAATAAAGATTTTTGGCAAAATTTTAAAAAAATACTTACATTGGAAAACTTTTTAAAACGATATGCATATGTCAAGAAATCAAAACATTTTGTCATAAAAATAAGATCTGAAAACAAGTTTATAATACTATATTATTTTTTGTATAATAGTATTTTTATGTTCGTAAAAAATAAATTATAAATATAAATTACAGCATGAAAAGAAAGTTTATACTTCATGAAATTTGATAAGAAAATTTTGTTATGATTGAATATGATATGATCTCAAACTTGAACATTTAGCCTCGAAAAAAATAAGATGGAAAATAGGATTTAAAAATTTTTTTATGTGATATAAGAAGCTGCAGCCATCGAACGGTTTATCGAAACCACTTTCTCTTCATACGTCACACGTTTCAATAGTTTGTGTCATTCATACACTATTACTGTGTAAAATTTTTTAATTGATACATTTCTCTCATCGTATTAATTTTATTGTATTTTTTTTATATAACAGACAGGCAAATTGAAAGAAAGTAAAAATTAATTAATTGTGTTTGATAAATGTCGTGTATTATATTTTTATTGGAAAACAGTTTATTTTGATAAATTGCAATAGAATATCACAATTATTATATATTAAAGATATTTTACAAATATATTGTCCAAAGCATGAATCTTACAATCCGTTTCTCTTGATGTAACGCATCAACAGAGTAGGTCAAAGACTCGACATGCTATGCATATCAATAACTTACAATCAAATAAAGATTCTAATGAACTGCGCGCACATACACACGCACACACAAAGATTGAAAAAAAATTAATTAAAATTTATTTTAATAAAACATGAGAATTCTGAAGTTCGAAAGTTGTATTTGTTATTTATTACCCTGTTTTCAAAATTGTAGAATTTATGCAAAATTGATTAATCTATAAATATTATATTAATTATATTCATAGATAAAGTTAAACAATCTCATAAGAGAACGAGTTTTTTGCTATCAATATTATTATATTTTATCATGGAAAATTCAAACCAAAATATAAATATATATAAGCGAATGTATAACCGATTGTGTGTCGAAATGGTATACGATAAGAATATTCAAATTTATTCTCCAAGCAATTTAATATAAGACTTCTTAGAAGATACTTCCAGGGAGGCAATTGTAAGACATTCCAGCCACGACAGGTATATACCCCTCCGTTCGAATGGTTCTCCGTTCGACTATATAAAAGCTAGACTGCCCGCGATTGACGCTTTTTAACTTTCTGTCTGCAGTCTTGTCTGCAGCCTCGATCGACGAAGAAATCCATCGTGTGTTTTCGTACTTATTGATAATCTTTCGCATAATGAAGAAATATTTGTTGATCTCGTTGGCTTCGCTGATGATTCTGGTTGTTGCCACTGAAAAATATACCGGAAAATACGATGACGTAGATGTGGATAAGATTCTTCAAAATAATCGTGTTCTCAATAATTACATCCGGTGTTTGTTGGACGAAGGACCCTGCACTGCCGAAGGTCGCGAATTAAGAAGTAAGCAGAAAAGGAAAAATTAAGATAATAAGGACATTAAGGCATTGTCAAGATATTTTCATTCGTATTTTTTATTTCGATTATAGAATTATTCAGCTTGTTTAAAACTTACTAATTTCTTAATTAAAAAATACATTAATTTAATAAAGATATGCAGCACTATAGTTATGGCTGCGATATTACGATATTCAATATATAATATACTCTCTCTGCCTTCCTCTTCCTCTCTCTATTATATAATGTTTACTATCAACTTTCTCGTGCAATTACATATATCCGGAGTTGTTTAAGTAACATTACTTCTTTGTATTAACTTCTTAAAGTCGAAATAATTCTAATTGTAGATGAAAGGATATATAATATTTAATCGTATTTCAAATACGAGTAAATAATATGCATGTATATAAAATATATTAAATATTTTTATGTTCAAATATTGATAATAATATAGTAATAATAGTATTTAATCGCGAAATTGCATTAAAAATAGCGATATTAAAGCTATATAGTGTATAATATTTTTTCACATTTATTCTTGATATAGGTACAATATTCATAAGATATGTTCATAAAATATGTGCTATCTCGAAATTACATTAATCGCAGTAATATTACCAATTATAATGGAACAATAATATAATGAATTATTTTATTTTTTAGAGACTTTACCGGATGCTTTATCGAGCAGTTGCAGCAAGTGCAATGATAAACAAAAGGCTACGGCAGAAAAAGTGATAAATCATCTCAAAACAAAACGATCCAAGGATTGGGATCGTCTTATTGCCAAATACGATCCTCGTGGCGAATATAAAAAACGTTATGAGCAATTGTAGTTCTTTTTATACAAATATTTTATAATTATAATATTATAATATTACATTTTTATATAGAGAGGTCACGTAGTTATTGTAAAAAATATTAGTTATTCAAAAAAATCTAAAATACTCATCAATATTAAAAATATGTAATATCGATATAATACATGATAATGTATTCAAATGGAATTTGATCAAATATAGAACAAATATAAAATTTAATATAATTTTTTTTTATTTTATTCAAGGAAACGGCACCTTTCATGTAAATATGTATCAATAATACAATTTATTAATTTGTTTCTCATGAAATATTTTTTCAAGTAAAACAGATTAACGTCATTATCATTAAAAATTTTTTATACATAAGGTACATTTATTAATAGGTTTACATATATAATGTAGTAATCACGTTATTGTTATATTTATGGATACATTCTAAATATATTGGCAATATATATTCTGTATCTCAAAGAGAATGTTAAGAGGTCAAAATTTGAAAATTTTTTCATTCAACACGTCTTTTCTTAACTAATGATCCAAGCTGAAACAAACAAATATATAAATGAATATAAACACAGATTAAAATTTATTTATGAAAGTTGTTCCAAAATTTGCAAATAAAAAATATTAGTTTTCTCGATATACATACCCTCGTTTAAAGCTCATATATATATTTTTTATGCATATTATTATTGAGTTTTTATTATTGAGAAATATTTTTATTATTGAGTTTTTTTCATGAATCTTGAGTTTATGAACAGACACTAGCTTATTAGTATTGATTTATTTTTTTTAAATACTATAGAAAAAATTCTTGAAAAATCAAGTTAAAAAAATTATTTACATTCTTTTATTTTAAGCAATAAGTTTTGAAATATATCATGTATAAGATTTTAAAGTCAAAGAGGTTTCTCTAGTCAATCACAAACTTTTACTTGTTTGTGAAATATATGCGTCATTAATTGCAAATTTCAGGACACAATATAATATGTTTATATGTATGTGCATATGCCCGTACACACAAGATATTTTTAAATTAAACCTAAATATTATGTCTGTATAATTGTCAAAATGTATACATTGATTAACATACAAGATCTGAAATTGCTGGTAGATTATTGGTTTGATCGGTAACAGTAGACTCTTGTTCACGATTCTCCTTCTGAGTAGCCGTTTTTTTCATATTTCTATGTTGTGGAAAAGTAGGCATAAGTTTTGGATCACAAGCTGTAATAATATCAGATTAGTTAGATAGCTTGATTATATTTTAAGATGATAACTTTAAAGAATTAAAAATATATTGATATATATATATATATATATATACTAACGTAAAGGAGCTTCTTTGAAGTAACTACTTTGCAAACATTCTTCAGCAGTTGCTCTTTTCTTAGGATCGTACATAAATAAGAAATTCAACAATCTCAGACCAGCAGCGCTTAACCAAGGAAATCTTTGTTTCAAATTGTTATATGGTTGTTGTTTAAGTGTAAAATTCTGCAGTGCTGGTAGCGAGTTAAATTCTGGCCAAATAGCTTCACTGGGTGTACCCAATAAATCGACGATTAATTCTAATTGTGCAATTTCCGTTCTACCAGGTAATAAGGGTCTATGTCCCAATAACTCTCCTAGTAAAATGAATTATATACAATATATATATAATTTACAAACAGTATAATGATATTAAAATGTTCTGTTTAATTAATTTCAATTTCTTACCCAATATGCATCCAGCTGCCCACATATCAACAGAAGTTGTTTGTGTCTTAGCTTGCAACAACAGTTCTGGTGCTCTATACCATAATGTTACTACTCTAGGAGTCATTGGTTTTAATGGTAAACCAAACCACCTGGCCAATCCAAAATCAGCAATTTTTACACAACCTTTATCGGTCATAAGAAGATTAGAAACTTTCAAGTCTCTATGAACAATAAAGTTATGATGCAAGTAACGAAGACCCTTTAGTACTTGCAACACTATACATTTGACTTGACTCTCCGAAAATGGTGCCTGCATATTGTCTAGTAAACTTGCTAAATCTTGTTCGCAATATTCCATTGCAAGAAATATGCTTTCCAAACTTCTGCCTACTACTACTTCTCTTAAGTGCACAATATTTTCATGTCGGCATGATAATAAGACTGATATTTCTCTGAGACCACTTACTGGTAATCCATCCTTCTCATGCTCCATTCTTACTTTTTTCAATGCAACAACCTTATCATTTTTTGTATCTCTGGCTCGATATACAATGCCATAAGTACCTTCTCCAATACGATTCAACTTTTCAAATTCAGAAACAAACCTACATTTACCAAGCTGTAAGAAAGATATAAATGAAGTTTAATGTTTTATAAATGTATTCAATCAAATCCATAGAGATGAGTTATAAGTTAATTACAATGTCCTGTTCTGGTATTTCCATAGGTTTGCAGGTCAGGAAGGATGTTAATACTCCTTTCCTTGTGATTGGAGCTGATGGATCAGGCCCCGAATCAGATGCTGCTTTCTTATCGCTATCATTACGCTCCACTGATTTCTTTTCCAAGCTTTCTTCTATAAAATAATAAATCAGTAAGTTAATAAAATTAAATATCCTACTGTCTGATGCACTCTATTTTATATTATCGAAAATAAAATATAAATAGCTTAAACACCTTATTAGTTGTATCATTATTTCGACATTTCAATTTCATACTTATATTTATAATTAGTTTTAAAATTAAGATTATAAATATATTCATCATACCTTTCGTCATTTTGATCACTAAATTGCACAAAAAAACAGCTGATCAATTGAAGAATAATATTGCGTAAAGTGGATAAATCTCACTGAATAGTCGTTCGGAAATCGGGTTTTTGTGCATACGCGGTGAAGTAAACCATAAACTTCTGTTAATTATATATAACCTAGATATATAAGCTTATGTTTCAGAACAGTGTTCCGATTAGGGATTCCGTGCGCGCGCATATGCGGTTCTGCGCATGCGCGACTTTTGAAATTACATTGTACCAATACATTGTACTTTCACGGTCGCGCATGCGCAGAGCCGCACATGCGCGCGCACGGAATCCCTAATCGGAACACTGTTTCAAAATTGTATTACAAAATTTACCCTTGGACTAGAGTAGCGTTTAATTAACCAATCAAAAACAGAGAAATTTTAGTTTCATTTGCCCTGATTGGTCAGTCGAGTGTTACTTTATTCCAAGGAATAAATTTTGAAACGCAATCAAATAGGAGTTTTTTAGTAAGAAAACACATATGTTACACGATTGGCTATTAAATAAAAAAAATGTTTCGGACTTTTCACAAATTCTCTAGAGGCTTCTCTCTCTATACATGCTATACATACATCGCCATAAACATAGCCGTTATGTCAAGTTTAAAATCTCCGAAATAATTTGGAAGTGCGTTGTTGATTGCGTCTTTATTTATGAGATTTATTTGCTACAATTTACATTGTTGATGCATAGTACACGTGTATAAAAACGTGAAAATGTAAACAGAAAGAATATGAAAAGCAGCCAAGCTGTTTAACAAAAGTTTAAGTTATTGGATGATAATTATTACTTTTTTATATGATACACAATTCCTTCAGTAAAAGGAATCTTTTGTGTTTATACTCTTCAAAGAATAGAGATTACGTTACAAATCATCTGTTCTATTAGTAAGTATTGTTTTATTTGAGACAAAAAAAAAATATATATATACAATTGTGTTTAGCAAAGTAAAATGTATAAAAGTAATTTATAAAATTTATTTTTATAGTTCTCTCTTTTATATATTTATATGACTGCAAAGAATAAGTTTTATATGTAGATGAATGATTTTTAATATTATTATACAAAAACAAAATTCTCTTCAAAATGCTTTAAAAATTTAAAGCACTTTGAAGAGAATTTTGTTTTTGTATATTTGCAATTCTTAAAATAAAATAAAATTCATATAAGTTTATATTTTTAGCATAATTTGTGTGGAAATGTTTCGAATAAAAGTGACAACACAATCTGATCATTCAGCATTGCATCCTGAGAGTACAGGTTTGTTGATAGATTGTTCATTGGTACAATAATTATGACTGTTTAGTTTGATTAATTTGAAAATGTAAATATATGTATGCATATATATGTATGCATATATATATATATATATATATATATATATATAGTTTATATATATATACAAATATATATATGTAATACTATTAATTAATACATATATTACAGATAATAATTATAACTAGATATAATTAATTATTTATATTATAACTGTTTAAAAATAATTAAATGACATTTCTTATTTTAGTGCGAAAGATACCCAAACCTATAAAAATTACAAAATTACTTGGATCATGTAAGCAGTCACGAAATGATCAATTAAGTAAGTCAATTTTAGATATATATATCAAAAAAATTTATATATATATATATATATATATATGGAATATATATATAAATATAGAAATCTAGAAATAAAGTGGTATATAATTATTTATTAATAATATCAATATATTGCTTTCAGATTCAACTATTAAAATTCAATTACCTGAAAGACTCACTCCTTATTTGAAAAGTGCATCAAATCGAAAAAGAAATGGTCAGTGTATATAAGTTTCTTTTTATTTTCTTTAATTATATTTTATTTATATATTATATCTATACATTATATCTAACTATACATAATTATATATGAATAAATTATAACTATATATTTTCTTTAACTATATATTAACTATATATATACTATGTATTAACTATATATTTTATAATTTGCAACTATATCATTCTCTTTTATATATCTTTTATTATATTTTTTTTCTGTGCAGAGACAAACACATGTATGAAACTATCTCAGTATAGTAAGAAAAATGTGCGGCGAAATTTAAACTTTACGAAAATACCGACTGTGAAAAAAACACCGGTTAAAACTGAAACAATCATAACAACAAGCAGAAATAATTTAATTGATAATTCAAGAGAGGAAAATTCACATTTGTCTACAAGAAAAAGTTTTTTAATACCACCAAATACTGTAAAAGATTTATACATTAAGAATAGATTTAGACAAAACAAGTCTATATTACCTCAATTACATGTCTCAACATATTCTGTATGTGACAATAAGTATCAAAAGATATCTAAGAGATTGGAAAGTTGTTCATCTCCTGTAAAAGTAACAAATATGCAAATTGATTCTGTCATACATGAAGAAGTTAACAAAACAGTGATACAACATATATCATCACAAATGTGTACTGTAAATGATCAATCTGGAATAGATATTTTATATACAAATTATACAGACATAAAGGATGATGCAATGGGAAAAGAAAGCCCTGAAAGTTCAATTAATATTGAAGAAAAGAAATGCTTATCTATGTCTACAGATAATTGTAGAAAAGACTTACGTCAATCTATACAAGATGTTCAAATGATAAATCAGTCTTGCTTGAATTTAAATCATAGCACTAACAAGAATAATGAATATATAATTCTTAATACAAATTACACAGATATAAAAGACAATGCATTGGGAAAAGAAATTCCCGAAAGTTTAATTGATATTGAAGAGAAGAAATGTTTGTCTATGAATACAGACAATTGTAGAAAAGACTTACATCAATCTACACAAGATGTTCAAATGATAAACCAGTCTTGCTTGAATTTAAATCAAAGCTCTAACAAGAATGAATATATAATTCTTAATAAAACAAATCTTATAGATTTGGCATCTAAGTTAAAACATAACATTTGCAAATTAGAAGAAGACACACTGCCAAATTTGAGATTTATACTTAGTACTATTATGGATGTATTATCTGCAATAAATATAACAAATAAAGAAAACGATAACAATAATATCAAGATTATGCAGCAAATGACTGAAAATTTGGAAGATCATATAAAAATAACGAATAATATACACACAAAATCACTATGTGTTAGTAGCAACATTAGAACTGAAGATAATATGGAAGAAAATATTAATATTGAAAAAAGTATTATTGAAGATAGTAATATTCCAAAGGAAATTTATAAGACACCTGACAATTTAATGAAACTTGTGAAAACAGATGTATATGAAAAGAATAATTCCGGAATTCGGTCATCGCATCAGATCAATTTTCAGAATCTAACTTTTGAGAACAACAAGGAAAATGATAGTTTTTTGGATTTAGAAAATAAGCTGGATATCACGAATATAAAATCGAGTACGACAATTGTATCGCATAAAAAAAGCGTTCTTGTGAATAAATACAACAACAAAAAAGAGGAGAAACCTTTGAAGGAATATATGGCTTTAAAGTCACGTATGAGTTGTTTGCTAACACCTAACATTAAACATTTGAATTGTTCACAATCAAAAAATAATTTACATTCTGAAAGTGATGATGCAAAAGCTTGTATATCGGGTAAAATACTTGCAGAACTTTATCATTTATATGAAGACTAGATATACAACAATTTCATGTATATCAGGCGATTTTTTCTATTTTCCAAGATTATTTTCCAAAAATTCTTAATACTAAAGAAAATATTAATACTAAAGACGGTAATTTAAGAGTTTAAAATGTCTGATAAATTGTTGTACTTTTATATGATGAATATGAAAAAACAGTGTAACAAGAAAATTTTACAATTAGGGGAGAAATAATTGACTTGGGATAGATGAATTTTAGAAAATAGAAGAAATCGACTGTATTGCATATATATTCAATATTTTATATCAAATAGTTTAATCATAAGTTATATAATAAATAATCAGTCAATATTTATTTTAAAGTAGAAAATTATTGTGTGCGTGTGTGTGTATATATTATGTGCGCGTGTGAATGTATATGTATATGTGTGTGTATGCATAAGAAACTTTATAACTTATGTAGAAGATTATATGTAGCATTTTTAAAAATATAAACATATCAAAATTTATTCAAATGATATGAAAATATTACTGTTTAAGACAGATTGTATCAAAGAATTGTTTTATGTAGATAATATAAAAATCAATAAATGTAAAATTACTATATATGAGAGGTGTTATATATAGTATTTTTTTAATAACTAAACATTAAAATTTATTTAAAATAACGAGTTATGAGAGTTATCGAGAAATAGAGTTATAGAATTTGTATAAATAAACGATATGAGCTAAGAAATATAAAATGAATCTGAATGAGTATTTTTGTACTTTAAACATATGCACCTATCACATTGCATCTCAGATTTAGCAATAAATATGTTATATATTTTGCGGGGTAATAACACTGCGAGAATGCAAATATTATATTAAAATTATTACTAATAAAAAAAGTAAATAAAAATATGTTATTAAATCATTATTATGATATTTAATAATATTTTATATAATATTTAACGTAAAAAATGTTATATATATATTAATATTATATGAATATTATTTTATAATATAATTATTGTTTTTTGCACTGTGACATTTAAATTTAATAGTTTATATAAGAAGATTTATATAAATATGTAGGGATAATATATAAACCACAATCATAATTTTAAAAATAAAATTCTAAAAATACTTTTAAATATAATTATTTAATATAGCATTCTCTACATATTTTTTTATATAAAATTATCTTATTACATTATTTGCTTATAATCTTGTAAATGACATTAACAATAATATCATCGATGATAAATAATATAAATTATTATTTTCGAGGAGCAAATTTACCAACAGTAAATAAACTATCGATAAACTCTCTTCCTCGATTATTTTTCATTCATTTACGAAATATGACCGCTATCTGGCGCTACGATCGCGTGCTCGTTTTTTTTCCCCGATTCCTCGGATGTGCTTCGCAATAAGAGCATGATGACACAATTCAATTTATGTTTTTACTCCCGATACAAGTCATCGTCGTCCGCGTCAATTGTCGTCGATTGTTGACTATGTCATGCTGATATAATGTGTGCAAATAAGTGTCATTAATCAAGGAAAGACATAAGTATGGCGCGTCCGAAGCACAAAGCGAGCGCGGATGTATGTGCAGACTGTGGGGCACTCGGTGAGCAACATCGTTTTTCTTGACGATCACTCGTTTAGTTCCGCACCTTCAGCGGTTCGGGATATCACAATTTTTTAGAATATGAGACATATGACAATTATCATCATGTCAAACCTGTTTTCATCTTTATATCTTTATATCTTTATATAACGTAATCGAAAATATAAATATACATTTCTTAATAGAGTATTTTAATTAGAATAATTATTTAAAAGAAAACTGTAGGGGGGAAACTATATTGAAAATGATCATGTTTTAGAGCCAGGATGGGCATCGATAAATAGAGCTATTTTATTATGTGACGATTGTTGTGGGATTCATCGTAGTCTAGGACGTCATGTATCTCATATCAAGTCGTTGCACAAGAGTGCTTGGAATACACATTTATTGAATGTTAGTATACAATTGTTGAAAAACATAGAGAAGAACTCTTTTAGAATTTTTATGGTATATGCATATTATATAATGTTAGAAATAACTGGATATAAATATTTCAGATGGTACATACTTTAAATGATAATGGAGCTAATAGCATTTGGGAACATTCTCTGCTGGATCCTAGCAGCTTAAAAATTAGTAGAAGAAAGCCTCAGGCTAAGGATTCTTTACAGTTAGTAATTTAAACAATAAATTTTATTGTGTTTTGCAGAAGAAGCAGCATCGTCATTCATAGATATTTTGATTTTTAATATAGAGATACATATATTTTGATTTTTAATATAGAGATAACATAGATATTTTTAACATAGATGTTTATAAAGATGTTTATAATACAGAATGATAACATAGATGTTTTTAAAATCAAATTTAAATAAAGATTATAATTATTATGATTTTTCTAGATAGAACTGATTCTAAGTAGTACTAGAAATACTTTTAAATATCAAGCATTTTCTATGTTTTTTTATGTAAGATATTTGTTTTTCTTTTGATTAGATTTTTTTCTTATATTTGTTACATTATTTATAGTCCTGTAAAGGCAGATTTCATTAAAGCAAAACATCAACTCCTGGCATTTATATTACGACCAAGCAAGGAAGAATGTTGTACCGAAGAGGAACTCAGTAGGCAGTTACATAGTAGTGTCCGTACAAGCAATTTAGAAACTTCATTGAGGCTATTGGCACAAGGTGCTAATCCTAATTATTTTTATAAGGTATATTTTAATATTTATTAAAGTAATTTATACAAGTATATATTTTATAGTATATATTAAATATTAAATGTAGTATATATTAAATATTATTAAATGTAGTTGAATTATTATAAAAATACTTTTATTGAATTTCATATATAATATATATATGTCTATATGTATGTTTATGTGTATATATATACAGGAGAAAGGAACCACACCTTTACACGTTGCAGCTCGTGCCGGACAAAATCTCCAAGTAGAACTTTTAATAGCTAATGGTGCAGATCCAAGTGTAGTTGATCTAAATGGACAAATAGCTGCTGATATTGCTAAGTAAATAAAGTTTAATACAGAATGTATACATATAAATATTTAAAAATGAATATTTTATCTATTATTTCAGGATGGCAGGACACATAGATTTGTCAGAACGCATAATTGAATGTATGTATGAAGTAACAGATAGATTGACATATCACATATGCTCTCGTAAGCCAAATCATCAAGGTGATGAACATCTTATCATTTCTGATTTAATCACCAGCTTAGACAAAAGTGAACCAGCTGTGGAAGGAAAAAATAGATTACAAATGGTATGTAGAGATTTATATTAAGATTATTTATTTTTATTTTGTATTTTGCTTAATTAGCTTTATTTTTGTTTAGTTGTCAAATCACTTATTGAAGGAATTAACTATGGATGTTTATGATGAGGTAGATCGTCGAGAAACAGAAGCAAGTGAGTATTACTTTTGTATTCTTTATATGTGTTATACATAAAAATATATTATTCATAATTTAGATTATTTGAATGATATATACATATATTTTTGTCATGCTATTCCTATGGAAGGGTGAGTAGAAAATTTTTGAGCTTAGCAATATAATTCTAATTCATTGTGAATATAATAAAAACATTTATTATATGTTTGAATATTATATGTATTGTATTTATTAAAATATATACAATAATAAATATAAGAAAATAAAATAATATTTAATATTTAAAATAAAATAATATTTAATTTTTATGTATAGTCTGGTTTTCAACTGCATCTCTCCCAGAGAAGTGTGCTGTTCCATTTCTCCCAGTTAATCCACAATTGTCATCTACCAGAAATCAAGGAAGACAAAAATTAGCAAGATTTACACCAAAAGAATTCACTACACTTATAGCAGATTTACTGATTGAGGCAAATCGAAGACATATACTTGCCAATAATGCATTTCAAAGTAATATTAAATTAAGAAATATTTATTTTATACAATTTTAAACATTTTGTGTTATATCATGACATATATATGTGTGTGTGTAAATGTATATATAAATATATATTGTTTTTTAGATCCTGCGGTATCTATGCATAAAGAGCAACTCGGTAAACATGGATCACAAATGTCTGATGATGAACCTTTATACGATAGTGTTGCATCCGATGATGATTATGCTGCTTTAACATCTACAGATAACAACTCGTCTGATGTCGCAAAACAAATTAAAATTAATAATAAGGTAAGTTTAAACAAATGAGAGATTTAATAGTATGGTTTAATAAATTATTACAAAACTTGTTGTTAAAAAGAAAATAAACAAATTAATTTAGCTATTTAAGTTTAGAATATTGTGTTAGATATTTTTATTCAACAAATACATGAGACTATGTATATACAATTATTGTTGAGAGTGTAAATTTAACCATAGTGAAATATTTTTACTTGTAATAGACATTCATTCATAATATCCTTAATATCACAATAAATGTTCACAACAATATCATATACAGTGTCTATTGCTATAATATTCAAAGTGTCTACTCCTTGGAAAAATATGAAAAATTTGGAATTGTTAGGAATTTCTTTTATGAAAATTAGAGAATTTTCGTGGAATTTTATTGAAATTCAAGAAATTTTTTATAAAATGTTTTCTTTGATAATTTTTTTCTTATTGTTAACATTGCAAACAGTCGGTAAATCAAGTAAATTGTGTGTGTGAAATATATTATAAATATATATTTATCTTTGTTATTTATCTTTATTATTTATCTTTGTTATGCAATATCTTAACAAAATATCGAATATGTAGTATATATCCTTTATTATAATTTTTAATGTTAAAAAATGAATATTTGCAAATGGAAAGTGCTTATTTTATGAAATTATTTAATTTTTTTCACTATATTTAAAAATTTAGCTGAAATTTAAGAGATTCTGTGTCTTTTTTCATATGAATGAAAAACATTAGAAAATGCAATAAAAGAATTTATTTTAAGAGAAGTTGTACTAAAAAATCAGTTGTACAAAGAAGTTGCATAAAATATTTTTTTTCCTGGAATTTTAAACAAAACGACTGAAAGATCAGGAAATTTTTAGAAAATTTTTTTACAAGATTTGTGACTAGATACTCTAATATATTAAACTAATATTATTTTTGTATCATTGTAATATGTGATATGTCTGTGTTAAGTTAAAATAAAAATTATTATTGTATCATGTTTTAGGAGGCATTTGCACCAATGGCCAAAGGTCTTCCATCTATGGTAGAAGTTTTAAAAAAACAATTAACTTTATCTGAATCAACTGTACGAGATCTCCGCGAGCAGATACATACGTTACAAATTACTATTGAGCAACTTACTCAAGAAAATAGCGAGCTCAAACGTATGCTACAAGTAATTATGCAAAATTTTATCCTGTATGCAACATAAATAGTATAAACCATTAAATAATATATTAATGTTTAATTGTACTTAATACTTAAAAATTGCGAAAAAATTGATTTAGAAAAAAAAATTAATTTAAGCCAAATTAATTTAGGTAAAAGGTTCTAATGATGACAACATAAACGGGCATGTCGGAGGAGAACAGGAACCTGAATTAGAGCCAGTACACGATATCAAAACGTCCACTATACGTGGAAATCAACGACCGGCATCTATGTACGAGACGAGAGAAGGCTTACGGAAACCAGCATCGTGGTCAACGACTATTTGTCAAGTAATTATAATTTGCAATTTCTGAAACTTACATTAAAGAAATAGATCAAATATTTGTTTGTTATTTCAATTTAGACGAAACGCGACACAGAGGTCTTATCGCGGAATAACACACAGAGTCTGTGGGAATATGGTGCGCCTAATTTGCCACCCAACGAAGAAGTGAACAGGCGAACAGAACAAGTCACCAGACGAATTCAAGAACTGTGGATGGCTATGCAAGATCCGAGCCAACGAGAAGCTTTTGTCCCTTGTGCCGAGAGGATACGCGTTGCTGTTGCCGAGTTAACTGCCATATTTCCTCAAGTAAAATCATTTTTTTTTTCGAGTATTCGTTCATTTTCTCACAGTTGCTAAATTAGAAAAAAGTAATTTCTATTGTATCAATAGAATCCACTGGAGGAAAATATCAAATCTGCCTTACGTCAGTTAAATGGCAATACTGGGAGGCTTCAAGCGGAATGCTCCGGTCTTCAAAGATGCACCAGTGATGCTGAACACATGGATCGTTGTCTGCAGCAAGTACGTTCATGCGCTTATGATATTGCCAAAGCAACTAAGCTACTTGTTACGCAGTTTCAAACATAGGTTTTTTTCGCAGAAGTATCGGAACTTAAAATATATATATTTCTATATGTCTGTAGCAAATGTAAATACTTTTGCATAGCACATCAAGCTTATTAGAAATTTTTCCTTTCAGGCTTTAATTATATAATCATTGTAATATGCTTTATATATATTCACTTTTACAACAGTAGTACATCCATTTTTTTATCGTTTTCTGTTAAGTTAATATAAATATGGGAGTAAAGACTTACTCTCTTTTTCTACTCATTATTAAATTATTTAATTGTCGAAAACTAAGTTATTAAATTTATATTCTAAAATATCTAAATATGCGATTGAACAATCTAATAAGTAAGGCATGACATTATTTGAGGATTTATATTTTTTAATGTATATTATTTAATACCTGACAAAGACTGAATAACGGCAAACCAATGAGTTCTACACAAATCTAAGTTTATAAGTTTTGTTTAACATGTGTATAAATTTTATTTAAGCAAATTATAGAAGAAGCCTTATCATTTAAATATTAAAATAGGACACACATAAGTAAAAAATACATACTCCCTCAGTTTTTTGCCAATTTGCGGTTGGTAGCAGTCGGGAGTAAACATAAAATATTTTTTATATTTGATGTATATTCTATGTAACAGACAAAGATAAAAAAAATTGTTCATAGATGATATATAGCAATTCAAACATTGTTATTATTTTATTATAGAAATAGAAGACATATAGAGATGTGTCCTTAAGGATGCAAGTATTTTTATTGAAAAATATTTAATAATTATACAGCGATTTTTATCTAAAATAAAATTTGTACAAAAATTCGTGCAAAATTCGCGTAAAATTTATATAAAATTGTATAAATAACGCGCAAAAAATTTGTTTAAATACTTGATGCATTTCTGATCAGTGTGTTTAATTATGTAATTAAAATCAAATAAAATTTTTTTTAGAATATCTATATATTATCATTAATTTGCTTAGCAGAAAAATGAATAATATTGAAAAGTCTTGTAATATAATCAAATTTATTATTATTTATATTACTTAATTATGTATTATTTTTTCTCATTACATCACTATTTAATTCAAATAATTTAATTTATCCTTATATATCTTATATTTTTTTTCTACAATTCTTTGGTTTTTATTGGCAGATTATTTTATGATAATTAGTGCAATATATTGCTAATGAATTATTATTACAGGTAAATATAAAAATAATCAAGCACATTAAATAAAACATTTTCATATACTTTTTAAATTTGTACAATTAAATGTATATAATTATGAATAACGCAATATGTATGTAAGAGAGAGAGAGAGAGAGAGAGAACAGACGCAATGTATAATGTATATCCATGTATTTTCATTACTAACACATTATAGTCTTATAAAAATATATCCTGATGTATAACATACATACAAATGAAAAGAATGTTTTTATTTTGAGGAAAAACATTTATAATATATAAATCCTCCCATTTAAAACATCGACGACTCGAAATCCATAATAGAAAAAGTGAAAATCTGTGAAATGTATCGAGTTGATTTTATATTTATATATATTTATAATATATATCAAAATGATATATATTATAAATATATAAATCTCACATATTTGATATATATTTATAATATATATCAAATATGTGAGATTTATATCGTTTCATCTTTTTCACGAGTTTAAAAATTTGCACGCAGGATGTGTCAAGACGTTACGTAGCGATAGCCAATCAACCTTTCGTTCCTACTATCACATATACACCCAGTGTATTACATTGGACTGACCATCGCGATAGCAGGCGAGTACCTGCTGTAGAGAGAGAGGTACTACATGGGAAGCCTATTCTGTTTTTTTTCCTAGTATCTCATTGGTAATTTTGTTTCCCGCCTCGATGGATGGGAACCAAAGTTACCAATGAGATACTAGCAAAAGAGACAGACATAGGCCTCCCGTATAGTACCTCTCTCTCTACAGTGGGCGCTCGCCTATCTATCGTGATCATAGAGCGTATACTAAGTATAAGCTCTATGATCATGATGCTCAGTCCAGGGTATATGTCGATGGTTCTTACATAGAGAACCTTTAGGAGAGAGAATGGACAACTGATCAAGCTTTTTCATGATTGGCTGGCAGAAAATGTATCAATTTTAGCTATTGCGACGCCAATGCAAAATATGATGCACACAAATAGGTTAATATATGTGTGTCATGTGTGTCCTATTTGTGTGTCATCATATTTTGCATTGGCGTCGCAATAGCTAAAATTGATACATTTTCTGCCAGCCAATCATGAAAAAGCTTGATCACATGTCACATGATCAGTTGTCCATTCTCTCTCCTAGAGGTTCTCTATTCTTACAGACTAGCTGTAAATCGATTGGTTATTGTATCGTTGCAGGGAATAAAGTCTGATGGTGTTTTCAAGTGGTTGGGTTTAATCGCTTCGAGATAATTTACTAGATGTTATTGACCAATCACATTATTTTTCTGAAGAATATACGGTTATTCTTCTGTAAAATGGCTATGATTGGTCAATGACGTCTAGTAAACTACCCCAGAGCGATTAAACCCGACCACTTGAAAACGCCATGGGGAGGGGTCTATCGCGGCTTCAAGTTTAGCGTCTATTATCACGTCGCATGGACGTTAACGGAGACCTACTCGATGTATTTTGTACATATATCCATGCTATTTCCGAATCAGTGTCTCTAACATGTCCGCTAAAGCCATGTGGCCGGTTTCAGGTTCTTCTGTAGTTTTTCAATCTGATGATGAAGATGATAAACTTGAATCAAATTATGAATCTACAGATACTGAAGATTCAGAAGATAACAAAGCAATAAATGATTCATATAAAGGAACACAAAAGAATTCACGAGTTATATTAAAAGATAAGAAGAATAAAATAAAAATGAAATATAAAAATAAAGAATCTCTGAAAAAATTAAATACATTGAAAAATGAAAAGAATTCTAAAGAATCAAAAATGCAGGAACATAAGGATGACATCTGTAATAAAACACAAGCTAAAAATATGCCTAATGATGAAGATGAATATGACGAGTATGATAGTTCCGATGAGGAAGATACTTATAACACAGTTGGAAATGTACCGATGAAATGGTATGATGATTATAATCATCTTGGTTATGATTGGGATGGTAAAAAAATTCCAAAACCAGAAAAAGGTGATGAATTAGATAATTTTTTAAAAAGAATGGAAGATCCTGACTTTTGGAGAACTATAAAAGATCCTCAAACTGGCCAAAATATTATATTAAGTGAAGCGGATATAGATTTAATTGTAAGAATTCAAAAACAAAAAATACCTGATGTTCAATTTGATGAATATGCGGTAAGTTATATTTATAATAATTTAATTTGAAGATATATTGTATATAATATATTAAAAACTAAATTATTTTATATGTTGTAAATATTGCACAGCCATGGGTGGACTGGTTTACTTCTGAAGTAATGAAAACGCCGCTTCGAAAATTTCCAGAACATAAACGTTCTTTCTTACCATCTAAAATTGAAGCTAAAAAGGTATCAAAATTGGTACATGCTCTCAAAATGGGTTGGATGAAATCTACTGCCGAAATGCAAAAAGATAGGGAAAAGAATCAGGAGCCACAATTTTATATGTTATGGCAATCTGATGATCAGGCAGAAGAAATGCGTAGAATTCATAAGCATATTCCAGCTCCTAAAAGACATTTACCTGGTCATGCAGAGAGTTATAATCCTCCATCAGAATATTTATTTGATAACAAAGAACTTAAAGAATGGAATAAATTGAAAACAACTCCATGGAAGAGAAAATTACACTTTATACCACAAAAATACAATTCTCTTCGAGAAGTACCAGCATACTCTAGATATATCAAGGAAAGATTTCAGAGGTGTTTAGATCTATACCTATGTCCTAGAGCATTAAAAATGAGATTGACAATAGAGCCTGAAGCTTTGGTTCCACAATTGCCCAGTCCAAGAGATTTGCAACCATTTCCAACTACAATGTTTATGGTATTTAAAGGACATACAGATATGGTCAGAAGTATTACTGCAGAACCAGGTGGTCAGTTTATTGCTTCTGGTGGAGATGATATGTTATTGAAGAGTGAGTTACTTATACATAACTTATTACATATATGTATATTAATTTATATTACATATTATATATATGTAAAATTTATATAAATAATTATTTTATTGTCAATTTATATTTTAATATTAATATATATATTTATTTATAAATTATATGCTTTGCATATCGAATATAACATATATGTTATTTTAACAGTATGGGAAGTGAGTACAGGCAGATGCTTAAAAACAGTGCCTTGTGGTGGTGTTATTAGAAATATTGCTTGGTGTCCAAACCAAACTATATCATTGATAGCTGTTGCAGCTGATAAAAAGGTTCTCTTAATAAATCCTGGTGTTGGAGATGACCTTATTAGCAGTAAAACTGATGAACTTTTGGAAATAATACCACAAAGTGAAAAAATAGGTATAAATAATTTAATAATAAAAGCAATATTGCTTATATACAGTTTATTTTAAAAATAATCTTGAAAAAAAAATATATATATAGTTATCTTTTTTGGGACAAGATTATACATGTACATGAGATTAATGAGTATGTTATATGTATGTTATAATAGTTATTGATAGAGTACGAAGTGCAGTACAGTGGGACCAAGTAGAAAGAGAACACTGGTCTATTGGAATTAGGGTAATTCTAAATAATTTTAAAATTGTAAAACAAATAACATGGCATGGAAAAGGAGATTATTTTGCTACTGTAATGCCAGATGGCCAAAATAGATCAGTATTGATAAATCAATTGTCAAAAAGAAGATCTCAATTACCATTTAGTAAATCAAAAGGATTAATACAATGTGTGTTATTTCATCCAATTAGACCATATTTATTCGTTGCAGTAAGTAATAGTAAATTATTAAAAAATACTAATAGTATTAGGCTTGGTTGCACCAACATTATTTCAGCTTTAAGCAAAACTTAAATATATGTCTGTCTTTATTTATTTAGAAAAAAAGATAAACATATATTTAAGTCTTGCTTAAAGCTAAAATAACGTTGGTGTAACCGGGCCTTAGTATATTTTAATTTTTTTTAAAGATTATTTTTTTCTTCTTCAGACACAAAGGAATGTGAGGGTATATGATCTTGTAAAACAGGAAATGGTTAAAAAATTATTATCCAATTCACAATGGATATCAACAATGGCTATTCATCCTGGTAAATTTTATTTATATTTTGTATTAATTATGTATATGCTCTTATGTGATTAATATAAATTTTTTTCAGGAGGTGATAATGTTTTGGTAGCAACGTACGATCGTAAAATGCTTTGGTTCGACTTGGATTTAAGCACTAAACCTTATCAAACATTGCGATTACATGGAGCTGGTGTACGTGCTGTAGCATTTCACAAACAATATCCTCTATTTGCCTCTGGAGGTGATGATAGGGGACTTATTGTATCTCATGGGATGGTGTACAAGTAAGATATGTAGCTAATAAAAAATTTTTTTTTATATCTATATGTTTTATATCTTTAATTTTTTTGTATATCTATATATTTAATCGTTGTATGCCTTTTTTTCAGTGATCTTTTACAAAATCCATTAATTGTGCCGTTGAAAAGATTGTGTCACCATGAATCTTATAATGATTTTGGTATTTTGGACATCATGTTCCACCCCATTGAACCATGGGTATTTTCTGCAGGTGCAGATTCTACCATACGAATGTATACATAAATAAATTGTTCACAAAATATTGCTATAGAATTACATCATACTTATAAAAAAAATTCCAATTTTATATAAAACGCATAAAGTACATGTTATCTGTTTTAATGTATTTTTCCCTTTTTTGTTATCTGATATAAATTCTTTACAACATAAATTTAATATAAACGATAATTAATTTATAATAATAAAATATAGGAACTTGTACAGTTGCATTAAAATTAAATTTAAATCATAGAACATCTCGCACTAAATTACTTTCATCAGTATAATAAATATTCTAATAGCTAAAATAATGATTAATAAAAATTATTTTGAGAAAGATTTCTAAAATATAGAAATTTGCATAAATTAACTATACTAAATCATGATGTAGAAATAGTATTTTGCTTTTCTCTTTCTCTTGAATATTCAATATTCATATATTAAGATAAAGGAGAATGCCCTAAGCATTGCCATTCAGGTTCACCGCAATCACAAGTACGACCTGCATGTCGCACTTGGAATACAGTAACAATACCTCTACTATCGTCAAATCTACATGTAATATGCAAATCATATATTAAAAAAGTGTAAAATTGGCTACCCCATCTTTGCCTTAAGTACACTGATCTAGGATCTTCTCTTAATACATTTTCTATAGCTTGCTTTTGTTCTTCAACTTTATCGTCTGAAATCTCATTTAATTGCATCAAAGCACGTTCATTGAAAATTACTGATAATGTTGTTGTACGAGGCTGCGAAATCCAATTCGGTATTCTTATCTCAGAAAAATTACCCTCCATTGCTGTATTTATTGGCACAGATGATATGGTTGTTGCTGCGTGAATATCTGGTAAAGTTCGCGATGGTGTCAAACTCTGAGACTCAAGTCCTTCCTCTCCATCGGGTGCTTCACGTATTCCCATTCTTACAGGAGAATTATCGACTCTTGCGTGCAACACATGATGATTGACTAAATCTGTATCTGTACCACAAACTGTACTGGGACCATCTGCTCCATCTAACAATCTAGAGTTGCGTAAAGATTGATTTTCGGTATAATTTATTTCATTATCATTATCTCTTTCTACATATGTTGGCTCTGTATTGCTAGGATTATTTATATCTATATCATGTAATCTGCTATTCAAATCTCTAATAGAATCTGTCTGTGATTCGGCTATTAATATTGCAGCATTCTGTTGAATAGAATAATCCAAATCTGATCTCACGTCAGACCTATCTTGTATTGTTTGATATGTTTCTGTATTCATATCTGTAGTATCAATTTGTAATGAAGTAGTATTGTTAGCATAAGCTTCCATTAATTGAGAAGATTGTCTTGTAATATCATAGCCACTAAGATTTGAATCTGCTTGAAATTCTTCTACCTGGAGCCTTAAGGCTATTTCTTCATCTTTAGAAATATCAAATTCAACTTGTTCAGCATTGTTGGTATTTGTATCGTCAATAAGAAGATCAGTTGATTGATCCTCACTTAAATTAACAATATCTCCCATATTATGAAACATGTCCGAGACATTCATATTATTCTCTCTTGACCTATTACTTAATTTTTCAATATGTAATGGGCTATCATATTGTGGTATATATGGTTTTATATCTAGAACAGGGGTCTGGTTAACCATGTCAACACCTTCAAAATAAATTGTATAATTCTCAATTTTTAAAATCTTAACTAAACTTAGGCCAATAGGACATGGTCGATGTGGAGAACGTGTAGAAAATACGCCTGTTTTTATTCCATTCAATCGTGGTGGAGCTACTTTTGCACGAGTGTGCGTTGAATCATTTCTATGAAAATGAAATAAAATCCTATTGAAAAGAGAAGCAAAGGTTATTATTTGTTGTTCTATCAATAATGATAAAATTATGTTTTTGAACAAATTATACTATTCTTACCACATATGTGAAAAATCCTGCAAACCCTGTAATGCATGATCTGGATTTGTAAATACAGAATTATAAAGTGTTAATTTTCCTGGAACCTTTCCACATATTCCAGGTTGTCTTGGAGTTGCTCTCTTGTTGGGAAACCAAGTAGAGATGATACCAATAGGTTTTAATTTGAGAATGTCTTGATCTTTACTTGTACCAGGCTTTGCTTCTTCTTTAGATGAAGCTATTAGCTTGGAGTGCGAAAAAGTCTCCCCACATTTTTGTAATTCCAAGAAACGTTTAATATTATCGACATCTTTATCAAGTATATATCGTAGACCTTTCACTTGTTGTCTGTAACATATTAAATCAAACTTCTATTAAAAAGATTTAGAAAATATTTAGATGTGCATATGTGGAAACTTAAATAAAATCAATCTATATTAAATTGCAATTTTTATTATCTTTTTTTTTTATTAACAATGTATATATATATATATATATATATATATATATATATATATATATATATACATGTAATATACAATAAAATAACAAAATAACCTATGATAACTGCTGATCATATTTTCTGCTAAATGTGAGATATCATTACATGAGATTAATGTATAAATATTAAAAAGGAATGAGTATATATATATATAATAATAAAACGGGATAGAAAAACAAAATAATTAAAATAAAATAATTACATATTGATATATGCAATGCAATATGTATATATACATGATTAAAACAAATAAATTTTTTAAAATACCTTAAATTATTAATCTCTTGTCTCGCCGTATTCAATTGACCGAGCAAATATTCAATAGTTAAGCTAGAATTCTGACAAGTCAAATCCATATTTGTTCTAAGGGCTTGAGAACGAAGATATTGTAATCGTTACCGACAGAGTCGTAAACAGAAGTCGAAGACGTAAGCAGTGGGTCTGTTCTTTTTAGCTGCACTACTACATTAGTGCAATAAGTTGGAAAGAGACAAACATATTTTCTTTCACTCTAACTAATTGCACTAGTGTAGCAGTGCAGATAAAAAGAACAGACCCAGTGTTGCAATTGGAGGAATAAATCTCGCGCATGCGTAATAGCACGAATGCTAGCAGACGTTTTATGCTTCAGTCATGTATGTATTTCGCTATAATAAAGGATGTTCAATGAGACTGCTCGTAGGAGAAAGAATAAAAATATACATTAGGAAGGAAATGGTAATATATAATCAATATATAATATATAATATATAATATAATCTTGTATATTATCAAATAATATCAATGAAATATTATTGAACATTTTATGATAGATTATAATATTTATTATTATTTAATATAATAATAATTATTATTATTTGATATAATAATTATTATTATTTTATGATAAAGAAAAAACAAAGCAAAAACTTTATTTATAATATAATTACAAACATAATTAATAATTACAAATATAAAAATAATTACAAATTATAATTAATTATAAAAAATAATTACAATTATAATTAAAATTGATTAATTATAATTTCTACGTAAGTAAAAAATTCTTTTATGACAAGCATGTCATAATTAATGCTATGTAAATACAAAACATTTAATATAAATAGGATATGTAGCATGTATTAACATTAAAATCGAGAAAATTGCTAATTTAGCCCCCTTTTCTTCCCAACAAAGTTCTTGCATCGCACGAACCTGTAAATCGGTCACGTGATCTCTCACGCATGCGCACGAATATCTCACCTGCTGAAGTGTCCCTCCAATTCGCTGTCACTGACCCACACGAGGATTGTTAAGGATCAAGAGCAACTGATGGCGTAAATTAGTATCGAACGCGTGTTCGATTTTAGTATTCCACGTTTGTAAATCGTTTTATTCCTTAATAACATGAAGATCTTGGAAGATCCCATTTTTAAAACTAAGTACATGAAAAGCAAACTCCGCGTAAAACAATGGGAAAGCGATTTTATGGAAAAGTACGGACGCAAGCCTAACAAAGTATGTTGCTTCTCACTTTTGTTTATATTTTCATCATATTTCATGTTATATAGCGATTATTTGATTTTTATTTTGCATCCATACATACATCAGTTGCGTATTAAATAAATAGAAAAAATTTAGAATTATATTCAGTTTTAAAAATAATAAACTAGACAGAAATGCAAATTCAGTACTTTTAAAAGTTTTGAGAAGTTTTATAATTGTTATTAATAAGATTCTTTATTATCTCTGTATTATCTATATTTCTATATTATCAAGGATCATCTTGTATAATATTTATATTGTTTCATTTATTTTATTTTATTTTTTGTCATCTTTTTCAGAATGACATAAAAGAAGCAGATATTTCTATCAAAGAAGCATACAAGATATATTGGAAACTAAAAACGCGCGCCCTTGAGGAAACTCTTACAGATATTACTTTCTACGATGATGTGCAAGACAATGTCACTAATAACTTGCTACAAAAATCAGTAGATGATCAGGATAGGATTCCAAGTCCAGAAAAAAATACAAAAGATACAGAGAACATAGATCCACATGATAGTAAATGTTTTACAGAAATTGAGGATTCTTTCAGTGAATTGAATACACCAACAAATGTTGAAGGAGTTTGGGGAGATAATTTGAACAAGATCAAGGAAAAGCCGAAGCGGAAGCAATTATTGATTGGTAGAACTTCATCTTTTCAACTTTCTAAAAACAAGTTTGAAAGTTCAACCTTTACTAAACGAAATCCCAGAAAATCATTATCATTGACTAAAATCAGGAACAAATCTGAGAGTAATTCTAGTTCAAGTATTGATCAGAGTGGTAAAGATGATGGCTTTGATACGACAGTTAATGAAGTGAAGTCTCTGTTTGGTGAATCAATGAAATTAACATTTAAAGAAAGCAAACCTACCAGTCAATATTCCATCAATGCTGTCCAACAATTAGCAGATGGCCACATGACTTGTGTAAGCCGTAATTTAAATGAGGGTTGGCTTGATCGATGTACAAAGGAGAGTAATTTGAACATAGAAACTATTAATCTACAAAGATTCTCGGGTACTAGCGATTCTGGAGTGGAATCAATGGAATCCAGTATTCATTCTCCAAAGTCATCTGTTGCGCATTCTGCCACAATGCTCCAAGTTTCCGACGAAGATTTTATATGCAACAGTGATTCCGAAGAAGAGTGCAGGAAAAAACGTATCAGAAATTTCAAAAAACAGTTAAGTAATCAAGATAATGATCATCCTACAAAACGACAATGCGTTAAAATTGATTTTGATTCCACGATTATTGAATCTAATGCTATAATCAATAATGATACATTCAAGCAGACTTGTTATGTTAATGCAAGTTCTGATTTAATATTGAAAAATAATTATAGTAAAAACGCAGCTGATGACAATATTAATACATTTAAATTAACTAACGATATTAAAACGAATTTTAATACATTGAACGAATCAGTTAAAATTGAAAACAATATAATTCCCTTGGATTCAAACATCGAGTCGAACATTGCTAATAATGATAAAAAGACATCTGAGAACATTTGTCAAACAAATAGTAGGTCTAGAGTAACAAATACCATTCCTGAATCAGCTGATTTTATAAATCAGGAAAACACTTTGATGTCTAATGAGAAACCAGTGAGGCAATGTACACGTGGAAGAGAGAAACAAGTATTATTTGATTCCAATCCTAATTGTACAGAAGAGAAAACTAAAAAGACAAAAGTAAAGACGAATGGCACTACGAAGATACGTTCCGTTAAAAAATCTACAGATCAGCAAAATAAAGAAAAGACGATGAACAATGAAGAAAAATGCGATATGAGAGAAAAGAGAAGATCTCTTAGAAGAAAATCAAGTTTAGAGGATGAGAAAAAGCAAAGTTCGGACCTGGAAACATACGAAATTCCGACATACGACATGAAAATGTTGCAAACGGTTCCTCGCTTTACAATAAAACCAACAGAGACTAGCGATCTTATCGCGCAACTTTCCGAATCGCTTCGCACTGATGAACTAGAAAATGATACTCTGATACCTTCAAAAGCAAATCCCAAACTGACTGCGATAGAGAAGCTGGAGAAGAAAATGGATACCGGAACGATGAATAATAATTTCGTTAGGATAAATTTGAAAAAGAAGGTGTACGTGCGAGGCAAAAAGAACTTCAGTTTGTTTAAGTATAAGAGAAATCAGTGGAAAAATAGGAAGAAGCTGGCATCCAGCGAAAGCAGTTTGGATGCAGCTGATCTGATTGACAAAAATGGCATAACATGTTTTAAATGCGGTGAGTCTGGGCATTTCGCTAAATGTTGCACAACTTCCAAGAATGCTACTCTTTTGCCTTTGAACGAGATCGACGAATCTACAAACTTTCCGACTCTGGAGGAAGCTGAAAAGATGGCCAGTAAGAACGCACAAATTGCGCAAGGTCATAGAACCGATTGGCTTTCGCAAGAATCGTCTTATTCCACTACGAATATTTCGTGTTCGCAACACGAAGAAAACAAAGACATAGCGAAGTTATTCGATGACGACTTTCCGGACGTCAATGAAAAAGATTTAATTTTCCAGCATAAGATACCACAGGAATTATTGTCCAGATTATTGCCGCCTGAACGAGGAATAGTCGATCCGCTATATTCTGCAAACGAAGATGGTAGTCTTATCAAAACTCCGACGGAAGTCTTCGAAGCGTTGCGCACGTTTGGTCATGAAAGTTTTAGGACCGGCCAAGAGAAAGCAATCATGAGGATTTTGTCTGGCCAGTCTACTCTGGTGATGCTATCGACGGGTTCTGGGAAATCCTTATGCTACCAATTGCCGGCGTACCTGTACTCCCAGCATTTCCGCTGCATTACTCTAGTAATTTCACCCTTGGTATCCTTGATGGACGATCAAGTAATGGGTATGCCTAAGGTTCTGTCCGCTGCATGTTTGCATACCAATCAGACACCGAAGATAAGAGAGCAAGTGATGCAATCGGTGAAGGATGGTAAAGTGAACATTCTTCTGGTGTCACCGGAAGCAGTGGTAGCTAGTGAAAAATCTACTGGGTTTGGTGCCCTCCTCAAGCAGCTACCGCCAATTGCGTTTGCTTGCATCGACGAAGTCCACTGCATCTCTCAATGGTCGCACAATTTCCGACCTTCCTATCTGATGGTTTGCCGAGTGCTCAAGGAGAAGCTGCGCGTGAAGACGATATTGGGACTTACGGCGACTGTCACGAAGACCACTGCAGAAAGTATAGTGAAGCATCTGGATCTACACGACGGTATGTCCGGCATCATATCCGACGTACCCTTGCCTAAGAATCTCATTTTAACGGTGTCCAAAGATGAAAACAAGGATTACGCGTTGATCGCGTTGTTGAAGAGCGACAGATTCCGCGAACTTGACTGTATAATAGTCTACTGTATTCGTAGGGAAGAGTGCGAGAGAATCGCAGCCTTGTTAAGAATATCGCTGAAGGTAAATATTAAGATTTTCTTCCTTATAATTATTGAATTACAATGTCAACAGTTGTAAAATATATTAGTTTTTTTTCATATCTTTTATTTGAGTAAAAAATTTAGGCAGTAATCTTTTTTATTCTTATGAATTAAATCTGTACACGTATTGGCAGGATCCGCGAAACCCTGAGAAGCCAAAGGCGAAGATATCCACGATAGCCGAGGTTTACCACGCCGGTATGACGGCTTACAAGCGCAAAATTGTACAAAAGGAGTTTATGAGTGGCAAAATTAAAATTGTAGTTGCCACTGTTGCATTTGGAATGGGCATCAATAAATCAGACATTCGAGCTATCATTCATTATAATATGCCCGGTACCTTCGAAGGATACGTGCAAGAGATTGGTCGTAGCGGAAGGGACAGTATCACTGCACACTGTCATTTATTCTTGAATCCTACGGTACTTATTTGAAATTTCAAAATTACTCTCTTTTGAAGAAATCTCTCTTATTCATCTTCGATTATTAATCTATTTATTATTATTTCTAAAACATATAGCAAAATAGTGATAAATGGGAATTACGTAGACATATACATGCGAACGGTGTCGATAGATATACGATTAGACATCTGCTTCAAAGAATTTTCATCCCTTGCTCTTGCAAAAAAATCAATGAGAAAAATTCCAATTGGAGGTGTCCTGGTCACGAAGTCGCTCTTCCAATCGATGAGATCGTAAAAGACCTTGATATTACGCAGGAAACAATTTCGACATTACTCTGCTATCTCGAATTACACCCAAAGAGGTTTATTACCGTGTTGTCGTCTGTATACGTGCGAGCGCGGGTTTCCAGCTACAATGGACCACAAGCTCTTAAACAAGCGGCACAATCTGTAAGACTTTACTCCAAATATCAGTAATATATTTTAGCAATATATCAGTAATATTTTAGTTAATAATAAAGATAACATTTTATTTTATTATGAGAAAGAAATGTACACACTTTGTTAATAGAGCAATAACATAATGAAAGATACAGCAAAAACAAATGATTAAAAAAACAATATTGGAAGAGAATATATAAATAATGAAAAAAGAATGCATTTGTGTAAATTCGGAAGCTCGTACAAAATCGAAAAAATTGATACAAATTCAGACAACCGCTCATGTTTATCCTAAGTAACTAATTTGACTTTGATTTTAGTCTCCACCACTTGCAATGGCGATAGCATTGGACATGCAGAAGGGGATTTCGCATGAGGACAGTAACATCATAGAATTTTCGGTAATCAACGTCGCATCGGCCATAGGCTGGGATAGTGGGATAGTAAAGAGTCATCTCAAAACGTTGGAATGGACGACAGGAGGTAAGGATTCCAACAAGTTTCTTGGGAAATGTTTGACTTTTTTTTTTAAATGTGTTTCATGGTTATAACGGAGAACATGTGTTTTACAGCTGATGGAAAAACGAAACGCTCGGCTATATCGGTACAATACGATAAACTCGGCTTACGAGTGAAAGCGCCGGGTGATCTGACAGACACGGAATTGGATGAGGCGCTTGACACACTGATCGCCCGTACCCAGTCTCAAGAATCTTCGTGTTTGCAGCAACTCGAACTCATATCCTTCGCGTTCGATAAAATTAGCGTACCAACGATCAAGGATTGTTTGATTTTGGACGACGATGTCATGAAGAGATCGGACGAACTTAAAAATATTATCAGAGACTACTTTCAATCGGATTCTCCTTTAAATAATGCTGATATTGGTTTCCAGGTACTTTCCCATCGTGAAATTTATTTATGATTTTTACAAATCTTTAATCATTAAGCTACAAGAGATTTTTATCTTTACTTGTTTTGTATAGGATAAGGTGACGAATGAGGAGCAGATTGCTGCCGATGTGCGCAATTTGATAATACGTTATAGAGATACGAAATTTACTGGTCGTGCTGTAGCTCGCATCTTTCATGGAATACAAAGCCCGAATTATCCTGCATTGATTTGGAGCAAGTGTCGTTTTTGGAGGGTACATATCGCTGCAAATTTCAATGTTATTTGTAAAATTGCGACTAGAGAAATTCTAGCGTTACGATAACGAGATTGGTTAATCGAATGATAATGTACTTGACATATATTTAATTCTTTCTATTATTATTAACTTCATTTCAAGTTTTATTGAAATAAATTTTAATAGTGCATTGAGAAATTGATATGAAAAAAATTATTTCTCTTTAAAAACTTACATGGTCTCAATATTCGATTTCACGTTAATTTATCAAAATTTCATTAAAAACAAGTAGTCGTGTAAACTTATTTTATGTTTGGAGATATTGTATATAAAAAAATGTTAATGAAAAAAAAAAAATAAAATGAATATTTTGTGCGATATAAGATACATATAAAATTAAAATACATTAAAATTAATATAGCAATTACTTTTATACTTGTTAAATCTTGACTAAAAAAATTTTAATGTAAACTTTTCTACAAGGTTGTAATACTAAGCAAGAATTAATATAAAATATTTCTTTCTCGTGTGTTTAGTGTGTTATAATACTTTTAATTTTTAATAGAGAAACATTCGTTAATATTTTTAAAAGTACAAGATATGAAACTTTATATTACTCTTAAAAATACAAAATATGAAATTTAACAAGAAAATAGATTAATCGCTTATGTTGACAATCTTCTCCCTTTACCTATAGAAAAATATAAATATATTTTTAATGTATATAACAATTTTACATGAATATAATAGTTATTTTACATAAAACTTTAGAAACTAAGAGGTTGAAAATATTATTGCAATTATTATTATTATTATTTTAACGAATTCTACGACGCTTAAAGTATTGCTAGGTACGCTCACCTCGTTCAAATTCACGTTACTACTCTCTTCATGTAGTTACACTGTCGCAAAAATTTGTGCATCCGAATTTGATGCAGTTTACCGACACGATTCATGCAAGTTTCGTTCTGACAGAGAGCGCAAAACTCGGCAGAGATATCGTGAAATGGTGAACGAAAGTATACGCTGGCGTCCTTTAGGGCCTTATTCTTGTGATGTGCCCACACATGCAGAATGACCTTAATGTAGAAATAGCATGAAAACTTATGGTTATGTTTACGGAAGTAAACATTTTTCAAAAAATATCGACATTTATAATACCTCGAAAAGCATCAATAAGGCAAGGAACCAGCGAAAATAGATGATGGCCGGTAAAAACAGACAGATGGGATTTATCTGACCAAAGGAAGCACCCGCTGGAACAGGCTCTACCTCTGTTAAATGGCGTTTTTTTGTGGATTTTTCCTTTACCTCCTTCGGTATCTATAAGAGATAAAACATTTATTGCAATAAAACTAAATATTGATCTCATTAATTTTAATGATTTTAAAGTATAATTATATATTCAATGTTATATTATGATTTTAATTATATATATATATATATATATATATATATATATATATATATATATAATTAAAATCATAATATAACATTGAACAAAAATTCAAAAGATTTTAGCTAGTTATTTATTACAAAGTTATAAACGAATAAAGTTAGTCATAGCTTGATATTTTGAATGAAACAAGGTCTAAAAGTAAATGGTACTGCATAGATTATCAATTTTCCTTGCAAAGCGAGGTCTATCATTTTGCATTCAATGCAGCAGAGGATGTAAGATGGAGCGTTATATAACAAACATTTTGTGATTTCGCTTTTTATGTTCTTCATTACATCATCAAGATGAACACTTTTACGTTACTGGACTTTTTCTTATTAGATCTTAATGTGTATTTGCTTCCATTTGTTTCCATTGAGGAGAGAGACTTAAAGAATGAGAAAGACTCGAATAGATCAGAGAATAAATTATTTAAACTTATATAAAAATAATGAGCATCTTGATGCTGTAGTAATGAACATAAAAAACTGTTTTTTAAAAATGTTTCTTATGTAACAGTGCAAAAACAGTGGAAAAATGTTTCTTATATAACAGTGCAAAAAATCTCTTTGAATAATGCAAAAAAAAAATTAAAGAAAATTCCATTAAAGAAAAAATGCAATTGCATCTTTGCACTTACGAAAAAATAAGTTAATAAAGAAATCGACATTGTAACTTTTGTTTGTTATTTTCTTTTTCAATAGGAATATTCTAGAACTTATCTTAATTGCGTAACGCACCTTTATGTTACGAATTCACAATATATTATGTATAAACATTATATATATCTTATTTTGTGCATTTATATAAATTAATTTCAAGATTATATTAAAAATTAATTAAAAATTTATATTTAAAAATTAATTAAAAATTTATATTTAAAAATTTATATTTAAAAATTAATTAAAAATTTATATTTAAATTACGATTGATTATAAATATAATAAAACGATAATATAATATAATAAAACGAGAAATAATACGAATAATATAATAAAAGAAGAAAAATTGATTCGAATTTCAAGTCAGAAAATTTAAAAGAGAGGATACACGGATGCAACTATTTTCTCAAGTACCTGAAATGGCACTCTCCTATGACCTCTAACCGTGTTGTCCATGTGATTGACTTCCGGTTCTCCAGTTTCCGCATCATTTATCGCCATTGAGTCGATCGAATGATGAATGTTGCAATCAACGAATGGATGGATCATATCCTCGCCAGTCTCCTCATCTATATAAATCCGATTATCCATATTGATTCCTTGTTCGTGCATTCGATGAAAAAAAATCAGTATAAAAAGCTGCTCAGCTGTCGATTGCTGGGTCTTTGGGGTCACGCTTCCCGGATGTCTACCTTGCTCGTATTATACTAATCGCGACACACACTCTGATAGAGAACAGATTCCTAAACCAAATTGAAGAACAATCTGCAATAAGAATGTTTTGATTTCACAGTATCAATTCTAGAAGATAAAATTAATATTATGATTAATAATAAATTAATATTATGAATTAAAATTAATATTAATAATGTCATGTATTGGGATAGAGTGTCATAAATATAGATATATGGTTGCGATATTAGATTTTTAAAATCACAGGTATTTCGCATATTTTACAGGTTCCTATAATATTTAATTGATTGCGTTATAGGCTATCCTCTGCATATCAAAAAAATTAAAACGAAAATAGAATACAAATACTCATTGAAAAACATATAAAGTACGCGATAGTCAATAATGAATAGTCAATAATGAATCATTCAGAAGCCAAGAAATCATTAATATACATAATGTTGCATTACAATGATATTTTGCAACATACATTTTCAAATAATAATTTCAAATAGTTTTTATTTTTATTTTCAAATATATAATTTTTAATATTATATAAAATATATAATATCTAATATATTGTAATAATATATTAAAAACTATAATATTATATATTATAGTAAATAAACTTTGAGTCATATTCGAAGATTTTGATAATATTGAAATAAAAATAATATATTGTTGTAAATAATGGTGCGCTAACATTATCCTAACATTCTACGGTAACGTTTTAATAATATTTAATCTTTTTATAATGTTATAGATAAATTCAATGTGTGATTAAATAAAAAATATAATTAATAATAAAAAAATAAGAAGATAATTAAATTTAATTTATATGAAAATATTATTATATGGAAATAATTTGATTTTTTACCTCAAGAGTAAGCAATAAATGGACAATTTCTCATTCGTCCACTCAATTTCAAACAATTAGTTTAATATTTTGAGAATAAGAGACTTAATCTTAGAAATAATTACATTATATTGTATAAACGTTGAAACAATATTCAAAAATATTTGGAAAAATATACCTTATAAACATTTTATATAAATAATCACATTTTATATTATTAGATAACACTTTTAAAATGTTTGTAAGAGATGCACATATCAATCAATATATTCAAAATGTTTCTTCCTTATCGAGAAAGTAATATTCAAAAAATATTTATAATATTCCCTACATTTTTTAAATATTCAGAAATATAGATAATATATTTTAAAAATATAAAACGTCTGTTCATCGAAGAATGTTCACAAAATGCATGTGAAATTAATATCAAAATTAATTTTACGTTTTTTGCTTACGTTTCTAAGCATCTGTTGCTTGTATTAAAAAAATCGAGATGCTATTTTTCAAAAATAATATTTTTAAAAAATTATTTACTTTCTTTTATTGATTCAATGATATTATTCGACAAGATTTAAAGGCAGATAGATTGCAGGTTTCTTTACTTATTACATCGAATCGTATAATATTAATCATGTTCATAAAGATAACAATAAATCTCACAGCTATTAATATCATCAGCAATACATGTAACATGTGTATTTACATTTTTCTTGCATGCAGTCATGACTTTTGCAAATCTACAACACATAACTTCGCGGTTTTAATAAACTGACAATCTTTTTTTCTCCTCTTTACATTCTTTTTAATTTAGAAGAGAATCGCTGATGTCCGAAAATGTCAAAATCAACTATAATTGCAAAACACATTAAATCCAAAATATAAAACTTTAAAATTTTACAATATGTATACATAGGCAAGCAAGGTTTAAAAAATAACAATAAAAAATTTATAATTAAAAAAAAAAAATATATATATATATATATGTATATATATATATATAATAAATAACATATCGTTGCACTTGATTCTTGATAGACTGGATTCTAAGATAAACGTGTTTCTCGCTCTAAATAAAAACTTGATGTGATTTTTACACAAGACAAATTAGTGTCGGAAAAAAATAATCATCAATAAACTTATATAAACGACAGAGCGCAATTTACACTTGTTTTTTTATATACGAGATGTAATTATCAATGTAAATATGATAATGCAGTGCAATTTTTTAATATCATAACAGTTGCGAGCAAAAAGAGCGTTAAAACCAGGTTAAAGTTCAAAGAGAAAATTGACATTTCATATACAAATTGTACACAATTCCCTCCTTTATATATTATATTATCTTAACTTATCGTTAGATATTTTAAATAATAATAATTGGTATAATCAAGAGATATGGTAAATATTTCGTGCCAAATCACGCGCAGTAATAAAATGAAAAATAAAGCAATTTTAGACGATTTTATAAAAATATCTTGCCATATATATTTCGAGTCGCTAATGTGTGTATGTATAACTGTGTAAATGCGCTTTCCTCTTATTCATATATAAAATATAAAACATATTTATTTATCAAATACACATACATATATTCTCATAAAAATACGTTTTTTAGTATGTTAGCTATAATAATATTTCTTATCTAGAATGTAAGAAATTAAATAGATAAGACTTTTCTTCATATATTAAAATGAAGGTGTATGAGATGCATTCTTATCAGAATACAATACGACAAATATAAGATATACATACGTAAAAAATAGCCACATACATATAAAGCTCCGAAAATTAAACAATGGAAGGTGGAAATTTAAATAATTATATAGAAAAAAGAAAAAAAAAATATATATATATATATTCGCGAATTTTTTTTCAAAGAGGCAAAAATGTAACAAATATTTATTATCAATATTTTTAAATTAAGAAAAAAAGAAATGTATATTTGTATATACGAAATTGTATATACGAGAAATAAAATAAAAAAATCACGCGGAAAATAACGCGTAATTACGAATTGGAACTCACGCTATTGGCGATGTTATCGCGATATTTAATATGACCTTCGTAGCTGAAGCAACTTAAAATACGGTATCAATCCATTTCGCAAATTCACTCACCAAGTTAATTCCATCAGTGCGGATGATGTCATGGTCCAAATGCAGTTAAATTACAACGCGAAAATGCGGTTAAAATACAGCGCGATGTCACGATCACCATAGAAGTGCACAACACATTTAATTAACGATTTTATACAATGTGCATGACTCGCATCGCGTTGCACGTCTTCAAGTGTCTACGGTAATTTATAGCACTAATATCACACACAATCAACATCGAACCGGATTGGATCGAGCTTTGAGTCATCGACTGAATAAAATATTCAAGACCATCGACTCTAAGTAAATTTTTTTTTCATAATTATCAGCGGGCTTGGAAATAATGCAGGATAGAAAATACATAGACGGAACGTCAGCTGTGTTGAATTTCTAAAATATAAATTTTAATATATTTTTATTTTGTTCTCCCTTCAAAAATTTCATCCTCGTAAGCTCCATATTAGAAGAAAATAAAATGTGTTGCTCTTAGTATTTAAATTATCTTTCGTTTATTTCATAATTAAATAACTTAGTTTATTATATAATTAATATTATAATTAAACTTATAAAAATAAAAAATAGGAGCAATTATTGACGAAAGATACTAATGGGGAGGACAGTCCTCCCATTTAGTAAAATTTGTTCTGTCCCCCGGAAGACGCTATTTGTCCTCCAATTTCGACAAATGTTTCCCTCTTTTTTTTTCGTCGAGCGGTTGTGATATACAGAAAAGAGAAATATATTAATATGTACATATGCGTAAATATAAATATGTTGTTATAGTTTGAAATATATTAATAATTACGGCTGCAATACTTATTTATTTTAATTCATCTGCCTATTCGATTTCCTTTTTTTTAGGAGGGAGGAGAGGGTTTTCAAAATTGTGTCCTCCATTCAAGATTTTCAAATCTGGCAACCCTAGCTACATGGATTCAAAATATGGATCTAAGTGAAAACCTACCCTAACGTGGAACGATCTTTATACGTCGGGTTGGCAGCCTAGTAACATTTCGACGTCTATGATTTTTCCAGCACGCTCGAGGCGCGAGATCCCGTCAGGTGGCGCCGCCAGCGGCACGACGGTCTTAAGTCAGTGTCAGGCAAGATGGCTGAACGGTGGTGACGAGTCGTGGTATGCACCGCTGGTGGATTCGCTATCACGGCGCAGCGTGGATGGCCTAACGATGGCCGAATACATCGACATCGGCAAGCTCCCGGAGGACGTACGGGAGAAGCTCGCCGAATTGGATCTGGAGCTGTCCGAAGGTGAGTGAAGTTTTTTTTCCCCTTCGATCTCGTCGCAGGGCGAACGATGCGACGATCGTCCACCGCCCTTTGCGACAAATCCCGTCTTTATTCGTTGCGCTTTTTCCTCTCTCCTCTCTCCCTCTTTCTTTTTCCCCCTTTCTCTCTCCATCTCTTTCTCTTTCTCTCACTCGCTCTTTTTGATTCACCCCATGCTACATCGAGACAGAATCCCCTAGAAGCCCCCCCCCCTCCCGTTTATTGATAAAATCGATAACACCTTACGGCCGTTGCCGTCTCCTCTCCATTCCAAACTCGTACTGTTATTTGGGATACTCGGTAAATTGTCGCATTGCTTTTTTTTTGTAAATCTAGCAGCGAGAAAGTATTGTTTAAATTCGTCGCTTATGTGCTAAGAAGAAAAATGTTGGGGGAGGAGCGAGAGGGCGAGAGATAAATTTCAAAATACACTTTGATAAAGTATATCAAAGCGTAATGTCAATACTATTCGTTCATGGTATTTCTCGTTCTTTATTTCTAAAAAAATCAATGGTCGTCCATTCTTTTCAAAATAGAGCACTCCTTTATCCTTCAATCAAATTCACATTGTTACGTAGTTACTTTTGCAACGATCATCTTTTGTATTCTTACGCTTACATTTTATTATGCTTGCGTCGTTTGTTTTCGGATGAATGAAATCATAAACGTCATTAGACAGATTTCAAAATTTTATCGTTCTATTTTGAAGCATTCAGTTTCTCGAATTTATAAATACTTTGCGCGACATACTTAACGTCCATCATTGTGACATTTCAATATTTCTAAGCTTCAATATTTTTATTCGATGAAATTATGCTTTTATATTCGCATAGCTTTTATTTTTATCGCGAAGACTTAAGGAAAAATTCGACGGATCGATTACATTAAAAATTAATGAATTTAATACATTTTTAGATTTATAAGTTTGACATCATCCAACGCACTTTTGCCTTTTAAAATAATTAATTTACGTGTATGAGTTAAAGATTTTTAGAATTAAAATTTGATTTTTATGAATTTTTGTGTCGTATACAGTCAAAATTGTGGTATAGTTATTATAAAAAAAAAAAATTAATAGAAGTTTCCTAATTTTTTTATAAAAAAAAGTTTGTTCGAGATAAAAAAATATATATATTTATTTATTTATTTTATATAGAGTTTGAGATTAAATTATATTCTACGAAGCAAATTTTTTACTTTAATTCATACAAGTTAATTAAAGTAAAATTAATTTAAGTACAGTTATTAATTTTATATTTTAAAATGCTTTGTCAATGTCAAATTTAAATTTAATAAATTTCGAAATATTAGATTTATTACCTTTTGCATAGCTGATTCATCCAGTTTCTCCTTAAATCTCATCGATATGAATCTTTCGACATTGCGGTCGCGTCGTGAAATTACACCTGCGCACGTCACGTTACAAAATTATAACTCGAGCGTGCACCGGCTCGACATCGCAGACACAGGTTCATAGTTTTTTTTTATGAGTAAATTGCAACCGAAGAATATGTTTATTTGCATTTGTGATTAAGGCTATTAAGATGAGAAAGCGACCGGTTTTTCGAGTCACTTTTGCCTAAATAATTTTTAAATAAGAGGTCCTTTTAAATTAAATATTCTTTAAATTAACAAATTAATCGTTTGTTATCGATTAATTAAGAAATATCATATTTTTCATTAAATTTCGTTTCATAATTGTGTGTACAAATTAATTGGATTAAAATCTTGTAGAAACATTAGACACACACGTAAATCTTCTCTTTTTTTCTTATAACTGCTATTACAAAAATATTAAATATTCAAGTCATGAAGTTTGATTTTATATCTTATGCAGTCGATGTTCCAAAAAAATCTTTTATTTAATTTCTTAAAGTTTTCATTACGTAATTATTGATATACATGATATATAATCGTGATAGTCGAATCTTCAAATTTAAAAATTCCCGATAGTTGAGAACGAGCATCAATTAATCATTAAAGTCATGGTTCACGGATATCACTCGTACACTAGTTGAACAAGGAAAATACAATTTCTTTTGGTCAATTATTTACTCGGTTAGCATACAGCACGATTGTAATGTAAGCAGCTTATATAGTCCGGCTGTAAATAAGACTTAAAAGTATCTATGTTACACACAGTGGCGTCATGCATCCGCATTAATAAAGAAGAGACAGCTCCATTGTGACGCTCAATTTTGAATTACGCGAATAATTCTTGTTACACAGCATTTTTACGTGCTTCTGACTGATACTTTATAGTCTTACAGCTTTGATTACTCTGTAAGAAAAATATAAATTTACTTTTCAATTAATTAAAGTTATTTTTAATTAAATTTTGCCAAGCAATTTTTGATAAACAGTAATTTAGCTGACTGATATTTTAGATCACATGGTAAATAAAACTGGCAATACGTAAAAAATAATCCTTATACTTGAGAAAATGGCTAATTCATTTCGAAAACGTAATCAATTATATAAAAAGTTATATATTAATCATATATGTGTATATGAATAATATATCTCATAGAAACTCTGAGAAGTTATATTATCGAAATTCGAGACGTAAACAAAATATAAAGCAGAAAGATTTCAGTTGCTTTGTATATCATTATTACATGCATTTATGCACATGCATGCAACTGCAAAACACAGTTGTACCTTTAGTAAAACTCTGTTTTTTTTTAACATTTGATGCAATTTTTTATTTTGTATAAAGAAATTTAAAATTAGTTTAGGGAATTTTTTTAACGTTAAGTTACGAAATAATAGGAGATATTAATTTTAATTTAAGGAGTATTATTAAACTTATTTGTCTTGTTAAATAATATTTAATTGACTCAAAAAATGTCTTTCAGTTTAGATACAAAAATTTATTTGATTCTTAAATGTTGATATGTCTGAAAGATTCTTTAATTCAAAATGTTTGAAATAAATATATAGTATATTCACTTTTTAAATAATCTAACAAAAAATACTCTAATGGTATAAAAAAATTATTGAAGAAATGATATAACGAAATTATTGAATTTAATAAATTAATGATATAATAATTAATTTAAAAATAAAAATAAGATATTTAGAGTGTGATGATAAGGATGCTTTACTTTTTTGGTATTTATTTTTTTAGAATAAATTTTTTAAATTATTTGATGTATTACTTTATAGATGTTAATAATATAAAACCTCTATATTTTTAAATCTTTCAATTTAATTTAAAATAAACAGTTATATATGACATCTATTTTACTCCAGTTTGATGAATGTTTTATTCATTTATTGCAAACACATGAATATCGTTATGTAAAGATTTCCTTTCAAATACAGATTTTATACGTATTTATCGGTGATTCAGACCATTGACAAGTTATGAAGCCATTTCTTTGTCGCGTAATCTTTTTCGTCGCATAATCCTTTCCCCAGATATGCACGATGTTAAGTCATAAAGTCTCGATATACGAGCCGTTGATACTAGAAAAAGAATAGAAAGCGATCTCAACCTACAATTTCATAATTGCTGTGTTATTATGCGAGGCCAATTAGAGGTAACGCGTGCGTTTATCTCTACGATTTCCGTAGATTCGCGGACGATTGCATCGCGATTGTCTAATCTTATAAATTATCGTTAATTCTGTACAAACATCTCTATATATTGGAATTAACATAGAAAGCATCTTATAGATGAACAATATTCTTTTTCCTAAATAAATGTTAAGTCATAAATATACTAAATGCTCAAACAATTCATCGCATTTTCTCTATGAATGAAATCATTTAAACTATGTGAAAAGTGTCAGCTTCAGAATTCTGTTTCAGAAGTGAGTTCGTGTGACATTTCTGAAATACGTACTCTTTTGACACTTTTCGTTTCACGAGAGACAGCGAGGAACGGGATCAGAGACAGTTGATTAGCTCCAATTCCATCACACGCAGGTGCAATTGCGAGAGAGCGGAGTATCATGCAGCAGCACCTCCTCTTTCACGAATCCGTGTATAAGATCAAGGTCGACAGATTCATGGGTAAATGTCCTGGAGTGTCCTTGAGCCGGTGCGCAACGCGCATCATAGATGATTCCTCGCGCTCTTATCGACCATTATAATGTCCCTCCTCCGCACAACGTCCTAACAATGTACCTATGCACGGTGCAATGGTACGCGTTTGCCGTGTCCAGGACCAACGGTATCGAATATCTATGGTATGTAAGATCTTAAGGATTCGTGATTCGCGCTTAGAACGATGGTTTCCTCGAGAGTCGTTTGAAAGTATTACGTGGAAATGTTAAAGCTTGTGTAAAATTGTGTAATTATCATCATATGGGATGTCCAATGAGACTTGTGGTCTGAATTTCAATGATAGATTTTCTTGTAAGTTTGGGATCAATTTCTCCTCAGTAAAAATAAGTAATTTTATAGAATCTTACGAAATTATATAATGATTGAAAAAGACGTCGTAAAATTAATTAAAAAAAAAATCAGATAATCAAAATCATATTTTTTAATTTAAAGCGAATATTTTTTTTAAATAGAATTTGTTTTGAGTAATAAAGATATATAATATCAAAAAGTAGAAAACTGTAATTGATTTCTCTTGATATTTCGTAGCTAAAAAAAAATTGGATTCAGGATAATTACTTTGAATTATTATAATGAAACTAGTGAGTCTTGAGACACTTTGCATATCTCGAAAGTTGTCTCTATCAACAATTAATTATATTATTATTTGATTAATTTCTTCATCATTAATCTTTTTTTATTTGTACAAGAAACTTTATTGTGAAATATATAATTCTAAAAAGATATGTATATGTATATGTGACACAAAAAGAGTTCAAAATAGGATATTTATTCTTTAGAAATAATGCGTGTGTTTATCTCTATAATTTCCGTGGATTCACGAAAGATTGCAGATTATCATTAATTCTATATAAATATCTTTATATAACAAACATCTCTATACTATAAATATCTCTGTTTGGAAAATTTGTCATTTTTAGAGAACTTTTTTAATCTTGAAAAATCAGAAACTTCTTATTTCATTGGAATAAAGGAAATTAAAAAAAAAACTTTTTTTATTAAGTTGTTAAATCTTTATATATTTCAATCAATCTAATCAGCAACAATAACACACAAATGCATATAACTTGGATATAAGTTTATAATAGTAGTGAATTGCATAATCTTCTAGATCATTATACTCTATGTATTATGTATAATATACTATTATATACTTTATATATTAATATTCGAACTTAAGTGGAGTTTCAATTTTTTTTCATGATGATATTAATAAAAAAACATTAAATATAAATTCATTTCAAAATTGCATTTAAAAATTCTCTAATTTTTCCTGAAATTTTGAGCAAAAATATGTGAAAAATTATGAAATTTTAAGACATTTTTTAAAGATGTAAATAAACATCTTGGCACAAGCATCGTTATAAGCCATTCCGTATTATCCACTCATTCATAATTGCAGGCGAACTCGAAGCGTTTGACTTCAGGAGACGATTGAGTGTAGGCGTCTCGAATCTCATTCGCGGAGAGAACATTGATCGCATGTTTTCTCTAGTCTGCAAATATCGTCATTTGTTGGACTGAAGAGATGCAAATGCTTTATGATAAATTGCTACGAATGTGTCTGGACTTGTGCCATCTTTCAGTACGTCCACTCCCCAATTATTTGGATTATACCAAGTATATTGATACTTCTAGAAGTATATTGATAGATCGAAAAGCAATCGATCCATAAATTGAAATTTTTTCACGAAGTAGCATCGTTCAGCGTTTATCTGATTTTCATCTTGTTAATTTTATCTTAAATGCGTTCTTACGTTTTCATTCTCAGAGAGAGACATTATTGGATGGTTGACAGTCAGCACTAAATGTGCGATGGGAGCCCCTGAGTCCCTCTCGGGACTAGGCTTCGCCAAACAAGGCAAAGAATTAAGGATCTGCGAATAAAAGAGAGAGAGAGAGAGAGAGAGAGAGAGAGAGAGAGAGAAATTCTAATTTAACAATTATCTATCGATACGTGTACGTTATATTTTGCGTGAATTTCAACATCGCGGAACAATATCGCGGTGGACCGAAATTCCAGTTGATCCGCATAATCTTACCTTCAGAATCTCTCTCTTAGAAGGAGTTAGCACCAGAGTCGCGAGATCTCGTGGGGGCACGGGCGGCGCGGCGAAGGGTGTCAAGCGAGAGATGAAGCGAAGGAGAGTGGGATGCTGCGAGCGACGAAGGCAGGCGAAAGTCGACGGACGGCATGCCATCACCACTCTTATATTTTCCTTCTCTCTCCTTCGCCGAGCAAGTTCCTGAGCGTTCAAGTCCTCTCGCTCGCTCCTAGTCTGCCAACTTTTACACGCGCAAGCCAGCTTCCCACCCGTACGTTTCCCTCTCCCTCTCCCTCTCTCTCTCCCTCCTTGTACGCGTATGTGTGTGTGTGTGTGAGAGAGAGAGAGAGAGAGAGAACCGCCGAGAGAGAGAGAGAGAGAGAGAGAGAATCGCCGAGAGAGAGAGAGAGAACCGCCGAGAGCCGCGGAGAAGGCGCAAATGCCAGTGATTCGACACGACTTGGAGTATGCGTCTCGACGCGAGACGAAGCGAGCGTCGCGCGAATTCGAACGCGCGGACGCGCGGCATCGGGTACATCGCGCGATCTTGAAGTCTGCCTAGCTCGCGAGCGAGGTCCTTCTCGAGGCGCGTATTCGCGAATCTCCGACTCGGCTAACTTAACACGTAATTTTATTTTTCAAACAATCTCATCGAGCGTTGTTTTCCAACGTGCAAGTAAATGATCTGGTGAGGCAGGAGCGATGGAAAGGCTTTATTCGCCTTCGATGAAACACGAGAAAATATTCCGGATGGAGATATCGTAGAAAAGGGTGTGTGCATGTGCCCCGAGCAGTGATGCGGTAGTGATTTCAAATCGAGCGAACACGAAGTTCTTCCGTTGCGTTTTTGCCGAAAGTAGTTATGATCTCTTTCGATGATACTCGCGAGAATTTCACAAGTGTTTGATTAGGTTGAAGTATACATGGAATTATATATTTTAGGCAGAAGAATGATTGTACTTTCATAGGACTTGGTGCCAAATACAGGGTTTACTTGTCTAATTTTACTCGATATTAAGTGACAAAGTCCTATTTTTAATAGGCCTTTTATTTATCGATCAAGTATTGAGTTTGGAAATTGGATTTAATTGGAAATCCTCTTATGTGCGGAAGGCATTCCGCGCAGGAGTGCGTTCGAATCGTCGAGAGAGGTCGCATGGAGAATGGCGGAGGAGAAGAAGATAGAAATGAAACAAACAACATAATTGTTCGAGGGCAGAGAAAGTATCTGAGTTTCAAGGTACATCGTGTTACATTTCGTGTTTGCTTAAACCATCGAGCAAAAATCCAACGTAAAGCAGGATCGATAAGCTAATCGATTAGATATGGGAACAGAGTAAAACCATGAATTAGGAAAAAAAGCTTATATAATTCATCGGTCAATGACTATTATGTTATAATATTAAATGGAGACACAAATATAGATAGATATGTCCTAATGTTGAAGGTGTATCGTGTGAAAGTGGAGCAATCTTGATTCGAGGAATTTTTAATCTAATGATAAAATCGTGATAAATAATCAACATTGAACTTGAAAAACTTGAAAATAAAACCTGATTATCGATTTTAGAATGCATTGATTTTGAAGATGCTCGTACAGTCCGTGCCAAATCTCCTCATGTAAAATGATCACCTCGGTTGAGCCGAGGATACGCAGGAAGAAAAGGGAAGAAGAGGACAATGAGGGAAGAAAAACGGCAGCGGCGTCGAAAAAGGAAAGCCACGCTGATCATTCACGATTTGAGGACTTCGGTTCTGTTGCACTTTAGCGAGTCTTAACACAACACAGAGAAAGGAAAGAGAAAAAAAAAGGAAAGAGAGAAAGAGGGAGAAGCAAGGGAAAGGCGAATAGAAGGATACGAATAGCAAGAAAAGGGCGAGGAAGAAAGAAAAGTAAAGAGAAAAAGAATCAAGAAGGAAATAAAGTAATCGAAATAGAGAAAAAATTAATAAATTCACTATTTTCACAAATTTTTACTTTTATAAATCCCAGGATTATCTTTATATAAATCTTTGTCGATCAGGCAAATGACTTTTTCTTCCGTATATCTAGGAACTCATTTATCAATTCTTACCACAGAAATATATTCAACTTATATCGGCTACCATTTCTTGAGCATAAATCTATAGTGGTCCTCCTTTTACTTTTGCGAGCTGAGATTGATCGTGTTGCTCTTCATGAGGCCCCTCTCTTTCGAGAATCTGAGAAGGCTCGTGGGCCGTAAGAAGGATCGCAATGAGCCTTCCTTCAAGCGTAGCGAGTCCTTCAAACGAATTTCAATTAGGAAGAGTTACCTGGACCGGGGTAAACGACGGAATCGTATCCAGAAGAACCTGGATACCGCTGTTAATTTTCCTTCACAACCAGCAGCAAATGAGAAGATTATCTCTCAACAAATTAAGGAGCAGGAAGAATCGAAGAAGAATCAAGAATCTTCCCTTAGTCGCGATTTTATCACCTACGACGAATGGCTTCAAGGTGTTCGCTCTGCCTCCCGTGAGAAGCTTCACGAAATTAATGTCGAGTCTCTTCAACATGTCAAAGTTAAGGTTGCGAAATCTGCCAATCAAACCGACTCGGCGGATTCGATCACTGAGGATCTGAAAATTCTCCAACTTGATTCCTCGCCCATTTTAACGTCCAAGCCCAAGCTTTTTAGGATCACCGATGATGAAACGATCGAAAAGCATGACACTCCTTCCTGGACCCAAGAGTCTTCCATGGAAGGCTCACCTAGCGTTAGCATTAGTCTTGGCAGGATATGGAGGGATGCGGTGCCGATTCCGGTACCGGTTTCTGTCTCGATTCCGGTATCAAGCTCTTCTTTCGTCTCGAATTCTTCTCATCATTTTCTGGACAGTGCCTTAAAGGAGAAAAAACCGCAACCGACTATCACAAGAACGGTCTCGGCGCCTGAGAAACCTGTCAGTAAGGACAACACTACTTCATCATCCTTCGGTTTCTCTCTCAGGATCAGCAAGCTCGCGGATTTCAGACCAGGGTGATTAAGATTGAAGCTTGTCGATTAATCAGTGATAGAACGTGTTTCCTTGATCAATGGTATTGGAATTTTCGAATACATTCAGATTTTGTATCCAAATAAAAATTATTATATATTGATTTAAATAGCAGATTATTATAATTTTACATTAATTATTATAAATCTTTCCTTGAGATTGCACAAGTTTGTTTAATTTAACAAAAATTAATTAAATTAATTAAATAAATACCAATAAGATCATTCGTATTTTCACGTTCACTGATTGATCGACTAGAATTTTTCGCTGACTTGAAGAATATTTCGATCGCAATATTGACTCTTTGACTTTAGGATGACGCGAAACTGTCTCTTTCGCCGGAAGGCACCGAAATTGTCGCCTAGCATAAGCACGGAGGGTTATTTCAAACGAACGAGCACATTCAGATGCTCTCGTCGCCGAGGTGGCAAAAGAAATTCTCAACGCGTCAGCAAGAAGAATCAACAACCTGTTATTCAATCTCGCACCAGCAGTCCAGTATGGTTTATTCCACCGGAAAGACGTCGCTCGAGACGCCAACGAAGAGTCTGGAGGGAGATCAGATACTTTCCTGACGAAGGTCCACTTCTGGAGAGGATCAACGACTGGTCGTCAAACGTGTCAGATGATCAATTCGATGATCAGAAATTGCTGCTATCGGGCGATTTCAACATCCGCCGAGAGGATGATGCTTTCAATTCGATTGTTTCGTCATCACTGGGTTCTTTCTCGGCAACGTCGTCCTCATCATCGGCTTGTCCAGTTCCAAAAATTAGTGATTTTAATGAAGATAAGTTGTTCTCTGAAGAATTAAGGACTAACGGTCTTCTGGCACGTGGGACCACCTGGAAGCTTTCAGCGACGACGATGACGACGACTGCGACAACGACGGTAACGACGACGATAATGTCAACGGCGACAAGTACGGCTGTTTCTGGAAATTATTTTGCTAGCAGCCGTTTTCTTAACTTTTTGGCCGAAGGTATTGTCAAGGAGAGGTCGAAGGGTGAGAATTCCAATACGGGTTATACATGTCTTTCGTCGACCGACAGTGAAGACAACAATGCCAATCGCTTTAATGAGCGTAGGAGAAACAGCAAGTTGCCGCAGCAACAACAGCAGCATCTCAAGAAATCTGGACCCAGGAGACGACCCTTGCGTCGAAAGTCAGAATTAAAAAGAGCATCCGGTCAGCCGGTGTTCCTCGTGCGCAAATGCTCATCTTTGAGGAAACGCCCTAGTAAGATCTAAGCTACAGTTTTCTATAATTTGTTTCGGTTATAATATATCATCTATAATATTTTACATTTTAAATGATTATTATATGATGATAATTTACAGGAATACTAATAATATAGTGATAATAATAATAATATATTATTATTATATAAATAGTAATAATATATTATTATTATTATATAATATATTATTATATTATTATTACATAAATGATGTATCATCTACAAATGATAATTTACGGGAATAATAATAATATAGTAATAGTAATAATAATAATAATAGTAATAATAATAATAATAATAATAATAATAATAATAATTATTATTATTATATTTATTATTATTATTAAGAATGCATAATAATAATAATAATAATAATAAAAAATTTAATTATAACTTTCCATCAGCCTCTGTCGACATTAATTGTGCAATACATTTTTCACAATTGGTTTCGAGAAGCTTATTGCTCACAATCACAATTTTGCACGCGTATTGCGATCACGGTTTAACGTGTGTCTCGTCATGACTTTTGCTTTTTCCTTCAAAAGTTCGACGACTTATAATGCAGAGAAATTCTTTCGTAGAATCGTTTTGATCATAATTTCAGATTAGCTTCTTTAATATATTTATAGCCGAATAAAAATCACCTTCTCGTATATGTATTTGAGAAAAAAATAATGCAGAAAAAGTAATTTTTTAATCAGGTTTTTTCAATTATATATGACTAAATTATAATTTTAACATACATTTTATCATGTATTGATTAATTTTATAGGGTTAATTTATTTTTTTATGTTAAATTACATGTGAATAAATTTTTTTGCAAAAAAAATAAAACATTTTCATACAATAAATATATAAAATAGAGTGTAAAATAATATATAAAATAGAATGTTTTAATTTTAGATGAAATACGGAAATATATATATATATATATATATATATATATATATATATATATATATATCTAATTTCTGTTTTGATTTCTCTGAGCACAAAACATATTTTATCCGTAGATAGATTCTTATACTACGTTTCTTTCGATAAATTGTTGCGTATCAAGGTGAATTACGATTTGATTTAACATATCGATGATAGCGGAAATCGTTGAAATACACCGATTATCATAATCGCGATAGTCCAGTTTTGTTTTGCGAATATAGGAAAATCGTGTCTCGGTCGTTAGGATCAATTCCTCAGCGTTTTCTCGAGTTACCAGGTGTAACGAAAGGCGAGTATGTACTAACCAGTTTTATATCGGGACATGGACGAGCTGCGTCATTAGTATCGACCGCCAACCGTGCGTACATCGATCTAAAATTCAATCCCCTGCATTTTAATCTTGCAACTTGTTTCCAGCAATTCAAAGATCTAGAATTTATGCTATTGGCATTACTCTCTCCTTATATTTTATCTATTATATTTTATCCATTTTTATTTATTCTTTCCATCCTCTTGACGTGAATGGATATTATATCTTTTCAACATTTTTTTATCTAGACTTCGTACATATATTATGATTATCGTTGTTCGCGTATATAGTGCAATAAAATACATATCTTTGTCTGATATTTCCATTACAAAAAAGACAAATTTATAATAGATAATATATTTCTCTTAATAATAATTCAGAATGTTTATACTTTCTAAAAAAACATTCTTTTGTGGAAATGAAAAACCTGGACTCCTTAGAAAATTCTTGTATCTGAAAAAATCCAGAAAATTTTATTAGAACTCAAAAAATTAAAAAAAAATTCTCTTTTTAAGAATTTAGCTCTTATATTGCAACAGTCAGCAAGCCAAATGATTTATGTTTTAAAATATAAGTACATATATATATATATATATATATATCAGATATATATATATAAGATATAACAGATATATATATATCTGTTTATATATTTAATATCTTAACAAAATATTGAATGTACATATTCTTTATTATAATTTTTAATAATAAAAAATTAAACTATAAGAAATATTTGTCTTATGAAAACTATTCAGGTTTTTTTTTAATACATTTGTAAATTTAACACTTGAAACTTAAATGGATCTGTTTTTTTTCTTCGTGAAAAGTATTAAATAATGCATACAATAAAAAAATATTTTTTAAAAAGATATATTAAAAAATCTTTAAAATATTCACTTTATCTAGAATTGCTTTTGAATAAAAATACTTGAAAATCAGGGAATTTTTCTTCTCAGATTTGAAACACTAAAATTTGTAATTCAATAAAAAATTCAAATTATTAGGCTATTACAAAAATATAAGAATGGATGTGTGAGACTTGCTCGTGATATTATACAAATTAATTATTAGATTGGACAATTAATTAAACTGTTTTTTGTTTTTATAGGAGACATTACGCAGAAGGGTTACGAGAAAAAACGGACACGTCTACTTCAGCAGTATGCTTCGAAGCAGATAGGTGAGTCTCTTTCGCTTTTCTAGAATTCATTAAGATTCCCGCAAATGCAAGATACCATCGCTCATTATCCACAATATGCGGCAACAGAGCGGATGAGAAAATCAACGATGTGAAAATAATATTATCGCTTCAATATCATTTTTAATGATTATTTTAATATTCGATCGATCGATTATACACATAGAAATTGCATAATTCCATATTATGATTTCGAGACAACTTTTAAACGAAATTAAGGGACACTTCATTTTTTTGTACGCTTTATATTAATTTTATTTAATAATATTTGTAGTTCATAAATATATTATCGAACTATAAGTCTATTTTTTATGATGTTTAAGTTTTCTACAGTCATAAATATTATCAAATTATAGGTCAGTTATATTATTTATTTTGTTTATAGCGTTTGGTCAGTTATATCAGTTATATTATTAATTTTGTTTATAGTGTTAGTGTGAAAGCGCGCGTAAAAAACTTTATAATACAATCAGTGAAATATTTTGCATTGCGCATATAATTAAACAATATCTTGTCGGACGGAAAAGCAACTGTCAGTTTCTAACTTTCCAAGTCTTATCCCTCGTCGCATCTTGACGTGTGTAATGTTGCGCCATCGAGAGGCAATGCCACTCGCAATATCAATCGTGTTCCGATTCTCAAGGGACATGTGCTTCATTGTGTGCACAGTGGCAATTAGATGATAATCTGTGTAAAGAAGAAGGGATGGAAACGCAATTTTCACGCGGCACGTGTCATTTTTACGCTCGGCACTTTGCAACTGTAATGTGCAATTGTTGCATCATGCGAGTCGCTCAACGCACAGATTGAAAGAAAAAATTGCAGTTTTAAAAGGAGTGTACGCAATTCCAAGTGATTTTATTTCCATTTATTTCCTCGAGCGACGTTCTTTGCTTTTAAGGATGGAATCGATGAGATCTCAAGCTTTACGAAAGTTTTACAGGAGAGATCTTAACGTTGAACGTCTCTTACAGCAGGTGCAAAAATTTCATGCGGGTTGTGTTTTCGAGCCGCTAATCATTATGGTGACTTTGCAACTCTCTCCGTCTTATCGCTGCAAATTAATGGAATTACACAATTGCCGTCACAATTTCACGCATTTCTCGTCGATGCGCGATTACCTATTAATTTAATGCTCTTATAATTGGAGGTTCATTTTCACTAATTTGGAATAAGCTTCAACATATGCGATCATTTAAAAATATAAATTATTTGAAAATTTAGTTTATAAATTGTCTAACATATAGAAATTCTCTAAATATGCTTTGCGAAAAGTGTATTAAAGATTGTACACATTCTCTAATTTATTAGAGAAGGGACATCGCATTTAGAAATCTTTATGACATGATCACTAACTTTTTAGTAAAAATTTTGCAATTTGGTCATTTTGAGCACTTTGCACAATCTAACAATTTATATGTTTAGCGCAATTATTCAATTTTTATGTAGAAAAGTTTATTTCCTCATATGTATTTTTTATGTTACTTTTCTAACTTTTTTACTCTTGTATAATTTCAGCTATCATTTTGTATGAAATTGTTTCCTAACTTCTTTGATTCTAATATTTTTTAAATATTTTATGTATATGAATTATATTTAGGGGATGTATATTTGGGAATATTTTGAAATATTTTTAGGTACAATAAATTTTGTCTATAAGTTAGAAGAAAATATCGGTTTTGTGTTTTATATATTCATAAGTATTGAAATTTTTCTTTTTTCTCTTATTACTAGGAGTGAAGAATTTTTTTCGTGATTTTAAATTTTCAATCTTTTTTTTGAAACCTTGTTTTTTTTGTAAATTATTCTACAATTACACTGTGTATATTTTTTGTAACATATAGCAAATTTGATTTTGATTTAGTATTTGAAGTTTTTTTTATTGAAATCTCAATTATTTTATTTATCTCTAGATTATCATTTCCAGATACAATTATTTATGTCTTTCCAAATACAATTATCTAGGGACAGTTCCCAAAAAGTTCAGAAAAAAATTATTTAAAATTAAGAAACTTTATTTCAAGAAACTATAAAATATTAAACACTCATTATGTCTTCATAGGCAATATTTAAAATAGTTAAAATTCTTTACATGTCAAACTAAAAAAAATGTCATCATAGCCTTCGCTATTAGAGTTTTTTTGATATCAATTTTCTTGGTAATCATTGCTTGTCACGCTTCCTACGCAATAAAATTAATTTAGAAAGTTAATAAATTTAGAAAGTTAGAATCGACCAAAGAGCAATGTGTACATCATCGTTTAAGAGAATCTCGTACGTTTGCAATAAACTATCCTGTATAGTTGTGCGGACGCGCCTTTGCACCTGCAACTGTGATCGGTAGAACCGCTGCAATCGGCTTGCAGTTTAACTGTACCTACACACGGAAGAAACGCTTCCGCGTTATCCGCTCATTAATGCTATCTGCCATTGTCGTGAACGAGCGAGTTGAACCAACGACAGTTTTCTATGAATTCTAAAGAATCGACCTAGTCAAATAACGGCAAACTCTTTTGCATTAATTCTTCGAGCGCTCTATTTTTCCAGCACTTGTAGCTTCTTTGATCAATTTTTGAAATAAAGAAAATCGTTTTCATGGCGTTGATTCGTCAATAATGCATTGCCTAAGATAAAATCCTAATAAAAAAATATTATTTTATCACTTTTAGTGACGATTTTTTTACGATAAGTATTTTCAATTTCTTTTCCAAATATTTCAGCAGCAAAAAATTGCAAATAAACAGATATCTATTTCCTGGAAAAACACCATGGAAAACTTAAAATTTTTAGAGATTTTTCTTTGCGTTCAGAAAAAATTTTTTATATAATTTTATTAAAACTCAAGAAATTAAAAAAAAATTTCTCTTTATTAATTTTATTCTTATGTTATAAGTAATTAGCAATCCATTGATAAGCCAAGTCTTGAATTATGTGTTTAACATATATTAAAAATGTACATTTTTGTTTTAATATTTACCATGTTTTACAAAATATTGAATATGCAATACATATTCTTTATTGTAATTTTTAATGATAAAAAATGCAATTAAAAAAAGATTTATTTTACGAAAGATATTTAATTTTTTCAGTATATTTGGAAATTTAACACTTAAGCAAAAATTTATAAAAATTTCTAATACATTTCGGAATTCATAAATTTTATATTACACAAAGCTTTTTAACATTTTAAAATATAAAATAAATAATTAATTTATATGCATAAAAGTAAAGATTTGTCGTTTGGAATATAATTTAATCTCAAAATCATAACTATATTATTTTATATTGAGCTAACATTTTTATAGTGACTGCACTATGAGAATTTTAATGACTATATAAATATTCGTAAAAATAAAAATTTTAATTTTACAAGTCAAATTTTTACTTCAATTCACGCAAATTAATTAATTAATAATTTTATATTTTAAAAGGTTAAAAAGTGCAAATTCATGAAATGTATTAGATTTATTAACTTTTGACGTAGCTGATCCAATTCCTCTTTAATTGGCTCCATGCTTTTTCTTCGTGTAAGTGAAAAGCATTAGAAAACACATATGTTAAAAAAATTTATTTTAGAAAGTTACATCGGAAGTAAAATATTCTCTTTATCTAGAATTTTATACAAACTTGATAAGATACCCTGAAAGCTCGGGAAATTTTTTCACATAACTCAAGCGGACATCCTGGGAAATTGTCGATATAAGACAGTCTTCGATAAGACAGTGGCAGGACGCAAATATGAATATTTAAGAATAGGAATAAAATGCTCCAGTTGTGTGCATACGCACTTATGGATCGTAGGGTCTGGAAATGGTGGTATGGTTGGTGGAGGTGGTGATGGTGGCGGCGGTGACAGAGGCATTGATAAAGGACCGGAGAGAACGAGTTACGGAAGCGGCGGAGGTGGGGAAGGAGGAGGAAGCGGCAGCTATGGCGGCGGCCGACCGCAGCCACGTGCACGGCGCACGCAACGACGCGTCACGCACAACGAGAAGCGTTATCACTCAGGTAGCGCCATACATTACGTAGCCAGCGAAAGAACGAACGTTCTTCCGAGTTGCGGCAAACGGGACGTTGATTAGCGCGCGTAACGTTGTTGATTGTGTCTCAATTTTGCTTCGATCTCAGCTTTCAGCTTGTACCTCTCTGTAATGAACTTTATAGGAAATGATTGTTATAGAGTGGCTGTGATTAGAGATTAGAATAGAATGACGTAAATTACACTCGATTTTATTCTCTCGTTGTCGTGCACACGTAACACACACACACATGCATACGTAAGTGAATGAATGGCATGATTTTTTAACTAACAGGATGTTCACTTCCTAGAAATATGCGGGAAACCTGAAATCTTCAGGGATCCCTTTTGTACTTGGAAAAATCAGGGAATTCTTATGGAATTTTATCGGGACTCGGCGAGCGAATTTTTTAAAAAATTCTGTTTGATAGTTTTGCTCTCATATTGCAAACGATAGGCACAAGCCAAGTGAATTATATAAAAATATGTTATATTTATCTCTGTTATTTGTTTTAAAATATGTTATATTTATCTCTGTTTATATCATAGATATTATATATATTATTACGGTGACCATCCGTCCTTTATTCTAAAGGACAGTCTTTTATTTTAAGTAGCTGTCCTTTAGATTTATTCATTTTTTCAAAATTCAATTTGTCCTTTATTTTTTATTTAGCGTGTCAATGTCTAATGTTGTTAATTATATTTAAAAATTTTTTTCATTAAAGTGATTCATATTAAATCCGTTTTTATTTTTTATTATCCGAAACTTATTTAAGAAACTAAGAGTTTGTTTCAACATATAAAAGATATAAGAATACGTAGACTTCTGATAGTCACAGAGTAGTATTTTTTTTTGGTCGGCGATCTCCAGGCTTGCCCTTTATTTTCTCTCTGAAAATGTGGTCACCGTATATATTATAGATATTTATTTATTTTTTGTTTATATATTCAATGTCTTAACAAAATATTGAATATACAGTACAGATTCTTTATTATAATTTTAATGATAAAAAGATGAAAATATTATGCAAGTAAGAAATCTTTATATTATTTAGTTTTCTTCTTTTTCCCCCAATATATTTTCAAATCTCTAGCACTTGGAACTTAAAAGCCTTTGTATTTTCTCTTTGTTGGGTGAAAAACATTAAAAGATATGCGACAAAAAAATTTTAGAAAGTTGCACAAAAAATCTAAAATATTCTCTTTACTTGGAATTTTGGGCAAAAATAGAAGATCAGGGAGAGAATTTCTTTACAAAATTTAAATAGACATCCTGTATAAGAATGTCACGATAAAATTCCATTCCTCTAATTAATATAAATTTTACGAGATAACAGCACAATATTCCTCGCTTCAAAATATTCTTCGTTCTTTCAATCCGTATCATTGTATATATCACACGATCAAATTTATATAAAAAATGGAAATCCTAGAATGAATATATATCCGTTTTCTGCACATTATTGAAACGAAGTTTCATCATCATCATCATCATTATCATCATCATCATCATCATTCATCATCGTCTTATTGCTTGTACTTTTCTTCATGTAGTCTTGCCTGCTTACTCCCTATCTCGCGGCTGTTGCCTCGAGACGCTTTTGCACCTTTAGATACTTTTGTAATTTGACCAGGCGATAATCGAGACTGATTGTTCCATCTCCGAGTGACTAGATTGTAAGCCAGCTGGCCTCGATATTCTCGCTATTAAAGCCAATCGTGTCCTTACTATACTACTTATTTACGATAGGAATTTTCAATACTTGACAGGATATCTTTATACATGAGAGATACTCGATATCGATTATAGGCATCATAGGCGTTACTCTTGACAAGAAAATTGTCTCGTATTTTTTTCCTTTTTTTTTTTGTGGGGCGCGTTTCAATAAAATTCAATCTCGATAGATAATACACGATAAACTCGCGTAACGCGAATCTCCTGAAATCGCTCGGTGATTATTCCGACTGAATCACGGCACCGACCGGCCCTCCTCCTCCTTCTCCGACCTTCCTGCCACGGACGATCGATATGACGAGTCGCACTCACGAGACGCAGCATCATGGTAAAATGACCAATCGTTAATGACGCAATTAAATGGTTAGCTCGCATCCGGATAAACGACGCTCTTCCACGGTATATAAATCATGGAGGACTTGACGTGAAAATAATAATAACCGCTTCGAATTCACTCCAGAATTGGGGTCTCAAACTCGACACTTTAGCCATATGATTAAGAAGTAGGGAAAGACTATTTTCATTTTTTGTGATCTTATTGTTAGATGACTTAAGTTTTAAATGTATACCTTCTTGTAGCGATATAATAGATGAAACTTAAAAGGCTTAACTAGATATTATTTATTAATATTTAATTAGATTATTTTGGTAGGTTTCAGGAAATATTTCATCTATCCTTTGCATAAGTTTGATCTGCAAAGGAAGATGGCGTATTTCGGTTAGGACAGACCCCTGCCTTAGGATCTACGGATTCTCGATTTCTATCTTGATTTTAAGGATCCTTGGGGCTTTAACATCTCGCATCGTTAACACGAAACAGTTGGAGTTTATTCTTTCCAACGCTTCTTGGGAGCTCTGGAAATTCATTGCGTTTGATTTGCAATTAATAATAACAAAATAAATAAAGGGAGAGTACTAATTCCAAGCATCTCCGAGCTTGTTTATCCGGATGCGGCGAGACCGCAGAAAAGCGAACGATGACAAGTCTTGCGATGACGGGTCTTTGCAGCCGATCCTTGTAGCGTCCCAGTTTTGTCTATGTGCCGTTTGTCGTTGTTATTTTGCATGCAGGTGGTCGCTTAGCGCCTGGCGGGATCGCCAGTCCCCCAGGATCTGGCGGTTTCACAGGGAACACCGGGAACTCGAATACAACTGCTGCAGCGGCGGCGGTAGCGGCAGCGGCTGCGAGACGTGGTAATCGCAGACTCACACGCAATGAGAGCCGCTATCATTCCGGTGAGTACACTTGCACAAGTGATGCTAGGAATACCGGAACTACCATCCAGGTAGTACGACAGTAGGTATATATCGTTGAATTATTTCTTCTCTCATGTTCCACATTTTCAATATTATTCACATCGAATTTGCAGATTTCTATCGATTATTTCGGTCTACAGACACAAATTTCTGCTTTCGTCGAAATAAGATGACAATGACTCTGACAATGAATAGCGATATTGGGTGAAAAGTTATTTAAATTGATCTTCTTTCTACCTTTTTTTCTTCTTCAACATCTTAGAAACTCGTTATTACAAGATATACGATTTTTGATTTTCTCAAATATTTATATAATGCATCTTCGAAATATCTAACAATAAATAAGTCGCCATAAATAAAAGAAAAGTTTTTTTCGAATTGTCTTAATTCGTCAAAAGAAATCTAGAATGTATACGATAGATAATTTATATTTCTGTGCATGAAAGAAAATTATACTATTATTATTTATTTATTACAATTTTGATGAAATATGTATGGTATTGAATGTGATTAACATTATTTACCTATCCGAATAATTTTTTTATCACGTCTCCAGCTCTGCATTAGTTCGAATAAATTTCGAGGCTTCTAGAAGCTTGGTTTGCGCGCCTTCCGCATATTTTGTGCTTCTTGCTATTGTATGAAACGTCGTTTCGTACAATTGAGAAATAAAAAATTCGCTTCGTGTTTGAAAGCGTTGATAGAAGGATATATATTTATCTCAATGCAAGTACGGATAATCTTCCATCTGGTACACCGTTATCGGCTGACGAGTCAACAAACTGTATCTTATTGAAAGATCGAAAGTCAGTCCAGGCACATTCACATCAACTCGTTTGATGTATAGGACGTCTTACAGTAATAATGTAGAATTTCATCATATTATACATATTATACAGATTATTAAATAATAACAATATTATGAATTTTTATTCCGTTAATAATATAAAATTTCATTTCTTAAACGTTGAATTTTGTAATATATTTTTACATTAATATTAATCAAATGTGAAATTTTTTAGAAGAAGTATAAACTATAAAACGAAAATTATAGAAAGAACTGTACATAAAGAGAACAGATGTTTAAGCTGTACCTTAAAACCAATTATCTTTTTAACAATAGTGAAAGCTTTAAAATAGGTAATTTTTAATCATTTCACTATCTGTCATTTGAATATTTATTATATTGAATGTTTTATGTAATTGCTCAATTTTTATAGAAAAAGAATTTGTTTTTGTATTTTATCTATTGGCATTTTTTATGTTGATGTATATATGTTATGTTCATGTATCTTATGTATGTAGTGTATTTTTATTGTTCTTCCTTTTAAACAAATCTTCAAAAAAATTAAATATATTATACTATGCATTGTTCTGTATGTATGTGTATGTATGTTTATTAAAAAAGCAATATATCGTTAAAAAATTGTTTTTTATAGAAAGTAAAAAAGCCAAGTATCAATTGCACGTGCTCGTTCAATAAAGATACAACTATTCTTTATGTTTCGTTGATAATTTTCGAATAGAAAAACAAAATTTAAGAAAGGTTAAAATACATGCTAATTTAAGAAAACATGAAGATTATGTGAATATTCACATTTATGCGCAACATTTGAAATAAAAAAAAAATAAATAGTGAAAAGTCTAAAATTTGAAGTAAAAAAATATTTCTAGGTATATAACATGGTATTTTCTATTGTATAAAGATATTCTATAAAGATTCTATTGTATAAAAAAATTTCTATTGTATAGAATATATATTGAGATATTCTATAGAAGTACAATTTATAACGAACAATTCAATATTGCATGAGATTACAACACTGCAGATATTATCTGGAAATATACGTGTAATTTTATATATACTTAATTGTAAAAATAACGCGCATTTTTTACAAAAAAAAAAGAAAAAGAAATGAATTGCAATTATATGTACAAAAGTTTTTAAGAAGACTATTCGGACTGATTTTATCACATTTTTAATGGACACCAATATTAAAAATAGAACATTTATTAAGAATCTTAACTCAATTTTCTTCAACCTTTCCATGTCTCTCTTAGCATTTTATTTTCACAAATCTTCCATATATATGCGTGCGCATACGCTACAAGAATGTTGAGATCATCAGTAATATAAAAGCGAGAGTAAAATCGAGTGCTTTGTCACTCGTCTTCGTCATTCGTCCAACTAATCGATTCCTATATATTTAGAGGTGCGCCAGGAAGCAGTGCAGCAGGCTTTGGCAGCGATGCAGGGACGGCCAAAACCGTCCTTGCCGATGCCATCAAAGAGAACTTCTGTGATGGCCAGGAGTCCTGACCGGGAGAGACGCGACAGCGGTGAATCCAGTAGCGACGAGGACAGCGTTGTCACCGAGGAGAGCCCTGGCGCAGGTGGTCCGACTGGTAAATATTTATTTCACTCCCTTGTTTATCCGGCTACATATCGAGTGAATATAAATTCGAGAATTATATCTATGAAAAATTTTGTAAAAATTACTTTTTCAATGAAATCAGTGAATTAAGCAGAACACTAATCGAATGTGACATAATCGTAAACGTGATTTTATTCATTTATTCTTTCTTGTACAAAAAGAAGGGAAGGTACTATCAAGCATTGCATGTGTGCTGTACACAAAAAAAGGACATTCTTGTTTTGAAAATATATTTAGTTTTAACATGGAAATCTTGAAATGAGATTATATTACGTTAATTAAAGAAAAATATAATTGCTTGAATAATTGCTTACTTGAATGAAGTCATTTTACACAATTCAATCAAGAAAAATATATTGTTATGATTTAAGATTTAATTTTCCTGAATGGAAAAGAAACAATGTTAGATAGAAAATAACATTTTTAAATCAAAGATTATAATTTTCTTAAGTCTAAAGTAGAATTAAATAATTATATATTCTTGAATGACAATTACAATATTAAAATAAGACCATAATATTGTTGAAATTTAAAATTATTAAATTCTAACTCTAAGAAGATTATAAATTGTTGCATATATATACTAAAACAATGAACGCGTTAGTTTAAGTACAATATATAAGTTTTGATTTGACACTTTTTTTGTGTATGTATTAACTATTAATAAATGATCATCGATACCGTAGGTACCGGTCTTTCGGATACCAGCAGTACTGGCTCTGCCCGCGATACTCCACCACCGCCGAGACCACCGGCGAGAAGGCCACCTGGTGCAGATATCACTGATATTCCCGAGTATACACCGCATGCCTATAGTAACATCCAACCGCCAGACGTGACTCACGTGACAAGTAACACCCCGGTCGGCCAGCAACAATCGGCAACGCGTCGACCTGGCGCCGACCGGGTCAATCGCTATGCGCACGTGGTCGAGGATCAGAATAATACCGGCACCACTGGTCGCTGGAAGGTTTCCGCCAAGATCCAGCAGTTACTGAACACGTTAAAACGACCGAAGCGCCGGCCGCTACCTGAGTTCTACGAAGACGATGACATCGAGCTAGAGATCGCTGCAAATCCGAAGGATCCGAATGCTCCTAAACCCGAGGGTGGTTCCATGACGTCGGCGATTGGCGAAATATTATCGGTGCCATCTGGCCTGCCGCGATCTCTCGAAGCCGCGATTCAGAGGTGAGCGAAGAATAGTGTCATAACAATTTGGGATTGATTTAAGACTAAATGGATTTACAGAGATTCAGCGTTCCATATAAGAATTAACTTATTATATATCTGCAGGTACGGCTCGGCGTCATATAAAGCACCTGTAGCCACTGTCTTAGACCCTAATGGCAAACTTTGCGTAACGCTCACGTATGGGAAATTGCTCAGTCGTTCCCACAAAATCGCCTATACTCTACTGAATAAGGCTCTAAGTCGCGGTGGCGATTGTTGCCTAAAACCCGGCGACAGAATCGCCCTAGTTTATCCAAATAACGATCCGATCAGCTTCATGTGCGCTTTTTACGGCTGTTTGCAAGCCGGTATTGTACCGGTGCCCATCGAAGTTCCTCTGACCCGACGTGATGCGGGTTCTCAACAGATTGGTTTCCTCCTGGGAAGCTGCGGAATTCAGGTATGCCCTATGTTACCTTATTTGCCGATCAACATTCTATTCTATGTTTGCATAGTCCAATTAGTTAATTGGCAGACATAGAATACAGTTGTACAGCTTTTGCAAGTTACATTAGTCTATTAATGTTATGTAATTACATACGTAATCGTAATAGTCCTCCAGATTTTAGAGAATAATAGTATTTATGTATTTTGATATTTTTCAGGTGGCGCTAACCAGTGAAGCGTGTTTAAAGGGTCTGCCAAAAACGGCAGCCGGCGAGGTGGTGGCTTTTAAAGGTTGGCCAAAATTACATTGGTTTGTTACCGAGCATCTGGGCAAGACTCCTAAAGATTGGTTATCTCCACCGCGACTCACTGACGACACACCCGCGTATATCGAATACACTACTGACAAAGACGGCTCTGTGATGGGTGTGACCATTACTAGAGCGGCGATGATGGCTCACTGCCGCGCTCTTACGCAGGCTTGCGGCTACACCGAAGGCGAGAATGCCGTTTGCGTGCTGGATTTCAAACGGGAAGTTGGCCTTTGGCACAGCACTCTGACCAGTGTGCTGAATGGCATGCACGTTATCTTTATCCCATATGCCTTGATGAAAGTTAATCCCGCCAGTTGGATGCAGATGATCACAAAGCATCGCGCAAGCGTTGCCGTTGTGAAGTCGCGAGATCTCCACTGGGGTTTGCTTGCCACTAAAGATCATAAGGATGTCTCCTTGGCATCTTTAAGGCTGTTACTCGTAGCAGACGGCGCGAATCCCTGGTCACTATCATCCTGCGATCAGTTTCTCTCGGTATTTCAATCCAAGGGACTTAGGCCAGACGCTGTTTGTCCTTGTGCCTCTTCCAGTGAAGCCCTTACAGTCTCAGTAAGAAGGCCAGGACGCGCAGGAGTGAATGCGACTGGTCGTGGAGTTCTTTCCATGTCCGGGTTGAGTTACGGAGTTGTCAGAGTAGATCAGGAGAATTCTCTTACATCATTGACGCTGCAGGATTGCGGACAAGTAATGCCTGGAAGTGAGTCAATCGTTTATGCGAGTCCGCATTTATATAATTCATTTTTAATGATTTTTTGTCCTTGTATTTTTTAGGTATAGTAGTCGTTATTAAAATGGAAGGACAACCGTCCATTTGTAAGACGGATGAAGTCGGTGAGATTTGCGTACATAGCGCGGCGACCGGTAGCCAATATTGGGGCTTACAAGGACTTACTAACAACACTTTCAAAGTATCGCCTTTACAAGCTGATGGTACTGCCTTGGGCGACGTAGAATACACGCGGTCAGGCTTGTTGGGTTTTCTCGGTCCTGGTGGACTCGTTTTCGTTTGCGGATCACGTGACGGTCTCATGACAGTGACCGGCAGGAAACATAATGCTGACGACATTATTGCCACTGTGTTGGCAGTCGAGCCGATGAAATTTATCTATCGCGGTAGAATTGCCGTTTTTAGTGTGAGGGTCCTCAGAGACGAGAGGATATGCGTCGTTGCTGAACAACGGCCTGATTGTAGCGAGGAAGAGGTATGTTTTGAAAATTTAATGCTATTTTATTTATAAAGCGGAGGATGAAGAAAGAAATTCTATTATTTCCTAATAAATATCGCGCTTACTGACTGAAAATTGACTTGGACATATTTTAAAAGTTTGTTATCTCATCCAGAGCTTCCAATGGATGTCTCGAGTACTGCAAGCAGTCGACTCGATCCACGCTGTGGGAATATATTGCCTTGCCTTGGTGCCACCCAATTATTTGCCCAAAACGCCATTAGGCGGTATTCATCTATCGGAGACGAAACGCCGCTTTCTCGAAGGTGCTCTGCATCCAGCGAACGTGCTACTTTGCCCTCATACCTGTGTCACTAACTTGCCGAAACCGCGCGAAGTTCATTCAGGTAAGTAAAGCTAAATTTATTAATGAGTATTGTATTTTTTGAAATTCTTTTGAGCAAGTGAACTTAAATAAATTTCAAAAATTACCCTTAAAAAATGCTATGTGCTTGTTTAAAAAGTTGCAAGGAAATGTATTCCTTCAAAGTATATTTTATTTTCGAAGTTATTGTACATAAAGCTGCTTTATCTAAAAAGTTGTAAAAAATATATTATTTTAATATTTAGGATATCCACCGAAAAACAAGATAATTATCTCTTTAATTCAGATGATAAAAGAATATTTCAAATATAATTTAAATGATTTTGAAAAGCGAATGTGATACAAAGAAAATTTTCTTTTGAAGTCATTCTTTTAATGGAAATATATAGTTTTTTCTTTTGCATATTGCCAATTGTGATTATGTAGATTTGTGGTTAATTAGATCAGAAAAATATTAGGAAATTGATATTCCTTAAATAAACATTTTTACATTAGAACTTTGCAAATTATAATTATGTTCTGCTTATATTGCATGTAGAGCCATAATAAATATTTTTTTGTTATATAATTGAAATTCAATACAAATATTCGGTAATTTCATTCACCAGTCTAAAATTCTCAATTAAACTATAAGTCTAAGAGTAAGACATGAAATCATTATTGGTCACATTTAATATTAAATATTTTATGAATCAAGATAATGTACATATTTTTTTTAATTGCACTATGTATGAATGACCGTACAGTGAAAGAAAATGAGAGTGCTTGAGTGAGTATAGAGAAAGAAAGAAAGACAGAGAGAGAAAGAGAGAATGAGAGAGAGAGAGAAAAAATAATAAAAAATAAGAGAAATATTCATTAGAATTTTAATTAGCATATCGAGATGGATTTCTCATACATCTATACAAAATCTATATAAAATTGATAAACTTAGAAATTTGATCCTTATACGTACATTCTTGATATAATATCCTTGTACGTACATGAATAATTATTTATATTAATGAACACATTTCTGATGTTGAGCTTGATAAAATATTGCGATTAACATTTGCTTATATTTTAATCGGAACCTTGTACAAATTTTTATCTATTTATGTAAATATGAAAAATGCAATGTGGTGAATGGATAAGTATAAGATCTCATGTAACTTTATACGCGAAATAAAATTTATGCCACATTATCTTTGAAACAACATCTATAATTAGACGGTTCTACATAAACTTACAATCTTTCACGCGAATCGTAATCCATGTCTGTTGTTTTTGATGTGAAAAGATAATAATAAGACCTTGTGTGTGTGTGTGTATGTGTGCTTTGCGTGAAAAGTTGTAAACATACTGTGTAAGTATAATTAAGTTAGACTTCGTTTCACATCGTAAATACAAAATATGAAGTAGATATCGCTTCGCGTAAAAAGTTACAAACTCATTTTATTATATAACTATTAATATCCATTTTGTACCGAAAGTATCGATTAGTATGAAGTAAAGGAAAACTATAAATCTATGAAAAATTGTCTAATTATAGACTTCGTACCGAAAATATCAGCCAACATGGATTAGACTTCACGTAAAAATCTGTGTAGCCTTTCACTCATTCACATTGCATTTTTAACATTTATATAAATACATAAAAATGATACGAGACTATTGATTAAAACAAAAGCAAATGTTAATCAATACTCTATTATACATATTAAGATCAAAATCATGAGAAATCATTCGTTAATGTAAATAATTATCCATGGAACTAATTATCACAAAGTAGATATATCAAGATCATAGAGTTTGTTTTTCAATTCATTTGTGTGTGTTGTATAACGTTTATCTAATAATAGATATATAAAATAAATTACTACATATTATAAGAATTTTTGAACGCTAAAATACAACGTTTATATATATTATAGTATGTCTTTTTCGAAATATTATTTAGATATTGTGTGATTTAACAATATTATAAATCTTTCCAAAAAATTTTTGAGAGCCACAACTATTTCGCAAAATATTTGTGATTAAGTTCGAACGAAAAGTCTTATATTTTTAGTTAATAAATTTTTGACACAGTTAATTATACTTAGCATGCTATTCGATTTAATAATCCCTCTTTCTTTTGTCTGAATTCCGAACATTGTCGTATCCTAATTAAGCCCAAGTATAATTGAATCTCAGTAACTGACAAAAAGATAAGTTCTGTTCTTTTATTTTAGTCATTTTTATTATTGAAGAGCTTTTTGTTATTCTTTTTTTTGCTAGAATTTAATCCCGCTTTTTTTGCACTTTGTTGTTTACTTCTACATCAATAATTTTAATGTATGATGCAATCAATCTGGCATCAATAATCAACCTGGACTTATATAATTCAATAAAGAAAAGATTCGGGGATTTTCAAGCATCCATGGATTCAAAGTAAATCCGCGTAAAACACGAATAGACCTGGAATGGAAGGCCCATGCGAACGCGTATTACTGGCTCCGATGGCAAAATCCAAATTGTTCTAGTTTTGATTTTCCGGCCTCAGTCAGGGAAGAGTGTGTGAGCTACTTCATTATCGGGTTGAGTGTTTGTGTTGGTTTACTAACGGAATGGTGCGGGGGCGTGTAGCGGGGGATTCTGTTGCAGATGTCGGTCCGGCTAGTGTTATGGTGGGAAATATTGTCCAGGGCAACCGATTAGCCTCGGCTCAAGGACGAGACATGGGTGTCTTAGACGAGGATAGCGATAATGCCAAAAAGGTTCGTATAAATCTGATAAAAATAACATTCAATTTTAGAAAAACTTTAACTCCTTCTTTTCATGTATAGAATTTCCATTATGCATTATATATTTTATAATATTTCATCGTTTGTGCAGTACCAATTCATCTCTGAAATTTTACGGTGGCGAGCTGTTAGCACTTCGGACCATGTGATATTTTCATCGTTAAATGCAAAAGGTGCTGTGGCCACTTCATTGTCCTGCTCGCAGTTGCACAAGAAGGCCGAGAGGATCGGGAATTTGCTTCTAGATCGAGGCAGAATCAATACCGGAGATCATGTGGCGCTCATCTTTCCACCCGGTACCGATCTGATATGTGCATTTTATGGCTGCTTGTACGTAGGCGCAGTGCCGGTAACTATTAGGCCACCCCATCCGCAAAACCTTCAGACAACTTTGCCGACCGTTCGCATGATCGTGGACGTCAGTAAATCCGTTCTCGTGTTAACCAACCAAAACATCCTCAAGTTGCTCAAGACAAAGGTAACTGAAAATGCTCATTTTAGGTAAGCGAAAGTATTATCGATTGGCATTGTCTTGTAGGAGGCGAATAACGTGGTCGAGGTAAAGAGTTGGCCAATAATCTTGGATATGGATGACATGCCAAAGAAGAAACTGCCGGTCATGTATCGGGCGCCTACCGCGGAAATGCTGGCCTATCTGGACTTCAGCGTTTCGACGACAGGAATGCTCGCCGGTATCAAGATGTCTCATGCGGCGGTGACTTCGTTGTGCCGTGCTATGAAGTTAGCGTGCGAACTCTATCCTTCCAGACACATTGCTCTTTGTCTAGATCCATATTCAGGCCTTGGTTTTGCATTGTGGTGTCTTAGTAGTATATATAGTGGACATCACTCCATACTAATACCACCATCTGAGGTAATTTCTTGTGACAAAAACGTTTTTATCTTCGGTTCCGATGATTGCTTTAAATTGATGATTTTGTATTAATTGATGGTCAGGTGGAAGCCAATCCCGCGCTCTGGTTATCAGCAGTCAGCCAATCTCGAGTAAGAGATACGTTCTGCTCATATGGTGTCATGGAGTTGTGCACCAAGGGACTTGGCTCTTCAGTTCATGCACTCAAAGCGCGAGGAGTCAGCCTTGCATGCGTGAGGACGTGTGTTGTTGTCGCTGAGGAAAGACCACGGATAGCATTAACGACGAGTTTTAGCAAACTATTTTCCGCCCTAGGCTTGAGTCCGCGTGCGGTTTCCACTTCGTTTGGCTGTCGAGTAAACACTGCCATTTGCTTACAGGTAAGATTGATTAGTGGAGTTGATCCCTTTAGTTTGTAAATCACTAAATCGCTTTATCAATTTTGTTGAATACTTTATCAATTTTGTTGAATAGGGGGCATCCAGCCCGGAGCCTTCGACAGTTTACGTGGATCTACGCGCGTTGCGTAACGATCGAGTGTCCTTGGTAGAACGCGGTAGTCCGCATTCTTTGTGTTTGATGGAATCGGGCAAGTTGTTACCTGGCGTAAAAGTGATCATTGCGAATCCCGAGACGAAAGGTCAATGCGGTGACTCGCATTTAGGTGAGATCTGGGTGCAATCGGCGCATAACGCGAGCGGTTACTTCACAATCTACGGTGATGAGAGCGATTACGCCGATCATTTCAACGCGCGGCTGGTTACTGGTAACACGAACGAGGTCTATGCGAGGACTGGCTATCTCGGCTTCTTAAGGAGAACCGAAAGCGTTCAGCAATCGGTGATTAGCGATGTGCCTGGTGACACCACTAACCCGACCGAAGCCGATCTCGTATCAAATGATCCGGAATTGCATGATGCTGTGTTCGTTGTCGGTGCTCTCGATGAGGCCATACTACTGCGGGGTATGCGCTACCATCCAATAGACATCGAAAACAGTGTCATGCGATGTCACAAGAAAATCGCGGAATGGTAAGTTCTTTTTAAATTTCTTCCTCCTATCCTAAATCTAATTTGTATTTTTACTTTATCTCTTTCTATGGTAATGTTGTTTGAATAATCTTGCATGCTGAATACTTCTCTTAATTGTATTGATGATTCTTAATGATTGAAAATTTTTTATCGTGTTTCTTTTTTCCAGTGCCGTATTCACATGGACCAATCTCCTAGTGGTAGTGGTAGAATTGGACGGTAGTGAAAGCGAAGCTCTCGATCTCGTGGCTTTAGTAACGAGCGCTGTGCTCGAGGAACATCATTTGGTGGTCGGCGTAGTGGTTGTAGTGGACCCCGGTGTGGTGCCCATCAATTCGCGTGGTGAGAAGCAACGGATGCATCTGCGCGATGGTTTCCTCGCGGACCAACTCGATCCCATCTATGTGGCGTACAATATGTGAACGAATGTGCAAGAGAAGGTTCTCACTCCCTTCGTATTCCGCCCTCCTTCTCCCCATCGACGTTTTTTATCCAACGTGCCGAGAGTGCAATGGAATTCCATTCGCTCCACGTACGACGATAGAATGAGTGATCTTTGCGAAACTTTAGCTAATAAAAATATCTTGTTCTCGTTTATTTTCCTTTTTTATTCTATTCTTGATTTTTTAAAGAGGATTTTGAATTATTTGGATCGTGTATATATCAATTCTACTTTAGAGTTTCTAAGAATTCGAAATTTGCTTTTATAGATTTTTTCTCAATCCAACAAATTTTTATACGAATATGTACTTACTGGCAGCTTACTTTTAATCAGTTACCTGCACACAAAAATCTATTATTAAAGCGAATAATTTGACATAAAGGATAAATAAATGAAATACGAATAAATATTTCGATAAATGGAGTTGTATTGTGTATCAAAAAACGTTAATACACACACTCCAATAATGTGAACATCATCGACAAAACGTACATGTGTAAACTTGAAATATTTTTAAAAAGTTTAACTTGCCGCAAATTATCCCTTGGAAACTGATTAAATTGAAAAATCAGTATCGTATTATATGCACATATATGACATACGATATATAGAATAATTGATGACAAATCATAAGATCATCGATGATATAAGTGAAATCATAAATTTACAATTATGACATCATTCAGTTTTTATAAATAAATATTAATTTATCGCTGAAATATTTACTATATCTTTTGACCATTGATAATTTTATGATTCTTTCGAAACTTTAATAACATAACATAGATCTAAATTTCATTATTTGGTTCTTGCAGTTTTGCGAAGTAAAAAGCGCACGAAAATTTTGGTTTATTAAACCGAAACACGCACAATATCTCGCAATTTTGTATTTAAAGCCAAAGTACTATATGTATAACATGCAACACACGTCTTTTTACATTAGCTGTAAATTCCACTGCGAAGAACAAGAGAACTTTTCTCATTGATATTGAGGAATAACAAAGAGTTTCGTCGCAATGGTGATTTGATGATTTATGATTAATCATTCACAATCACTTTTACGTTTTTTAATTGAACCTTTTTTTCTAATTTATTAGAAAAGGACTCGAACTTCAAATTATAAATTTATTTGGAATTTAATTGGTCAATACAATTCTGCCCCAATCTCTGCACAAACAAGTATATAGCTAGCTCGCATGTAAGGATGTAGATACGTTGCGACATTAAAGCTGCCATGCATAGTTTTGTTTTCTTTTTTTATTTATACAGGTTTAAAAAAAAACGAAAACATTAAATGGCGCATATTTTACTAACCGATATATGTAGATGTAAAGATGAGGTTTTTTAGAAACGATTTTAGTAAAAAGAAAGATGTATTAAGATATAATTGAAAGTTTAACACACGCAGAGATTTAGTATTAACATTTTGTACAAAATACATCTCAACAGTTTTATACATGAACGACGAAACTCTTATAATAATAATTCTTATAATAATATAAATAGTTAGTGAAGATTCCTGAACTTTGTCTAGAAACGTCTAGAAACGTTGAAAGTTGTGTGATCCAAAAATAGTGTGATTGCGATTGTTTTCCCTCGGAAAGACTTTTTTACTTACGAATATATATACAAAAAGTTGCGTGTTGATAATTCTCTAATTTTATATTCTAATTTTTTAATGTAATGCGGCATAAAACACATATTGTTGCGATAACTTGCGAAGCTCGATTATAATAATCACATGTGCATTTTTCGTGCGTAAAAGATTGCTGTTAAATATCGTGGACATTAACTGATTAAAAAAAAAGAAACTAGATTTTCTTATCGATATAGACTTTTCAGTCCAAAAATTTTAGTCATCGTATACATATCCTTTTTTAATTATTAACTCGATTGAATTTAATTCCATTCAAAATAAGATTCCGAGAAAAATTTAATTTTGAATTAATTTAGCCATTATTTACCTATTAGTCCGTGACACTTGTACGAAAACACAATGGAGCGTTTACAAGCGATTAGTAAACGAAGTATTATCGATAAGCGACAACTTGGTCAGTGCAATATACGCATAGTGATTTATAATCTCTTGCGGATTAATCGTACCGCAAATTTTCAGTGGTTATTTACAGGCAGCTTTTTCATAAATACGTAATATGAGAAAAAAGCGTTTCTCTTTCTCTGTTCCTTCTCTTTCTTTTCCCCATCTTCATTTCCTTTCCTTTTCCTCTTTCTTTTTTTCCCATTCTCTCTGCTTCCCTTTTTCTTTCTTTATTCTTCCTTGCCTCTTTCATCTTTTTTTTTATTTTGAAAGATCCGTTAATTCATTCTGACTTTTTTATATTTGCTTATTCTTATTTTTTTCTTTTCCTCACATTGTTATATTATCGTGCCATGTTATCTTGTTTTAATTTCTGCACTTTTACGCATGGAAGAATGCACACGCCTGTAAATAGCTATGTTTATATATGCTCGGTTGCACTGACAACCTCGTTTAATTAGCTGTCATTAAAATGTTACATCATTTCGTTTTTTGTCTTAAGTCCTAATTTATTGCAATTATGATATTACAATACAATTATAAACAAAGAAATGTTATAAATTAACGGTATAGTTATTCATCACCTTAATTAACCACAGTTAATCATAATTGATCTCACCTTGCTCTCTCATCAATCTTTTTCTCTTCTTTCCTTTTTCCCTTCCTCTTTCTCATTCTTTTTCTTCATTCTTTTTTCCTCTCATTTTTTTTTCTCTCCTTCCTCTTTTTCTCTCTTCTCTCTCTTTCTCTTTTTCTTTTGTTAATGACATTCTTTTAAAAATTTGTAGGTGATATTTTCTTAAAAAAATCTATTTGAAAAATTTAATTGGTTAATTGACATGTTAGTGCAACTGATGCTTAAATAACAATAGAATTTATTAAACTGAATCAGCTTTTATGCGGAAAAAATTAAACTTTACTTTATTTATCAGTATACAAGAAAACAATTTTAAATTAAAAAAATTTTTTTTTTGGTTTCTTGGATAATTTGATTTAAGCATAAATTTTTTCAAATTTTGCGGTGCAGATGCATTACAACACTGTTTTGAAACTCAAAGATTGACTCTTCAATTTTTTGTGAGAAATATAGTTTTCTTAAAAAGAAATATATGAAAATATAATTACAAAACATTATTCCTGCGAGATATCAGATTGAAATAGAAATATTCTATTCTAAAACTAAATAATTCTTCATGAGCGATTCTGAATTTTAAGATTTTTTTCTATGTCAAGTTTATATACGATAATGTCGATCAATTTTTTTTCTTTGTACGTGAATGAAGAATGTAATAGATGCCTCCCGAGGAAAGTAAGAATGTGCAATGAATAACTTTTACATTGAACGACGAAGGATTGTTATAACTACATATATAATGTCGAATAATAATAGATCAATTACATCCAATAACATTTGGATTTAGAAATACCCGAATCCTTTGATTTTTTTATTTCACGGATGTATGTGTACCAAAAAGAATGCTGTCAGACACACATGAAAAATACAAATAATATGCTGCGTTAAGCGAATAATAGTATTTTACTATTTATATATCGAGGAAACGACGGGAGATTATTTCTGTCAAATGCATTTAATTTTAAGATCTATCCTCAGTCAGAAAAAGGAGATGTTAAACCTGGACGAGATTAAGCATATATTTACCATGCGATATAAATAATCAATTATATTAAAATTGCAGTACAGATAATTGACCGCGATTGATTGATTGCATATTATATAGTTATTATGCAATCAGCAATGAAATTTCATATTAAAATTTTATGTGTCACTATGCAAAATATAAATATTACAATTTTTTTAAATTATATATATATATATATATATATATATATATATAATTATTGTTATTATTATTTTTTTGTCTATCTCATCGGACAAGTATAACGATCAGAGGGAAAGAATTTGACTTGTTCTCAATTTAAGGATCTTTGCACAGTCTTATTAGCGGGTTCAGAGGATATGCGTGAATGCCTGCGTGCATATGTAAGAGACTTGCTTGTATTATGTGTATAAATGTTGATAATTAGTTAATAGAAATGTGTGACATGTTGGGATGTGTCGTGCGGATCCGCAGATCTACGTAGGACGCAGGATCCCTCAATCCCCAAGCTACAATTCTAGAAATCGAATCTAGAGCCGATCCTTCGGCATATATCTAGACCAGCACAAGGCTGTGTATATACAATGCCCTGCGTTAGAATTTATTAAGGTATAGTTTGTACGTTAAACTATATATATATAATATCATCATCATCATCATTATCATCTTTATTATTATTATTGCGAATAATATAATGATTATTGTCTTAATCAAGCCGATAGTATCATCATGCCTCATGTATATCATATTAAAAACGAACATATTAATACTCGCGTGTTCGTACCTGAAATGTTTAGTCCTTTCTATGATCCATGCACTTTCCGATTTTAAATTGTTCTCAAGGACGAGAATCGATGTGAAGAAATTTGCGTATTCCTCTGCAAAAGCATTTCTAAAAAAAATAATTCGATAAAACTAAATATTTCATCAAATTTTCGTTGTAGATATATTCAATCTTGTTATTGTAAATTATACTTGTTTTATAGTGATTTTCCATTTTTAATCACAGAATTGATTTTATTATCTGACAGACTTCATTAAAACTCCTACTTATTATTGATGTTATGTTGTTCTAGAAGCGAGAAATATGAGTTTTATTCTTAAGTAAAATATTTCGAAATAAATAAGTTTTCTTTTATAAATCAGATTTCTCGTATTCAATAATATGGATAAAATATGCCGAAAACTTTTTTGATTCATGAATTAATGAGTTGATCAATTATAAGGTTCATGTTCAGATTTTGTTGAAAATATAGAACATGTGTAAAATTATATAATCATTTATTAATGCAGGATAAAAAAAGAGTTTTCGACATATTTTTCTAATTCATATTATCATACACAAGTGATTTCATTTAAAAAACTTATTAATTTTGCGATGTATTTCTTTCTCGCAAGAAACTCGTGTGATTTTTCGCTCTTAATTCATTAACAATTAAATATAATTGTAGTGAGAATACAGGACTTTTAATCAGGACAGTTAATGTAAACGCGATTTACATATCGAAGTATAAAATCATAATTCAAATCGTTACAAAAATCAATCGTAAAAACTCGTTTGTTGTCTATCACATTTTGGTTGATTATTAATATAATTGCATATTTTCCAACATTGATCGAATAACTTTCTCATTATTGATCATCAAGATCAAGAGACACGATTTTGCATCAAGTATATATAACAATGTGGCATTTAATTTTTAATCCTTTGAGGACGACAAACATATACATTTTGAATTTTTTTCAAAAGAGACGATAAACATTTGTATAAATCTTTAACTTTAATCGATAAATGTAGCATTTTTTCATATTTTTCATTTCTCTTAAAATTTGAAATTTTTTGAAAATGGAATTAATTTGATGATTTTCAAGAATTCAATTAATCAGAAAAATTTTCAATTAACATCAATTGGGACCGGAAGGAGAACAAATGCAAGAAAATACTTATTGATAGATATTTTCCTTTCTTTTATTCATTCGAAAATAACGAAGATGCATCGTTTTTAGTAGTATCTTTCAATTCAATTTAAAAAAAGAAAAGGATTAAGGTATGAATGTGATGTTGATCTCTGTATAACCGATTGCTTCGAGTATCATATTAAAGCAATCGTACTGATTGCTTTAACTTTTTTATCAAAACTACATTTACTTTCATTAAACAAAAATACTTTTTATAAATTTTATAAAAATTTGATTAAAAAAAAGTATTCTTCCTCAAAGGGTTAAGAATGTGTCAGATCAATTCGAATTTGCGGTGAATTTTACAAATCGAATACTTTTCCTCTTTCTACCCTTTTCCTCCCCCCTTTCCCTTTTCACAGCACGATATAAAGGCAGGCCGATAAAACGCGCCCCGTTACGTTGATCCCACAGAATTTGCATAAATGCATATGCAGCTTACAAAGTAGGACCATTCTGAATATACTTGTTGCGAACCGGTGCATGCATATGCGATCAGCATAATACAGCATGCACTGGTAATCTGCATATACTCATTGATAGTGCAAGATGACGAGTGAAAAAGGACAAAAAAAAAGGGAACAAACGGATCTCGGAGCGTGCTGCGGCGATGTATATTCATTAAAAGTTGTCGGCGGGGAGAGAGAATTCGACTTCTCTCTCGGTCTCGGTTCCACGACCGACCCAATTTTGCGCGCTCGCCGTCATAAAGAAATTGACATAGTACGCCGGAGAATCATCAAAATTGTGCCCGACAATGCGATCGTGGCACGAACGTCCACGGCAATGAACGCACGCTTTCTCTTTCCTCGTTTGATAAAAAAAAAATTCTGCAGAGCTAGCGTTGCGTTCTTTACTTTTACCGTCCCATAACACACGGTGACTAATCGAGGCGATCAATATTTAGAGCGGTTCGATTTTTACGTATTTTTCTTTCGTCCGCGAGCAATTTGCAGATAAAAGCTTCGAATATATTCTCAAGTGTTTCTTCTCTCTCTTCTGCATGTTTATATTATAACATGTGTCTGTAATCTGTATATAAATATTCTCGTTTTCTTTTCCTCTTTTTTTATATGCAGTTTGACTTAATTAATATTTCTACAGCTATTTTGTTTTATTATGAGAAAAAAGAGAGATTGAAGACAACTTTAAATGAAAACATTTTCATATTTTCATCTTATTCTAAAAGATTTTGTTAAAATGTACAGAAACTTTTAGTTTGTAAGAAACATATAAATTAAAATTTAAAAATTAACAGAAGAAAAGGAAAAGATACGGACAAACAAGTACTATAAACATCGAAAAAATAATTGATTTATTTGGATTAAATAAAATATCATTCAATATTATGTATCAAATTTTGATTTTACTTTCATAATAAAAATAGTCACTTAACCGATAATCTCTGCAGTCTAGTTAGAATTAATTAATGCAGTCTAGTTAGATATAATTAATTTAATATAATTTGATATAATTAATTTTCTATAATTGCTTTGTTCTATTACGAGAAAAAAAAGATTGAAAGCAACTTTTATTTTAAACGAAAACATACATATTTTCATCTTATTCCAACAAAATTTTGAAATAAGATAATAAGATGAAAATATTTAAGTGTATTGGTTTGTAAAAAATATATATAAATAAAGAAAAAAAAACAGGAACAATCAAATATTACAGAATCGAGATATAGGACGATTGGATTAGAAAGAAAAAGAAAAAAAAACAGTTTTAGTAAAATTCGAACGGAAAGTTGAATTTGGTTTCTCAAGGCCCTGGTGAGTCATGATTTTAAGTAATTGTATTTTTTCTATCAAAATTCAATATGTCAATAAACTCTTGAATGCAGGGACTCGTGCGGATTGCATATTGGACGATTCGATTAAAAAAAAGGAAACAGTTTTAGTAAAATTCGAAAGTTGAATTTGGTTTCTCGAGGCTCTGATGAATCACGATTTTAAATAATTGTATTTTTTCTATCAAAATGCAATCTGTCAATAAACTCTCGAATGCAGGATCTCGTGCGGATTGTATATTATATAGGACGATTAAAAAAAAAGAAAACAGTTTTAGTAAAATTCGAAAATTGAATTTGGTTTCTCGAGGCTCTGATGAATCACGATTTTAAATAATTGTATTTTTTCTATCAAAATGCAATCTGTCAATAAACTCTCGAATGCAGGATCTCGTGCGGATTGTATATTATATAGGACGATTAAAAAAAAAGAAAACAATTTCAGTAAAATTCGAAAGTTGAATTTGGTTTCTCGAGGCTCTGGCGAGTCACGATTTTAAATAACTGTATTTTTTCTATCAAAATGCGATCTGTCAATAAACTCTCGAATGCGTTCGAATGCAGGGACTCGTGCGAATTGAATATACGATTCGATTAAAAAAGAAAAGACAAAAAACAGTTTTAACAAAATTCGAACGAAAAAGTCGAATTTGGTTTCTCGAGGTGAATCGCGATTTGAAAAAAACCACATCGGCGCGCAAACGAGCCCGCTTGGGGGCAACTCGGCTCGGTTCGCGCGTTGGCCGGCTCTGGCTGGTCAAACAGAAATTCAGTTCCCGCTCTACTCTTGTCTCCCGGTCACCTACGGTTAATATCGTCGTACGGTGAACGGAGCAAGCGAGCGAGCGAGCGAGCGAGCGAGACGGACGGAGCCGGGTTTCCCATGGGAAGAGCCCGAAGAGCCGACCGCTCCGAACTGGTCACCAGTTTGTCAGCGGCGCCGCTCTCGCGCGCATGATCGCCGCGCGCGCAAACGTATCTTCCGTGTGTGCCCGTGCACATAACATTCTTAGATACACTGTAAACATATACACGCGTATGTCACATCCGTCTCCGTAAAAGCCGGCGGACGGTGAGACGCTGAGAAAGCGGAGCGCGAAGGCGGAAAGGTCGGGGCCGGAATCGTGCCAGGAGAGCGGACTCTCGTGGTCCGGTCGTGGCAGCTCGAGCAGCCACGACGCCGTTGCCCGCGCGAGTGGTGCGCGTCCAACGATCGATTCGGAGCCTAGGTACGTACATATATGACTCGTGTCACACAATAGATCGCGTGTGCCTGGATCATTTTCGCCGGAAATAACAATGGCGAACCGGAGTAGCGGACCCTCCTGCTCCGCGTCGCCCATTTCTCCGATCTCCCGCGACAGTTTATGCCAGCTTATTTCGCCGGCTGGAGAAAGAGGCGCGAGAATCGTACTTATCTTGAAAATAGAAAGCATACGAAAATCTAGAAAGTACACTTTCTTGTCAACTCGAACGCGACGCATACTTTCCTCCTATTGAGCGTAAGGGAAGAATAAAATAATGCAAAAATATCTTCTCCAAATATAAAGACCGAGCTATATATTTTGACAGCGTTCGAGCGGTTTATTGCGGTATGAAAAATTGCACGCGTTGTAATAAAATTCGATCGCTACGTCTTCTGTTTATTGCTCGTTTATACGTTTGTCGCGTCGATTGAATAACGATTTTTCATATTAATGAATCGACGCGGGCAAGCGCAATTTTTTTTTGTTACGCGCGAGAAGAATCACCGCTTATTGTTTCACAGAGCAGGATACGCATATTTGGGTCCTGCGTCAGCATAATTTCTTTGGAATGCGATAATATAACTGACACTATAGAAATACATCGGTCAGCGCGATAAACGCGAATAGATAATAAAGTTTTCTTGAGAATTAAAGGAGCGATAACGAAACGAAAATACATGCATACACACATATGCACGCGAATACACGTAATACATAATTCCGACACGTAAGGAGAGATCCGCGCCAACGTTCAAAATTAGATCGGCTAATAAGCGAAATAAGACACAGAAGGGAAAATTCGCGCCGAATGGAAATAGCTTAAAATTGTTAGAACGAGAAATAAGGACCAGGGAATAGACGCAATTTATTTATTTTCGGATTGCGAAAGTGGTTCGTCACGTTTTCTTTCTATATACATGGCCTGGCATTCTCGAATACATTATACTACTTTTTCCCTTGTCATATGCATGTTTGTCCGCCGATATTACATTAGGGACAATCGTGATTGATGAAGCAACCCGTTAGCTCATGTTAAAATAGCGTAATAATAGTTATAATTAGATGTGCTGTTTCTATCGTTGACGGAAGATGGGATTTTCGGATTATTTAAAGTGCGAAATGTGACCTAGAGGGAACACTTTTATCATAGTAAGTTTTTAATCAATTATATCAAAGTAATTTTATAATAAATTAGTCTTTTAATTAATGTAGATAAAAAGAATTCTTTTACTTGGCACAAGCTTTTACGAAATAAAAACATTAAGCATTTATTAAAAGTCATCGGAAGTTAAATGCTTGTTTCGTTCTCGATAATAAATGATTCATAAATTCTAGAATATCAATTTACGATCGTACCGAAGCATGTTCAGGAACGATCGATTTGATATAAAATGAATGAGCTTCATTATTTATTGCCCGATAGTTTAGTCAAATTTTTTACATGCAATCTATAGTTCAATTTCAATTGTTTCATCGATATGTGTCGTAATTTTTTTATTGTCTAACAAAGTTATTACTTTTATCGTTTCTTTTAAATATCAGCAAATCTGAAGTAATTTAAAGATAATATTTAATTAATTTTTTAAAGATAATATTTGAAGAATAAAAATATTCCTTTCAAAGATGATATATTTGAATAATTCTTTGATAATTATCCGCAAAGATCTATATAATCCAAGATACACTTTACAAAATATTTTAATCATTTACATATTAATTTACATAATTAAAAGTATCTCATCTTATGTAAATTTTTCAAAATTAATGTAATATAATAATTTATACAAAATTGTACATATTATTATTTTATCTTTTCACAATATAAAAAAAATTCCTAATTAGTTATAATTCCGAAATCAGTTTTATATTACATGTAAAAAAATTTCTATCTTGTTAAAAAAAAGATTATTAATTATTATTTTAAAAAAAAAGAGAGGCGGAGAAATAATTTTTTTATAACCAAGCCTGTTAGTGTAGTGTTTGTAGCAGTTAAGTAAGTAAGTTTGTAGCAGTTAAGTAAGTAAGTTGTAAGTATCATAAGTGTTTGATATCGTCTTTTAAACTCGTTATAATGATTGACTTCTTTTATATCCATCGCTTGTTGATAATTATTAACATGCTTTCATTATGTGATATACTTTTATTGTTAATGTGAAACATTTGTGTCGATACGCGAATGTGTTTTATTTACGATACAAATGATTTATTGATGAATTGATGATAATAAACAACCACTATGACACTTAATCCGGGACATTCAAATTTATTTGTATATTTTTACAAAGCATTTCTTGATTTATTTACAATAAATTTTTGGTTCAGATAACAATATTATTTACAAGATTATAACATCGTCATCGTCATATACATGTCTGCTTTTCTCTGACTTATAAGGATATATAAAAATTATAAGGATGTAAAAATCGCGATTTTTAGTTAAAAATTTTTTACAAACTATGCAAACAAATTTATATATTATAGTACACAAAGAATATAGAAAAAAATAATATTCAATTTTAATTCGTACATTGTTTAATTTGCCCATTGAGATGAACAATCTCTTTAAGACGTGTTGTAATCTCGATGACTCTCAAAGTTATGACTCGTAAAATCCGTCAAGAAGCTTCTGCTGAAGCTTTCTTTCTTTTCGGAAATGGTCACCGTCATCGCTTGCATTTCGTTTGGTCATCGCTCACTTAAAATATCGCGATTATCAAAGTTCGCAGCTTTGATTATCAGGTTATCGAAGTCACGAGACGGTCTCGCATTCAATGAGCTTAATCGCACACGCGACGTCTCGTGACGATGAATCATCGTCCTAGCGTACATTGAGCACCACGGAGAGACACCACGTCCTCGTTCCCCATACGAGATTTCGGCCGCCGATCAATTTGCATAATTCCGAAAGCGAAATATAAGCGACTAGATTTTTAAGGAGCAGAAATATATCCTTTCGCGAAAGAAACTTTCAAATTAACTTTTTTAATATGAAGGAAAAATTCGTTTTTCCATTTTTTTATATACAATTATAGAGAATCACATGATCAATAAAAAACGGCAATTTCGTGCATATATATATATATTATATTCAGCATCATGAATGTCTCCCACTTGGAGACATTTACATTCATTTTGAACGCATTATTTTTAAATATTTGCATCACGACTATTGATTCGATAATTTCCTAACAATTAGTTTGACAACTGTTTGATATATTAAATGCAAGGTTAACAGAATATAATTTTTGTCGTGTTTCTTGTTTGGTCATAATAATGCTAATTCTTCCGAGAGCCAACAGAGTAATGATGCATGAATATCTAGATGCATTCGACCTGAAAATAACTATGTCTGTTCAAACGTGAAGGCATTTCGTGGCATATCGGGTATACATGGTGTTAGATATGCCTTAACGTATGATTTTGCACGTATTGAAATGCGCGTGTCTCGTCCCTGTACATTTGTATGTAACTGTTAATCATTCGAGAGATGGTAACGCTATCTCAAAAAACAAAATAAAATTATTATAAAGAAATTATCATTTTATTAATTTTTGAATAATTGCTATCATTAATCATTATTATTTCTTATTTTTCAAATAATCAATAATCATTATGTCATTATAAAAATGAATTACGTGTATCGATAATGCTCTGATACGCATGAAAATTACGTGTCAAGATATTATTATCACATCCTCTGCAGATATACATTATACAGAGTGTTTCTAAAGTGACTATAAAATATATATTTTATGAAGCTAATTTAATTATTTTCGATGTGGCCATTTATGTATATATAATATTTCTATAGATCTCAAAGAAATCAAATGTTTCCGCGAAATGCACATTCAAACATTGCAAGTATTATCTTTTGAATACGATTTTAATACAATTTCGAATCAGCTTTTTAATTCTTCTTTGATACATGATGCCAGGAATGTCTTTATATATGAGATTAAGCGCATTTTTGAAGCAATATATTCGCGAACCAAGCGCATTTTGTTTTTTACACAAGAATTTTCCTTAGAATAATTTCATTTAAAAAATTGACGCACACGTTCCATTACACACATGTCAGTTATATTGTTCGTTATTTATCATAACGGGTGTTTCGACAAGTGATTTATTACGCGCAACTTCCGTAAAAATCCGTAGAGACTTACCAATTTACTTTAAATATCGTCATTATTGTTAACGTCAATGAAAGTAATTTTTAATTCTATCCGCGTAATTTAATGTCTGCCAAACGTCTATTTCTTTGATAAAAATCTTAAGAGAGCGCACGTATATATAATGTGACGTCATTGGATAAGTCAATATTTAAAAAAAATGTTTATGTAATATTTAAAGGGATTAATATAATCAAATGATTTATATATATGAAGAAAAAATAAATTGTCCATACGTTCATTATATTTTACTATAATCACATTTTACATTTAGTCTTACAATATAATAACGAATGTGAAGATATATATAAACAATAGGATAGCTTTTGTTCTTCGATTTTATACTTTGATTATATTCAAGTGAATTTCTTTTTAATAAAACTCACATGTCACTCACGTAACTTTATTTGAAATCCCGTATCTTGCACATTCTTATATCTATTATATATCTGAAATACAAAAAATTAATATTGACAAGTAATAAAATGCGAAATAAATAGTTGCAATAAATATAGGCAATATAGAATAAATTTCTTGTAATTATGTATTGTCTTTAATGATCTGTACAGAACAATCAAGAAAAATTGGATGGTTAAAAGAAAAAAAAACACGAGATACGACGTTATGCGCATAGTAATTTTGATGATTGTCTAATGAGCAGCATGTTAATTGCATTAAGTAAATGCTATCACGTAGCAGATGATTGTCAATGTGACATTATTAAAAGTTCATAAATTACTACAACATTCCAAAAGAATTTCAGTATCTTTATTAAGTTAATATAATTATAATTAAATAATATGTTTTTTAATAAAAATGTTAATATAATTATATGTGACATTTAACATAATATCTCTATTTAACTTTTCATAATAATTTGTTCTTATATATATGATGTTTTATATATATTTGTTATAAATATACATTAACTGGATGAAATATAATATAAATGATGATAAAGAATGACAGATCAAGAACGGAACATTTCTATTACGTATGTACAATGGAACCGATTCAGAATCGATTTCAATGAAAAATATCGAATGGTTACAGAAATTACAAAAGAGACCAAGCGAAAGATTGAGAGGCTTTTTCTTTGTTCTTATTTGCTTCAGGCATGGAATTTTCCACAGAAGAACGTTTTATGAGGTCTGTTGAGCGGTTATAAAAGGAATGCGGTCCATTTCTTTTACTCCCCATCTTATCCCATATAACATCTTTAAGGTCCATCTTATAATTAATTTACACACAACAATTATAACTAATAAATACAATTTATTATAATATTAAAATATTATCTTCAGATAAGAAAAGAATATTAAAATATTATCTTCAGATAAGAAAAGAAAACTTAAATAGCAATTTAAAAATATTATTTTTTACAAATTCAGTTAGCAAAATAGAGGAGATTAAATCACAACATCTTGATTGTAAAATTTATTTTAAATAACTTTAGATAGATTAGTGATATAATGATATAATTTTTAGTTGAAAAGCATATGTCAAAGAAGAGGATTTTACGTTTATTTTATAAATAACGCGTTTTTCATTGATTGACACGCGCATTAAATTGATCTAGTAATTGTGTTTTCCATTTTCTTTAAAATCTGTTCCATCTCTTATATATATATATATATATATATATATATATATATATATATCATTAGTCACATCGCACCGCGGACCATGTGCGTGCACTTTGAAAAGACTTAAAAAGTGGAGCATGAATCAATATAGATGTTTTCATACAACAGTGAGGTCTAAATAGAATAGATCTTCATGTGAATATTCTGCGATATGATTTCCCGTTATAATAGATACTTATAGATTATGCAAAATTTGAAAACATATTTATCATAAAATAAATACAAAATTAATGAAATTTATCTATCGCGTTAAATAGAAGTAATTTATTGCTGTTATACAAGATCGCAATTTTCTCATTATCCTTTCAGGAATTTGCATTATAGAAGTATCACGTTATACAAGATGTTTACTACACATTTAAATATATTTTATTAATGATTTATTAATGATTGTTATAATTAATTTGAAAATTTTTCATTTTTTTGTGAATTTCTTTTTTGTGAATTTAATTTTAAAGGAAAAAAGAGTTTTTGATCTCTTCCCCTTTTTTAGATTAGCTTCGAATTATTGTTATTCTACGAGAGCAGATAAAATATATGTGGCGAATAATAATTTATTTTCCTCAGATTTTAGATGTATTACAATTAAACAACGCATTTTTATGAGTCACACTACCATTAATGAGCTCATTCGTATATACAGAGTGTCTCAGACCACTCGTACACTCCTTTTAAAATGAAAATAAATGGCTTTTATCAAAAATCGCGAATAATTTTTAAGTAAGTCGGGTACGCTCTATTAAATGGTGATATTTTCAACTTTTGATTCCGACCGGAAATACGCCATCAGGATCGGAAGTTGAATTTTTTTAAGGGAACATGGTACTTTTTATTACAGATTCGAATTGTACGTGAGAAAATAAGAAACTTTTATAATAAACGTTTTTTCTGAAAGTGCCTCTGTCAATCTTAACATTTAAAGTTTATTATTTCATCACAGTTACTTTTAAGGTCAATTTTAAGATTGACAGAAGCACTTTCAGAAAAAACGTTTGATACAAAAGTTTCTTATTTTTTCACGTACAATTCAAATCTGTAATAAAAAGTACCATGTTCTCCTAAAAAAATTCAACTTTCGATCCGGATGGCGTATTTCCAGTCGGAATCAAAAGTTGAAAATATCACTATTTGATAGAGTGTATCCAATTTACTTAAAAATTGTTCGCGATTTTTGATAAAAGCCATTTATTTTCATTTTAAAAGGGTGGGACACCCTGCATATACGCATACGAAACATAAAATGGATATATATCAGGATTCTATGATGTAAAACCAGGTCGAAAAACCTTCGCGATGGTCCCTCTCATTTATATAACCTTGTCCCACAAAGACGACGCCAAAACGAGGGAAACATAAGCGTTCCTTTCTCTTACAAGAAATCATCTCGTTCATTTGCACGCGTAGGATCTCGAAAAATCCTGCCGACATCCGTCACGTCACTTACCGGCCTCAATCATCGGAGATATTCCTCGAATATTGAAGAGGAAAAATACGGAATAAATTCTTTAAAGAATGCACGACAGAAAATCAATGTTTGTTTTGTTTTTTCATGTATCTGCGCATATTTATATGACAAAGCACGTGTATATATGAGTAATAACTCTTTCCTATCTTATTAATTTTAAGCATAACACATAAATAACTAACATAAAAATAGTATATATGTCCGCAGTTGTCGAATAAAAATTAATTGACTGGGCTCGTAATAAAACTGCTCCATTATTTTGCATTCGGACCCCGGAATAAGTAAACCGATTCTCATATTTGTTTAATAAAAAAATTCGATCGATCGCTAACGACCTCCGGACATATTATTCTTGCATACGTTCGATAACTGCAATAATTTTAATGTCAACGTCGCTAAAAATTTGATGAAGCACGTCTGTGGAGGATGCCACGCATTTGTAGTTTGAGGGTTTACTTCATATCCGGCAAGCTTACGTCACACGGACAGTGCAAAGTAAGAAAATCATTCGACTGATTTTGTATCGAATATATGTATTGTGTTAGTGAAGAATATTAAAAATAAAAAAGTCTTATCGAATATAATCGATTTTACTTGCACGATTCGCTGCTTGTATTGTGTCCTATGAATGGTAAAACTTAACGGGACAAGAACGCAAGAGGTTGTAAAAACAGGCGCTTGAAAATAAGACAACTTGACGTCACGTCATAGCAGATGTTACGTTTACAAAGGATCCATCTTTTTGTCGAACAAACAAAAACGACGACAAATGGAGAATCGGTCGATTTTCTCGCTACTAGACCTCCTTATTATAACATTGCAATACAGGTTTAAGGTGCTTTCATACCGAGTGTATTGGATGCAATTTCATTTTTTTAAAGAATATACGCAGAAGTATAAAAGTTTCCATAGATGGAGAAAAAAATGTGTGTGTGTGTGTTTATGAAATTAAGTAAAAAATATGCTTATGAAATTTAAAGAGAGTTTCATACATATATAATATAATTACTTTTCTATTAATAAAAAATGACGAATGTTATCGCATTGTTATGAAAACATCTTTAGATCTATATATCTTCATTTATATTCGCACGTATTTCATACCTATGCAGTCTGTTGTGTGAATGAAACCAGTCGTCAAGCTTTTAAGATCATTATCATTACGGTAAAAATGTTGGAAACGTAGGAGATCTCAAAATTCTGTGCGAGAATGCGAAAGTAAAGCAAAGGTAGTGCATTTTGCGTAAAATGTCTCATGACGTGAGTAAAGACAAGTGTCAAAGCAAACAATATAAGTATATATAATGTAAATACAATATATTATGAATGTATTGCAACGCACAAAAGAGACAAATTTTTCATTCCGAATGTTGATGTAATCATCGTTATGTAATTGTAGTGGGACAAAAGGTGGAAAATTACGTGTCAAACCACGCGACAGACTAAATTATGTTGATTGTCGATCATACGAATACATGTCCCAAGAAATGAAAAGTGTGTGTGTGTATATGTGTCGTTACATCTCACATCTCGTTACAGCGCGTACTTAAGACAAATAAGAAGAGACTGACTGCATTGACTTTGTTCGCGATTGTCACCGCGTTGTGAAAAATTAACAATTAATAACAGATTACGAGGTAAATTAACGAGACGTGTACAACAATCATTTATCATGTTGGCACAATGTTTGGATTTAATTTTTGAAAAAAATGTAAAGTTATTCATATGTACACTGAAAAAAAAGTAATGTTGAATTAACAACATTAGTGTAATTGAAATTTATTTTATTAATTCAATAACATTACTAACCAAATCAATACATGGTATATTGATTTGATTAAAAATGTTATTAAATTAATCAAATAAATTCCAATTACACTAGTATTATTGGTTCAACATTTTTTTTTCTTAGTGTAACTATAATTTCGATTTCAAACAAGTACAATGAAATCGAAATTGAAACATTTAAATTGCATTAAATTAAAATATCGATGTGTTGATATTGGTTTCGTGTTTAAGCTACTTTAATAAGTATAATGGCGAGTTTAAAAATGGTAAAGAGAGAGAGAGAATCCTTCATCAGTCACTTCCGATGAGGCATATTTCATTCCGAATGTCATACTGTTGAGAGATCTTTACGATTAGTCTGCAAACAAGTGTTCGCGAGATCGGTATTAATAGTATAATTTTTTCAAAAACATTCATATCCTCTTTATCGCAGAAAATCTTGTTTAATTTCGCGTTTCGTTCATAATCAAACAGTAACTTTGATCTCTAATATTCTATAGATTTATTTATATCGCGAAAATATTAAGGAATATCAGAATATTGAAAATTATTTAGAATCTAGCAACACATATAAAGTTGGTTCAATTCGAGTCTGTAAATTAATTGTTTCATTGGAGTTTTTTTCCTGATAAACACAACTCATAAACGATTTTGTTTTGCTAAATAAACGCATACAGATACCTCGATTAACTAGGGATTAAATCTTGAAATGTACATCCTATATGTTAATCTTATAAATAAATATAATTGCTTTTATTCTTGTTAGAGTCATTCTATTGTATTGTATTAATCGCAATTGTGATCATTCGTGTTTCAGCAGCCAACAGAACGGAGCTGTCATCACAGCGACTACTCCACATGTGGATATCGCCATCCCAACTTAGGATCGGTCGGGCACCCAGGAAAAAGACACAGCCTTAAGCTGATAGCTGCGCCATCAGCTGCTACGACCGGTGAAAGATGGAGAACACTGATGGATCTAGAAGAAAGCTCTCTTTCCTCGGCTTCGGCAAACGGGTATCAATGATTTAATGCTTAATCATGACTTAACTATAGCGCGCAATACTTAATATTTATAATTAATATTTATAATTAATATCTAAAGACATAATTGAACGAGAAACATTCATGCTTGTACGTTTGAGAATATCATCGATTGGTGTCGGATGATCTAATAGAGGTATGTCGATAAATGATATTCCATATCGGGATCGATATGCATTCAAATGCGTACTGCAATAAATATAATATCACATTACTTGACTGGCAATGACAATATCTCGTATATACGTACATGCAAATATTGCAACTATCTTTGCATTCTTTTTGTTTTTGACAATAAAATATGTCTTTCTTCGATTTTCATGTTTAGTTTGAATATGTAAAGAGAGAGTAGCTTAAAATAAGAGATACATTTGTTTTATAAAATTCTTTTCACACATACATACATTTTAAAGATTGAAAATTTTGTCGAAGATAAGTCGTATAATTAATTTTTAGCGGACTTTACCGAAATTATGAGAGATACATAAAAATGTTTAAGATGAAAATTTTATGGCTTTAAATATATTCTTTATAATAATAGATTTTAATTTTTTCAAAGAGTGAATATTTTTAAAAATCTACTTTCTAATCTATTTCACATTAATAATCTAACAAATTTAAAATTTTTTTAATCTCTTGGCAGCGCTGTATATGTTACGCATATATGTTCTGCATCGTGCTTATATATATACTGCACGGTATTTGATAACAACCTATTTATTTCACATTCCATACAGTTGCGTGCACATGCATAGCATACAATATATTAAATAATGAATAATTTAAATATAAGAAGATAATTTTTTAATGCTTTTGATGATATTATTTTTAGCTAAACAATTTTAACATTTACATTAAAGAAAAAAATAATATCATCAAAGGTATTAAAAAAATTATCCTATATATATAATACATAATAAAAAGTTTAATAAAATGTTATATGAATTAAAAGATGAGATTTATAAAAGATGAGAATTATATAAAAAATGTAATAAAAATTATATGCAGACAAATATTATGCATTATGTATTATAATATTCCATATTATGGAATATATTACATTACTTTGTACATATAAAATTTATATAAAAATCAAAAATTTTATAATATATTTCTAGAACAACCATTTGATTTTATATTTTTATAATTTGTATAGAAATGCATACATTTTTCATAAAAAATATTTTAAGAAAATTACAATTATATATAGGCAATTCTTTTCTCACATCTTTTAAATTAAAAAAAAGCAATATGAAAATTATTCTTCTCTATTTTTAAATTAAATTTTTAAATTCTCTTTATTTTTTCTATAATAGGGCAGAGTTGTACAGGAAAGAAAAACATATATGGATATATTTTTATATATAATCATATATATTTTTTTTATAATTATATAGAAATTTATAAATAGATATTTTATATAGAATTTTTTTATAATTATATAGAAAATTATAAATATAAATATTAAAAGCAATAAAACTTTTATCTGCGACATTTTTCTAATATATATATATATATATATATATATATATATATATATATTATATTTCTCTCATGATGATAATATTTAAGATATTAACTTGAAAGTAATAATATATCACTCAGTTATCTACAGCAGAAAGAAAGATCTTTATAAAAAGATGCATATTTTTTAATTGAAAGCTACTCTTCATATATACACGTCCAAAGTCCATTACAATCGAGAATAAATTCTTCTATATGTTTCCTTGTGTGAAAATCCTTCATATCAGTTAACACTTTTAACACTTTTTCAGTTTTTCTCACCAAGTATTCGTTTAAATATATAGCATATTTATCTAACAATAAGTATTTATGCAAATATTTATGATAATTATTATATCATATCGCTTATATTTTGGAGATAATAATAGATCTTTTTCTTGATTGTGAAGAAAGCGGTATGTCTTATAACTTTTATTTTCTCAATTGATTTGATGAGAGAAGTATTAAGAAGCAACTGTAACGCGAAGCTTCAAAACGATAGTTAGTGACTCATTGACTTTTACACTTCCGGCACAATCAAGTTACAAGTTTTATTACAATCATGATAGATTGTGAAATATAATAGATCTCTTTGATCTGTTAAAGAATATATAAACATTTCTATGAAGAAAGAAATTATACGAAACGCTCTGCAAGAGTGTAAAGCTTTTGTAAAATATAAATATACTATACTATATATAATCTCGATCTTTTCGTGTCATTAGCATTAGTCGACAAAGTTTAATACTTTGAATATTTTGGTGTATAATTGGAGATAGAATATTTTTATAATATTTATAATATTTTAGAAGAGTTAACTCTTTTCTTCCTCTTTTAATTAGTTTCTAGTCAACGAATTTCATTCTAATAATATTAAAAATCGATCATTAAATCACACAAAATCATCAGAAGATTGCAAAAGATTTTATCCGATTATACAGGTCTGATATTTTCTATCAATTTTGCTAAGAAGGCGACATTAATTTTCTAGTGTATTATTCTGTTTCATTTGAAAAAAAAGGAAAAATCAAAATTCACCTAAAAAAAGAATATGCAATAAATACATAGTCTTCATTCATTTTTGTCGATTAAATAAACAAATTTAATCGTATACTTTCGCACGTGCTATCGTTCGAAATGAATGTAAGCATATGAGGTAATGAGGTTTCGTAAATGTGAATCATAATGAGATCTTCATGTCAAACGTGTATACAGAACGAGTTGTATATAGGAGAGGAGATCCGTGTTAGGAAGTAGCGTGTGGATTATCACTTCATCGCGATTGTCTCCTAACTCTGACATAGATTCGTAAAAGCGGGACGACCTCGAGCGGGACTGATTAGCCTGATTGTTGACGGTCGCAGGTCAATAACCATTTGATATCATATATGCGCGTGATATAGGCAAAGACGCGTGACTCGCGCGGCCGGCACGTGATTTCGATCGCAAGGAAAGTTGCCAGGAACGCGCCGCGATCACATGCTTCCACATTGCTCACATTATTTATTATACTACAGTTTCTTACAATGTGAAGAACGTAAATTTTCAGAATTGCATTTCAAAATTTATTTTTTTTTTTTTTGGACTAGAGTAGCATTCGATTGTCAGTCAGAATAAAAGAAATCAAAATTTCATTATTCTGTAGATTTTGAAACATTATTAAAGCGAATCGAGGACTCGACCAATCGAATATCGTCAACATGCAGTAGTCATATGCAGAATTATAGTAATCAAAACGGTTGCATAATCAAAGAATCGAATCCAGACGCTTATCCTTACAAATTATCGAACACATTAATATTGAATAATTGATTACGAAATCTCGATTTAATCGATCACGGATGTTCATTCTTGCTCTTTTCTATTACTCATAATTTTTTTTCTGTAAGATTCACAACGTTTAATACGATATCATTTTTTCGATTTGCGATTAGTTTCGTTTCGTTTCATCTGGACCAAACAACTGAATGTCGGTCGTTTTCGCTCTTTCGTTTTTATATGGAATTGAAAATTGTCTAATGAAAACGCAAATTAGCATTCGCGAAAAACGATATTAAAAAAGAGCAATTTTTTTATAGTAGCAATAACAAAACTTTCTGAAATTCAAAGAATATTCGTTAAAAAATAATAATATAAAAAATTAGGAAATTATTAAAAATTGTCCATAAAGAGTTGGGCAATAATTAGGCAATCTTTAAATTATTGACAGATTCGAGACGGCTATATTTGTATCGAATCACGCGGTACCAATTTGGAACATATGAAACAAATTATGAAGAACACACACGATAATTTTGAGAAAGAAATATTTTCAAAGTTTTTTAGGAAAATTATTTTATCGAAAAATTGATTTACCAAATTAATTTTTCATTATTCCCTTTCTCCTTTCTCTTTTCACACATACCGTAGCCCGAGAGCAAACAAAGAGGTCAAATTCCTGAAATAGATTCGCTTTGACTAATGCTCTTCTGTTGCATTCTCATCGTGCATCGCATAAGTTTAAGGTATTAACAAGTCTAGCGACGTTCAGGGTAGCGCTTATGCAAGGTCGGAAGCCGCAAATTCGATTATCAAGAATGGCGTCAATCGTATCCGCGCTATCATGTAGAGCTGATTGTCACCGGCGTTGCCAGTGTACAGGTGGGCCGCTTATGTCGGAGCTTGTTGCGCGGTTTATCCGCGCGAGAAAAATCACTTCCATGTCCGCGATAAAGGTAGGAATATCAGTTTTGTAATGATGTTAGATTCGTCATAGGATACGCTCCTTCTGCTCATTTCTTTGCCGCTCACCGAGACGACCAAGATTATCCATTTGTTATGCAATGATTGTACAAAGCATTTATTTATCGATTCACTTTAAAAGCTGGATATCCTCGAAGCTATCCAAGTCGTTGGAACATACTTTTGCATCGATAATTCTTTTGTCTAATAATAATTTCTGGGGGACTTTATCGTTTACAATATTTTGAATATCAAAGATCGTTTAATTGCAAATATAAATGCAACTAATTTTTTTATATTGTGATTGTTAGTTTAACAATGATGAACAAAATAATAGTAGATGAAAAATTTTTCAGGGAAAAGAAAAGCTCATGTGAACAATTCGAACAATTTGAGGTCTGCGCTTTTTCTTCATTTTTTTTTATTCACGTTTAATTATTTTTCTTTTTCTTTTTCTTTCTGTCGTCTTCTGATCACGTTTAAGATTCATGTCAACTCCCAAGTGAACTTGTGTGTGTTGTTATGAGGTTAAAAGAAACCGATCGTTTAAAGCAACATCATTTTTTTGCATATCTTTTGCAATCTTATTTTATTTTTCTAGAATATTAATTAAAAAGATCAATAAAAATATTGGGGTACGAGAATTATTATTCCTTGCGTGAGACTTAATTGCAAGATTCTTAGAAATCACGTGTACGTACATTGACCATCTCGCTAATTGCGGAAATAATCCACGAGAAATAATTATCGATCAAAAAAAACGAAGATTATCGTTTGTCATTGACCGACAAATACTAAACGCTTCATCGATTTTTCTATCGGAAAAGGTCATCACGAACGTATTAGGGAATAAATTAGAAAGATTGCGAGTCAAAGTCGATTAGCGCAGAGAAGCACACGTCGAATAGGAAAGCTTGAACGATGATGGAAGAGCTTATTGTTGTTATCTTCTCGATAATAATAGTGTTGATGCTAATAAAAGTGAAAAGATTGGCCATCCATATCGCGATGATGAAGTTGTTGATGAAGATCAGTAACAAATAATAGATATCGATTATCTCTTGAAAATAATCAACGAAAATGCGAAAAAGCGAAAAAGATTCCTATAAAAATTTCTCTAAATAAACGTGAAACTTTTTATCCAAAAATTTCTAAATTCTTTTTTGTCATTTGGACAAAAGTATGAGATATATATTTGACAAAAGATATACACAGGATAAAAGTAAACAATTTTCATAGGCAAAACAAGTAAAAATAATTCCATAAGTTAAAAATCTTATACACACATCTCTATTGAGATATTGGTCTTTACAGTTAAAATTTGAAAAACATTCTTCTTAATATAAATAACTTTTATATTACTTTATAGATTTTAATAATTTATAATAATTATTTTTATGTCAAGTATAGGTATTTAAAATATTATAACATGATAGATTTCGTAATATAATGGCCAAATGCAGATTACTTATAAGCCTTTTAATTTAAAACAGCACGATAGGTTTCTTTTATTTTTAAATATGTTTTTAGATTTTTTCCACATTTTTTTCCAAAAAAAGTTCCATTTTTCCCTCTTTCGAAAAAACTCGCTGTTTCCGAGAAAAACACATTTGATTGATAAAAAAATAAAGTTTTATTCAGATAATAAAGCAATTGTACGAATGCATTGTAGAAAAAAATTTTATAGGAATTTATAGGATTATTTTTACCTGCTCTTTTACGTGCTCTCTTTTAAGAAAGAATCCTGTATATATATACAGGGTGTCCCATTTTAATGCCCCACCCCAAATAACTTTCTTATTTTTAATTTTAGAAAAAGATGTTTCAGACAAAAGTTGTATGGTTTCAAGGGGGACATAAGGTGGTGTCATTAGTTTGACCTTGAAGAGTCACATGAAGATTACGTGAAGGTCATTTTGAATTTCTTAAATGGAACACCCTATATATTTTTGCATATTCTTGTAGCTTATCTCGAGAGCTTTCCAAAACACTATAAATAAACATTTTTTCATCAAGTACTTTTCGAGTTATGAGGCTTGAAATCATTTCTTAATTTTACATAAACCATAAAATATCTTGTAAAATATTCATTTTTCGATTATCTTACCTTCATACTTTTATGTACAAAATAATGAGAGGAATCAATTGGTGTAAAGAAAACATACAGTTGTTTTTAAGAAAAAATATGAAATTGTTAATTGCAAATTACATATTTTTTCTTAAAAATAACTGTATGTTTTCTTTACACCAATTGATTCCTCTCATTATTTTGTACATAAAAGTATGAAGGTAAGATAATCGAAAAATGAATATTTTACAAGATATTTTATGGTTTATGTAAAATTAAGAAATGATTTCAAGCCTCATAACTCGAAAAGTACTTGATGAAAAAATGTTTATTTATAGTGTTTTGGAAAGCTCTCGAGATAAGCTACAAGAATATGCAAAAATATATAGGGTGTTCCATTTAAGAAATTCAAAATGACCTTCACGTAATCTTCATGTGACTCTTCAAGGTCAAACTAATGACACCACCTTATGTCCCCCTTGAAACCATACAACTTTTGTCTGAAACATCTTTTTCTAAAATTAAAAATAAGAAAGTTATTTGGGGTGGGGCATTAAAATGGGACACCCTGTATATATATATATATATATATATATATATATATATATATATATATATATATACAAAATGGAGCCTGTATATTATATTTGGAGAAAAAATTGTTTCTCTTATATGTTACTTCTTTTATTCCTTGTTTCTTTTCCTTCAATGATCGATAACATCTCTATGACCTAGGCCGGGGTTGACCCGGTCAATGCAATTCTTGTTCCCCCATCGTGCGTACCGCTTGCTATTCAGCACCGTCAGCTGGGCTTTCCCACCTGCGGTTGTGGAGATTCCCCTTCTACCGTAAGCTTTCTCCTCCTTCGAGCTGTTTTACTCGAGTCTTTTATTCCGGATTTCACGGCCAATTGACACTTGTTGCGTCTCCCAGTCTCCGTCAATCATTTGCCTGCGCACAGCTCTCTGATGACAGCTCTCTTATTCCAAATATGCCAAGGGACTGACAGTTATACCTTTCTTTTTTAAGAAAAACCATAGTTTTTTGCTACATGTATATAGAAATGTTGACCATTCATCAATTGTGCGTTAATTGAGTTAGACTGATATAGAATTAATAGCAAAATACTGGACAGATTACCCAATAAGTTGCGTTTCTTCTTTCTCTTTCTACCTTCCTTTGTCTCTTTTGAATTGTTATGTAAAAGAACTTGCACAAGATCTGACAGAGAAAAACAAATTCAATAGTTTTAACATGCGAAGAATATCTTTTATATGATTTATTTGCATTTTCAAATACCTTTGAAACTTCGAAAACTTGTTCATTTTTTATCCATCTTCCTATTCTCTATTCATTTTACCTTATTTAAATATATTCTCTTCTTGTTAATCTTGGAACAATTTCCATATTTTATCTCGTGTTACAAAGGAAATTGATTTCTTTTATTTATTATTTTCTTTATATAAACCTCTTCTTTATATAAACCTTCTTTATATAAACCTATTCTTTTAAAAATGTAGCAAAATTGCATAATCTTTTTCTCTTTTATCTCAAATTGTTCTCTTTTAATTAAATTGATATCTATTCATCTTTTTCCAATATAACAGTATACAGTGTCTTCGAAAAAAATCTCATTATCGTTCGAAGTAAAAATACATAATCCTAAATAATATTGTTTAATTCAAGCGGTCGAATAAAAAGCGGTACACTCGGTGTTGTACGGTCGTTGGCCAGGAAATTGGCTTACAGGAAATTGAAAATCTCGAGTGGAAATCCCGATAAATCGCGAGTAGATGGGTGGGAAAGGAGGAAATGAGACGGGAGCGGAGAAAGAAAGGAACGAAGGGGTTACTCTCTGATTGAGCATATGGGGTTAATATCGATCCGTGTGCGCGCGCCTTCCCTTCCTCGGACTGTTCATGCGTTTCCCCACCATCCTTTTTCCCCTCTTTCTCTCTTCCCGGTCTTCTCGGCAGCACCACCCTCCGCCCTTTAGTTCGAGTCCCTCCAGTTCCGAGCGCCAACCGGCCGGGTTGTCACTCTGCCCGGGATGCCATGCCCGAGGTCGCTGCCGGTTCCTCCAGGAAATCGTTTCTGGAGCGGGCGCGGAGCAAACTTCTCCGCTGGTTACGACGTTCTCTGCGGACCACGCACCAGGTGATCAAAACGGGCCATCTTGTCCCACTCACGAAATATTGGCCCGTCATCCTAATCACCACTCGCACTTTGACTAGACAATTTCCCGGGGAGGCAAGGTCTCTGTGCTACTCTTGTAGCTCCTTGCTCTTGACAAATCTATTTATAATTCTATTTAATGAAGTATAAGGAAGATCTGTTATGTCATGCAAATAGTCTGCGAAAGTTGTCGCAATCCATAGGTTCGGGATATGAACTTTGAAGCCTGTGAAATCCAAATATTCCCAAATATAAATTTTTATAAGCCAGATATAGTGAAAAATTATCCTTTTATCTAAAATGTATTGTCATGTAATGCACAATAATGCACAAGAAATATATAATCTCCAACATTATTCTATTTTTCTCTCATTTTTACTTATAATAAAATTATTATCATGAACGTTATGAACTAGATCTTGCATGAATTACATTTTTTTAGTTATTACATAAGTAACGATATTTGACATGTTATAATTTCTTTTAATATTATATTCTTATCTTTTTTGTTGTAAAAAGATGGACATTTTATGTTATTATATCCACGCTGAAATGTAGAAATCATATTGAAAGAAAGTCTGTTCTGAAATTTCCAACGTAATTTTGTTGCAAAAATAAAGCACTAGTTGATGAAACCGTGTGATGAAACACGGCTACATTCTTAATTTAGTTTTACCTTAGCTAGTTTAGTTTTACCAAGTTCTTGGACGCTGACAATTCGTAAGAGAGAACTTGGCCAAATAACTCTGTGACATTCATTTTGATAGTCGTGCCGGATGACGTGTCAAATTAGTTCGATGCTGTTTCGAAATTTGTAACAAAGAAGATTGTTATATATTTTTTTTTCATATCTTTCTCTTAATATTAAAATGATTGATGTATAAATGTTTTTCTATTCAAAGTTGAAATTTATATCGAGAGAGTATCGGCTTAATTTTTTTGCAAAACTAAAATAATTTTACAACTTGAGTTTTGCCAAATAAAAAAGCAAATATATGCTTCTGGACAAAATTAACGCATAATTTTTTTTCACTTTTTTAAAAAAATTTTTCGTTAAAATTTAAATATCTTTTAAAGAAAAAGTGAAAAAAATTATGCGTTAATTTTGTCCAGGAGTATATATCCCAGTGCGAGATCCATTGCAGATCTACCACTATACAAAAACCAGTTTTCTGACAACATGTAACGAAGTGCGAGATCGATTCTCTCACAATAGCTCTTTGACTATTGTGAACAAACGTTATGCGCTTGACCCGGGCAGATATACCGGGCAATGTATTTTTAAACTTGTATGAGAAAGTGAAACATAAAACAAGGGAATGAATTTCAAAGTGAATTTCTGTTTTGCAACAAATTGATAATTGATGAAAATCGCACATGAATTAGCGCATAGTAAATTGACGGCACGAGGTGAATGTAATCTATTTTTAGATTACAAAAATAATTTGGATTTCAAAATGTGATGAACGAAATTATGAGCTAATGAGTTAATTGCAATTTTAAGATGTCTATTCCCGAAACATCTATTTTTCGCAAATACCTTTAATGACATTTATATGCATGTAAGATGTGAGGAGTCAGAATGCATAACTAATAAATAGTTAAAAAATACCACTGTTAATATTCGACAGTGTTAAATTTTAATATTTGTCAAATGTACAAATCTACAAATCTTCCAGAATAAGTTGATAATATATTTGTCTAAAATAACAGCGGAATTATTCGTAAATACCTATATCAATTTTTTCTAAATTGTATAGATAAAATAGCAATAAAAGGAATTAAATACGCTTAGTTGCCTCTTGTATAAAATATCGCATAAGTAGAGACCTTAAAGAAACATTTTAAAATTCGGCAAAAGGAAAGAAATTGGTGGAAACAATCTCTTTTTATAAACGTGTAAACTTTTAATGAAAATATGCAGTGGTTCTTCGATAAACGATCTAAAATATAATAAGTAATTCCTTACGTCAAGAGACGTTATACATCAGACGGTTTTATGTAATAGTCTGGTAATAACTAACAGGTCACGTATGAAACAAGACATAAAGCTCTTTGCTCTTTGTACAATATTAATCCCGAGGAAATATCAGGAACTTTACGTGCAATGAGTGAACATTCTATATATATATCTTTTTTATAGAATTATGATGGTGCGATTTTATCGCAGCATAAAATGTGCGACAAGAATAAGAAAGCGATATCTTTACGAGACTCGAAAACTTATTTTACGAAAAGTTTGATTTAACATCTTATCCAAAACACCTGACGTTGAGGACATTGTTCTTGCTGTAATTAAAATAATTTAAAATAATTTAAGGCGCTGAACAAATTGCGACAAACGTCAATTTATGTTTCTGTTTGACATCGTTAGATCGATGGACATGGCGCGGAGATGGGACCGGAGCTCGACGAGGAGATGGAAAAGGTCTTCGCGATGGACACCGCAGAGAAATTCGACGTAGCCCGGCTCGGTTCGCCCTCGGAATCGACTGGATCGGATCGAGATCGCGATCGCGGACCGCCGCGATATGGCGATCGCGATGTCAATCGTAAGTTACCTCTTTTCTACTATTTTTATATTTCTGTATATTTATATTTCTCTAGTTTTCATTTCTGTAATCGTCTCTCATTGAAATTGAAAACAATAAAAAACCGATAAATTTTTTTTTATAGAACACCGAAAAAGAAGTTACCCTCATCCGCACATGCCCCTAAAAAGTTTGCATTCCAGATCTATGCGTCGACATTTTTCACCGTAAGTTACATTTCAGATAAAAATATACATTTGATAGGATCTATTTCTTTTGGACTTTCTAGAATATCTTTTGACGTTCTCACTCAAAAATATGAGTAATGATAAAAATTCTTGCTTCTCTAAGTTTTAAGATGTGATGTTATTAAAATTCGTTTGAATGTGTGTTAAATTTTTTTAAAATATACATTTGATAGGACCTATTTCTTTTGGACTTTCTAAAATATCTTTTGATGGTCTCAAAAATATGAGTAATGACAAAAATTCTTGCTTCTCTAAGTTTTAAGATGTGATGTTATTAAAATTCGTTTGAATTTTTTCGCCGAATATTGACATCAAAGAAGGTAGATCTTATGTTTCTCCAATTGTTCTTAGTGAAGGCTCGACGGAACCATCCGAGAAGGACTACAGCAATGGTCAAGCGAAGAGTAATGAAGTCCAGGAGGTCGATGGAACGAATCAAAACGGATTGCAACTTCCCATCGCACCTGATCAAACCGAAATCGAAGGCGATGAAGAGACAGCGGAGGAAACTGAAAACATAATTAGTAGCGAGAGCGAGGCACCAATCTCAGAGAGAGCAGCTTCCGGTTTCAGCGACAGCCCGACCGTCGGTAGTCCGAGGGTGCAGTTCGAGAAAATCAAGGAAGAAGATGGACCCAGCACACAAATGGAAGTACAGACAGATGATGCTTTGAGTGGCCTCCACGAAGAGGATCGAAAGTGCCGACGACATCAAAAACATGAACATAAGTAAGTTGATTTGATCTGATGGCTTGAGAGGAAAAAGAGGGATAAAAATAAAGGAGAAAAGTCGTAACTTTGAATTAGTGTACTTAGCGTCAAATAAGAAGATAATGTCTTTGCGATCTATATACAGGATGTTTCTTAATAAGTGCGAAAAATTTTAGGAGATGATTCTTTGTCGAAAATTAAGGGGGGTTTTTCATATAAACATTAAAAAGTTCTAATAAAAAAATTGAAGAGGGTTCTAGTTTCATCCCTTTATAACAATATGGGAGGCTGAAAAAAATATTAATAAATAACCTTTTTAGTAATAGAAAATATTCACCTTTTATTTTATTTCTTTAACTTGTTTCAAATTTAAGAAAAAAATAAAAATTTTTGCCCCCATTTTTGGAGGAGTGTAACTCCAAAGGGAGGAATGTAGGAGTATATGTTTATATGAAAAATCTCCCTTAATTTTCGACAAAGAATCTCCTAAAATTTTTCGCACTTATTAAGAAACGCCTTGTATATTTATATATAATAATAGTAGAATATAAAATCTCTTGAAAAGTGACGATAAAATACACTGAAGTGAAAATATAATTTCAGTTTATAATATACCGTGTCTGCAGATGTTATATACGAAAAAAATCGGATTGTCCTCGATATTTAAGTGAAAATTAAAATCTGACATTTTAAATCATAATTGGATTCATATTTGCTGTATAAACTGTGCAATTATGAACACGAAACGGTCGATCTTTTTTCGTGCCATCCCGAGCAACGAGCTAGATTCGTGGCGCGACAATTTCGGTACGAAATGGTACCAAACGGATATATTAAAAATTTACAGGGTGTGTGCTAGAAAATGTATATCAGCGTTAATTTAGATAGGACCAGAGATTCTTTTTAATTATTTTCGCAGATAAGAAATTCTTCCGCGCAAATGAGAACTCTATAATTTACCTGTGGCACGAAATAAATTGAAGTTATACACAAGAAGATAAAGACCAAACAAAATACCTCATTATAAATGCATTATCACTATTATTATTGCAATAAGTTTAATAAATCTTAATTAATTTGTGATGTCTTTCTATTGTGATAAAAATATCAGAGAGTTTTCTTTCTTTCATAAAAAATTCAAATTTAAAATTCTTCTAAAATACAAAAATATTTGATTGATCGATTAACTTCTTCCAGACGTCATCACCACAAATCTCGCAAGTATTCCCTACAGGAGGACCCACAATGGCGGAAACGATCAGGAGCCGGTCTATTAGATATCTCGAGTTTACTGACTCGACGCGTCAGTGTTCAGCCAGAGGAGGCGAGCACCTTGCAAGAGCTTGACATCGATGACTTGGAATCACATCGTAGTGATGATCCGCGCGGTATGCGCCGACATAAAGCCGCCCACTCTATAGTGCAGATTGGCCGACGTAAAGAGGGTGGTATCCCTCTCGATACTTTTAAAAAGATGTACGATCACTCGCCGCATCAGGTATTCGTTCAATTGGATGAGTTACATGGCTTAGGCGAGGAACGTGAATGGCGTGAGACTGCCAGATGGATCAAGTACGAGGAAGACGTCGAAGAGGGTGCCGACAGATGGGGCAGACCTCACGTGGCCTCTCTCAGTTTTCATTCGCTGCTAAATCTTCGTCGTTGTTTAGAGACCGGTGTAGTCCTTCTCGATCTGGAGGAAAAGGACTTGCCTGGACTGGCCTATAGAATAGTCGAGCAGATGGTCGTCGAGGAGCTGATCCTGGCCGATGACAGACCAGTCGTGATGAGAGCGCTGTTGCTTAGGCACAGACATGTGCATGAACACGAACGCGGTTTCCGATTTGGCGGCAAGAGGAGTTATTCCAGTTACACCAGTCTTCAGGTAATTTACCTTTAGCGCCAATGCTCGCCGTGTACATTTATCGTGCGCGCGAAAGCGATTCCGATTAATCTCGATTAATCGCAAGACTCGCTTCGAGATTGCTTGTGTTAGAAAATAAATAAATATCGATATATAGAAAGTGAGGGAACCGTAATAATCAATTATTCAACCAGATAATAACCGTATTTACAGGCTTTAGGGTTGCAAATATAAATTAGATTCGACGAGAATTCCAGCTTAATTTTTGCTATGCCAGACTGATGCAATCCTGGATTTGCATGTATTTAATTTCAAAAACTCGGCAAATAATCGCGACGACCGTAATGGATGCTGATACACTTTGCCATAATTACGCGTTGAAATTTAGAAAGAAAAATGAATTTTGTATGTTTATTTCGCGATCTATGGAAATGTCGAAGACCACCTGCGAGGACGATGTGTTACGCGGTCAGTAGTGAGTAGTCACAGTGGGTGACAAAAGATAGGCTTGACTGATAGTGTGCTAATGTTATTTCCACAGTCCATCTGGCTGGAGGAAGAAGATGCTGCGCGGGAAGCCGCTGAGAACCATGTAACTCAACATGTAAATCTCTCGTTTCCCGAGAATCACACAAATGCAGTCTTTTTTTATATATATATATATCTTCTTGTTACTCTATAATCGTTCATTCTATTCGTCCGCTACTTTCATACAAATATTTTTCTATTTCTTAAACTAAACCCGGCATGAGTTTGCGGGACAAATAAAATGTGTACATTTATAAATAATTATGATTTTTTTCTTAAAATCCTTTTTTAAAAGTATAATTGTACACAATACAAAACAATTATTTCTTGGATAAATATTTTTTATTAATATTTTCGATTTTAATTTGATTTAATACGTTTTCTGTGTATTTTGTATATCAAGTATCGACAATGTTGCAGCACAAAATTTATATATCATCAGTTTATCATTATCTCTAATAGCTAAATCGATATATAACAAAAAACACTGATTAGAACAGTCATTAGCAATATGTTACTATATAAGTATTGTAATATTTATATTAGATTACACAGCGTATCGAAAAAGAAATCAAACTTTAAAATTTTCATTATCAATTTATCATTATCTCTAATAGACAAATCAACATAAAAAAACATTAATTAGAATTACATTAGCAATGTGTTACTATATAAGTATTGTAATACTTAATTTACACAGTGTGTCGAAAAGAAAACCAAACTTTAATTTTTTCCCTTGAAATTAACAGCATTATGTAACATCTAAATATCAGGAATGATAGTTAAGCATGCATATCCCTTTATGAAAATCTCTTATCAAAAATGGCTTCTATCAAAATTTAATCGAAATTAGACAAATAATTGTGCATCACTTAGCATCTACTATATAACTATTTCCTATTAAAATGAAAATGACAGTACTAGATAACGTTAAAACTATAGAAGCAATCAAAGATTATTGAGGCTATCTCAAAGATGAATTTACACAAATTGAATTTACACATTTATATTTTAGTTCAACGTATCTGTTGTATTGATGCAAGAATGATTCATGTATTTTAAATAAAAACATATTGTTTTGTGACAAAATAAATAATAATTTTTTTATTCAAAAAATTTCTTTTTCGACACATTGTGTATACATAAATAAAATTCATTTTAGTCACATAATCTTTGGAATAATTTTTCATAAAAAATTTACTTATATCGATTCAAATTTGCGATTTTTTAAAATTATTTTGATAATATAAATACCCACGGTTTTGTTTTGTGATTTAAGCAAACAAATAAGATCGCAGCTCATTCTTACAACTTGCAGTTTTTCCATTGTTGCGTCTCCGCGGGTGTCTTCTTACAATTAGTGGCTTACTTAGTACCGATCCTGAAACCTATATTCTAGAAGTTTTCGTGTAGTGCCGTCCACGTCGATCAATAACGACAACTTAAAATGCTTATAATCATATATCCCGCTTCTCTTCATTAGGCTTCAAACTTTACGTATAATTTATTTATACTCTTTTTTTCCTAATTTTCTATATTAAAATCACGAAGATATGACACATTTCTCCGGCATCGAATAGTTCGTATAAACTATTTTATATATCGTAATCTCGGAGATCAGTTTTTCAAAATGATGAACCGTATCTTCGTGTATGTATTACTTTATTTTTGTGTATTAATTTATACTCACGAATATATTCTTTATAGCGATAAGAGTTTTTTTCAGTTTTTAGTTTGAAATCAGTACTTCTAACAGAGTGCTTTCTTATTGTGAGATATTTTGTCTACTTCTATGCGTCATGAAATGCTAGAATGCAATCATGTTCTTTTTGTTAGTATATTTTTTTATTCTGTTAAAAAGCTCAATCTCAGCTTGTTATTCCTTTTGGGGAACTTATCATATTATATTATTTTTGAATATTTTATTTTTCATAAGTTATTAGACAATATCATGAAATTAGACGAACAGATATCATTTTAGTCTTATATTTCGTAATTTGATGAAGGACCGAGTTGTATTAACATAAATGAAAAAATTATTATTTCGATTTATTAATAGAGAAAATCTTTAATAAATATTTATAAAAGATAACATCTAAAAAAAATTATCTTCATTTTATGACATATATTTTACGGGGTAGAATCTTGTGTGATTATACTTTAAATCGCATGAGCGACTCTTTCTGATTAATACACATATATCACTTCTTTACTGATCAGTTTATATTCATTTTAATTGATCAATGACTTTGATATTGACAAGGCATGATCCTCAATAACTTGCAATAGATTTTAATTGTCATTCATTGTTCCAAAAGCTATAAACAATTTAAATAAATAAAGAATATGCTTTCTGCAAAAGTTATTCATAACAGCACATAAAAATTGCAGACATATTATATTAAATGAAGATGATTGATGAGATATTATTTTTTATATATATATTTATCGATTTTTGTATTAATGAATAGAGAATATATTTTATACTTGCTGCTAATTCTTCTATTTCTTGATGCCCAAAAATTAATGATATATATGTTATTCTAGTTTCAAGATATTGAAGTAATCGATATAGAATTCTCTCACGAAAAGTTTATATAGTCTTTCTTCGACGAAATCAAAAAATTCTCAGACAGCTCTCTAAAAAGTTTCGAAATATCCGACAGAATCTGCACGACGCGAAGCCGAAGATCATATCATCGAATCTGGCACTCGACAGTAATCACACCACAGTCGATATAAAGGAGGAGCTAACATATATGAGTAGTAGCGAAGACCTAAAGAAGAGTCACAATGACTACATTCTGAAGAGGATCCCAGCTGGTGCCGAGGCGATAGTTGTTCTCGTCGGCGCTGTCGATTTTCTGGATCAGCCGACAATAGCTTTCGTGCGTTTGGCCGAGGGTGTACTGATGCCGTCCATTACGGAGGTTACAATACCAGTCAGATTTATGTTCACTTTGCTGGGGCCAAGAAATGCAGACCTGGATTACCATGAGATTGGTCGATCCATTTCCACGCTAATGGCGAACACATCGTTTCACAAGGTTGCTTATAAAGCGACCGAAAGACGAGAGCTATTATCAGCCATCAACGAGTTTTTGGATGATTCGATAGTATTGCCACCCGGTGACTGGGAGAGACAGGCCTTATTGCCATTCAATGAGCTTAAGGCGAAAAGCGAGGCTATTAGAAAAAGAAAAGCCAAAGCGCTCGAGGAGAAGAGCAAACCAGTGCAAAGCGAAGCAGCTATAAAGAAAGGTAATTTCTTCAAAGTCTTTTAAAATTCGTAGCATGTTGATGGATGAATTGAGTATTTTTTTTCCAATCCTTTAAATTTATTTCATCTTCTTTTCTACGTTCTTACATAACTAATCGTCTTCAATAAATAGCTCTTTTAGCCGGCGAAGAGGAAAAGAGACCACTGGATCCATTGCGACGTACCAAACGACCATTTGGTGGCCTCATCAACGACATCAAACGTCGCTATCCTTTTTACTTGTCCGACTTTACGGATGGGATGAACTCTTCTTGTCTCGCGGCGGCCATCTTCATGTATTTCGCCGCGTTATGCACTGCTATTACTTTTGGCGGTTTAATGAGCGATAAGACGCAAAATATGATTGGCATTTCTGAAACCTTGATTTCTTGCTCATGGACGGGCGTGGTGATGGCTTTGTTTGCAACTCAACCGCTGGTGATTATCGGCACGACTGGCCCGCTATTGCTCTTCGACGAGAGCTTGTACAATTTTTGCCTGGCGAACGATCTTGAATTCCTTACTGTACGGGTATATGTTGGCGTTTGGATGGCTATTATTGCCGCGATAGTTGCCTGCGTCGAAGGTTCGGTCCTTGTGCGGCTCTTCACACGTTTTACCGAAGAGATTTTCACCGGATTGATCTCCATTCTCTATATCGTTGAGACATTCGTCAAGCTTTACAATTACTTCGTGCGTAATCCACTCCTCTACGAGTACAGCTTCGGACCAGATACCAACAACACCATCTATCCGCTCTATGTCGTCGAAATGCGGGTAACTAATTTGCTGAATGAGACCGGAGAAAGCTTGCACTTGGAAAATGCCCGCGAATTGATACCGAGTCGCGACATCGCTGGATTGATCAATCAGCCCAACACGGCTCTGATGTGCACTATTCTTTGCCTCGGTACCTTTCTAGGCGCCTACTACTTAAGAATCTTCCGTAACAGTCATTATTTGGGTCGTAGTGCCCGACGAGCCTTTGGAGATTTCGGCGTGCCCATCAGCATCATTATCTTCGTTTTAATCGACTACTTGACTATGGTAAAGACAGAGAAGTTGCTTGTTCCCGAAGGTCTCACCCCAACCATGCCTAACAGAAATTGGTTCATTTCTCCAACCGGCTTTGTAAAACCTATTCCAGTCTGGATGATTTTTGCTTGCGTCGTGCCAGCTTTGCTGGTTTATATTCTAGTGTTTATGGAGACTCAAATATCAGAGTAAGTAAATTTAATTTATTTCAACCTAATTATCAGCTGCGCTTTTGACTAATCAATCATATTTGATGTGCAGATTAATCATCGACAAAAAGGAACGCAAACTACGTAAGGGCAACGGTTATCACATGGATATTGTAGTAGTTTGCTTGATGAATATGGGATGCGGTCTGATAGGTGCACCTTGGTGCTGCGCCGCGTCGGTGCGTTCCCTCACTCATGTATCTGCCGTAACCGTGATGTCGCGCACCCACGCGCCCGGTGAGAAACCGCACATTGTCGAGGTGAAAGAACAGCGGGTGAGCGCTCTTCTGGTCGCGATACTGGTAGGCGTAAGCGTACTGATGGCGCCGCTTTTACGTCGGGTGCCGATGTCCGTCCTACTGGGTGTATTCCTCTACATGGGCATCTCGTCAATGAACGGCGTACAGCTGTTCGATCGCGTCAAGCTGTTTTTCATGCCAGTCAAGCATCACGGCACAGCAAACTATGTGCGGCGCGTGCAAACCTATAAGATGCACGTCTTCACCCTCATACAGATCCTGTGCCTGGCCGTGCTGTGGATTGTCAAGAGTACAAGGGCTGCCCTGGCTCTACCCTTCTTCCTCATTTTAATGATGCCGTTGCGCGCTCAGATGAGCCATTTCTTTACCGCGGCGGAATTGCGTGCTCTTGATAGCAAAGGATCCGACCACGAGGTCGAAGACGAGCTCGACTTTTACGAGGAGGCTCCGTTACCTGGTTAGACTGTGCCTTATCGACATGTCTCTCTCTCTCATACTCGTTCTCTAAATTCGTCTATCTTTTCAAAACTATTTACTGATATACCTGCCTCATACATCAGGGTCTCCTAAAACGTCTAGTGCCAGTCGGAGAGTACAGAGTTCTATTTTCATCAGATGTTGAGATGTATAATGTTCTAATATTGGGTTTATCGATAGAAAGATGAAAAGTGATATCCAATGTATTTTAGATAAATGAGATTAGCTTCGAGAAAATCGACAATTGCCAGAGATTGTCGGACTTTATTTGTGGATTCTCGGTTGCACAAATCTTTCCGCAGATTTTGTAAACTGTTTCTAGTTTCTTTGTTCTTTGAGATACTTACTTCCGCAGATTTTTAGCCTTTCATATATCCTTAATTATACATAAAACTATGAGATTTTTAGCCTTTCATATATCCTTAATTATACATAAAACTATGAGCTTCTAATGAATTTTTGTTCGCGCATATAACATTGCAAATCTTTAAACTTTCAAATTTTAGTTTTATAGATTTTAGTTTTAGAGTTTCAAGGAATATAGCATTTTTATTCCACGATTCTTCAAATTTCTAGATACACGAATATTCAATAACATTTTTCAATAGCTACTTTGATTACATCTATATTTATGCAATTATTTTCTATCATAAAGCTGTGTATAAATAGCATAGTTTCATTACATTACCGTATACATTAAAGCGATTAAATTATATTCGTGTATACATCTAATGAATGCTAAGATATGTTTACGTTCTTGAAACGGAAAGCCTCTGAGTGCCTCAAGTTTGATCGTTCGACGATACAATGCTCAGGAAAAGTTAATGTAATGGCACATAGAAATAGTGCCAAATGCGTTACGAAAATGCGAAATGCGTTACGGGAATAACAGTTTGGCTAGATGATGTGATCGCCGAAAGATAATCATAATTCTTACAAATATCTTTCCTTCCTCTTTCTCTCTTCCATGTAGACAATTCTTTAATTATTGAATTCTACATCAAACAATTTACAATTCTTAATATCTTAGATTCTTAGATTTCGTGCGATGCACAACATTTTTGTCTTATATTTCTTCTTCATAATTGCTTCGCAATTTCTTAGTTTTACAAATAGCAGATTCTCTCAATTCCACGAATAATGAATTTCATATTAATATCTTATATATAATCCGATTAATTCCATTATTTCTGCAAACTTTTCCACATTCGCACATCCTTAAATACATTTCAATTTTTGATTCCTATTTACATATATACATATATATACACTATCTTTAAATACACAAGTACTTATATACATATGTACCTGCATATTATTATGCACGCGCGTACAAGTATACACACATATACACACGCAAATTCATTGACTTGCACAGGTACTTTTGCGAGAAGATACTCAAAGATAGGCGAGAAATTTCCTTACACACATATATATATATATATATATATATATATATATATATATATATACATATTTTTATATTTAGACACGCATTTACATATTCAGATTTTCAATTCCATAAATCTTTGCACGGCATAGATCTTCCGTTAGATTTATGGATTTTTCAATGAATATACGAGTCCTGCAGATCATCGAAATTACAGTGTTTCTATTTCATCTAATTTCTAATGCGTTGCGCACGAATCTCATTAAATATATGAATAAATTCATAAAAATATTAAGTTCATAAATTCATAAAAATATTAAGTTATTAAATATATTAAGTTGACATTTCACGAGTTTCTAATGAATTTTTGTTCACGTACATAATGTCGTGAATATTTAAACTTTTGTCAAAAATCATGATTTTAGAGTTTTAATTTTAAAGAATACAGTATTTTTATTCCATATTCGCGTTATTCATTATGTATTATGATTTTAAACCATTGTTACGTTTAAAATTCAAAAGAAGTGTGCGCGTGCTTCCAACAAATTAAACAATCGATAATGCTAAATAATTGAGCGATCCGAAGCCTATAATAAGGAATAAGGCTGGTGAGAGAAGTAGAAGGCTATAGTTAATTGAATAAACTATTTTCAACTAAAAGATATATATGTATATAGAGATGTATTGTATTTTCATTCTCTTTAGAATATATGTTATTAAATCTCTATAAAGTCGCTTATATCAGATATATTGATTGTTAATTAATAGTAGGATAGAGAGGTCCAGAAATAGGAGAAAACGGAAACCCTGATACTCTCTTAATCATTGTGATAGCAAGCAGAAATGCTCGAAAACCAAGACGATATCTTAGCACTTTAATGTTGATAACAAGTTTGTAATGCAGATTTTAATTAGTGATGACATTTAATCGATCATCGTAAATATTGATGCACACATGTACATGCAAACATATACACATCTGCATGAGTTACTATTACATGGTATTATAATGTAACGAAGATGAATTGTTGGAACGATAGAGCAATTGTAAATAATCTAATTAATGTACAGTCTTAAAAAAAGAGAAGAAAAAAGTAATAATTAGCAATAGGCTCTTAGTAACTAATTTACCTCTTGAATTTTAGCGACTAAAGGAATAAAATATATTTTAATTGCATTCTCTGCTGTTTAATATTTATATCGTCCCAATTTTCCATTATTATTTTTTAATCGAAGTCTTCTAATGTATAGAAAGAAATTATAAATCATATTTTATCTATTTGAAATTATCTCTTCCTTGCGCGTTATAATATGTTTATATCATAATAAAGATGTTTCATCTATCGTCCTTGGACGTATTTATGTACAGAGAAATACACAAGAATGTATATGTGTGTATTAATGGAAAAAATCCTATTTTTCCACAGTAATGCAATGGAAATTTAACAGTTTTCTATGTAAGTGTTTGTGAAAAATTCGATATAATTTCTCATATGTCTATATTTTGATGTATAGAATTAATTAATATTAAAACATTTCTCTATTTTTATGTATAATAATTTTCTATATATCTATACAGAATATAAAAGAATGCTAGAATATAGAATATTTCTATGTATAGAAATTATTATGAAATTATTATGAATGCAATAATCGAATATAAATGGCTTCGCCGCGAAAATTAATACCCGCGTTGAAACATCTGTCACCTCGGCCATTCGAAAATGCATCGAACATTAGGTAAGGATAAGTAATATCTTTACTATTACATGTCAAGTTAAATAATCGTAAATAATTTAACAGAGCATCTTCAAGTCCGAAATCGCCCTACAATCTAAAAATTGTGAAAAATGAAAATTTGCTGTCGCCGTTTAATATCGATACTCCGAATAGAGTCAGATTGTTGAGGGACGGTCTACCGAAAAAACATCCTCCTGTGCTGGGCACAGGTGCTTTTGGTACCGTCTACAGGGCGCTTTATAAAGGTATTTTAATATTTATCAGTAAATTTTATTGTGATTTGAAAAACGCATAAAGAGATGAGAAAATCGTAAAGAAGCACAATAGAAATTTAAACTTTATATATATTACATATGTTACACCTCCTCGTGTCTCTTTCTTTCTCAGGGGATCAAGTAGCAGCTAAGATAATTGAACGCAAACGGAACGATAACGAAATAATAAACTCGGAGAAACATGCGGCCGTTCTACGACATGCTAACATCGTGAAAATATTGAATGTGGAACAGGGTAGCAGTTTATCGCTGATAACGATGGAGTTGTGCGGTACATCGTTGCAAGACAGACTACAAGAATCGGTTCTATCGAAGGAGAAGCGGGTTTCCATTTGGCGAGACATTGCTCGTGCCCTCCAATTCTGTCACAATTCCGCAGTGATACACGCGGACGTCAAAGCAACCAATATTCTGATAGCTGCTGATGGTCGAGCCAAACTCACCGACTTCGGTAGTTCTATACTAATTGGCGAATCACAAGTTTCGATTCAGCCACGAATACATGTATGTAATTCTTTATATATTTATTATTAAAAGAAACTAGTTTATCTTTCAATTTACAGTTCAAAAGAGAAAATAATTGCAATAATTTTCTATATTTTCATATACTATATCTTTATTTAAAAAAGAAAAAAAAATTTGTCTTTTCATCAGGGTACACCAGGTTACACAGCACCAGAAGTGCTCAGAGGAGATGTACCTACATTTGCCGCTGATATTTATTCACTAGGAATTGTTGCTTGGCAAATGCTATCTCGAGAAGTACCTTTCCACGGATTGCATATCCACACTATCATATATATCTCTGTAAAAGGAACGCGTCCTAAAAGTGAAGATCTCAACGATGAATTTGATGGAAGATACAAGGAACTGTTCAAAGCAGCATGGTCACAGAATATTGTGGATAGACCAACACTAAGCGAAATAATCAATAAACTTAATCTCTTATAGTCTTATATTATTAATATTTATTTACCTGTGGAAACAAGCTCTTAAGCATTCAAAGGATCTTATTTATGATATATAGCTAAATTACCATTTGTGTCTTAGTGGAATAAATCCTGAGAGTTATACGTTTGGTATGACATGTTGAAAATCAGTTTTATGTATCTGGCATCTCACCACCAGGTACCAGCTGGAAAAAAAATAATTATAAACAAAAATTCTCACCTGATTTTTTTTTGTATGCCTCATATGTGAAAAGTGTAATTTACTTAGAAAATCTAAAATTTCTTAAAATTGAATGGAATATTAGCACCAAAGTAAAAAATTACCATAGTAATGTTGCTGCCATTGAGAAGAATTTGATCCAACTTGGTGACTCTACGACCTTCGGGAGTTGCTTCGCTTTCTGTTACATCCTCCAATAACATATTAACGAAATCGTCGAAACCTTGCAAAGTTCCTACAATCTCCTTGTCATTTTTCATAATAATATGTATTCGAGAACCAATACATTTATCGACTAATTCTGTAAATAAATTTTAAGAAAAGAAAAGATTTGAAGGAAGAATATATTTACACATACAAATTAATTATTTTACCTAAAGGCAACAACGTAGATGGATTCGTGCTCACCGAGGTAGCCATGGTGATTCAAACATATATATTAAAGAAAAGTAAAGCCACCGACAAGGTGTTGTTAAAGGCTTTATGGAGTAGCTTGAAAAGAAAATTTACCGCGCACTATTGTAAATTTGAGCAAGATTCGACAGTCCACACCGTCAATTGGCCAGTTGAAGACTAGACTCTTCTGATTGCTCAATCTAGTTACCTTAAATATGTATGGATATAACTAGAACTCTGCATTTAACTGACCAATCAGGACAAAGAAATTTTTTTGTTTCTTCCGTCTTGATTGGTCAATCGAATGCTACTCTACTTCAAGGAGTAGAGTATTATTTAAGAGTGGGATTCGATTGACCACGTCGCCAATTGGCCAATTCAAAATAGGACTCTCTGATTGGTTAATCGTTCCTGGTTACCTAGGCCCAGATCGATATCATTGGCTGTGGTCAAAAGGGACGCTCCCACTATTTAATTGACCAACCAGGACAAGAAAATTTTTTTTTCAATCCTAATTGGTCAATCGAAGCTTGGAGAAGTAAGTTTTGGAACTCAGCCCAGGCATGTACACAAGCTCTAGTGAATTTCGCAAGACCAATGACTCGTGCGGGTTTACGCGCTACCCGATATGAGAGATCGACTAGTAGCACACAAGTAGCTAGTAGTACAAAAACACGTGTACGTTGATGAATTCCAAGTATCGCCGTATTTATTATAGGTTAATCGTTGCGGAGAGAGCGTCGAGGAAATTGTCGAGTGGAGCAAACCGTCCAGTAACAGCGGTGGCGGCGGTGGTGGTGGAAGGTGTCGCGTTAACGGACATTCGCACGGGGAGGCGTACGCGCGCTGGCGTTTGCACGCGCGCGTGCGAAAGGAAACGCGAGCGCGAGAGCGAGAGCCGCGAGCGCGAGCGGCCATTTTAGTGTGAGTATGACGTAGAGAGGCTGGGTGTAACTTTGCCGTTCTTATCGTTGTGCGCGAGAGAAAAGGATAATCGACTCTCGCTCGGCCAAGCGAGCGACCGATGTCGAGGCCGGTGGCGAGCAGTTAGATCCACGCGGCCAGGCGTTTTGTTTCAGCGCGGGTGATGAAAGTCAGCTGTCCAGCTTGTCATTGTCATCTCACCGCGCACGTAATCTCGTAACGACGCGCGCTTGTTGGCAGCGCTCGCGGGGCAGTCTCGGCGTGGCTGAGAGGGGAAAGTGTGCAAACGAGCCGAGGTAAGGCAAACGAACGAACGAACGAATCTCTCGACGGGAGATCCCATCCCTAGGAGTAGCAAAAGCGCGTTCGCGGCGGCAGCAGCGACCGGGGAAATGAGCGAGGAAAGTAATCCGCGTACTCTGTACGTGGGCAACCTGGACGCTTCGGTGTCCGAGGATCTTCTTTGCGCCCTCTTCTCACAGATTGGCGCGGTAAAGGGATGCAAGATCATCCGGGAGCCCGGGAACGATCCGTATGCCTTCGTCGAATTCACGAATCACCAGAGCGCGGCCACGGCGTTGGCCGCCATGAACAAACGCTCGTTCCTCGACAAGGAGATGAAGGTTAACTGGGCGACAAGTCCGGGTAATCAACCGAAGCTTGATACCAGTAACCATCATCACATATTCGTGGGCGATCTGTCGCCGGAAATCGAGACGCAAACCTTGAAGGAGGCCTTTGCGCCCTTCGGCGAGATTAGCAATTGCAGGATCGTACGCGATCCGCAAACGCTGAAGAGCAAAGGCTACGCCTTCGTGTCGTTTGTCAAGAAGTCGGAGGCCGAAGCGGCGATTAATGCGATGAATGGTCAATGGTTGGGTTCGCGCAGCATCAGGACGAATTGGTCCACCAGGAAACCACCGCCGCCGAGATCCGAGCGGCCACGACACTCGAACAATAGTAAACCCAACTACGAAGAGGTATATAGAGCCAACCGGATTGCTCCTGGGTGGTTGTGGTTAGAGTAGCTTCAACTAATTCTTTACATAGTGAAATTTGCAACTAGGATCTATGTAATTTATGCACGCAGTCATTTATTTACAATTTTTTTTTTGCCTATAGGGTGTTCAATGTTGAACGATTAAACTTCCCCAGGATGTTCCATGAGAAAAAAATGTTATATAAACACAGGTCTGGAAACTTTATTAAAATGTTACAACAAAGATATCAAATGTGAATAGTAATTGCCATTAATACGTTACAATATGATAGATTGATGAGATTTATTTAAGAAGGACCATTTAGTTGGTCTCTGAGAGCATCGAATCTTATATTGCTAGACTTTTATCTGTAGGAAAATATAAAAATGATAATCTACAAAAAGAGTTGTACAAGAATCGCAATGGGAACTAATAGGCAAAATCAATGATGTATTCGCTGAATTAAAGCAAAATAGATGATATTTGTATCATATTAAATTCAATTTCTTAATAATGTCGATTTTGCATTAGAAATGTTGGATAGCATTTTGAAACAGAAAATTAAATAAACTTTTTTTTCATATGTAATATGATAATAAGATGTTTCTAGACCTATGTTTACATAGAATTTTTTCTTATTTCTACTTATAAAACATACTGAAAAAATTTGATCATTTAACTTGCAAACACTCTGTAGATATATCTCATATATGTAAAGATATTTAAAAATTTATCATGTTTTAGTTTAATATTAATTTTTATGCAAATGAGAAAAAAATTGCAATTATTATAAACTTGAAATAAATAGCTCTTTCTCATTTATTTATTTTCTTAGTGATAAATTCAAAGACAATAGATTTAGTTAGACAAGAAAGAAAAAAAATTAAATTTATTGTTCAATCTTAATTTGAATGCCAAATTTTATACAGTAGTCTAAAAATCAATTATTGTTCTCTCAACAGGTATATAATCAAAGTAGTCCTACCAATTGCACTGTATATTGTGGAGGTTTCACAAATGGCATCACAGACGAGTTGATAAAGAAAACATTTTCCCCCTTTGGTACCATCCAAGACATAAGAGTGTTCAAAGACAAGGGATATGCTTTTATTAAGTTTACAACTAAGGAAGCTGCAACGCACGCTATTGAATCGACGCATAATACTGAAATCAACGGTAGCATTGTCAAATGTTTTTGGGGAAAGGAAAACGGTGATCCAAACAGCGTCGGTCCTAACGCCAATCATCAAGCTCAACAGGTTATTGTTTACATACCTATGATTACAAATCGTTCATGGTCCGGTCATTATACACCATGTACATTTATATGTATTTATTTCAGATTTATTAGCAAGCATAATGAGAGCATTCGCACCCCTCTTAGGCCTATGTAAATTACTTTATTTATCTTTTGTATCCCATATTAGCTAAAAAATTTATATATATATCTATATATACATATATATGTTTTACATCTTTTACGCAACTGAATCGTATAAAAAAATAGACGTAATTTTTTTTTTTTACAACAGGTGACGGCAGGAGTAGGACAGTACGCGTACGGTTATGGCCAACAGATGGGTTATTGGTATCCACAGGGCTATCCGCAGATGCAGGGACAGTTCTTGCAACCTCAATACTATGGTCAATATTATGGGCAACAGGCACAATATATGAATAGCATGAGGATGCCTGCACCAAGCGCGGGTGCCTGGCAGCCGACGCAAGCTACCGCCACACCTCCGACAGCGAGTGCCCCCTTGCCACCGGGCCAGCAGCCCACTATGGTAACATATGCCACTATGCCACATCAGTACCCTACACAATGAAATTGATCATTGACCAGCTAATTGTTACGTATGATATAGTTGCCTCGGGGCTACTACGAAAATCGTTCTGTCATATACCTAGAGCAACATTTATATTTAAGTTTTCGGCGATGTGTGTGTGTATGGCTGTGTGTGTACGTGTATGTGTGTGTGTTGTAGCACACATACGGCAATGCCGGTTCTGTGAACTAAATATAATTTCGCTCGAAATTAAACGTTCGCAATGGAAAGCAAAGCAAAAAAAAACCAGAAAAAAAATAAAAATATGATATGCCGGAATCTTTTTTGACTCTAAATGGAAGATTTGTTCTGAAGGACATTATTTTTTTTCTACGTTCCCTTTCCGCTTCGCCCCCTCCTTCCCGTCATAGAAGAACTTAATGTAACGTTAATTATATCGAGGTGTAAATTTCTCGCGCATTGATGATATTTCGTGTACCGTTTCATGTACCGTGTGCCATCATTGCGCGATATAACGTAAGGATTTAAGTTTTACGATTTTGTATGCCGATGTTGACCAGGTATATCTCCGAACTCTTCGTTGCGGCCCCTAAAAACTCAACCGAGCCCCGCACCCGTTGGGCTGCGCAAGCGCTGACGTGCGGCAATTTTGCGTTGTTAATACTGTTTTCATATTTTTGCCATCGCGAGAGACAATCCCCTTTTTGAAGAGGGGAGTTTTCCTTATTTCAATTTTGGATCATCGATGAACGACACACGCGCGTTCATTTGAAAATGAAAATAAAGCGCATGATATTAATACCGAACATAGTTAATAAGATAGAAAAGCGTGATTAGCTAGACACGGTGCCTGTGATGTATAGCTAGACTTGCGGATGCGTGTACGCCAAGGCGTGTGCGGGGCTCTAACAAATAAAACTCTGTACGCAAGAGTCGACTAACGAGTTACAATTTTTCTCGTTATGTGATATTTATCGTCGGTGGTTGATGTATAAAACACTTTGCTATAAGAGAGAGATAAAAAGATGATTTTGCTATAAACATTAGTGAATCGAGATTTCCTTGTGTGAATGCGAATTTGAGCACACTAATCGTTACGACGATGTGCATTAACGGCGTGTCGACCAACGCTCTCTCTATGCTACGTTGCTTGCCTGTTTTCAAGCATTATGTTCTGTTCGTGGAATGTTCATGATTAATACGTTATGCTTATTATATCTTTATGAGAATCCTTGCCATGATTTTAAAAAGAAAAAATAAACATGAATACATAGATCGCTCATGAGTGTATAACAGCAAGTACGAAGAGATTGGTCAGATATCGCCATCAACATATTCTATCGTAGACTGTAAGTAATTTAGTGATTCTCCACCGTTTATATAAACGACCTAGCCGATCGAAAAAAATAATAAAAATAAATGTAATTTAAGTCTAACGGTAATAGTAACAATAAACACACGCATATACTTCCATCGGAACATATTTCTCAATCAGGGACAAGTCACACATTGATATCTTGGAATATCTCCGAATTAAGATACAAGAGCATTGAAAATTAAAAACGTGTGTGTATGTATGTGTTTGTATATATACACTATCATAAACACACACACACGTGTGTGTATATCTCGTAATACTTCAAGTATACAGATGTCGATAATTGATTTTTACACGGTGAAACGATATTTATTCTTTCGATTGACAATCAACCGTGATATATCCACACGTTTCTTTAAATTATCATAGTCTGTATGACACGATTCGTGATTCCTTCGTGTCTTCCAAATTTACATATAACGGAATTTGCAGCACAATTGTAACAAGTTGATTTTATTTTCCTTAGTATCTCCTTAAAATTAAAGTTCCTGTGTTCTCATTGCAGCTATATTGAATTGTGACGCCAGAAATAAGAAATTGCAAAGTATCTATTGCAAAATATTTTTTTTAAATGCTATCACTCTTGTATTTAATAATATTATTTAGTAAAATTCATTATCGAAAATTGCCTTTTTGTTATATAATAAATGCACACATATATAATAAAATGCATACATATATAACTTGTCTTACATTTCGAAAATGGAATTTCTCGATATTTTACCATTTTATACTTATTAAGTATAATGATAATAGCATATAAAAAAAGTTTATTTATTTCACATGAGAAAGTTTGCATCGTAGTTTCCTGCTTCTGATACTATAATTCAATGTAGCATTAGTAAAGGATCAGGAGCTTTTAATCGCTTAGGGCTCGAATGATTTTCCGATCGTGGACTGATTTAAGAAAAATTTCATATATGATGTGCATTGAGAGATCTACTTTGTAAATGATCACCTCACATACTGATACACCTTGCGAATGGACATCGCATACGTTTATTACTGCTCGTTTTATTTTTGCTCGAGACTTGTTCTTCAAAGCGTAAAAACTCAAATACTTTGTGGATAATTATAAGATTATAATTGATTATATGAATGATTACTTATTGTTACTACAATAATCTTTTGAGTATTAACATCTTTTTTTATTATGACATGCGAGTCCTATTGATTGCGCATAATTGTTTTTCATGAAACAATTTTTACGCACAGACCTCGATTTGTGTGTTGCATCCGTTGCATTATTCTGAATACAATTCAGTACATCTATTAGAAATTCCAATTCTTTGAAAGAATGAAATAAATATTCTATTTAAAGAATGACGAAGCGCCATTTCATTTTGTATTGCGAAATTTTCTGACAAAGATGCAAGTGAATTTAATTCCAACGATGTTTGACACGAGATAAATATTAGTATCTCAGTTCACCACCGACGGTAAAAATGCCATGAAACTTTCAAAATCAATTTGTATAAAGTCAGTATATAAGCGAGCCGAGTTTAAAAAAAGGGGGTAAAACGGAGATAAAAGCTGGGCATAGTAACAATTCGATTGCGATAAGTGATATCGAGAGACCGAGAAAACTAATTCGAGAACAAAAAAACGGATTTGTCTGCGGCGTAAAACCAGCAGAAAGAACGAAAAAAACAAAAGATGTTATATAAAAAGTAATTTAGGTATGGCAGGGCATGGAGCTCTCAAAGATGCTTAGGATAACGTTATAATAAAAACAAATTATCCTTTGAATGAAAAAAAGGAATAAATATTTAAAATACACAATATCTTTCATTATTTTCGTGATCCTTTGTTTCCAATTTTCTTCCTATTTATGTATTTGATCTATTCTTCTCCTATAGCGGCTAGGAAATGAGGTTTATATTTTATAATTTAATTAATCTCTCTTAATTAAATCAAACTAAACTTGTCTCCTTATGTTGATTATGTTTACACATCATCAATATTATTTGTGACGCGCGTAAGATTGATATCAAATGAAATATATATTCATGTGTATACTATATATATTATATATAGAGTTCATGAATTCATATATATTATACTAGGCATATATATATGATTTTTCTTATTTTTTACACTCACAGTAATCTTTCACATATCACATATAACTTACGAACGATATGTGTGCACAATGATCTATCCGAAAAGTATCACATATTTTATTATTCATATCTTAATCAAGATATACATATCTTTAAGCCAAGATTCTATGATCCTTATTATATAATATTAAGTATAATAATAACAAGAGTTGTATATAATTAATAAAAGAAAACAAAAATTGAAAGATATAGAGATATTAGAAAATATAATATTATTTTTAGAATTAAATATATATGTTTTCATATCAGAAATATTTCTTCTAATGTCATGCAAACTAACAAAATAAAAAATTATTCAATTGCGTTTTAAAAAAACTTTTGCTTTGTTCTTACCAGAAGAAAATTTAAGAGGAAAAATTAATATTTATACTATATATACATATTTATTATACTCTATAAATGCATTCCTGATTAAAGCGTACACATTGATAAAATATTGATGTTTTATAATTCTGTACATGCGCTACACTATGAATATTACATTAGAGCATTCAAATTATTCTGGAAAGTGTATAAACATCCACTAGATGTATATAATTATTTTGCTAAACATGTATAATACTACTGTGTGGCATATTTATAAGAATATGTCATTATTCGTGCTTTCATGAAAGTTTATAAACTTAAAGACAATATATATATAATAATTATTGACGTAAATAAACTTTAATATTCTATACTAATTTATCATGAGCAAAAAAAGATACACCAACAATGTTCACGCAAAAATTCGGAGGGCATCGTATATATTATCAAGAAATATTTACTGAAGATTTGTATTGACAATTTAACATGTAATTCACAAAACATTAGCTTACTGAAAATATTCTAAATTATTACTATATGTACAGACACGCGCACGCACGCACATACTGGCATATCTGTATACAGATCACATACTTCTGTTTTATAATTTAAAGTTCACAAATAAATATACATATCTATTAATCATAACATAATTATTTTTATTATAAACAAAAATAATTTGTTGTAAAATTATCATAAAAGAAGATATATAATAATATTAATTAACATTATGGATTTTTTTAAATCCATGATGTTAATTAACATTATTTTTTTAAACCGTCAATACAATCGTTGATAAAATAGTTGAAGATAATCAACAATTATAAGTAATGTTTAAAAACAAATCTCTTATGTTCAAAAAACATGCGCAAATTTTTGTAACTTATAATTCAAGTATTTAAGATTAAATAGCATCATTAATATAATTCATCATTGACATAAAAAAACATGACCTCTAATTATTATTTTAATTAATTTGTCATTAACATATAAAAGTAGTAAATAACTTAATAAAAGTTATAAAAGTAGTAAAATAACTTAATCAAGGCTCAGGATATTCCATAATGGAAGATCAGAATTTTTAAATGATTCATCTTATGTGAAGTAATATTTGCTGTGCAAAATTATCATAAATTCTAATCTAACACAACAAATGCAATATTCATATTCATATTTTGAAATATATGCATTATAAAATAGCCTATATAACTTAACAGTAACTGTAGGCAGTGCAAAGATTATTATTAAGGAAACTAATATCACAAATAACTCGAAAATAAAATTCGAGAACCAATCTTGATAATGATGCCGAAAGTTCAGTTTATTACAATTGCGTAAAGGAATAAATCGAATTCTTATCAGTTATCACTTTATGGGCATTATATGCCCATCATTTTGAAAAATTGCCAAGTCACAAGTACATTTTGGAAAGACTCTCTTCCAGAATATTTGTATATATTGCATTCTTGTGTACTCGAATGCATTTTAAAATGTCGTAAATAATAAAAGCTGTACATACAAGATATCAAGTATGTACATTATCGTAATAACATTACAATTTTCGAATGCATCACATGATTTTCTATTTGCACAAACATAGATTTAAAATCTCGAAATATCGCGAATAGAAAGCATGTTAAAATTGGAATACTAAAATTGCATATCTCTTATATTCTAATCATGAAATATATCCTATCATTTACTTAATGAATATATAATTTTCTATTCGTGCACGAAGCGTGATGTGTGTCATTTAATAACTACACATTAGTTTTATTTGCAACATTTTTTCATTCTTCTATTGCACAAAGGAAGTATTATACGCGAATGAAGCTTCATCGGAAATGAAATCACTATCTTTAATATCTTGCGCAGCAAATCTTATTCTACACAACTATATGGCGGTATATTCTGTATAATACTTCGAACAATTGGGAATAAATTTGCGTTATATCGCAATTGTAGCATATATATTTCATGCGAACAATCCCATGTTAAATATATTAATTCCATAAGTATATTATAATTATCCTACTTTTGAGCACCGGAAGTAGACAAATGTCATTAAAAAAAAATGTATTTGCATACGTGTATATATATATATATATATATATATATATATATATATATATATATATACATACATACACACACACACACACACACACACACACACACACACACACACACACACACACACACACACACACACACACACACACACACACGCATGCACGCACGAACACACACACACACACATCTTTGCACATGATAATAATATATCCGCGTTGTTTATACATAAACTTCACAACAAATACTTAAGAGTTTCATATACAGATTTAGATTCATTCAGTTCGTTGTCTTATAGAATTTTGTATTAAAACAGAATTTCTTCTGCTTCTCTTTTTTTTATTTCATGCAAGTATACATCGCCGCGCGATATCTTCTTCATATCGAAATACAAGAAATATCAAATAAATATTAAATGAAATATTGTATCAAACATAATTAGATTATATAATGCAACATTTGGAGATACAATTAGTGTGATTTGTGCGAAAATGACGCGTATATAGATGATATTTACTTATAAACGATGTTTACTCCTCTCGCACTCACGTTTTCGCATACTGTAGACATACATGTGTTATATATACAGGATGTGATTTGAAAGGTTTCCATCTTGTTTATTTTGTGATCGATTAATTTTTGTAAAAAAAATGTCAAAAGAGATTAATTTTGTTTACAAAAGGATAGATATCCCGAAGAGGCTGAAACCAATTATCACATTCATACGTTTTTTTTTTGAAAACAAAATTAATCTTTCTTGGCATTTTGTAGAAAATTAGTCAATTACAAAATAAACAGGATGGAAACTTTTCAAATGAATATCCCATATGTATTTATATGCTATATGTTTATATATGTTATATGTAATATACTTATATCATGTCGTGTACAAATCACACGACTATAATGTTTTTTGTACCCTTCATGATACCTTTTTATTATCTGATTGGACGAGCACTGTTTCATTTGAAAATGCAGTCTTTCTACTGTCATGATAATGGATCGGGTCATGTCATGGTGTTAAATTGGTTCGCTCGCGTCAACTTTATAAATAATATATGTATACAATCGAGTATTTATAATTTTGTAAATTTTCATTACATTATACAATTGCAAACTATGTGCTTAATCACATTTGTTTTCTTTTTTTAAATATCTAAAGTTAACTATGGTAATACATAACGTTCTCTCTCTAATATTTGTTTTTTAAATACAATTTATCACATAAACAAATATCATACATTTCAAATACTAGTAATCAAATACTATTGAAGAAACTTAAGAAGCTGAGAGAATCATGGAGCTAATAAATATATAAATACGCATAAATAATAATGTACTTTTAATATCGGAATGGTAACGTTAAAGCTATGAGGAGAAATCAGAAAGTAAGAGATTTCCCAAATTATGTACTTTTTTAATACTTAATTTTTGGTGAAGTACTTACATTTCTCAAATTATATCTACATTACTTTTCAATATAATCACCTTTCCTGTTGTATTTGTTTAAGTGAAAGATCCATGTATTAAAATATCTGTCGAATTTTGTAATGTAGCATTTTGTAATGTAGCATTTTGTAATGTAGAATTTTGTAATGTAGCATTTTTGTATTTCATGCTTGACATCATCATTTGATTAGAATCGCTCGCAGAGGTGAAAATTGTGAATACAAATGAAAATCTGTTCTAATCAGATAATGTCAAGTAAAGTTTAAAAATGGCTACATTAACAGAATCCAATCTTTTATCGACAAGATTTTGAAACGGATCTTTTATCGACAAGATTTTGAAACGGATCTATCAGACAAGCTTTAACAGAAAAAACGACTATATTGGAAAATAATGTAAGAATATATTTATTTGAAAAATGTAAGTACTTTATCAAAAACAAGGTATTAAAAAAATATATAAATTGTGTGAATCAATTGTGTGCACTTTCTCATTTTTTTTTTTGTACATGCTAGATTATAAATGCAAATATCTGAGCATTAAGTAGAAATGGAGTATTATGTATCTCATCAATGTGAAACATTCTTTGACATACATTTTACTTTAAATCACTTAAAAAATGTAAGTTTTATTAGTCACAAAAGATCGCTCTAATGTAAAAATAAGGCAAGAATTGAACAACTACATTTATAATGCTAGGTGCAATAACAATACGAATCAATCTAGTAACTTGTTTGTTGTTAAGATGAAAGTATCTTAGGAATTGAAGAATATATCTTCTTTATCTTCCCGCTCGTCCTCTTTATAAACATCGATATATCGTTCATTGAAATTGAATAAAAATGCAAAAATTGTTTTTGTATCGAGACATTCGATATTACATGTTTCTTTCGTTATTTGTAATGCCATTGTAATTCCGTTTTGTAGAATATATCTAATTCAAAATACGATTATTCTCAAAGTCCAAATGATTCTTAAATCAAAGACTCACATCTCCGTATTCGAAGTTCCATTTTTCATAAGTAGTTAAACTTGCCGGCGAAACGGATCTACGAATTCTCCTGAGAGAATCACGGAAATCTTGCATTGTGATATTACGAACAGAATTGAGATCCAATTCTTTCACCTGATCTGGATTCAGTTCTGAGAATAACACAAAAATAATAATTTTAGTGTTATTTATAGTTAGTGTCTAATTAAATTAAGATAAGATTTCATAGATCTTTTCTAAAAATGAATTTTAATATAGAAATCTAATAAAACTTTTTACATCTTTACCAGATTTAAAAATGCACAAAATTAAATAATATATAGATAAAATAAAATTTAAATTTCTAAAATCTTCTAAAAAGGGATTATGTTTTAAAATTAGCAGCCAAATTTCCATTCACAATTAAAAACACAAAAAAAGCCCAATAAAGTTGATTTAATATTACCTCTGATAGGTCCAAGTGCTGCATCCTTAGCTAAACCAGTCAAATCACTTCCTGAGTATCCCTCTGTTAGGACTGCCATCTCGTTCAATTCTTCGGGTGTTAAAGGATCATTATGCTTGGCCAAGAGCCTCTGAAGTAATACAATTCTTGTCTGCAGATCCGGCAATGTAACATATACACGTTTTGTGAATCTCCTTAAGGCAGCTTCATCCAATTCTTGTGGTCTATTTGTAGCAGCCATAACGAGCACTCTCTCTTCAGGATTACAAGGCAAACCGTCAAATTCTACTAAGAATTCTGTTTTTAATCTCCTAAAATGTCAAATTGATACCTTGATTTCTTCGTCCACGGCTTACAAACGAAGTGTACAAAATAGAACAAAGCATATACCTGGAAGCTTCATGTTCGTTATCTTTTCTCTCGCTTAACAACGAATCCACTTCATCGATGAAAATAACGGACGGCTGTAATTCTCGTGCAATCGCGAACAAAGCTCTTACTAATTTCTCACCTTCTCCGACGTATTTGGATGTCAGACTAGCGGCGGAGATTGAAAAAAATGTTGCGTGGCACTGAGTTGCAACAGCACGCGCCAACAACGTTTTTCCGTTTCCTGGCGGACCAAACAATAACAATCCTCTAGCTGGTGTTCGCAAACCAGTGAATAGTTCAGGTCGTAGCGACGGTAGAATTACCATCTCTTGTAAAGCTTGTTTTGCAGTCTGAAAATCAAAATTGTAAAGTAATTAATGAATCAATATTGTAAAATAATTAATGAAAATAAAAATAACGTTTTATCAATTTAGTCCAAGTAAGGAAAACAATTTGATTAGAACAGAGAGAAAGGAAGGAGAAACAAGAAAAGAGAGAGCTAAAAAGAAAAAAAGGAGGAAAAAAATATACCTCTTGGCCAGCAATGTCTTCCCATTGTACTGGCGCTCCTCCTTCTAAAATCTCATCAAGAATCACTTGCGTAAGTTTTGGATCTACGCCTTTTAAGATAGGTACTTTTCTAGTTGGCGTGCTTCTGTTACTATTTGAGGTAGTGGGTGTTCCTGGACGTCGAATAGGTGAACCATTGCCCGGTACGGATAGCTGTCTTTTCACGGAAGGCGGTGTAGACGATGGTTTGATAGGCATAGTCCTATGGCAAGGTTGAATAGGAGTCGACCTACCCATGCTTCTTGGCAATGTCTGACTCTTGCTCAGAGGTGTTCCCGTTATCCGTTTACCAGGAACTGATAATTTTCTGCCAGATGCTGAAATGACATCTGCATTTGCAAATAAAGCTCAAAAATAATAATGTATCATTTTGATAATATAAAGGAATATATATATATATATATATATATATATATATATATATATATATATACATACATACACACACATATATATTATATATATGCGCACAACTACTCTATAATTATTAAAAAATAAGCTTTTCCTTTTAGCAAAATTTCTGAAAATGTATGATTTTACAAATATCTCGTTTTTCTAACATGCTAATATAATAATATGCCTTTGCTGTTTTTTGAGTCTTGCAAATTTTGATAATTCTGATGTAATTAAATTTAATATTTACATTTTTATAATGAAATATTTAAAGAAATATTATTTGAGTTGATGTAAAATAAACTATTTTTTAGCAGCAAATGGCACTTTCTAGCTCCAAATAAGAAGTAGATATTATTCATATAGTGTTCGAAATGTGTCAGGATAATTTAATATTTTGAAAAATATGCATTTTATAAAAAATGTTTGATAAAACTTGCAGAATATAAAAGATCTTGGTTTAACAATTTGACTTTATGTTGTACAATTAAATTAAAATCATATTCTTGGAAACTTCTTGGGATAAAACCGTACTACAAGATGTTCTCTCAAAGTCAAACAACTTTTATCTAACACATTTTTTAATTTTGCATATTTTTTGAATCTCAACTTAAATATAAAACACCCTATACATAAATTTTAATTCAGTTTAAACATTAAATTATTTTATGAATAATAGAGCTTATAGAATTTTTAACTACAAACTTCGAGAAATAAGCTAAACAAAGAATACATCTCATTGTAATTCTAAGTAGATTAAATAATATATAATGAAAAAATATATATTATGACTTTTTCAAATACAATTGTGTTCATATGTATATATTAAAATGCTTAATAAACTTTGTCTGTATTTGATAAATAACATGTTAGATCTATTTGCAAAGCATTATAATGAAAAATTTGAGAATTATATATAGAAATCTAATTCTACAGCAACAGAAAGAAGCATTTCTAAAAAGATATAACACGGCGTTGATGCATGCATAACTACAAGCTTACATTCGTTGTCTAGCTAAAATCCATGTGAAATGTATGATATGCATTAGGGCTAAGAAAGAACAAGCATTTGTTTCAAATGAATAATATGAATCAAAGGAAAGGAAGACACTATATATATTATTTACATGCATTCGACTCTTTTATTAAAGTTTAAGTGCAAAATCTCAGACGAATAATACCTTCAGTAGTATGACAGTTTTTTGGCGAACGTGGTTTTAGCTTGGGAATTTGGGTACATATAGTCTGGCCGCTATTAACTGTCGCGTTTATACTGTTCGTGTTCTTAGTATGATTAGCGTTAAATGAAGTTTGAGCAGTTTGAAAAGTGTGTATATTGCGGCGAGCCCTCAGATGCTTTCCCAAATGCTTGCCGTCCATTTTATTTCCAGCAGCGCGATACTGATTGTTGATACCCAGCTTTCTCAGCTCACACACACTCACTACAAAAAAGGAAAAAAACATTCTCTGCCATGCTGCAATAGGCTAAAGAGAAAATCAGGCTGATCTCTTCCACAAGTGTACCGAAAGAGTACCGATGTATTAAATATCACTATTGTTAGTATCAAATGTGTGATTACTCCAATTGCTATACAAATACTGCTATATGAAATTGAACTATTAAGTATATTAGTATATTTGGAATAAATAAATTTGAACGTTATTTTGCCTCTGCAGAGAAATGCAAAATAAAGATTAATTTGTGCACAAGAAATATAAATCATACAAAATTATTAAACGCGACATGCAATATATAAACGTACACGTTCGTACATGTGGAAGAAAGTAAAATAAATTGCACACGAGCATGCCAAGTACATCGATATCCTTTCTCTTGCCATTGTCAAAATTTACCTTTAGACACTTTGTTTTGCAAATAGAACTGGTATGAGAGAGAGAACAATATTGCATCGATACCGACAAATTTATCATATTCACAAGTAATAGAAGTTTATACCATAGGTAAATAAGCGTGGAGTAGCTTAGTCGATGCGCAAAGCAAATATAATGACGAGGATACTAACCGAGGAAATCAAGCCTATCTTTTGCCATTGCCAAGTTTGTACACATCTTGTCATGAAGTCTTTGTGCGTGCTCCCATACTTCACCATGTCCACCGTTGCACTCTACAGCTATTCCTTTTTCAAGTTCTCCAATCCCCTTCTTGTACAACTCGATCGCCATTTCTTTCTGTCCTGTTGCAAGAAGTTAACACTGATCAGATATTAAATTGCATGTGCAAAACAAAAAATCTTAGACTATACTATATTAATTTTATAAAATATAAACATTCTCTTAAATCTCTATATTATAGTTGTTGCACATCTTTAAAAAATTGCACTAATAAATAATATACCTTCATTATCTTCATCAATCTTGAGTGCCTTGCTGATAAACTCAAATGCTCTGCGATGATGGTGCTTTTGCTTGGCAAGTAATGGATCTCCAGGACCTGGCCCGATCGGACGTCTAGGCAATTGCGACATGATCTCTCCCTCTACCTGACCACTATTGGTCAAACGACCATCCGTCGGTTTTTGCCCAACAACAATCTCCAACTGGCAGACCTGTTTGGACGCTTGTCTACGCTGGATCAACTGAGACGTAGAGGTATACAGATACTTGAACACCATAAACAATTGGTATAGCAGAGTCCGTAGCACATTAAACAGCAGTATCAGCGGGAAGGAGACAACGTAGAGATTACGCTTGTGCACCGATGGCTGCGGACCGTCCAGGAAGCGATGATGACTGTGGTGATAATGATTATGATGATGACCGCCGCAGTTCACCGTTGTTGTGGTTTTCTCGCCGTTCTCGCTCTTTGTCACGCACAGCTTCTTCGGCGACTTCGTGCCGAATTTTCGTATCGGGCGTGCGCCATCGCTGTAAGACATCTCCTAAGGATACGGAAGGATACTCTCCCCGCTACTACTACTGAACCGCGCCGCTCGTGATCGCCGTCGACGATGGTGGCAGTCGCGGATGGTCGCGCCAACATCCCCAATGTAGCGATCGGGGAAGATTTGTCGGAGGAGAATACTTACATCGTTCCCGGTTGACCGTGCGAGAGTAGGACTAAAGGAAGGAGGAGATGCTACGGGAAGTCACGTTGAGAGATTCGCGGAAATATTTCTTGGAAATAACAACGGGACGGTGATGACGATGGCGAATCAACTTCTCGTTCGCTTCCTCCTTGCGTTCCTCTCTCGCGAAACAGCAATCAACGAAGAAATGCGATCCTTCACTTTTGAGCATCGCTTGTTTTCGTCCGCTCACTCCGATATACCTGGCATTTCCCGGTGGTTTACTTCATCCATGGATAATGTAAAATGTATAGATTAGAGAAAAGATTGATAACAGAGAGAAGACTGAGAGGTGTCATGGCCTGCTTTTAGGTGATCCCTGAAATATGAATGCGATACGCCCTCTATGGACATTGAAAACGTGGACATGAACTACAAAGCCAATGTCCATGAATGTTCTCAGAGGGTAAATATATAATGTGCACAATTTCTGGTTTTATTCCGTGCTATGTGCACGAAATGCCGGTAGCACCAGTGCTGTAACAATTAGATACTTATGTATATAAATTGATAGTAAATTAATTATTAAATCGCGAAAGATACTGTAATATTCAAAGATGAAATAAATATTTTTCTATTACTCATTGTCATATTTATATTTTTTTATTTACAAAACACAAAATGCCTGCTGTGGGATAAAAATATTTTTAACCGTATTTCTATAAATCTTCTTTATTAGCAGTAAACTGACTCTTTGATATTTATCAACCATTTTTTTATTTTTAAAAATTTAATTATTAATACATGTATAGAATTTATCAAATTAATCACTGATTCTTCTGAAGTTTTTATACAATAATTAAAACTCGAAAAAGATAGACATTGCAAAATATTTTAAGTATATCTTTTCCTTTATATAAAATATAAAGAATTCATATGTTCACTTTAATATAGCTAACATTATTTTTACATATTTTTATTATAATTTTCATATCAACATAATATTTTTATGCATAATATTTTTATGCTAAATACATATTACAAAATATATGACAAAATATAATACAAATTTAATATAAAATATAATTCGAAATTTAATACAAAATAATTTATTACATGGAATAATTTATTACACGAAAATATCCAAAATATACGTATAATATAACATTTATTAAAAATGTTTACATAGTCCAGACGAGACTGATCAGCGAAGATTAATTACGCGACATTTATTATTATAATTATTTCTATAATTATTTCGGAATATTTTAGTTATATTTATTTGAACGTATCGGACAATACATATTTAGTTGGGCAAAACAAATTTTGCCTTTTTCAATGTATCTGTTAAGAATACCTACTAAGAAAGAATTGATACATACACAATAAAAAAATTATATATACAATTCCTTTTCTATTATATAAAATCCTTTTTTAATTATATAAAAAAAAGTTGAATCTTGATCTCTCTTAACGAAAATTATGATAATTAATGGAGTAAGTGGGAATTCGTTGAAATTATAGTTCAATGCTCCTTTTGTGTCTAGAAGATATTGTAATCCGAAGAATATATGAAACTTCATTCCTTCTGCCGACCAAACTGTACTTGTACGTAATGATGTATTAATCGCTCTAGTTTTATAAAAGAAATACTTATCGCTCTAACACATAAGACCAATTGTTCGCTTCTTTCTTAACTGATTACACAGTACGAAATAACTTGCTTATCCGCAGACGCCCGGCATTTTACGATGCACATCATATTATTGCATTAAGCCGAAAAAGATTGACAAGCATTATTTCGTAACATCTGCGTCCGTAAAGTTTAGCCCACGAGAAAACTGAGGTGCTTTTGTTTTATAATGTTACATTAATAATGCAATAGCAAAAAATTAAACTTAGCAATAATAATAAACTGTTATTAGCAATTGATAACAATTATTTTGGTAAAAATGAAAATCGATATTTACCTTCAAAAACAAAGACCACAAGTTTTGCTTTTCCTTACAATTGTTTCATTCGATTTTTATCACTTGTCCTGTTCTTCTAGGGTCTCGTAGGTGGCATGACTCTGCCATTGCTGTATTACAGCTTTCAAACATTACCTCTGGAAGATGCCATGGCGATCATATCCAGCTCACCGGTGATCGTCATCGCGCTTTCCTTCCTCTTCCTGAACGAGCCCTGCAGCATCCTGCGGATCCTGATGACCTGCACATTCTTCACAGGTGTCATCCTCAGCAGACCGTTCTTCGAAGACGTAAAAAAGCATATAGAAAACAGTATAAAAGACGTAGAAAATGTTACATGTTGGTATAAAAGGGTAAGTCTCATAGTTGCATTAAAAGATTGTTGAAGGATAAAAGCCTAGGTTTTTTTAAATAAGTAATTAATCTTCTCAAATAAGATATTAGTTTTTCTCAAATAAGAGAATCTCATAACTAAAGAATTTTAAGTTTATGTCAATCTTCACAATCGTCAATCAGGTTAATCTCTCAATCAACATCTCTGCTTTCAGATATCTCCCCTTTTTGAAGTTTGGCTTATTATCCACAAGAGCTACAATTTTATGGGATATCTATGCGCCATCCTAGCTACCGTTTTCATGGCGTTCAATATCGTTGTCATGAGAAAATGCTCGGAGATACATTATTCTATCCTGCTGCTGAATCTATCATTCTGGTCGTACGCCTCATCTATCTTCTTCTACTTTACGGTACACAATCACAACATTTATGAAGTTGTGTTTATAAACTCTTGGTTCATTTGGAGCAAAATTATCCTGGTAGCGTTGATTGACCTGTACAGCCAGATTCTGATGATGAAAGCATTAAAGATCGAAGGCGCGAGTAAAGTATCGATCACCAGGTCGCAGGTCATCATACTGGTATACATGATCGATATGTATACACATGGGTATACCAATTTCTTTTACAATTCAAAGGTACCAACATTGACTATTCTGATAGGGACGATTCTCATCATCTTCTCCGTCATTGGTATGAGCTTCGAAAAAAGATCTACGCCGTCTGCGATTTCAGTTGCCTGCGAACAAAACGATCGAGATCGAATAAATCGCGAGGAAGAATCTTTGAGGGCGAACAATCTGATCTCAAAATCTGTACTTGTGAGAAGAGAATAGGTGCATCTCTCGACAAGATTTAATTTTCCCATTCTCCTTAAAATCACTGACGATATCGAATCGTAACAAGTGATATTAATAAACATTAATGTTAATATATTAATAATATCAATTTATATATTTTTTTTAATCAATTGTTGCTGTACAATAAGTTTCCGAAGAGGTCGATTGATTCGCAAATAGCATTCACGCTTTAGGTTCTCTCCGTATCCTTTTGCACTTCTCCCTACATTTTAATTCTTAAAATGACAATGCGCGACGGAGCGTTTTGAATCTCTTAATAACAATAATAATAATAATAATAATGAATAATAATTATAAAATGACAATAATAATAATAATAAAGTTACATAATCGGTTTCAAATCTATATGTATACAAATATACGTAGTTTCCCAGGTAGAACATGAAACTCATAATGACATCATTATGACGTTATCATGATTTTCTACCTGGGTTTGCAATGATGTAAGCGGGTAGAAATGTTCGTTCGACACTACATATAATATATACATATATATATTTATATCGATGATTTATTCAATGGGAAATCAAAAAAGGTATACAACTACGATTAACAGTAAACCGCTATACCATATCCAAGGTAATATATAATTATGTACATGTGTGATTTTTTCCTCTACTATCTCTCACGTCCCTGACGAAACACGCGAGAATGCGCGATCCTGTTAGTTTTCCTCCTGGAGAACGGACGCTACGTCTTTATTTTCATTTTTCGAGTGTGCTTAAAAATCTATACACATTTCAGAGTTCGATTTACAATTCGAGAGACACACGTAACGTAGGACATACACGTGTCCGCGCACGCATTCTTTTTTCTCTCTCTCCTCCCCTTTCACACATATCACACATTTTTCTCTTTCATTCTGTCTCTCCCGATCAAATAGTGAAATTTTCATCATGCAACACGTTGTTATATTCTATGACTAATCTTACTCTATTCTTATTCTGCCTTATTTTAATTAGAGAAAGAAGTCGTATATATAATTACTTACACTATATACGAGTGACTTCTCACACTTGAAAAAGGTATGTGTGCATATATATGTACTTTTATTTTATCTCGCTCTCATTTCACCCTTTCTCGTTTCACATTGCATATTTTCCCGTCACATCTTTTGCACCCCAATACAAATCGGATACGCATCGTCTTGATGCAATCGCGAAAAATGTAATCGTCAAATTTATTCGGGGAGACACATACGATCGAGGGATACATCGTTAGCGATGTAACAGAGGAATGTATGTCGCGACAAGAATCCTTTCGCGAAGAAGGGCGTAGTTTTCGAGCGATTTACTCACAGTAATTTTCGCAATCTACAAATCTTCCATGTATGTGTAAATATATATATATATATTTACATGTATATATTCCTCTCTTTCTCCTCCGATATCTGTTTTTTTTTTCTCTTATTTTACATTGGTCATATATTTCTCTCGTCCTTAGCGTATAATTCTCGCGACTGTACAAGTAAGGGACACGTATGTCTGTGTGTCTATATTCTGGTACAATAATCATCTCCCTCTTTTTCTCGATTCTCGTATGAAGCAGCTGCGTTTTTCGCGCAACTATATATATATATATATATATATATATATATAGATATATATATTTATAAATCTATGTGGTATTGCTAAAAGAGGAAGTTGTGTTAGCTTTGTCATGTAGCTTGGGACACATGCGATAGAAAATACTACGATACAATTAAATGTCTCGAATAAAGAGATCGTGAAGATTGGACCAGATCGCGAGAGGATGAACGAAATTCCCGACTCACACGACGAATCTCTTCGATGATAATCAATTATCGTCGTTGTGAATGACGTCTATTTTGAAAGATCTTCGATTTGGAAGAAAATGAGACATAAACAGAGACATAAATTGAGTAATTACGATAATTCTCTGTAATAAATACAATAATTCTCCCCATTATTTTTCCAAACATTGTATGAATTTAAAACTTCTTTTCATCCCCTGATGAAGGGTGAAAGCTTTTTTTCATCCCCAAGTTTCCGATGTGCGCGATCTCCCATCTTCACGATATCTAAAAAAAAAAAGATGCTCTTCCGGATTTACTCGCCTACACTTAGGATTATCTTTGCCGGCTTTCAGATGTTAAGCTAAAGACCGTAGCACACACTTTTGCATAAGCGCATAATCATAAGCATAAAAAAATTGATTGGTTCATTTTCTTATGCATATACTTGGGGCTACGATCTTTAATATCCCTATCTTCTCAGACAGACCCGCTTTTTTCGACATTTCCCGGAGAAATAGAAACGAAGTTTTTGAGTAGGCACTGCACGCCGCCGATCCTTGTCATCACAGTATCAAACAATTAAATGTACATCTTACTACACTTCGAGAAATACGGAAATTTTTTCATCGTATCCAAAAATACGTTTTGGCTACAAAAATAGGGCACACGCGCTCGTTTCTTTGTTTCTCCACCATCTTTTCTTTTTCTTTTCATTTTTTTTTTTTTGATTGATTGCTTTAATCAACATCGTGCAAATATGAGTACAAATGTCCGTCTAGAATACAATGTCAGCAGTGGTCTAGAATACAATGTCAGCAGCCGTCTAGAATACAATGTTCAGAGGAGCATACATTCGAGTATTGTTATCCTCTCTCTTTATTTTAAACATTCAATAAAGTCTACGACTGCAACATAAATATACAATATATGTCCTTTTCCCTCTCTCTTTCACTTTCTCTACTCTCTAAAGTTGACAAGATTTTTACTTCCGGTAATTAAATATAATTACCGTAGTCATAAAAAACACATAAAAATTTTATTATCGAGATAGTGTTATCCGAATAATCTGAAAAATTCAAAATCAAGACAAGAAAGTGCATAAAGTGTTGAATCCGATATATTTTTCGTCGTCATTATTTTATAAAAAAATTGAATATATTTGAAAAATAATGATGATTCACATATATCATATTTGATCCAGAGATTGATTATAATTTTGGAATCACAATTTAAAAAAAAAACGGAGCGTCTCGGTAAGTGACAAAAGCAACATCAACTCATGTAATGTGTGCGTAAGAAAGATAAAGCTTTTGTGATTCATCGAAATGGACGTGAAAAGCTGTTTATGCATTAAAAAGTTTATACTATTTGTACTTAAGTCAAAATAAAGCTTGAAGGAAAATCAAGGAATCTATTCAATAAATCATTGATTTTGTTGCTCAAATTGTTCAACATTCGCAAATAGGAATATATATATTATGCATATATACATATTGAATTAAGGACGAATATTTTTACACGGTATAATACGAAAATTTATTAATTAATTAAATAAAAAATTTATTTATTAATAATAAATAAATTTATTAATAAGTGTATTTATTTATTTAATAAATGTATTCATTAAATAAATAAATTATTATTAAATACATGAAAATCATGCATCTGATGAGCAGCAAGACTCTCTGAAAATTAAAGTCAAGAAACTATACAAATTTCTTATAACACGGACTAGCATTATTTATACCGATCTGTATATTTCTTTTTCCCATTTATAGGAACTTAAATGAGAGCTTTCTTATTTATGTGATGATTGGCAACAAAAAAAGGTATCTGAATCAAGCCATGTCAACTTGCAGCCACACACAATAATATGAAGAATAGAATAACAAATTTATAGTGATTTATTATATTTTTTTAAATAACAGCTATATCAGTGCGGCATTTTTATACAATTTTGAATATATGTATATATATATAATATGTATATATCAGTTTTTTCTTATAATATATCAAAAGAACTTGATATATAACTATCTTAAGAAACTAAATTTTATGTACAAGAGACCACAAAGTCGTTAATTTTGTAAAACCCGACAATGTCCAAAGATCTAAAGAAAAATCAGTTTTGTTAAATTTGTGAATATATCGTGATGATTGTGCTGTTGAAGACAATGCTTAGAATTGATTCTCTCTTTATCTTTCTATTCTGTACTCTAACATATGTTTAATATGTTTAATAATATAGTAATGATAGCATACGATCGCATCACATTCAATGAACAGATCACTGATTACGATACAAACAATTGTATATAAACTAAAATTATGTGCTAAAAATAGAAACTAACATTCATACAAATACCCTACATGTAGTGCTATACAATTATTTTATTAATTTCTTGAGAGCAATTCACGCTTTTATGATGATTTTTACAGAGTTACTGTTAATCTTCTGGCATTTTCTGCATTCATGCAATCATCTCTCAAGTTTCATGACATCTCTCGCGTCATTATTATAATTACTTATTGGTAATATAAATATTTTTCAATTAATTTTCTTTTTTCTCCTCCAAAAAAATAAAAGCAAACGTCATAATTAATAGGATAACAAACTTGTAGTTACAAAATAAAGATCTCACGAAAAATTCTAAATTGCGATGCATTCAAATTCACAAGTACTAAAATAAAGGTGGCTCGTGGTAATTCAACACTTTATTCCTTGCCTCTGTTCGCTTATTACGAAAATAAGTTAATCATTCATTCTAGTCGATGTACTCGCACATACACATGGATATTCAGAATTCTTTTCATATTAATATCATTCATCACTGTAATTTACAAAGAATTGCATGGTTTTTGTCTGCATATTATATAATATTTTACTTCTCGATTCAACTTGTATCATAATACTTTCTGTATAGAAAATTGTATAACTATAATCTCATCATCATATCAAGTTTCGTTATTAAAAATTCTAGACCAGATAAAAATTCCGAACAATACAAAAACCGACGGTCCATTAGCGTCGGATATAATGTGGAATAATGTTTTCCTTTAAGGGAGATACAATACTTTTCATATGTCAAATTATAATATATGATATAATGATAATTATATCATATATTATGATATATATCATGATATATAATATAATATAGCATTTCATGGTATCATATACACACCTTATGTCCATTTCATCTATAGTTTGATATAATCAAGTATCCACTCAAACTTCAAAATTGAAACTCTTGAATATTCACGAAAAATATATAATACAAGAGAAACACATCATAAATAATGATAAGCGAATCAAACAATGACCAATAAATCTTCCAATGCGCGAAACATGAAAATTCGAGTACATTCGATAGAACGATAAGTATATATATATATGTTTGAATCATGACGCTTGGCAGAATAAAGAGTGAGGAGAATAGAATGATTGGGAAAAGGAAATGATAATGCGCGATCGAGGATAATGGTGATATAGGAGAGGATCAACAACCGTCGTCTCCTACGAAACAACAAACCTCATCGACTGTGAAGAAATATTCGATTTGATTAAACTAGTATGCTTAAAGAAGTAGAACAAACTTCCGCGCCGCTTTCCGGCTCGGATAAATTATTAAATCAAATGTGTATCGGTACGTGCACCAATAACTCAGCACGGCTGGAAAACACCGCGGCGCACATTTCGCACGTATACTCTACTGCGTCTGGTATTATTGTTTCCGGGACATCGTCCACCGGCGTAATCACACTATGTACAGCGAGCATCCTCGTCTGCGGTGCCGATTCCACCTTCACACTAAGTTTAACGTTGTTATCTATGTTGTCCATGTCCTCAGACACGTCATGCGGCAATATGCTCTCCCCCTCTTCCTGAGCGGTGACAACACTCGCCTCAAAGGCGACTTCCAGATTGCTACCGTCCACCGTGTGCTCCATCAGTCGCACTGGATCACCGCTGTTCTCCAAGTTATTATTATTATTATTATTGTTCTGTAGTTGCAAGTGTTGCTGCTGCTCTTCCACTTCCGGTTCAAGTATTATATCCAATTCCTGCTTTACTATCGTCTTTTGCCTCTTGGATCTTTTCAGGGTAGTTGATCTCTTTTTGGTCGATTCCTGACCCTTACCAAGTGTGAGAATATTGCCGTTATTATTCCTGCGATTGTCGCCGGTAGGCGAGGACTTTGGTACGCCTGGCTCTTGTTTAATATTCACCATTAATTGTTGTTGTTGTTGCTGCGTTGGCACATCCTCCTTTGCCGGTTTCGAGAACATAGCCGGTGTAACCTGCAGTTTACCTTCAATGTGGTAACTGACATTTTTGGTACGTGGTCGATTCCTCTCACCACCGGGGAAAATACCAGACTTGTGCTCGTTTGGCATCACCTTCGGCGTCCGTGTTACCATCGTCTTCGTTTTCTGACCCTTCTTCGCGCCATCGCTACCCACTTCTACCGGTACTCGCGTTTTTTGCGTGTGTATCATCTTCGGTCGGCCCGATTGGTTCGAGGATTGCGTCTCTTTCTTCTCCTCTTTGCGAAGTTTCTTCTTCGAAAGTTTCGACTTAGACGCGTTTAATTTGGAATTGCTCACGATTGAGTTTATGTTCTGCAGCGAACTCTCAAAACTCTTCAGTACATTCTGGTAACCTTCCTGGACATTTGACCGTTGTTTATTTTTCTTGCCAAGTTTTCGCTTCGTGTTGTCCTCCGAGTCGGAACCGCCGCCACCACCGCCACCGCCGCCGCCGCCGCCAACACTGCCACTACCGCCAGTGCCACTTTCCATCATGTCGTACGAAAACTCATTCTTACGTACCACTGTATTCGTCTCGTGTGGCTTCAACTTGCGTCTCCTCTTGTACTTGCGCGGTCCGGTTTGCGGCTGACGACTCAACGCAGTATTATCGTCGCAGTGCTGTACTATGTGTGCCACTATTTCTTCAGATGTGCCGAATGACAAACCGCATACTTTGCATAAAAACGGCGTCACACTGCCCACGCATTTTGGATCCGGCCCGGAATGATGAGCGCGCACGTGTTCTCGAAGAACCACCTGCGATGAACAAAATATAAAATTCAATTATTTATTCTATAAAACATCTTTTAAAAACGGAAAAACTTTTTTTTAATGTGCATGAAATGTAAAATATTTAAAAAATATAATTTAACATTATTTCAATGTTCTATTACAAAAATTCTAATATTCAAAATGATATGACGTTATCGTTAGATTACAATTTATGAAGCTTTTCCGTTTATATTTTCACGTAATTTTCTAACAACTTACTCTTTGATTGAAAGCCCGAGAACAGATTGCACATTCATATGGTTTCTCGCCGGTGTGAATGCGCTCGTGTTTTCTCAACGTACCGCCATCAGCAAAGGCTTTCCAACAAAACCGACAGCCATAGGGTCTCTCACCCGTATGGATACGTATGTGGATCTGTTGCGAACTGCGACTTCCAAAAGTTTTACCGCATTCGCGACATGGGAACGAGCGACCACCCAACTCCTTATTATGTGAATGACGGTGACTAACAAGAGCCCTTCCATCGGGGAATTCTTCGCCACATTCATCACAAGCTACCATTTTATTACGATGAGATACCATATGTCTGCACATAACACAATTATTTATCTAATTATTTACATAAAAAAATGTACGAAAAAAATCTTGTTTAAAATAAAGAAGAATTTAAAGAATTACAAATAAGAAGAAAATTAAAGAATTACAATAGTATTACTATAATACTTTGACCATATTATTATGAAATATAACGTAATATAAAGTAATAATATAACGTAAATGCATACGTCCAGAGAAGGTAGCAAAAATTTTGTCATATTTATTACCTTCGCAATCTGGCTTTACTGTGAAAGCGTTTCGCACACTTTGTACAACTAAAGGTCTTATCGACATTATGCACCCACGAATGTTTCAATAAGCTTCGTTTATCCTTGCATGTTTTGCCGCAAAGCGTACACGTATTCGGTGGCGCGTCCTCGGCGTGATTCTGTTGTACGTGTTCCGCAACTTCAGCTTCATCGCGGCATCTCGCCCCGCACAATAGACAACGGCGACTAGGAGATCTTGTTTTAAATAAAAATTATCAGATAAATATATATATACAATATATATATATATATATATATATATATATATATATATATGTATGTATATGTGTATATGTATATATTATATATATACACATATTTATCTATATATATATTTATGTATGTGTATATTTACTGTGTATATTATATATATATTTATCTGATAATTTTTACGTCTACCGCGAAATTCATTCTATTCGAACAAGAGAAATCCAAATTGCTCCGTATACAATCAACATATACTATTGCAATATATTTTAAAATTGAATACTATTTTCGCGATTATGTCAATTGCTGAATAATGAAAGAAGAGAATGCAACTATACCTCGAAGCATGAAATTCTGCATGTGCTAATAATGCTAATGCCTCCTCGAACAATTCTCCGCAAACATTGCATGCATGATGCTGACTGGAACCCTCCATTGTGTCCACTTCTTGCTTGATATGAGCTCTATATACACAATATCAATCTTTACATATAAACAAATTGTTGATATTAATATTTGCAATACAAATTTTTAAATTATTAAAAATAAAAATGTATAAATTTACATATGAATGGCTTAGAAATGTCAAGTGGTCACATTCAAAATAGATTTCGAGTTATTAGCAGATTTGAGATAGAAATAATGTGATGTGTCATCAATTAATATAACTACATTGAATATTTGTTTTTCAATCAGATTGTACAGTTAAATATTTTTAGATGTACTTATAATAAAAGCGAAAGTCTTTATTTCTAAAACTTCTTTTTTTTTTATACTACTTGGCATCTGAGTCATTCATAAAAGATTAGTATTTATTTTAAAAATTATTATAAATATAATTAGAAATATTATATAATAATTATTATAAATATATATATATATATATATATATATATATATATATAAAATAAAAATATTCTAATTATACTGTAATTTTAATTGTGAGATTTTTTTTAGTTATTGATGCATACTTGTGTTAATTTTTCTACACATACACACACAAACTAAAATTTACATATAATAAAAAGATTAATTCCAAAAAAAATGCTAATACTTTTAATAAATTCCCTTTTATAAGTTTCTTTTATATAATTCTTCAACATTCTCAACGAAGCATTATGATGCTTTAAATATAATTCCATTAAAAAAATATTACTTTTCTTAAATCTATAAATTTGCAATTGTTGATAACTTAAAAATTTATTTTTATGAAAAAATTGTTTTTATCTCATACCTAAGCCATTGTATTTAAAAAGCGATAATTATTAGATCTCTTACTTTTGATGGCGTTTGAGCAGATCCAGACGATGAAACAGTACCCCACAGGTGTTGCAATAAAACTCGCCAAACTCTCTCGTATCGCCAGTGTAAGTGGTATCGTTATCATATTCCTCCGTGTCAGATACCTGCTGGGGAATAGTACCGCCATGTTTGTCGCGCATATGATCCCGCAGACTGCGGACATCCCAGCACATCTCGCCGCAGGTGCATTCGAGTGGGCTGTCACCACCATGAATCCGCGCATGTGAAGCTAAAGCCTTTTCTCTAGCAAAGCCGATACCACAGAACTGACAGACGTAGGGTTTGGTCGGATCAGTAACAGGCCACTGCGGTGATTGTTGCTCGACAGACATCTCGTCCATTTGCCACCTCGAACTGGACGCGTAATTGCCGCTGCGGGCAAAATCAATCGGGTCGATCAGGTCGTCTTCAAGTAGCGAAAGCGTGTCCTCGTAGTTATCGTACGGTTTATACACATACTTGCCCATCTCCATCTTGATGTTATTTTCGATGTTGTTGCGCTTCGGCAGACCAACCGCAGTATTGCTCTTCCGCTTGCGTGGCGCGCTCGATTGCACCTTCTTGCGTCTACCCTTGGTGCCACCTGTTGTCGAGTCCTCCTCTTCGGCTTGTAGAGAGTCTTCGTCGTTCAACTCGTCCTCCAGACCGTCCCGTGACGGCGGATACGCGTGGGTCTTCAAGTGATTATTTAAGTCGCACTTGCGTACATAACGTGCTCCGCATAAGTTACAACCATGTGGCCGATCTGTCTGATGCGCCACCATATGATTCATCAGATTCGCCTTTTTGCGGAACCTACGGCTGCAGAAGTCACATGGATATGGTCGGGCGTTCTGGTACGAGTCTTGATCGATCGGCAACGGTATCTCCATGTCGTCATACTCCAGCAAATTGTCATGCGTCACCTTTGTTTCTGGAATCTCGACCCTTCAAAAGGAATAATTTATTACAATGCGGCAAGTTTTGAAAAAATAAAAAAAAAAGTCAACTCTGTAGAATCTCGATCGAAGAGTTTTAAGAGCATAGAGATATCCTAGATCAAAATACTAAATCGTTAAGATAATACATATAAAGCTTTGTTAAAAAGATGTATCGATTATAATAATCTTTCAATATACATATTTATATTGAACTTACCCATCATCTGGACCAGGTCTATCCCAATTATCGGCTATTACTTCTTCTGTCACCTGTATATTCAGATAATCGTGACCCTGATCTTGTGGTACAATATAGATAGATTCCATATCGGTGGTCTGAGGTACCATCAATATCTCAGACTCTGTTGCAGACGCTACATCAGGAACAGATTCAACGGTTTCCTCCACTGCAACTTCCTCGCAAGCGCCTATTACCTCCTCCTCTGAAGCGACCAATTGTGCTTCAAGGCCGCATATCACTTCTTCGTGAAGCTCCACATCTCCCACCCATTGCAAATTTAGATCCCCGGCGACGTCCATTTTGTTTGATCCTCTATTTGATCACTGAAATCACTATAACATATTATGGATTAATAAGTACCTGTGTCTCGCTAATTTATATCATATCTTATAATTATCATAATCGTATAAATCAAACTGGAATTGATTTCGCAAACTCATTACACGAACAAAAAGCCTTTCTTTCACAAACCTGTTACACAGGTCGCATCCCACGAGTTTTACACAACGGACAATGATTTATTACTCGACGTTTGCGTACAATTGTATACGTTCTTATCGCAAAATCGTCGATTTGGTCTCGAGACGCAACGCGCAGCAGGATGATTCTCCGCGGATTTAAGATTACATCATAAGAAGAGGCTCGCCTCCGTCGAGAAATCGCGATCCTCGAACACTTGACACGATGTTCCCGGAAGGACGATCCGACTCCCGAGCAACACACGAATAATTCTCGGCCAAAAGCCCTTCCCCCTCCCTTTTCGTGTAAACCACGCGACAAACGATAATCGGAATGAACTTGGCTCGAACTCGGCTGACGAATCGTCTTGGTTGCGTCGCCGATCGTGTGTCTGTTGACGTCCCAGCTCTAAGGTTATAATTATATAGGTTATAGCGTTTGTGTAACGAGAGAGGTTATAACGAGAGGGAGATACGTCAGGGACGTGGCGTCGTCGGGCCCGGTCGCGCCAACACGCTGGTGTATCCGCGACGTCGGAAGCGAGGGGACCCCGAGGACGAGCGGCGCCAAGCGCCCCGAGGAGCGAGAACGGACAAAGCGCGACGAGGCGCGCGCGAGCGGAACCGCCGTCTCTCGGCCGCTCTTCGCGCGGCCCCTTTCTCTTCCGTCTTCCGGAGGAAAACGCGCGCGCGACAGGATACGCGGCGTCGCCGCGCGTCCGGCCCGGGAGGTCGGTGCGGGAGTCGCGGCGCGTCCGTGGATCGCGAGACTTACTTACTGTTAAAGAACCAGACGGCTACGACGCAGCCAGTAACCTAACCAAAGAGCACTACGCGGTCGAAGGAGTGCAGCGTCGACCTTCGGTTGTTTTCAATCTGGTGGGGGATGCGTTTAGAAATAAAACGTGACAAAATGGCGGCGACCCGTAATGAAGCGCGCGCGCGCGCGCGAGCGTCCATCTGTCACGGGTGCGGGATGACGTGTAGACGGGAAAGTCGTCGCTTTGTTCGTGATTTCGGCCAACGATACCTCGATGCAGCCAATAGGAGGATTCGCTTTCCAGGGACTTCAGCGGCAACGCTTTTTATATGCTTCGAGAACGCGTTCTATTGAGGATTCATCGAGATCCTTGTTTTTGTGCATTTTTCAAAGCGTTGTTCTAAAATCGTGTTCTCAAGTGGAATTATGAAAGGTTTTGATTCGACCGTTGTCATTGTCAGTCAAAATACACTTGTCTCTCTCTCTCTCTCTTTTTATATGCATATTTATTATACATAATAAATCGAGAGACACGATGATTCGTTTTATCTATATGTACAGAAATAATAGATCATAATTTATTACAATAGATCATAATTATTACTCATTTAAAAATTGAAAAAGGGGATGGAATATAAATAGAATGAAATTAGATAAGTTGACTCAATAAATTATATTATATTAGATTATTATATATTCATATATAAAAATATTAAATATGTAATTAAATAAATATATATTATTATAATTATATATATATATATATATATATATATATATATATTTAATGTAATTTTATAATATAGTTTTATATAATTTTATAACAGCAATTAATTTAGGTTCTATATATTAACATAAAAAAATTTTAAAATCTAATATTAATAACGAATATATATAAAATACATAATAAAATATTTTCTGCAATATATTTTTAATTTTTCTTTATCAAACGCTAGACGCAAACTTCTAAGAAAAAATATATTAATTATGTATTAAAAGATGGTAAATATGCCATCTTGAACAAACAATAGAAACGATAAATAATACCTCTATTGCATAAGGAAGATAAGCTGTATGTCAATCTGTATTATCATTGTTATCACCGGTGCGGTTATTAACATATTCGCGGATGACATCTCGTTTTTCTCGCGATGCGCGCAAAAATGATTCGTCATTTTTTATCTATCGACACTTATAACCGTGCGTGCGGCTACGTGTTAACGCATTATTCGGCGAGATGAAGCGAGTCGTGATATTCGGTGCTACCGGAAACACCGGCCTTTGCTCTCTGACATCGGCCGTGGAAAATGGTGAGTTTTCCGATCCCAATACCACTTGCATGTGTGTGTGATTACGAATTTCATTCGGTCTCTCCGATTCTTGATAGTGACATGGTGCACAGCTGATAATGTCATTCTGTTTATTGTGGTAATTGCGTGTAGTTAGTGTTGTACCGAAGCTCCTCTCCGAATAATTCGAGAGTGACGATGATCCATGCAAGAGAGATCGTTTTCTTTTCCTGATGTATTTAAAATATCTCTGATGTACTTAAACTGATGTACTTAAAATATCTCTGATGTACTTAAACTGATGTACTTAAAATATCTCTGCACAAAATGATGCAATGATATAATTAATATGAAATCGTATAGACACTAAGCAAATCATTTTGAATTAATGTATTGCCTTTATCCATTCAATATAAATTATATATAAATAATTGTACTTATGTAAGTAATTGTACATGATGTGATTTATATTGCGCTGTAATTATATATCTAAGTATATGCATATTAGCCTTTAAATTTTATTTATGATATTTTTTATAATATTATCAGGCCTGGATGTAAGAGCCTTTGTAAGGGATGAAGCCAAAATTCCTGAGAATCTTAAAAGTAAAATTGAATCGGTCGTCGGAGATGTCACTAATGCAAAACAAGTTGCAAAAGCGGTAGCTGATCGAGATGCTGTTGTTGTAGTCCTTGGAACTAGAGCAGACTTGAGTATATGCAGAGATATTATCTTATATTACTATTATAACATAAAGTAACATATGTTAATATATGTTTACCTATTTTATTATTTTATATTATATGTAACATAAAGTAACATATGTTAATATATGTTTACCTATTTTATATTATCTTTAGGTCCTACTACTGTGTTATCTGAAGGCTTAAAGAATATAATAGATGCCATGAAAGAGCACAATGTTGAACTAATCTCCGTATGTCTATCTGGTAATAATTAGGAAAAAAATTCTAAAAATGACAAAATAAAAAATCTATTATATTCAAAGACAAATTATACATATAATTTATTTATTTATTTTTGTTTTATGTAGTGTTACATTTTGCACTGAATTGTTTAAAACAAAAATTATCTCAGTACTTCTAACATATTCAGATTTTCTATATTTAATTATTTAATACTTTATAATTGTTTTTCTACAAATGTCTATATTAATTGCTTTCAGCATTTTTATTTTTTAAACCTGAAGCAGTGCCTGCTATATTTAGGGATGTGACTGAAGATCATCAACGCATGTTTGATATGATCAAGACAAGTGAGCTAAAATGGGTGGCAATATTACCACCGCACATAACAGGTATATGTAGGGAGAATGAGAAAGTTGGCCCTTATATTTTCCAAAAAATTTCACAAATTTTAATTTTATATTTCAGAAGCACCAAAATCAAAATATATTGTTACATTTGACTCTTCGCCTGGACGCTTAATTTCCAAACATGATTTGGGCGCGTTTCTCGTAGAGTGTCTTACAAAACCTGAGTATTACCAAAAAATCTGTGGTATTGCCACCACTTCATGATGTAAGAAGAAATGGAAGGATACGTAAATAATGAAATGCATGCATTTTTCTAGTGAAAAAATATATTAAATATATATATATGTATATGTAAATATATATGAATTATATACATTTTTGTGTAAATGGTGTTATCGCATTTGACAAGTTTAACATCTATATAACTGATATGAATTGCATGGATTAAGACAAGCGTACTTTTGCATTATTTTGTCGAACAAGACAATAAGGAAAGCATAATACTTAAAATAAATATAGAAGCGCAGTCTGACTTGCAAAATAACTTGTACTAAAAAATTGAGAAATCTATCTATTTACTAATTATAAATTAAAGTTATAAAAGTAACTGAAGAAATGAATTATAAGAACGGTATTTGGTTTATATCGTTCGGTTAAATTGAAAAGTCTAATGCACTTTACCTTTCATGATTATCCGAAATGATTTGCCTAATCAATGTGCACTAATTAATACGATTTAAGTAAAATATTGCTCAAATTTTCTATTACAATACGATATGTTAAATTATCTATTCTGTCCTATAATTTACCCTGTTCTTTATCCTTTTTTGTCATCGATTTCATTTTAATCATCGAAACCGTTCCACTTCACTTTTAATCGAATGCGAAGATTCAGTAAGAACAAGGGAACCCTCAGAGGTATTTTGATATAACGCTATTAATCATAATTTTTTTACCATATGCGTTTTTTGGGATAACATTCGCGTGTCGAAAAATTTCGATAATTGGAACGTCGGCATCGGGGGTGGTGGCGGCGGTGGTGGTTCTCCGGCGGACTGGGCGTTTCGTTCTTTAAATTTTGTCCTGCCGAAAGGAGGACTAGCAGTTATGATGTCGTTAATGCCATACGCTTTAAACGGATCGCACACCTTGTATCCGTTTTTATAATAAAATACTTCTTGACCGTCCGTTTTTAGATATATATTCTTCAGGCCTCTTTTCGCAACGTATTCTTCCATGCCACGCAATAATCTAGATCCCAATCCTTGAGATCTACACCTATAGTCGATTACAACTGAAATATTATAGATTCTTTATTATAAAATGTTAAATGTTTATTTATTATATGGTGTATATATGACCTGAATTAATAAATTTCAAAACTGAATACATGCAATAGGATAACTGGTTTTGCTTACCAGATTCTATGAAGCAGCTAATTTTTGATCTAGCAATCAGAGATATTTTGCAATGTCCAAGAACCTTGTCCTTATCATTAATCAGAATCAAGCATGTAGGAAAATCGTCGCAAGATACATTCAGAGATTTCATACTGCAATTTAACAATACAAGAGCTGTGAATTTGTCGATACATTCTTTCTATCTTTTTGTAGACCGTCTTTAAGAACTAAGGGGAACATAACACACCGTGCAGTTTCGCTTCGAGGCCATTCAGAATTAAGTAACTTACAACAATCTCTGATCAAATCAGGCCGATGGTGGAGAGGTATCACTACGTACTTAGCAGTGCTTTCCGTCATATTTTGCCTGCAATTAAAATTTAATGATTTTGAAATTTCTTTATTATTAAATTCAATATTATACATAAATCTCATATTTTAAATATATTTTAATTATTTCATTTAAGTATCGCATAATTTCTCAATTTTTTAATCATTTCTCTAATAGTAAAGTGTCTATTACATATTCATGCAACATAAAAAAAATTTATTTTAGATCTATCATTTATTAAATTATTTTGAAAATAAAATCTTCAAATTTTATAAACTATTCAGATATACCTTCCTTAATTAAATTTACTGCTATGTGTAAAATGCATAAATTTTATTGTATATAGATCAATCAATAATATAATCAATATATATAAATATTTTCCAATATATATTTTATATATATCCCCTTTCATTAAATTTTATTTAACATACAAATCTTTATCTCTATCACGCTATAAATACATTCTATATATAAAAAACAGCTTTATGAGTTTGTGATAGCTATCAATATCTATATATAAATATAAGCTAAACCATAATCTGTAAATCTTAATCAATATGTATACATATTTTTGACATGTGTTTCACCCTTTTCAATCAAATATTTTTTAAAGGTGTCCAAATCTCAGTTGACATATACATCCTTCCTGTTATATATCTATAATTATATTCCACATATGAATATAACTATGAACACAAGTACAGCTAAGAAAGCATTTTCTGCAAGTGATTGTCGCAATGAAAATTTTATTAATCTATTGCACCGCATTCTCGCGATACTTGACACTCAGGTGGACGTCACTGACATGACAAGTGATCGCGAAGCAGAGGGAGGGCGGCAAAGAGGGTATTCTTACCCGCCTAATTTCTCAGCGAGGTGGAGAGCTCGTTTGCGCGGACTCGAATGGGAATGGCATCCCGGTGGCGACGGTGTCATCGTTTTCCGCTCCGGAATGATATTTCGGTCTGATTTTATCCCCACCGCGTTATGCCGAATAACCATTCCCATGTGCGTCCCTCTCGTGCGCACCCGTCCCACCTCTCTCTGATCCCCGGTTTCCTTTCATCTTCTCGGGTTTCTCGAGATTTTGCATTGTTCCTTATACATCTTCCTTATTGACTAGCCAAGATTCGCTTTCTGTTAAAAATGTTAACATACTTCGATATATGATTATATATCAATACACTTCTACCCTACATTTTGCTCGATTCCTGTCGTCAATTTGCTAAGAATTGAAGAATTTAAAAATTTTGCGAGCATTGAATCTATATTTTTCTGATACAATGTGTCAAATCAGCTGTATTATATCACGTTTTCTATTTATAACATATGTAAGATACGATTTGTCAATTATGTAAAAGAAGAAAGGAATTTGAAGTGCACTTGGAAATTTTCAGAAAACGGATAAGAAATTTAAGATTCTTATGAAATTATTTCATAAATTAAAATATATTAATCTAATTAATTTAATAGCATAAGGAGTGCGACGTTAGAGAAAAGTTTTATCAATATATCGAATATGCAAATTAACGACAGAAAATACAAACATCAAAAGAACCTCTAAGAAATTCCACCCACGTCTATCTAGGAAAGACTCAATGAGAGACAGTATCCGCGTCTGTCCGTGACCGATTCTATTAACGTTCGTCTCGACCCCGAAAGCCCCAAAGCGACCTTTTTTTCTCGGTATCTTACTTCTCCCCGTAACCTCTATTCTATATGCGGAATCATGGTGGTAGTGAGTGACCTGCATTCTCGCGCACGTGACATCGGTGACGTCACGTCGCCGTACAACAAACGCGACGAATCAGCAAGCGCGTAGTTGACGTAGAGTGCTTCTTGGGCGCATCCAATAGGAGAATCTCTTTTCTAGGGACAAAATGTCATCACCTGGGAATATTCGAAAATGAGGTCTCTCATTGGACGTCGCGCGACGCGTATACGCGATTCGAAATTCAATATAGAACGTGTGTACTATATTGCATGCGTGATTCATGCTTCATTCATATGTCAAAATTAGTTGGTTTCTATCCGTATACGAGGGTGGTGTGTGTTCTCATTTTTTATTATTTGCTTCTTGAAAGAAAAGCCGGAAGATTGTGTAATTTTTGTACGTTTTAATTTAAACAAATTCATATATATCTGGCTGTTTATGAAATAAATACATAATAATAGATTAAAGTATGAAGAACGGCCAAGAGACTGTTTGTAAATTAAAAAATGCGGCGAATGCGGAAGTAAACGAAAAGATGCACAGTGCAACGTATGTGAAACTATAGTTTTTAATTGAGATTATTGTAGTTAGAGTCCTATTCTTGATGAATATCCTAAATAAATTATATCCTCTTTTTAAAAATTTCCTCTAAAAAAATATCATTTTTGAATATAATAATTAACATTATTAGAGAATATACATATCCAAGATCAATTATTCCTTCATAAATTTGATATGAAACATGAATAGAATAATTTATTATAATATAATTACAATTCGCTTTTATACTTGCAGAGATTGGTGGCTCGTGTTTGGAGGCATAACTGCACTTACTTTAATTACTAGATTTTACAAAGTAACAGAACCTGAACATGTATGGTAAGATGGAATTAAACATTTTACTAATTTTACTTATATTTCATTGGTTTAAGACAAAATTGTAAAAAATTTTTGGCTTTTAGTTGGGATGAAACACATTTTGGTAAAATGGGCAGTTGGTATATAAATAGGACATTTTTCTTTGATGTACATCCCCCTTTGGGAAAGGTATATAATTTTTCAAAAAAAAAATCTTATCTGTTATTAAGATAAATCAAATATTACATTAAAATATCTAAGATGCATAAAAAGATTTACTAAAAAAATATACTTAATTACTTTCAGATGCTCATTGCTCTGTCTGGATATATGACAGGCTACGATGGTAGATTTGCCTTTGAAAAACCAGGAGATAAATTTGAGAACGTCAATTATGTCGGTATGAGAATAGTAAGTTAAACTCATTTATAAAATAAAAAGCAAAATGTATTAAAAGATACAAGACTGATTTGAGATTGAATTTATAATAATTTTGATTTCCAAAATTTTTTTAGTTTTGTACAATTTTGGGTGCATCCATTGTCCCTTTGTCTTATCTCATCGTATGGGATCTTACCAAATCAATTTGTGCTTCTGCCCTTTCTGCTATTTTCATTCTATTTGGTAAGAATTGTTACACATTATAAAATTTAAACTTACAATTTGAGGATCAAAAATTCAAAGAGATCATTAATCGTTTGCATTTCAGATGTAGGACTACTGACGTTAAATCAATACATACTCTTAGATCCGATACTACTGTGTTTTATGATGTGTGCGACGTGGGGAATGGTGCGCGTGGCGTCGCTCCAGGATCGGCCATTTACACGATCCTGGTGGTCCTGGTTATCGTTTACCGGAGCCTCGCTCGCATGCACGATCAGCGTGAAATTTGTCGGGCTGTTTGTCGTTTTACTCGTGGGTTTTTACACCGTATATGAACTCTGGCGAGAATTGGGAGATTTGTCTAAGCCTATTGTAAGTAATTCTCGAGAATTATTTCAATTTCAAAGCCTTTTATGTGACAAATAACGAGCTTTACATTAGCTTGCTTTATTGAATTGAGCTTAATATCAAAAATCAATAAAAGTTGATGTTTGATATTAATAAAAATCGATGTTACACATAACGCTATTATTTTAATAATTAGTAAGATTTCAAGTAATTAGTGAAGTTTCCAAAAGACAATTTCGATTTGCTTTTTGCAGTCTTATGTGGGCAAACATTTATTAGCACGGTGCTTTTGTCTCATCCTATTACCGGTTTTACTTTACATGCTATTTTTTTATATCCATCTTTCCGTTTTGAATAAAAGGTAAGAAAAATCATTGTGCGTCTTTTACATACGAGATATTTCCTTATCCTTATGTGAGTACCTTGTGTGTAATGTATGCAAATTAGTATCATACGTGCGTGACAACAGCTAATATTCAATTTACACAAATTGACATTTATATTTATCTAGCGGAAGTGGTGACGGATTCTACAGTTCCGAATTTCAGTCACTCTTACGAGGGAATTCCTTATATAATGCGACGATGCCACGACAATTAGCATATGGTGCCACTATCACATTAAAGAATCATCGCACAGGCGGCGGTTACCTGCATTCCCACTGGCATTTGTATCCTGAGGGAATCGGCGCTAGACAACAACAGGTTTTTGGACATATGAATATTATACATAATGTATATAAAGGGGTAAGGTGGAGAATTTGATCTCAGATAAAGTGATAGATTTATGTCACTTGTTAAAAGATATAATACATATAATGCATATCTTATTTCAATCGATGAGAAACATAAGGATACTTGATACGAGTAGGCGACTTTAAATGAGACAAAGTTCCGCAATAACACTAATTCACGTGTCTGATTGCATTAGATCACAACCTATTCCCACAAGGACGACAATAATCTATGGTTGGTGAAGAAATTCGACACGGACGTGATACCATCTAAGCCGGAGTTGGTCAAACACGGTGATCTCATTCGTCTGGAGCACGTTATCACGAAACGGAATTTACATTCGCACAAGGAGATCGCGCCGATATCGAAAAAGCACTACCAGGTCACCGGATATGGAGAAGTAAGGTGACCAATATATTTCCGATATGATTACTCACATGACTTGTCCGTCAATCGCCTTTTTTTCTCGTTTCTCAGAACGGTACGGGTGATGCTAACGATCTCTGGAAAATATTGATAACAAATGGAAAAAACAATGATGTAGTGGAAACCGTGACGAGTAAACTGAAATTCGTACATTATCTTCATCATTGCGTCCTAACGTGCAGCGGCAAAACGTTGCCGAAATGGTTGGTAGAGACAAAAATTACACTGACCGTTTTCATAACTCATAAGGTAATTTTTTACTATATCAAATTTTTAATTAATGCAGGGGATACAGTCAACAAGAAGTCTCTTGCAATCCCAATATGAGAGATAAAAATGCGTTATGGAACATCGAGGATAATCAATACGCCAAATGTAAGGGAGCGATAAAAGTTACGATTGAATCTACGATTGAATATATGATCAAAATGACATATAATGTTGTTAATTTTTTTGTTAGTACCAAATGTCAGTTTTCGAGTATACGCGCCGGGATTCCTCGACAGATTTCTGGAGTCGCACGCCGTGATGCTGCAAGGAAATTCGGATTTGAAAGTGAAAGAGGGAGAGGTGTCCTCGCGACCTTGGCAGTGGCCTATAAATTACAGAGTAAGTTATTTTGACTTATGAATTCATTGCATGCATCCTGGCACTTTGCAGCGAATTCTGAAGAGATTCTTATCTTTAGGGGCAATTCTTCTCCGGAAACAATCAAAGAATATACCTGCTCGGTAATCCCGTCATTTGGTGGGGAAACATAATCTTTCTTGTGATATTCGTCATTCTTTACGTTCACGCATCCGTGCGCGAACAACGGGGCTGCGTCGACGACGTCGTCATCCTTGAACAGCGCGGCAAGATAACGCACGCCGGCAAGTGGCTCTTCTTCGGATGGATCCTGCATTATGTACCATTCTGGACGATGACCAGAGTACTGTACTTCCATCATTACTTCCCGGCGCTGCTGTACAGTTCCATGCTGACTGGGATTATATTGAATCACATTATCGAGTGCCTCCTACTGTTTTTTCCCGGTAAAGTGGGAAATACGATTTATCATGTTGTACTGGGAATCGTAATCTCCGGTACTGTATACAGGTAAAAGCTCACTTTTTACTCTAATTTTATTGTAAAATTTTAACAATATCCCGAAAAATTCAAATTCTTTGAGCGAATGTTATTTTTTTAAAGATATGATATTACTTTTGAAATAATTATTATTTCGATTAAATTGAATTACAGTTTCTATCTATTCTCGCCATTGGCTTATGGGATGGACGGACCCTCCGCCATGGACCCCGAGAGCTCGATGCATTCTTTGCGATGGATGGAATCTTGGGAATTTTAAAGTCTGATTTTATCGACGAAGTCGATTTATATGCAAAGTATTTTATACGTATTTAAATATTTTATACATATATATATGCCTTCGAGAACAACTAAGATGCTGGAAAAATGCTCATCTTATTTATATTAAGTTTTATATTAAATTTTATATTAATTTTTATGAGCTATACACTATAGCGATTTATATCATGGTTTATATTTTTTACAAATTTATTTATACAATATTGAAATGATTTAATAATGAAATAAGTTTTTTCTCAGAACCGTGCAATTACTTTATGGAAAATTAACTTTCCTCCGCGCAATTTCTTTCAAGAACTTTACAGAAAAAAAATTATCATGTATATATATATATTCTCTACATTTCTTAATATCACAATCTAATACTCGAGATAACATCGTCTTACGAGCGTAAATGGTAGCATCATCTTCCCACATCATTCATTCAATCGTGACGACAGCACGATTACATACATAGAACGCATACATGCATCGGCTCACATATCTTGGGATAAGTTCCACTACGCTCAATCCGGGTTATTTAGTTGGCCTTAAAGCTACTGATACGGCAGATTGTTGTCTCTCTAACGCATTACACGCATTAGTTTCTGGAAAACTTGTTTTAATGATTATCGTAATTCGCCGCAAATCCATCCGGATGTCAGTCATTAAATGATCGATTGCGAATCGATAAAACAGGCAACTCATGTTTTCCAAGTTTTCGTTGAATTACATGGCCATTTACGGATCGGAAAAAAGTACGCGTGCGTGGGCTCTTGAGTGACGGAAGCGCGGAGGCGACGCGTGATTTCGTAAGCTCTTAAGAAAACTCGATTAAAAAATCAATTAAAAGGTAAAGAGAAAATTCGATTAAAAAGCCAAGGAACAAACGCTCGGATAACAAGAGGGATTTCGAATCTGAAAAGATGTCTCGACTTTTAAAAGGTTCCTTTCGTAAAGTTTGACGAGGCGCTTGAGGAAGCGCGTGTGCCAGAGACACAGCCCCGGGTTCCAAAGCGCTTGACGCCCGAAGGTCGACGCGCGCGCGCGCGCGCGCTCGTTCCCAGTGACAGATATACACATGTACACACGCGCGGGGGATACGCACGCGTATCGCCCCTCGCGGTATCGCCGCCGATGACGACAGAAACGACACCGAGGAACGGGGCGAGACGAGTCGCGCTCTCGGATATTCGGCCGCGCTTCCTCGCCGCCGGCGGCTCGTCGTCAGAGACAGTCGTCCGGACGACGGACCCTGTGCAACGTCGCGGTGGTCCAGCGGATGCCGCAGTGCGTCATCGTCGGCGGCCGCTCGTGTCCGACATATTGCGGACTCGCGTAAAATAGGTAGGGATCGTCGCGTAAAATAGCTGGGGAGTCGACTGGGGGCGATTTTTTTTTCACTTCCTATTTTATATAGGTGTACGTATATAGATAGATAGAGAGGATGCGGGGTCGATTGTTGTTGGCGCACGCACTTGTTGCTGCTGCGATCGCATCAATGGTGGTTCCCGTCTCGCGGACGGATCTCAGCGTCGAACGCGACGACGCTGTTTTCTCGTCGTAGACCTCGTGTGCGTCGCGACGACGACTGCGCGCGTCGACGCGTCGCGCACACGAGGCGAGAGCGCGATTTTCTCCCGGTCGTCGCGTACTTGTTTCATCGCGCGCGTAACATGCGGATAGTTCGACATAATGAGGAGAGAAAAATTGGGAAGCGAGCAGCAATCCACCTGTGCAATGAATGGAGTAGTTGGAGTATTTTTCGAAGCATAGCTTTTTCGAGAGCAGTATTATCGGCGATGTTAGTGATAAAATCGAACTTATTGGCGATGCTCTCCGTATCTCGATCTTGATTTGCACATGCGAGTTTTGTTTTTCAAATAATTTGAATCGCTTCGTGGAAAAAGGTAAGCTTGTAAGATTTTAATGCAAAGCGTGTTATTCCAATTTTCGAATTTAATCTTATTTGATAAAATAATTTTTGATAAAATTTGGTAAATATGCGTGAATAATCAATCGATATTGAATTGATTACATAAAATATTGACACATCTGTATGTGCGTATAAAAAAGTATAACTGGTATCTGAAAAACGCGTCTAGATATCAATTTTGCAGGTGATACATTGCTTTGATCGATAACTATAATTAAATCGTTTTTGTTACAAAAATTGTGCGCATGCAGATAGAAAAGGGTTAAAAAGAAGCACGTTTTGAAAATTAAATTTCAGAATTAAAGTTCGTCAAGTTCTATTCAGCTCATCAATCTATTATTATCAATTTATTATTACGCCCACGGTTTTTCCTGCAAACAATTAATTAAATAACAATTTATCTTACGCGTTTACGTCATCAAAGACGTCACCTTCTCGAAGCTACTCGGATATACTATTCGATTTTCCGTAATGTAACGACAGTATCGTGGTCTACTTTACGTGACTACATAATTATAGATCACTTAATGCTGACCGCATGAACGATTCGCCTCAAAACAGCGCGATAAGCTTTATTTTATCGATATCCGATCGCGTTATGACAATATCGGAAATCAATTGTTGATGTTTTCTTTTTAATAACTTCGAGACAGCTCGGATTAATTAATCCATAATACAGATTGCCAGCTATCGTTCATAGATCCCCCTAACTGATCTCATTGCATTCAACTTTGTCGACTTACGTTCGTCGATTTGTCCCCTTATCAAGCGCGGTATCTTGGACGGAAAAGTTTTGTCCTTTTATTCGTATGTTTTGCGCGCGTCTTCGTTATATTAAAATTCAAATTGAGTTTCCTGTTTTTCTTTTTTCTTTTTTTAATTAATGCAGCGATTCGATAATATTTTTGTCAAAGGACCCGTTAATTTTCCTCTTTGAAGCGGCAATTTTTCGTCTCGCGAACGAGACGAGTGATCTTTTATTTCTCGCACAGCATGAATAATCGATTTTTATACTCATAATGAACAACTCGCCAATTACGTAAAGGTAGAGAACCACAAAAAGCCTCTTTGTTCTCCTTCGCTTTTTCATCCGTGAAAATTCCACCGGGATTTTTTGCCACGGAATTCAAATTCAATTTACAGTTCTTTACAATTTCCGCGACTTTAATTTTCCGCTAAATATCTCGCGGTAATTAAGTCGCGAATTATCGGGTTTCTTTCCCTCCCCAAGTTCAAAGGGAAACATCCATCGTGCGAGATTTCGTCGCGAGACAATCTCGGACACATTTCGCGGCACTTAACATCATTCGCACTTCTTGGACGAATAAGCGCACTTATACCCTTCTTGCACCGCCCGCAGGAAGTGTGAATTAACGATGGAATCTGACCTACTTGACCATGCGTATCTCGAATCTGCTTCTCTTTTTCTCTCTCTATCCTTCAATCTCTTAAATGAGTTCTATAAGAGTTATACGCGAGAGAAGGCAGTCCACTTTAGCAATTATCCAGGCACGGAAGAAATAACGGGGTCGGATAATGTTAAGTCTCGTAAATATTATACATCCCTCCATCAGTCATCTCGTTCAGAAATACCGAATATTCCTTGAGCTTGTAGAACGTGCGCGCGTCCGACAGTTACTCTTGTCTCTATAAGCAAAAGCGTAAGAAAATATTTTCCAGCTGTAGTTATTGATTGAATGCTCGATATATAAAAAGTGACGGAAATAGAAATGTCACACCGACATCGGCTACTCAAGTTCTAGAATATTGAAATAGATAAGCAGGCATTTATTGCTTGTCGTCTCGAGTAGCGATAAATTTACGAGGCAAAATGTCTATTAAAAGAATGAAAATAATAAAATAATGTGATTGAACGATACTATTAATTCATACAATCAATTAATTTGCCAAGCTCTCTTATCCGACCTGTTTTCGTTATTTATCGACTCCTGAAATCTTTATAAAGTATTATACGAACTCACGATGCAGATGAAAACTGATAACTGATCTTATTTTCAATATAGGTTGAACTATTTTACGTTATCACCTGAAATATTTTTCTTTATGCAAATTTGCAGTTTAATTAATTATAATAAAAGCAACACGTATAAAATGACGTAAAAGAGATTAAATAAAAATCTTCGAAAAGCACGATGAAGAAACATCCTTTTTCGGATAAGAAACGATGTTTCAGATGACGCTAACATTCAAGTAAACCGAGAGAATTAATTTATCGATTTTTGCGCAGTGCATTTTACATTTAGTTCCATTACAAGGCTGAGCTTCTGCTTCCTCGCAAAATTCTTTCGAACCGGACCGACATGTTTATGTAGCAAGACGTCGGAATATGCTTGAAAGCGCTTTAACCGTGCTGTTGGTATGGATACTTACGGCTCAGCAAGGATTATGTGGCAAATTGGAGAAAGTGGCCCAGCAACCGAACAACGTCCTGGTGGATTATTACGCCTACCGTCACATCTCGATTGTCCACTTCAATGTGCCCGAACTCTCCGTCGCGATCGCCTTCAAGTATGTATCGGATCCGAGGAAATTTGAACGAGTTACTCGGGATTTTGCATTTTTAAAATGCACTCGAAGAGAATCAATAGCGAGATTATATTTTAATTTGAATGTTTCCTGCGCGATTATTACCTATTTTCACTATTTCTCTCCGATCTCTGGAGGAAGCGACCTTAAAAATTTAGACTTCGATCCTAATTTTTCTCTATTAACGTTCCTATTTTTTTTATTAAATATTTTAATTAATATTATATTCGATGAAAAAAATTTAGAGCGATAAATTTCTCATTCCTTCGAGGCTGAAACTTTCTGGTATTTTATTCTACTTACATGTTCTTTTCCTCAAATTCATCCGAGTCTTCACAGAGATGCCTTGTCGCGTTACAGATTCACGGCGAAAGAAGAGAAGACTGGCGGGATAGGTAGATGCCTGCCTCGCAATGTCTCGTTGTACCTAAAGTCCGGCAGCTTGCCATTCGTCCGTCCTGATGGATCGAAAGTAGCCGCGAAGTTAATGGAGATGAACAAACGACGGCGACATTATGGCCTGGAGATGCAGAGCAACGGCGATCAATATGTGATTAAGATAGAGGCCCCGCCGGCGGGCGATTGGTACGCAATCGCCTTCCGATCCTGGGCCAATCCCGACACGGGGAAGATCAGGCAGCAAGGTAAAAGACTCAGTTTATTACGGCTCCTTCAACAAGTAGAGATTATATCACATTATTTTCGTTTTTTTAATTCATTAAAAGAGTAATACTAAAAGACTACAGAAGCTTTTTTCTATAACTAAATATATATCTATACAAATAAAAGTGATTCTATTTTTATAGAAATAGAGCCAAATTACCGATCTATCAGAGGATTAATAGAAAACTCCTTTGCAGGTCTCAGCGCATCCTGCGAGACTGTATTAGATACCGAGATGTTTATGGAGGCACCAGCGACAACATCACTGGTGAATCCTGAGGTTGAACACGAAGTGCAATTGGACGAGGCATCCGACACGACGATAGTGCAGTATCTTATGCCGGATGTCGGTCTAGCGGAAGTGAACCTGACTTTGAGATCGTCCTGTGGCGAGGATTGCGAGATTGCTGTTCATATCACGGCGGAGGACAATCTCGCTGGTGGTCTGCTCAACTCCACGACGATTGTCTTACCTTTCAAGCCTTATGCCGGCGGCTTCCACTATGTAACCCTTCGTCTACTGACTGGAAACTCATCGAACGTGACAATGCGATTGGACCGTCAAACTAACAGGGATGATCAGGTGACGTCGGTAGTGCTGTTGAGGAAGTCCTTCCCGGAGTTTTTCCTCTTCGATTACGAACACCTACGCGGTAACGACTCGAAACCCCAGGCGTTCAACGTGACCGCCAACGCTCTCTCCGTCCTTAGCTTCGAGATTGGTCGAGTGTACGATGTTGGCGGTACGGTGACTCTGGGCTTTAAACTAGTCGACGTGGAGGAAAAGTACAAGAAAAACATCGTCCTCGTGGCTTGTGTTTCTTTAGGTTCATTTATATGTCCTTAAAATTCTTCATTATTTTTTTAAAAATCAAACGAGTCTTAGATGAATTCATTTTCTCCAGGTTATTACTCCAACATCACCTCGGGTGGCGCCTGCGTTCGCGCGCATACTGTCACGACAGCGGACATATACGTGAACGCGACCGAACCAGCATATGTACACATTCCGTTTCCCGAGGCGGGAACCTGGTACGTCAGTTTGCGCGTTTATTGCCCCGAGAAGGAGGCGACGGCAATGATGACGACGACGACGACGATGATGACAACAACGACGATGAGCAACAGCAATAATAGCAGCACCTGCTCTTGCGCCCGCAGTTGTCTTCAGGGTAACACCGTGTGCGACAAATGCGACTGTTTGTCGCGCTGCACCGTCGCCCGGGTGGAGAGCATCGTGTCGTCGTCGCCGTGCATCGAGGGTCGTTGCGGCGTACGCGGCAAGTGCATGCATTACATGAGTGGTGGCTTCGTCTTCTCGGCGTGTTATTGCACCGGCGGTTATCGCGGCTTCGACTGCGCGGACGCGACTTACGTTCTCAGCACCGGTGGCATACTCCTGCAGTTGCTCGCCCTGACCTTCAGCAACTTTGCCTTCCTCGGCTCGATTTACATAGCGATACGTCGCGAGTACTTCACTGAGGCAGTCGCCTACACCGCGGTCATGTTCTTCTCGATGTTCTACCACGCTTGTGAGGCTGGCGAAAACGTCTACAGCGTGTGCATCATGCAACTGAGTGTATTGCAATTCTGCGATTTTTTCAACGCGCTGCTCGCCATCTGGGTGACTCTGGTGGCGATGGCGTCGTTTGGACCGCGGTTGACGGCTTTCTGTCAGGTAGCAGGTGCTATTGTACTCGCCATGGGCGCTGAGATGGATCGCACGGCGCTCTGGGTATTTCTACTACCGGCTGTTACTGGTTCCGCCTTGATTGGTCTGTCCTGGGGACTCAGATGCAGGAGGAAGCGAACTGTCAGATATCCCTCGCGTCCGTACAGGTAAGAAAGTGAAAGGGAGAAAATAAGATCGATTTACCTTAAAATAAAATTTACAAATTAATACAACATCGATTGATACGCAAACAGAGTGATAAAGCAAAAACTAAATTATCAAACCAGATAAACTCGGTTCAATCAGATGTCTTTCGAATGCAATATTTGGCTGTCGGTTACTGCTTTTGATATCCTTATTGCTTCATAAATATAGATATAAATATAGATATGTTGATAATGTGACTTTTCCTCTGTTTAGAACTATCTGCTTTCCAGCTGGATTTCTTCTTGTCTCTCTGGGCCTCGTGTGTTATGCCTTTCTACAAACGCGCAAGAATTATTATATTATTCATAGTTTGTGGCACGTATGCGTGGCAATAGGAGTTATTTTACTTTTACCGAAGCGCCAGTATATGAAATGATAGTCCAAAAACTGCAAATGCGTTGAGGATAAGTCCAAGGAAAACGAAAATATTATCAGAAAACTACGTGATAGTAAATAACCAAAGAGATATCAGGGAAATTATTAATATATAAACAAATAGATGTCATCGACGATCCTACAATTTTTATATGAAATAAATCAAGTGTCGTTTTTCATTTTGAAAGACAAATACAATACATTTCGGAAATTTATGTTAGTTTAATATCCAACATTCATTAATATTTCATTAATATTTTTATATTAAACTCTTTATTTTGACATTTAATTTTTAGATTAAGACTTTTAAATTAAGACTTAAATTATTATATTACTGACAATGAGTTACAAATTATTTTTTTAGCACAAGAAACTTTTTTATTAATTAAAAGATTAAAAGATTAAAAGATTAAAATTAAAAGATTAAAAAGATTATGACTTATTTCTTTAGAGAGGGAAGTTTCGCAATTTATAATCTCAACTTTCCATTATAAAGATGTTTGATTAATTTTATAGAAAACTTGTTTGATTGATCGAATACATACACGGTGCACATATATGTATATCACAGAGATATTATTCTTCTAAAATCGACAGTGTATAGATGTGTATAGATATGTAAAGGAGTTTTCAAAGTGGAATAGGTTTTCAAAGGAGAGAAATAACTAAATCTATCGATAATATACGATATTTAGCAATAAGACGCATAAAGCAACGACAGTATTAAATCAAGGTGACTTGTCCGTAAAAAAAAAAATATTTTCGAGCCTGCATAATTCAGCATGACTGAAAAGCAAGTTCTTACTCCTTTCGACAAACAAGGAAACCGAAGAAAGTTGACATCAATAATACTTGATTGTTCTTTTAAATTTCGATAGAGTTAAGATCTCTGTTGACTATAAATTTCTTCTAAATTTCGAAATAATATATGGAAATAAATTGAAAAGAAATCATTAATTATTGCTAAAGTGTTGAATTGCTCTTGTGATGTTGGATTTTATAAAAGCGTAGTTGTCTCTTGTTTAATAAAATTTTTGCGAAACGCGTTTTGACATTTGTAAAAAATCTTGTCGAAAATTTAAAATATTTCACCATATTTTATTAATTTACTCGCACGTAACGACCTGTTTGCTGGACCAACATATATTTCTAGGATATGTATAATATTTTAAATGCGTGAAGAAGGGTTCTCGTGCGAGAATAGGGGTTTTTATTTATACGAATATTTCCTGCTATCTTTAGCCTCCTATCAACTATTACTATAGTTATAACAGTTATAGCAATATTATAATGCCCTGTGATTTATAATTATTACATATTAACTTTATTGTTCTTTAAAGTCAATTTAATGAACTTTATGAAAACATATCCGACAATATACATTCCTCATTGTTCTCGTCTCTTATGTATACATATCTCTTATCTTAAATTTTAATTTCTTTTTATTAGACTTGAATAATTTAATGAATAATTTATTTGTTATGCTAATGAAGATAGTAGCGTACAAATATAAGTTTAAGAGAATAAATTTTTTTTCTCTTAAAACTTTATATCTCGCACATAAACCTGCTAGAGAATACGCGAGAATACGCGAGGATAAATAAGAAAAGGATATATATATATATATATATATATATATATATATATCCTTTCTATTTTAAATTTGACAATTAATGTAGGAAAGAAATATATATTAATATATTTATAGTATATATAGAATTATATTTTTCTCTATATAAAGTATGAATTTTTTTTCCTACAATACAGAATTAAGAATAGAATGAGAATCTATTATTTTTAACAGTCAATTTTTTCGTTGATTCTAATTTTTGCAAGAACTGCTTTTCTTAAAATACGCATTATACAATTTCTAATTAAGTGATAATTTCTCTTCTCTTTTGATCGTTTTCTTTTCAATTAGAGACGTCAATTGAATTGCGACGAGTCGAAGAAATGGAAAAGATACTTCGTGTCTTTATTTTTCGATTCACCCTCGCGTCTGTATGCGTGTGTTGTCCGAGGGGAGCGTCGCGTATACATAGGATAAAACGACATCGTCATGGGTAGTGCCTGTACTGATTGTTGACACGTGTTAAGAGCGACACGCCGCAACCGTGTCGCGATTCTAGTCGATTCTATTTTCTTCAATGTGAAAACTATATAGACTATATAATATTTTCTACTTTCTATAGGCGAAAGACAAAAGTTTGTCACGTTGAGCGCACGAGCGAGGGAGGAAGGTTCGAGAGAGAGTTTCACTTTTATTATTAGTTTATACACATACACACATACACACATGTACACATGTAATTCTCTACGAAATAAAGATGAGACTATCGTTGTATGAATCGAACTAGAATATATCGCGAGAAAACAGCAACCGAAGTATCCGCTCCTCGTAAACGATGCTGCATCAGTATTATGTATATATTTTAAAATTATCAATGCATTGTCGTCGCCTCTCTTTCCTCTTCATCTCATTCTGAAAAATGTACTGAACATATGACTTAGTGAATCAGACATCGGACATCATTTTCATTGCTTTTTTTCTTGATTTAATTAAATACCTTAAAATTACATAAATGAATTAATTGTTATAGTGTGTCGTCTTTCGAAGGAGCAGAATGAAAATTACATAAATGAATTAATTGTTATAGCGACGAAGCCGCGGTGGGCGTCGTGACCCGCGCGTTTGCCGTCGCGATGACGTTGGCCAGCAGTGACAGCATCGTCTCCATCGAGAAGCTGCAATTCGGATACGATATCGAACAGCTGTCCTTGCCATTTCTGTTAGCCCTGCCGATCTTCACCGCCTCTTCAATCGCCGTGCCTTGCATGGCGGTGCGAAACACCTGATTGCTGGTGATGGCGTTCACCATCCTGTCGAAGGCCGTCACTTTCTCGTCCTTGTCATCCTCGTTCCTGCTCCCATTCTCGTCGCCAACCGCGGCGGCCGCCTGCTGAGAATAGGTGCACACCGCGCGTTGCATGCACGAGGTCGTGTCGATGCCGTGACGAGTGAGAACGTCATCGATTTTCGTCAAGGTCTGAGCGAAATTGGAGTCCTCACCTGCATCGGATCGTTCTAAATATAATTGATGTTGTCCGGCAATATAAGGATCTATACGATGCTGAAAAGTCTTCTATAAAATTTGTATAAAATTTGGAGTCAAGTTTTCCTTAACGAAAAAATCGAAGAAGATCATTGCATCTCTTTTTTCCTAAATTTTATCCTTAGCTAGATAAGAGATCTCAACCGGAAAATTTGAAAAATTTGTCAGAAATTTATTAGATCCTTTATATTTAGTTTCGTTTGACGAAAATTTAAGCAATGTATAAAGCTGTATTATTTATTAAGAAATTTCTTATAAATAAGGTTTTATAAATTTTGAATAATTATGAATTTCAAACGCGAGTCTTCTTTTGCAAGTTTTGAAAATCATCGTAAACAAAATTAACAATAATACGTTTTCAACAACAACAATTTTTCTAGTCAAGAATAAGAAGTTAATTTCTAAAAATTTATCGAAAACCTGTAAAATTTATGAAATCAAGAATTTATAAAAGAAATAAAATAGACGATACAAAGGATTCAACCGATATGGATGAACGATATACTTACTTCTCGCGTAAGCACCATAAGTGCCCGATAAGATGTAAAGCAACTTTGGGATGATAAGAATTGATCCCACACCAATGATGGCTCCCAAGAGAAGTCCGCCAAGATCTATCTTGGCTGGTGCATAAGGGGACATCCCGTAGCCCTAATCGAATCAATAAAGTTAAATATACGGAAACGATGAATTTTCGAATTTAATTAATTAATTTGGACTGTCACCAAAAATATTAATGTAAAATATCCGTTGTTTTTACAAAATTTTTTCACAAAAATGTATACAGAAGGAAAGAAGGTGCCAAAGAAAAAGAAAGGAAGAGAAGAAAGTGTGTTCTAAAAGCTATTTATAAAAAAATGGAAAAAGAGAGAAACACAATTCGATACTTACGCTTCCTGTACCTCCGATATTGGTGAAACCAAATCGCGCTTCCTGACCGCGATCCGTAACGTCGTTCATCTCAGATTCGCGTTTCAGTGGATTTTCTTCTCGTTGTTTAATCTGAGACGACGGCATAGCTATCTGATCCTGTACTTTCGCATGCTTTTCCATATAACTGATGGAACTTGGCACAAACCTGTTAACGAAGACATTATATTGTATGAGAAATGAGAGATATATAAGTCCTTTAAAGATAAACATCTAAAAAGAATATATTAATCTTTCAGACATTTAAATAAAATATCTGAATTTTTCAAATATTTTGTTAGATTCCTTTCAATTTTTTGTAAAAAATTTTTAAAGAGAAAGTATGTATTTTAGATAAATATTGAATTACTCATATATTATTTAAGACATTGTTAAAGTGATTTACCCTCCATCATCAAACTTTGGATTGCAACCGACCAGAACAGCGATACAGCTTATTACCACAGTTAAAGTTCGCGAAATTCGGGACGTCATCTAAAAAAGAAAAATAGATTATTTAATAAATGATAATAATAAATATCTTATTAAATAATAATTAATACTAATAATAAATAATTAATAATAATAATTAATAATAATAAATACAATGAATATAATAATAATAATAATAAATATCCTAAATGCAAATAAATGCAAATAATACTAGCATATTTCAATGAATTTTTATTAAAAGTTTCCCACTAAACGAAAAAATTACAATTTGTTGATATTTTTATCCTATTAAAGTTTAAATCATAACAATATTTTTCACTTCTTTGAATATAATAAATTGTTTTCAAAATTTCACATACATATATATGCCAGGGATTTTAAAACATTTCACATTCAAGATAATTATTTTATCGAAGACATCCCACTAGATATCGCGCGAGTGTAAGGATAATATTGAACAAGAATACCTTCGGAAGTGACAAAGGCGAGGCTCTCCGAAGCAAAGTATGATGATCTGAGGTCAATCTTAGAAAACGAGATATGGCGATTCATTCAGTGTCATGGACTGGCTGCGCGAAGACTGCTTTCGGGCATATATAGTTGCTTTGGTCGTCTGAACACGACAAGTCGTAGACATAATTGGAGCCGCGGTTTCGCTTTCATTGTTAGGTCTTCATGGGACGTTGACACGCGATGCGTGACGCTCATCGTCGTCATTCGAAGACGAAGAAGGCCGTCTCCTCATCTGCGTAGCGGCTGCAGCCGCTTCGTCACGTCGCCGGTCAACTTCGCTCGAAATCCCGAAGCTGAAATAATGGCCGTACCGTCAACAATTGTCCTTTTAAGACATTCACTGACTTCTGACTGATTTCGAGACATCTCCGGCACCTCGACACTATCTTTCTCCATGCGTTATTTCCCGTTGCGTTACGAAACACGCGCAATCTTAGGGGTAGTTACGAGCAATATCTGCTTAATTATTTATTATTTTGTGACTTTGAGATTTTCGAGAATGGCATATATAATAATTTGGCGCAAGAAAATAAAGTATCTAAAAACATATACATAAAGTATCGAAAAAAATATAAATATATAAAAAATATCAATATATCAAATATCAATATATAAATATACAGCAGAGGTCATTTTAGACATTTTATAATTTGTGACAAAATTTTATATTTTAATATAAAAATTTAATATTATACTTATATATTATAAAATTCTATTACAAATTAGATATTATTTAAAACAGACTTAAAATAAAAAATATTTATAGAATTTATAGAAATATTTTCATAAAAAATATTTTATATACTCATGTGTATAAAATATACGTTTTCATGTAAAGAAAGAAAATATTATAGAAAAGATTATAGAAAAGATTATAGAAAAGTTTATAGAAAAAACAAAACTTATTAAAAAAACCGACCTTATTAAAAAAAAAAAAAAAAAAATATGTTTGCAAAAAAAGAATTATAGCGGCAGAAGAATCAGAAAAGACTCCCATAAAAAATATATTTTATGACTCTTTATATATTTGAAGATTTATAAATATAAGAGGCTGCGGAAGCGGATACGATCAGCAGGATTTACGCTACAAGATCACGTATCAGAGACCTTCCGGTGAAAGAAATTTGCGCGGAAAAGAAATTCCTTGTCGTGAACATTCGATGTATTTGCGAACGAGTTCAGTGGAGGTGGAAAAGGACGGAGTGCGAATCGAGAGGAGAACTCCCCTGTTTCCTCGCGAAACTCGCGTGTCGCGCTCTCCCCGGTACAAGCACGACGGAATTCGTTCTGGACGGTGCCCCGGAAAATTCGTCGAAAGCCACGGTCGGCCGGGTCTATCTCGAATCCTGTTTTCGTCGCACGTGGGCGCGCTCTTTCTCCGGCGGTGAAAATTCGCGCTCATAATCCGCGACAAGCGGCGGTCGTAATTATCGGAGTCCGATGCATTATGGGCTCGTGCAAAAAAAAAAAGACAAAACAAACAAACCGCCGCCTGATGTGTAAAGGCGACTAATATCTTTTGCACTTACCACGATTTCGCCGCCTAGGTTCGTTAATTCTGTCGCGAGAAATCGGTATTTCCTGTTTCGATAGGGGTGGGCGAGCACGTGTTGCGAATAGGATGCGTCAGTGAGGTGGGGGCCCGCTGCACTCGTCGTTGAAAAACCCTCGGGTGGCACAAATGCATCCCATTACTTCGTGGAAAGTTGAAGGTAACGAAAGCACCGCGAATCGAAGAGAAAGTATTAATATTCTGCTCGATTTAACGACCCGAGCAAAATATGAGGGCTCTTCCGAGTGATTCGACCATCCTGCTTCTTCTACCCCTCGCGTTATTCTTCGTGCGTGTCATCGGCGACAGCGATGCGAGAACATCCACGAAGTTTAATAATCTAATTTTCAATGGCCAGAAACCACAACTTGTCTCGTTTAACAGTAAAGAAGGAGATATCGAAGTAAGTAGCGTTGCAATTAATATAGAAGTATTTTTTTACGGGCATATGTTATATCGCGCAATTTTCTCTACAAAGTATCCAGTAATTCATCAATGAATGATTACTTAAGTTTTACTTTTCTCAATAAATAAATCTTTTCAATAAATTTTTCAGATCAATTGGGACGTATCGGTACCTTTCTTCAGGATACCGTTGAGTCATATGAACAAACATAACGAGATATCACCGCTGATTGATGTTAATACGAAAGGATTGTCGGTCGCTGGCATATTGACAGCCATTCTCACCTTAGCTGTGCCCGTCTTGTCGAAGCCAGGTCCTGGAACGCATTATCGAAGTATGAACCTTTGTCTTATTTATATGAGAGATCGTTGATCTGTGCGTGAACACATTCAATAATAAATAAAAAAATGTTTATTATGTAATTATAATTATATTACTCTCTTAAATATACTCATCCGGAACAAATGAGTTTATTCGCAGGTTCTGATTCGCAATGGTCTCGAATGGGAAATACGATAAACGAGATCATGCTCGGCAATAATTACATCACACCCTGTGTACAGCGTATCATCTGTTCCATCGTTTCCGAAGCGAGTCATTCCAACAATCCTACGAGTACTGACAAGATCATCGATGGCTTATCAAGGTATGAATAATTTGTATATAATTTTCTTGTAATAGTATAATTAATAAAAAATAATTAAACGTTATTTCGGATCCTAAATATCAATTTCAATCTCAGAGAAATTAAAAATATCTGTAAAATATAATATTGTATTGAATTGAGAAAATTTATTTATTTATAATAAATAATAGCTTACTAATTTAATGAAGCTAATGAATTTTATGAAATTTAAATAAAAGGGAGTTTATTGGAGCAAACGTATTGGAATAAACGCTATGCAACGTGCAAAAGTAAGAGACAGACTGAAGTAATTTATTTATTCTTAAGCGCTATAATAACGCTAACGATTAAATAATAATTAAAGTAAGAGTAAAGATTTCGCTTTCTATCGAAAATTGTCGACAATCATTGTTGATTGTACACACGTTTCATCGAATAATATTGACATTAATAATGCGAATTTAATTGCTCGCATTAAGTGCTTGATTCCAGAAAAAATTAAATATTAAGATTATTAACACGCAAGATACAAATTATAGATACAAATTATAGAGTCACATGAAAAATTTCTTAATTAATTACATGAAAAATTAAATATTATTTTTAAATATTCTTCAACAGTCACGAGTGGTTTAAGGAATTTACAAACGGCACAGTCCTTCAGGAAGCTATAAGGATAGGACGAGAAAAACATCACGACTGCGGACGTATTTATAAAGAATGCTTTGTGACACCGCGAATCCTTAAAAGCATAATGATGCAATTCGGCGCATTCTGATGTTTAACATTCCATGTTAATTAAAAACGTTAATTAAAGGTATTATTAATTCGAATTTTTTACGCGTGTTTCTCTTTTTCTCATCGCCCATGTTCTTATTATTTATTGCAGCAAGAACAATCTATTACACGTGAATTTTTGCAAAAACTTAGACATCACTATTGTCGTCAAAGGCCAGCGAATATCTCACGTTCAATTTTGAAATCACTCGCGGTGTAACAAGCGAGTTACATCAGGGAAGTCGATCTACATTATTCCGATGCACGAAGTGTGAAATTTCGTCGCGTTTAAGAAATCGCTTTAAGTGCAATTTAGATGACACCTCGGCGCGCTTTCACTTTTTCTTTTCTTCACACAATCGCAGAAAAAATCACAGCCATTTTAGTTAGCCATTTTAAAGCAATAATTTTGTTTATCGTATAATCTGTTTTATTATTCTTGCGGAAAATTTTATAATTTCAATTTTTTTACATTACTACAAATGAAATTAAAGAAAATATATGCATAATTTTTTCTTACATATTTGAAAGAATTTGAGAAAATTTTTTTGCAAAAAGTAAAGGAAGATAAATAATCAACTAGAAAAGATATTATTTATATATTATTTATGTACTCAAAACGATATTATTTATGTATATTAGAATTTAAAAAAACTTGATTGTTTTAAAAATATATTTTAAAAATGCATTATTCAAAATCAGGACAATATACAAAAAGATTTTAATTTGATTTTGATACAAGCAATAAAAGCAATTCAAATAAAATCAATTTAAATAATCACAGTAATTATCAATTTAAACTATCACAGAATTATTATCATATAACTGTTATAACTATCTTAAAAATTATTACACAATTATTACGATTCCCTGTTGTTTCTACATTCATCTGAAAAAAATCTAAAAAAAATATATGTATGTATTCAATATGAAAGAGGTTTCAAAATGTGTGCAATAATATACGTAATATACACACAAAATTCAGCTGCATATAAAAGTGTTAAATTCTCCAATAGACTATAAACTATACAATTATTTGTTATTGAAATTATGTTTGAAAATATTGAAATGCGCATATGTTATATTTCGATAAATTGTGTCTATTTCTATCCATAATTTTATAATATATTTTTTAATCTTTAAAACTCGATTGCGCCGATTTTAAAACAAGTTCGTGTTGAATATATTTTCTTTCTCTGCTTAATGTAATTTTTATAATTAAATTATAAATAATTAAATTTTGAAAAAGAGAGGGAGCAAGTCGCTATTAGCACTTGTTTTAGGCGAAATTTTTCTAAAATCACATTCTTCCTCTCCTTCCCCCCCTCCATCATGTATATTAAGCAAAAAGATTAAAGGCCTATCTCTTTGCTTCCTGTTTCTTACTTTTTGTCTATTGCGTTTTTCTTCTCTGCACATTGGCAATCATATGAAAATCGTTTTTGCCACATATTTCTTGTCTCTTCCGGGGTTCATCAATTTTAATCTCCAGCGATAGAAAATAAAAAAACGTAAAGCAAGACACAAAGAAGCAAAGAAATAAACAAAAAGCAAGAAACAAGACGCAAAGAGCACATTATAAATGAGCTGTAAGACTTTACATCTATGTGTGCGATTTTGCTGTGGATTCGACCACGATATTCCGTCTGGAAGACGCCAATAAGCGTGTAGCATTCTCGGCTCGCACGGTTTCCGCGAGTTCCGCCGCGGTTTGTCCCAGTATGTCGAGGCAGTGCGGATCCGCGCCGTTCTCCAGCAGGAACTCAATCGTTTCCGGATGATTGTGAAGAGCGGCAAAATGCAGCGGGGTGCGTCCCGAGACGTCCTTCTGCGACAGATCGGCGCCGGCCAGGAGATACGATTGTAAACGCTTTGTGTTTCCGACACTTGCGGCCGCACACATTCGCTCCCCTATCAGCAAAGCGTTCCCGTGAAAATGCGCCCCGCACTGCAGCAGCAGTTTGATGATCTGAAAGAATCACGTGGAAACGTCCGCGCTTTTAACACTGTCGATGAAGCAAGTGATTCTAGTCTTTTAATCGATTAATTAATGATATCTTCTGGTATAGAATTGGGATGAAAGTCATCAAGATTTTTTACAAGACATAAATAATGTGAACTTTTTACAATAGAAAGATAATCGCTTATAAAATATTTATAGTAAAATCAATAATTTGGAATATGTTAAAAATTTATTTCTACGATTTTGAAGTATTTGAGATTCTTTTAAAATTTGTATGATAGTAGGGTTTTGTGAAAACAAACAATTCAAGATGCAAGTTTTCTTCACCTCGTGACGATCGTATTCGATCGCATCGGTGAGAGGTGTGCGATCAAAGCGATCTTTGATATGAATATTTGCACCCATCTTTAGAAGACATCGCACGACTTTTATATCTCCTTCGCAGCAAGCTATGTGCAAAGCTGTTCGACCGTCTGCGTTCGCTTGTGAAATATCTGCACCCTGAATAGAGAAAAGTTATTAGAATAATGTATAAGAAATTTACATCATTTTTATGTTAGAATAATATTTAATTAATATAGTCAGCTTATTATAAAAATATTTAGATTTATTATTGAACTATTATTCTTTCTAATGCTATTCTAATTTGGATTTAAGCTTTCTCTATATAATAATATAGAGAAGAAATCTGAATAATACAAAAGAAAACGGAAAGTGTCTGAAAGATGTACTAATTTTTCGAAAAATTATCTAATCGACGCGAAATTGAATGAAAGTGAAAATTACTAACATATCTTTGTAACGATTCGAGTTTTATGATATCACGCCTGATTACAGCGGCGCTCAGCATAGCTGGGAACAGGATCGATCCTAGCTCCTGCAGCTCCGCTGTTGAGGATAATCTCAAGGATTTAGCGACAGCCTCCACCAAATCCCAATCCTGCAATGTAGGCGGTTGACCGACTGTCAGTTCGCCACGCAAATTGGTTTGCATCATTTGCCGTTTGGTTTCCGTGTCCCATTCGTGTTTCGATAAGACATACGCGAGTTTCGTCAACGCGGCCTCCGGAGTCATATCAAATCCCAATATCACTCCTGCATTTTAATAACAAGTTAATTTCTGCGAATACATATTTATTATATATTAATATATTATACATATTTATTAAATAATTTTATATATTTATTAATATATTTATACATATTTATTAATATTTATTTTATTTATATTTTATTTTATATATATTTATTAATATATTAATTGATTTTAACGAGTAACATTATAATCTCAAATGTGCGAAGAGATATTTATGTTTATATAATTCTCTTCTTCGTTATGCATCCTGTTTTACATAAATCTCATTATATTTCTCTTAATATATTTCTCTATAGATATATATTTCTATTATAGCATATTTCTCTATAATATTTTTCTCATTATATTTCTCTTATAGTATATTTATCGATATGATATCTCTTCACATATAACTTTTTCCGAAAAATAGCTTAGGAAAGAGATAAAGAAAATTAAGATTTAATATAAAATTAATGGAATATTCAGAAAAATTTTTCTCTTCCAGTATTATTCATACAAACGATTGTGCGTATATTTAATGCTTTCCTCCATAATAAATATCCATAAATAATATTTCATACCATTTTTTCGGAGCAGTTTTCCAGCTTCGTACGCATCCGAGACGCATCCGGTCGCGCATTGCGTGATATTCACGATGATGACACCGCGCTTCGTTGCTGCGCGAAGTTCCTTGATAATGTCATCGCGATTCGTTGGAAGGTTTCCCATGCCATAGGATTGCAGCACGACTCCCTCGATAGGCGATTGAAGAAACACCTTCACCAGATCGGACGTGATGCTGGGAAACAGCCGGAGCAGGCCTACGTTTCGATTGAGTGACGCGTGCACGGAAAACTTCTCCAAATTGCACGAGCGAAAAATCGAGCGATAGTTCACTGCGAAGGAACATTATCTTCGAACACACTACATATAGAATATTTAAGAAGTTTCTTCGATAAATTTTGAGATGTTCCTTTTGGAAGAAGAGTATCAGTAGCTTTTAATTTAATTAATAATAAAAAAATAAATTCCGCATGCAATAATGCGGCATAATAATTTTAGCATATAATATAATAATTTAATAATAGCAATAATAACAATTTTAGCATATAATATAATAATATAATAATTTTAGCATACAATGCTATTATTAAAAAAATATTATATATAAAATTATAATAATTAAACTTTATAGAGCCTTCAAAATATAATGCGTTTGAAAAATACCCTGCTGTATATAAACCTTGTTTTTTAATAAATTAATAAATTGATACAGAATTAGGCTCTTTATGTATTTAACAACACGATACACTAGAAAAGAACGATTAAGAGCCACCGCGGATGGTAATGCGTAATTTTTCTGTTTTTTTCTCTCTTTTTTTTTAGAATAATTATTCGCGAAAATTAAAACGCGACAATATGCATATATTTTACTTGGTGCATTTATCAGCATTTATCTGCAGATATAGATTCTCATTTTCAAGAATACTATAAAATCCCTCTTTACCCCCCTGAAGAGATGTAGGCGAGAAGATGTAAACGATTTCCCCCGATATTTTTCTCGCCTACATCTCTTCAGGGGGGTAAAGAGGATTTTATAGTATTCTTGAAAATGAGAATCTATATCTTGATAAATGCACCAAGTAAAATATGCATATTGTCACGTTTTAATTTTCGCGAATAATAATTCTAAAAAAAAAAAGAGAAAAAAAAGAAAAAATTACGCATTACCATCCGCGGTGGCTCTTAATCGTTCTTTTCTAGTGTATCGTCTTGTTTTTTAAGTATTGAGAAAAAATTTTAGAGGAATTGCGCTCTCTTGCTTTGAATCTAACCTTCGATTTTGATGTTCGCCGTGGCCAGGGGTGGAAAATTCGGCGAGTGGAAGGCCTCGAAGGAGCTCGCGGATGCCTTGCTCGTCCGATTGCCGCGCAATAAGTTTGTACCGAAGAACACGCATACCTCGGGTATGCTATAATTCGCTGCGATCACAAGAGACGCCAGAAAATTGTCCAGGCCATCGCTCCTCGTGTCGAAAATCGGCATCTGCGAACCGGTCACGATAACGATCTTGCCCAAGGATTCGAGCATGAAGGATAACGCGGATGCTGTGTAACTCAGAGTATCGGTGCCATGAAGAATCACAAATCCGTCGAAATACTCGTAAGATTCCTACAGAGGGAAAACTTGTAAAGATCGTTTTTTGTTAACTTAATCAGATACGGCAGAGAGTATCAGTTTATTTTATTTATTAAACTGATAAATAAAAGTTGGAGCATTATTTTAATACCGTATTTTTATATATATAGCGCTTTGATTGCAAGATTGCAAGTTTTGTCATCTTATGATATGTTTCCTTCTGTTTGACTTGAGCATTTATCTTGAATGTTTATCTTGAACGTTTATCTTGAATGGTATGAATGTTTATATAAAAAAATTAAATGCACACGTAAATTGCTTGTTACAAGTAACTGCTTATAAGTAACTGCTTGTTGTATTAAGTGTCGCTATTAAAATATATTTTTATAATTGCTTTTTTATCATCATAATTTTTTATCATCATAATTTATCTTGAATTCTTATCTTTAAATGAGAGATAAGGCAATGTATATATTTTCATAGAATAGTTCTTGCTATCGCTATCGATGAGTCCAAATACCTTGATATCGTTAGCAATGCGAATCCACTCGTCCATAGTCATGTTACTAGAGTCGCAAAGATTCGAATATTCTAACACATTATAAATGACTCGGCGATTATCTGTTGCGGTCATGCTGCAAAATTAAGAGAAAAATATTTTTAATATTTCGCAAGGGAAAACAAAAAGTAAGTAAGAGCGATTTACATTCTTCCATAAATTCACTGGAAATAAGTGAATTGAAAATAGTAGGAAGAAATTTAAATTTTTCATTTTTAAATATATAGATCAATCTTCTATTATTTCTTCTTTTTCGATGTATTGACGCTATTATTTCTTCTTTTTCGATGTATTGATGCTGATTTGTAAAATCAGAGTCATCGAGTGTTCGATCTTTTATCATAAAATAGTAGTATTCAATATCAAGAATATGATAAGATATGGAAATGTGACATAAAAAGTTTTATCAAGGAGTGATGTATCTAAGAAAGATACAAGATTATTTAATATTTTCATTTGAATAAATTGAAATATGTTTTTTCTTATTGAAGAAGATGGAATTAATATTCTGAATCCAAAAATGTATATAAGGAAAGAATAAGATTTTGGCAATAATTATATTTCAATTCCTCATTTTTGCATATTTTTGCAGTCAACCTGAATTATATTTGTACTTACGGTAGTACTAATGGCCCCATCGCTCCGAATGTTTTCTCGGCATATTCACGATCATGGAGCTGCGGATATCTTCGTAGATTTTTAATGAATGCATTAGCTATTGGTACCAGTACTAGAAAACAAATATTCTATTATTATTTATAAAACTGAAATTTTACATAGACAAAGATAAAATTATAAATTTCTTTCAAACTAAATTATAATAAAGTAAATAACTTATTTTGTTAGAAATTTATGATATTATATAATTTTATATGATATTATATAATTTATGATTATATATATATATATAATCTCTCTACAATATGTTCTGTAAAATCGATTTATTAAAGATTTATCATATTATAAACAAAGAATATGTGAAACAAAATAATTAATAGTAGAAACATGTATAGAGAAAAAGCAAGAGGTCTACGAAAGCGAGAATTTACAGATTATATACTCTCAAAAAAATAAAGAATTTAAACAGTCATGAATTCTCATGAAAATAGATAAGAATTTTGTGAAATCAAAAAATTAGAATACTAAAGATTTAAAATACACAAGAAAAATTGAAATTTGTATAATAATGTGTATGTGTGACTTTTGATTTGCGATTCAATAAAATATATTTTGTCTTTTTTGAAAATTATTATAATTTTTCTAAATTTCACAATTATGTATTGATATTTACCTCCTTCCTCATTTCTCACCATTCCTATTGTGCCACCTGTGTAAAGCACCAAGACGCGTCCTTCTGGCTTGTTAGTCAAACCGGTGGGACTTTTCTTGACACTTTCCATATTTTCATCATTATTAATATCGGCATGTGATTCGCAAAGTAATCGTGACATAATCGTTCACGCGTGTTCAGCTTTCATGCGCGTGCTCTCGTTTCAATGACTCCTACGAGACTGAGTTCTTACGCAAGATGAATTGCTGATGCCGCATGAAATCTTGCCACTAATAATATATATTCTCCATAGAAAATATACAGATCTGATATATGAATAATAGTGAATAGAATGTTTTTTATCTTTTTCTTCAAAGATGGAATATCGCATGCTTTGTAAAAAAATGCATATCGATACATATTATAGAATATTATATATATATGATATATTTATATATATTATTCAAAAAGTTTCGATGATATGTAAAATAGAGTTCAGTTTATAATAGTTTATGATAATGATATTTTTCTAATTTTTCGACGTAGCAAATAAAAAATTCTTTACAAATATTCATATAAATTATGTAAAAAAGTATTAATGTAATGTAAAAAAGTATTATTTAAAAAAAAACTTGTTAAAAATCTTTAAATTTTGATATAAGATTTTTGTTTTAATAATGGAAGATGTTCGAATATATAAGGAGATTAAATCTAAATTAAGATAAGATTATTTTAGATTGCAACTTTTTAATGAATATGCAAACTACGTCATTATAGCTTTTATATAATATGCTGCAAATATGATATACATATAAACAAAAGAATATTGTTCTATTTTTTAATTATATATATATATATATATATATATATATATATATTTTATAAATAAAGCCATATTTGGAAAACAGTATACATTTAGCTCTACATTTTTTATTCATTTATTGACTGAAATTCAAATAAGATAGATAATATTCATTGATAATATATCATATCATTTCTTAACTAAAATTCAAATAAGATAGATAATATTCATTGATAATATTTGTATCACCGTTTTGAGTTAACCGCTTAAAATGATATTCGTTTCATGAAATCATTCATTATATACTTGTATAAAAACGAAATAAGCGACGAATAATAGCCTTTTTGTTATTTCAATTTTATGTAACAATTCTATACTTGAGATTCGTACATGTGAATCATTATAATATTAAACTATTGAATTTAAATTGATCAACATATCATTTCATACATGTATCATTTATTCATTATCGAAAATAGATTCGATAAACATCAAGTTTTAATTCATTTTTAACTTATTTATTCTATTTGTTAAGTATAGTCATTAAAATGTTACAAAACTAATATTTTAAAATTTGATATAAAATATTCATCAATTGCTATATAAGTTTGATAAATATAAAAGCCGAGTCTGCAGTTTTTTAGTTGTTAACATTTTATTATATATATACTATATATATGTAATATATATAGAAAGAAGAGAGAGAGAGAGCATAGTTTCTAAATGTAATTTCTAATAGTAATTGAAAATATTTTTTAATAAAGAATGATAAGTTTTTAATTAAAGCCATTATTAATATTTTGATATTTTATTATAGTGATTATATAGATTATATAGATAAAATATAATAAAATAATAAATAGATAATAAATAAATAAATAGATAAATAAGTAGATAATAAATAGATAAAATATAAGAAATATAATAACTATATGTAATATTTACGTTGGGAAACTTTAACTACTACAGATGATAAATGAACACAAATAGAGCAATAACATAATTTACGAAATGATAACGTCTACAACCTTTCATATTGCTTCATATTTTCTATCATTACTTTACTGCTCGGATGTCACCGAACAAATGATAGCAAAACCGTACAAACAAGCACGCTATTATTTACGTTATCAAAGTCGAACATAATGTTATTTATAATTTATTGCCGAAATATTTTATATATTATAAAATATACACAAGCGGAATATTAAATTATGGAAGTATTTTAATTTATTGATTAAAATTGATTATTTACTAAACAATTTATCACGGAGCTAATCATTTGAATTTATTCGATTATTTTACCTCGGTTTTCCGAAGTCAAATTCTATAATATTTAGTTTTGCATTTTAAAAAATTGATTTATAGCAAGCTAAATAAATAAATAAATAAATGATGTTAAGAAGAAAAAGAAGACACATAAATAAATAAATAAATAATAGCGTGAAAAGAGAGAACGTACTAATATTTTTATATAATAAATTATTATTAATTAAATTATTTATTATTTTATTTATATTATTTATATTATCAGAGAGACATATATGTTACCCTCTGAGAACATTCGTGGATATTGGCTTTGTAGTTCATGTTCACGTTTTTAATGGCCATAGAGGAAGTATCGCTTCCAAGGATCACCTAAAAGCGGGCCAGACCTCTCTCAGTCTTCTCTCTGATCAGCGGCGTTCATGACAGCTGAACAGCTGAATCGAACAGCTGATGCGTTGAGTAGTGTAAACGTCATCATGATGTCTTCGTTATGATCGCGCTTTATCACAATGTCGATAAATGAGAGATTAGAAGCTTACCGGCGCAAGAAACGTAGAGAAAAGATGACAGAGACGATCAAGAGCACCGTGGTAAACGCACTTCCGTGGAATCGAAATGATGGGAATGAAGAATCTGCCAGAGAATTAACGAAAGACGAAGAGGTGAGGTTATGCCGGATTATAACCTCGATTTGTAAAGTTTTCTCTTTCTTTTCTAAAAATTATATAAAAAATTTTATAAAAATTATAATTTTCTTTGTTTCAAGGTTAAACTATGTGAACAGCAGCTAGATATCCAGGATACGGAAGACATTCCGTTGAAGGAAAATGCACAGGAATCGAAAAGTACAGTACTTATAACCAAAGTGATTTATTTATTATATTTTTTGTTATGGATTACGTTATATGCTATTGCACTGAAATATGAGTTCGGTGCTGTTTATTTCGTATTGTCAGCTTTGCTCTTTATCTGTTTAAATACTAGATCTGGACCAAAGCAGCGGGGTGAGCCTAGTGCTTACTCTGTCTTTAATCCAAATTGCGAAGCTATAGAAGGGACACTTGATGCATCGCAATTTGAGAGAGAAATAAGATATGGTATAGGTGCAACGCGATAATATAATAAATATAAAAAAAATATATGTATATACATATATATATATATATATATATATATATATATATATATGTATATACATATATATATATATATATATATATATATATATATATATGTTTGATGTTATAAGTTAATCAATGCATTTGAAATTTTTCAATATGATTGGACCAAAATAATAAGATGAATATATTAATGTGTTTGTTGTATAATGTAAAATCTATAACAATAGCTTCGCAATTTTGAGAAAGATTAGGTGATATTATTTGAATGTGAAAATCATATTTAATTCATTCAAATTTATATCTAAAAATTATTATTTATATCTTAATGTAAAGAAAATTTAGTGTCTCTTCTACAATGAAATCACGAATATAGATTTAATGAAGCTTTATAGCTTTAAAGAAAGAGATATGAAATGTGATATAAAAGGCACATGTTAAACATATATAAAAATAGGAATAAGAGAATCATATATCATTATTTTTATATACATATATACTTATATATATGTATGCATTTATATTTATATATACTTGAGATATTAGAAATAGAAATATGTATTTTATATATTTTGCCTCCAAAATAAAATCATCTTATCTATATAAGCAATAAATATAAGATAATAATATAAAGTAGTGTTAAAATTATCTTCATATTTCTATAGAGAATTGATTTTTCTTTTATAATACAAAGAATATCTTAAATTTAATAATTCAATCTATTTTGCCACTTATATTATTTTGTATATAAAAATAGAATAACGAAAAATATACATTGTTATAACAATATATTATATTGCATAACAATGAATGTTGTCGATATTTATGTTTTTTCTCTCTTGCAAAACTTGTATAACATCTTCGTAACATTTCGCCATCTCGTCGAGGTGATTCAAAGTATCGCTGTTAGATTCGAGTAATTGTTTGCGAAATGTCGTCAAATCAGTTTTAGAACGATGCAAATTTTCATCGAAGCATAAAAGCGCCTTATCCAGGTCCAAAAGCAAATCGTTCCATATCCTTACATGTAGTGACCTAGAATATATCACATTAATATATTTTTTTATGCTACATATTTTTTTATGCTCTTGAGATTATTTTGTTAATAAATTGAATTACAATCGTGATACAACAAGCGTCATTTATATAAAAATGAAATTTTACGAATTTTATGAATTTAATTTGTATCATTAATTAACATATTGTTATATTCACTGAGTATTCTCTATCTGGTCGATTTTTATATGAAGATCTTTCACTGCTGCAAGCAGAATTTTCAATATTCTCTTCAACTTCTCTGAAAATATAATATTCTATATATAATTTCGGGTTTTTAAATATTTTTGCTATAGAAATAATAGAGAACGAAAGATATACCCTTTGCGTCTTGAAATTTGTTGTTGTCGATTGATTCCAGTACCTCGTTAATAGTTTTGTTAAAATACTTTGGATCCCATTCAATAACTATACTTTCGGACAGTCGCCACATAGTTTGACTAATCATCTGTGCCAGAATTATACCGCGTGACCGTAAACTTTGATTATGACTATTTGCAGAATTACTATCGTTCTGTATAAAAGAAAACAATTAATAAAAAGATATTTTTCTAGTTAATAATATCAATTAAATACAAATTAAAAAATACATATGATTAAGATCTAATATATAGCGTAACAATACATTTTATCCAATTGAAAATACTTACGAATAAAAATATCGCTTGCGGAATATTCAGAGAAAGGCGGGGACCAACCACTTCATGTTCGAGATATGTCCAATTGCGATCAGGGATTGTCTTGATGGCTTCGACGGCTATTGATCGTATCACGTCGGATCCGGATAAAGCCACGTGTTCATTAGCTAAAATCAGAAAATTTCCCTGTTAAATTTCCTTGAAAATTTTCCTTATTTCTGTGTTTATAGAATTCCTCGAGATTTAAACGAACCTCGCGTAAGACGGCCATGCACGGCTACGTAAGCCATGACTTTTCGTCGTATAAAAGTAGGCAAAGTCTGTGGACAAACATCTAAGGATATCAGAGACACACAGAAAATCAGGCTTCGTCGTGGCCGCCAATCATGCGTGGAATAAATTCTGTCCAGGACATGCGCTAATTCTAGAGCTATCGCGATACCGTCTTCGTTAGCCGATAAGATGATGTATCTATCTGAAACAATTTGATAGGATAAACAGACGAAATTCTGTGAAACAGAAAATATTATTTTTCTGTCTCAAATAAAATACACGCGACATTGAAGTATTTGAAATAATCGCGATCTCTAAAAATTATTACATGTAATTTTAATTATGAAATAAAACAAACAATAATGCCAATAATAAAAAAAATATATGTAATAATATTATATAAAATATTTTCAAAATTGTGATTATTATTAAAAATTATTTCATATAATTGTATATGAATTACGCTATGAATTATGAAAAAAAAATATTTTTTTAGAAATCAATTTTTAAAAAATTTTATATACAAACTTCTTTATATAAAATTTTAAATAAATTTGATCATTATTTAATTGAGAAATTCACCTGATTCGCGTGAGCCGCGAACAGTTGCGCGAACGCAAAACCTATAATTGGTTACTTCATGAACAAAGGATAAATTGGAAAAGAATCCGTTGATACGTCGTATGTTAGCTTCTATTAAGTCGGGTGCCTGCCAATTTCTAATGAGAAGAAATTAAAATTATTTATTAATAAAGAATTCAATCCATTATTTTTCTAACGATATGCCAAAATTTTCTGTGTGTGCTGATATTTTTAACTAGTTTTATAATAATTTTTTGATCATTTTTTTAAAAAATAAATAAACAGTTTTGAGATGCTACGTACATGGCACGTTCGTAGTCGAACGACGCTTTCGTCAATTCTAGAAGCGCTATTTGCTGAAGATGCTCCGTTGTCCGGAGGCCATTTCCGGCCAATTCGTTCCGTGTCTTTTGCACTCGAGTTTCTATCGATCTCTCGGCGGCAAAGCGGCCTAATAAAAAGCCACAGAGAAGACAGAGGAAACCGATCGAGAAGAGAAACGAGCAACATAATCGTTTCGTTACAAATTCACTCGACTCGTCGATATTGCGGGTCATTTGGAAGCTGAGGACTCGCTGCATTCTTGCAGGATGTTCGTAGGAATTTTTTTGAGTGTAGCTTCTTCCTGTCTTACTTTATTATGTCATACTTTGTCGAATGAAATCACTCTTTTTGGAATAATCACATAGTGAAAATGACGAACGAAATGTCTGTAGAGGTCTTTGAAATTATAAATTACGATTTATATATTATTATTACAGTAAAATAAATTCGCTTTTGACTGTTTCTAAACAAAGTCCACGTGCACAAAATTCATCTTAAACTAATGATATCCCATGAATATAATTAAAGCTAGAAAATATACGATGAAAGTTTATTAAATATGACGTATAAGATACTCTTGTGATTTATTCGCGCGCAAGTTCTAATTGCTCGATAAATCATGAAAACGATTTACTGATTTTGATAATTAACTCGATGAAAAATCACAGATACGGTGTCCACGTTGTTTTGATAACAATTATTTAAATGATAACAAACTGATAATTTGCTATCACGCACTTCATATGTCACACTTTTGTCTTCTCGCAGGAAAATTATTCGTTGGATTTGATCCACTATAAAGACGGCCAACTTGACGGTTTTCCGTTGTCTTTGTCGTCGCCAAATATTGCGTGGGTCCTCGAAAATATATTTTACAGTCCGCCTCTTCGACGTCTCTCGTTTATTTTATTCTCACGTCGGAAGAGCGCGCGCGTCGTTCTCATCTTTGCTTCTTCGGAAGAAGATAGGGAAACGAAAGGAAAAAAAGACATGTAAATAATATACAGGATGCGCGTAGGAAAATACAACGAGATCTATTCTCGGATCGAATCCGCATTTAACTCTGAGGCCCGATGAAAATATTTCGATACTTCAAATCTTTCATCTTATTATACATAAATGTATCGTTAGTTTTTAAATTATTTTAAAAATTATCAAGTTTTAGAAATTAAACTATTAGTTAATTAAGAGATACAGTAACATGAATAATTATGAAAATGGAAGATTTAATTATCGAGAGAAATAAAACAGACTTGTAATTACAAAAATTTTGAGGTATTTTAAATTTGACGTATATAAGTATTTGAGAGATAAGATAATACAGAATTATTAAATTCATGAAAAATCATAATACAATGCACACATATACATATACATATACTATTACATGTTTCTTTGGATACGCGTAGATAGACGTCAAGACTGTGGACGTCCCAACTTATTTCGAGCAATAATACGATGGCGGTTTCATTTATAAATAGTTTTCGATGTATTACGTGCGCGTGCAAGGTTGTTCCAACTATAGCACGTTCTGCACCAATTTTCGAAATATCCACAGATTTTTCACACCTATTAATGACAATATTCATTTCACCATATTTCAAACATATTCGATAGTTATTCGTTTTAAATGTACAGAAACGTTTTAGAGAGAAGTAGAGATTAATTCATGTGATCTAAATCAAAGTAAATTAGTTTCACATTTGATTACGATCGATAATATCGCGCAGGATATTTAACACTATTTATTATTTAATATTTTTTATTACAATTAATCTTAGATTTTCAAGGAAATTTTATTTGTGAAAATTAAATTTATCGTTATGTAAACTTTTTTATATATGAAGGAAGAAATAACTATAATTAACAAAATAATCTTATACTTCTATCTTAAAACTTTTCTATGCTATACTTTATATTATCTGTATGTGTATGCAAATTATTGTCGCATTATCGATAAATCTCTTTCGGCTTTAAATTATTTGACATTTTTTTTCTAGACAGAAAATAGATTCATTAACTTTGGCGATGTGTCCTATCAGGATATCCTTCGTTTCTCTTACGCTTGTATGCGTCAAAAAATAAAGTTAAAATCTTTGTCCTTTATGGTCCTTTGGTTTTATGTATATATATATATATATATATATATATATATATATATATATGTGAAATCGTATAATCGTATAATCATATGCTCTATATACATACATATGAATTTGTGAATTTTTCATGGATTTCAGCAATTATGATTCTAGATAAATAAAGCTCGTTAATTCTTGAATTGTAAATGAGATATTATTCAAATATTGTCTAAATAAAATGTAAATATTTAAATAAGGATAATGATTCAAATATTGTCTAAATAAAATGTAAATATTTAAATAAGGATAATGATAGTATTATGGAAAATATATAGGATTGGTCTTCAGTAAAAATTAACCTGATTTTCACCTTTTTATCTTTGAAAGATGAATTACTTATAACGTTTTTCACCTTTTTATCTTTGAAAGATGAATTACTTATAACGCAAAATCTAAATCGACATTAAGGAAAAGAATATACTGCAATGAACAAAATAATGTCAGCTTGTATAATTTGGTTTGAGAATGTTTTTGAGTCATTTAATACATATATATATATACAAACTATGTTATTTATACACTTTTGCATTGGAATGTTTAACATATACAATAATTAATAACTAATATTATCTCTATTACTGTCTTATTATTTAATAGATAATGAAGATTCACCATATGTCTTCAACTATCACATGTCATGTATTTGCGTGATTTATTCTATAATATAAAGAAACTGTAAATGGGAAAATTTAGAAATATAAATGTAAATAAATATAAGCATATATTTCTGATATTTTCTAAAAAATTTCCTAATATATATGATTTTAATGTTTCTGTAATGCGATACATGTCCAACAACTTCAAATTTCATGACAAAAATATATTGAAAAATTATATCGAATATATAAATTAAAAATTTGTCATATACAAGTTTTCATTTTCGAAAAACTTAACTGTAAAATTCAGAAAGCTATTAATTAAATACTATGTATTATGTATTATGTAGTCATTAATTATATCGGTGATATAAACTAAAAATTTCGCATATATACGAGGTTTTATTTTCGAAAAGTTTGACTTTAGATATCATGATATTTTGAATTAAATTATGTAATCATTAATCATTTTAAAAATAATAATTATAAATGCTATAATTACATTTATACGTACATATATACATTATTAATAATTATAAGTTTTATAATTAAATACTGTAATACTATTATTTTTTTATTTTATTATTATATAATATAATTAAAGTGCAATTACAATTATTAATTAATAATTATAATTAATATAATATTATAATTAAAATAATAAATATTATTAATATAATATAATTAATAATTAGTATAATTAATAAATAATATAATTAATAATTATAATTAGTAATGTAATAATTAAATTATAATGGTACCATTGAAACTTGTATAAAATTCAAGCATAGGAAAAATATGACTAATTTTTCAAGTTCGAGATTTTTTAACAAGTTTTATATGAAAAACAATTGCACTTTGTATATATCAGTACATATGTGTCTCTCCTTATATATATATATATATATCTCAAGACATAGGATCTGTGACAGCATGCAATTACTCGAATTTAAACATGATGAGATTAATCGGACTAGCCTAGTAGCTCTCTCATCTAAAGGAAACTTTTTATTACAGTATTTGCAAATCATTATTACATCTGTGGATCATTACTGCATCTCTTTTGGCTTTGGATTATTTGACATTTTTTTCTAGACAGATAATAGATTCGTTAACTTCGGCAATGCGTTTTATCAGAATATCCTTCGTTTCTTTCACGCTTGTGTGCGTCAGCCTAATCTAGTTGAACCTTTGTCTTTTGTATATTTTTCCCCTTTATATATATATATATTTCTGTTTGTTGATTTATCCGATGAGCGTATTATGGGGAATGTATTTATGCGACGGTAAGCATTCGTTAATAATATTATTTATAAAGAAAATATTTTTTCGATTTTCTTCGATCATGTTGACTGTTTCAATTTGAGTCGAATAAATTTTAATATTGCATTTTTCGGCAAACATCTTGTATCTTTGTCGACAATAGTTATAGACAACTATGCATAATCTGATTTTTTAATCTGAAAAATAAAACATAAGCATATCTATTTATTATTAGACAATTATTTATACTATATATTTTCAGCTTATATTAATAAATGTTCCACAATTTGTATAAAATAAAAAATATTAAAAATCTAAATATAAAATAAAACTGTATAAAATAAACTGTATAAAATAAAGCTATATTTTCTAAGATAAAATTTCATATTTTCGAGAGATTTTTTTCATCGTTTGCTCTCTTTATCATATATTTATAAATTTTATCATGTATCTACGATAAAATTGTATGTGTTTATAATATTTATATAATATTTTAAAATTTTGTGTTTATAATATTTATATAATATTTTAAAATTTTGTGTTTATAATATTTATATATTATGAAATAATAGAGACAATTAATTATTTATGTATAATTTCATTTTTACTAGAGAAATGTACGTATAAGTAAACAGGCAAACATATAGAAAATTCATTATTTTTCCGTTTTTGACTACCAAATATCTTGTAATTACTACGATTTTCTTTATCAATAAAAATTCAGTGTTATACTTGTCTTGTGTAATGTATATGTACACACACACAACACACACACACACACACACGCTCACTCGCTTACTCATTCACTCACTCGCGCGCGCGCATGTGTGTGTGTAGACATATATATATATATATATATATATATATATATATATATATATATAATGTGTGTGTGTGTGTGTCTACACACACACACACACACACACACACACACACATATGTGCATCGAATATACATTTGCCTGATATATATATATATATATATATATATATATATCTCAGACAAATGTATATATATATATATATCAGGCAAATGTATATTCGATGTGCGCGCGCGCGCGCGCACACACACACACACACATATATATAAAATATATATATATATAAAATATATATATATAATATATATATAATAATTTGCTTTCTAACAATTTTAAAATATATTTCCTGAAATTTACTTACTAATTTTTTTTGTTCATCTCTCTACTTCTAATATTACTTAACAAATTTTGAGGCAGAAATTGATAAATTTTTAAAATTATAGAGTATTGTATCATTGTCAATTATTTTATTGCATCTTCTTTCTTTCGTCTTAATCAAAGCTGAATATTGTTTGATTTTTTTGTTTCATAATTATCAAAAAGTCTGAAAGATATATTTGTAAAAATAATGACAAAATTATAATCAGTACCAATATAATTTATATATAGTTTGCGTTTATACGTAAGATTCTCTTCACAATCTGTAATATAAAAAATTAATCTGTAATATAGAAAATTAATAAACTTAATATATCTATAAACATTTCTAAATAATATTGACATGAAGAGAATTAACACTAACATTTCAACATCAGAGATCAAGGTATATTTGCTTTTTATATCTTTCTACAATTTTATAATTAAGTTTTTAAAATGTTTTCGACACTCGGCGACCAGCAGCAGGGTTTTATATGATGTTTGTTAATAAGATGCAATCGCATTGAGCTTTTTGTATTGAATGTCATCACGCAGAGCAAACAATTAAATGGCTTTTTGTGTATATATAGATGATTACATAGTTTCGTTGATGTACGGAAAGCATTATGGCAGTATATACATTGATACTGGGTTTTATTATGCTCTTTCTTTCGATACATTAATCCGCCAAAAGCCTCAGGACAAAATATACAACCTGAGTGTTTTATATTGTGCCGCTTTCGAGTGTGTTTCTTAAGTTTTCTGTCATTGAAAAAGGCTAAATTACAGCGATGGCAAGAATTTGAAATATTATGATCCATTAAATAGTGATAGTCCAAATCTGCTTCTTGTGTGTATTCTTTGTAACATATGTAGCAAACAAACGTTTC